TAAGGACGAGCTGCTTGAAATGATTACACAAGGCGCTGAGAAGCTCATTAACTCGGCTGATGCGTGAGTTACTTGACATTACACAAGTTTTATGTTTCTTCATCACTGCTAATCAGATTCTCCATCAACGACGACATCGAAGCTATTGTTCAACGCGGTGAGGAACGTACGGCAGAGCTTAACAGCAAGTATGAGGGCCTCAATCTTGAGGACCTAAATCATTTCAAGTCCGATGCCACTGTGCAACAGTGGGAAGGCGAAGATTTCCGGCCAGGTGTACGTTTGTATCTCAATTTTGACGCGGTCTCGAGTGTTCTGAATCATAAATCATCATTCAGCGGAAAGGCCTCAACTTCAATATGCTATCCCTCTCGAAGCGTGAACGGAAAGCTAATTACTCCGTCGATAACTATTACAAGGAGACGCTTCGGGTTGGTCCGTCGAAGACCGAGAAGGCTCCAAAACTCCCTCGTGCCCCCAAACAGATCCCAATGTACGTATAACTTCTGCTCTTACCCTTTCGTGTCAATTAACTTCTCCCTGCAGACAAGATTTCCAGTTTTTCGACCCCGCTCTGGCTCAGCTCCAGGAACGAGAACTCGCCGTGCACAAGGTATGCACTTTATAATCATCGTCCTATTTGTTATTCATTCTGCAACCAGAGGCAAAATGGGATCACAGCTACTCTTCGTGAATCAGGACCAGACGACACGCCCGAAAAACTCGAAGCCGAGCGCGCAGCTGCACAAGAATTCATAGATACCGCCGAGCCTCTGACGGAAGAGGAGCAGGCACTCAAAGAGAAGTACACCGAAGCTGGCTTCCATGATTGGAGCAGACGAGACTTCCAGCAATTTGTCCGCGCGCTTGAAAATTTTGGATGGTATTTTATCTTTCGTTTTTCTGTGAGGTGGGTTACTGACGAACGTCTAGGACAGATGACTACGATTTGTTAGCTTCGGAGATACAGGATAAGGACTGGAGACAGGTCAAGAGGTACTACCTGTACTTCAAGAAGCACTGGAAGGAACTATCTGGTACGCATATCGATCAGCTGTATTCTTCCAAGTCCCAACTGACTTATCTGAATGAAGAACATCCAAGAATTGCTGTACGTATTGCTGAAGGTGAAGCCAAACGTAACAAGCGGTCAAATCTCGAATTTCTACTTGCGAAGAAGATTGCCTCGGTGCGCTATCCCATGCAAGAGCTTGAGCTCAACTATCCGACTACGAAAGGCAAGGTCTACAGCGAAGAAGCGGATAGGTACCTCTTGTGCCGGCTGAACCACTACGGGATGGGCGCGGATGATATCTACGAACGTATCAAGAAGGATATCATGGAGTTTCCTGTATTCCGCTTTGACTGGTTTTTCAAGAGCCGGACCCCACAGGAATTGCAGCGCAGGTGTAATACATTGTTGGGCATGATCGAGAAGGAGGCGGAAGCGAGGCAGGCAGAGGAGGTGAAGCCGAAGGGCGGATCGCGGGGCAAGGTATGTTCGTCACTGCGTCTCGCAATGTACACCCTGACATTGGTTATTAGAAGCGTGGAATAGATGATGTGCAAAAGGATGAAACGCCACAGGAGTCGGGGTCACCTTCTCCTGTTCCCGCGCCGGCACCCAAGAAGTCACACAAGAAGAAAAGGGTGTAGATGGTCGTGCGTCCTATTTCAGTCCTTGTAGATAATCATTTTCGTCGTGGAAGTATTATATTAAACTTGAGCGAATGCCAGCTATATTTAACGGAGACCATGACCATGACATTCACGATCAATTCATAGTCCCATTGTTATTGATCGTCATCTAATCACCATCTCGTTACCCATAGGAGAGCGCAAATTTGAGACCCGCCTGAGGCATGTAGCTCAATCATTATCGGCTCTACTTATGTTAACTCATTCTGACATATGATCCGCAGCGAAATAATAACTTTCGCTGTCCCCTCGAACATCAATAACATGCTTCCATTGCATGCATCAATGTCATTCTGTGACCTTGTCTCAGCGACGGAATCAATCAGCTGCTCGTCCATCCAAGTATTCACGTCTTTACATTCATCAACTGTAAACGAGTGCAAATGCAGAGAAGTCCTTGCATTGGATATAAGAAGGATGCATATCGGTCTGTATTTCCCCTTGTTGAGGTAAGTGTTCGCTGACACTCGATTGTACCTTCATGGCTCTGGCACGAATAATAAGGGCGAGTACCTCAATGTAACCATGCGGCACTGGGCCGCTTACTCATACATCGCTTATTCGAATTCAGGGCCGAACGCCAAAATCTGTGACCGTCCACTCCATCCTCCAATGTCAGCTAGAATATCCAATTGTGCGTGCTTCGTCGAGTCAGCATCCCGGAAATCATCTGCTTCAATAAGTCTGAGAACATATCACAGTGCAAATCAGATGATATCCAAGATTCAAACTGACGATACTAAAAGTAAGCAACCGCCCGCTGTCTGCATTATTGTATTCGAGAAGCTGAGTCTACCAGATCACGAGGCTGAGCAAGGACGAGTTCCTCGATGCCTCAGCGAATGGTGACAAGTCATGGTCTGTGTATATTCTTCCCTTCTCAGTGCACTCTTTGTTGTGCTGATTAACTATCGTATCCTCCGGAGGAACGACATCCGTCGCCGTAAAATCAGCAGTCGGCATTTCGGTTGTAGACGAATGACTGGTTGGCTGCCCCGACGACTATGATTTGTCATCAACAATAAGCGCTTAGGAGCAGATGAAAAGCTCCTGAGCAAGGGCAGACTGCTCGATGCTAATGCAAGAATGAAAGTCCTATCATGATTCAGGATTTAAGTAAGTAAACGGTCGTCGCACCAATCCAATTGGCAAATTGCTCGATCTTGAATTCAATCCATCTTGTTTCATTTCAAGGTTACACACGTATACGCTAGACTGATTAGTCTGTATTTCGAACGTGGCTACAATGCCAATGAGCTTCAGTATTGTATTTGCAAAAGTTCAGTACATCACAAGTTAAAAGGAATTTATTACCGCCCGAACACAACCCACTGAAGCCTCAGCTGATAACTCAAGCTAGTTACGTCTTGAAGTTTCGATGATGGTGGATGTAGTTTATGGACGTGATTTCTTGTTTTAATCAGTCTGTCCATTGAATATGCGAAGGCATGAGTGCAGCAACGATCAAGGAGTAATTTTTATTCTGTCAGTTCTGGAGAACCTGAACGTTCAGTGCAACTGACTTCTATGGACGGTGCGCTGATTAACCTTGCAAAATTAGCGTGTATTCTAATCAAGAATAAGTGAGCAAAGCATGATACTAGAGTCTACACTGCAATACAACAATAATGACAGTAAAAATACCCTATATGTGCACTATCCGAGAACAAACAACTTAGATGGTGATTCCAGTAAGAGGCGCATGCAATAGATGTTACATTCAAAGCTCAGACCTGTGAACTTGTGTAATGATATCCATGTCGTCACTACCACCGAAGGTTGTGTGGTGGCTCTCCAAGCTGAAGACGCGGGACCCAGATTGAGGACATTCGGTCCCCTGAAAGCTCTCCGACTGTTGAAGTGGCGTAGGAGCGTTGACATAAATCTGAAGGATGGAGGGTTGGTTAGGTAGTACATTCGTTCGCGCGGGAGGGTCGGGGAAATCGGAGAGGGTGGACATGCGTGAGTACTCAGACCCACTGGTCATGTAGCTCGACCGCATAGCATCTGCGGAGACGGGTGGCGATTGCATTGGCGTGATGGGGCTGACCAGGTCATCTTCTTCGGCGGCATCGTGGATCGAAGCGTATGTAGAGGATCTATAAGAGCCCTGGTGAATGGTGGATGTTCCTGCAGCGTCAACGACATCTTGTCGGATGGGGTGACCTGTGAGAGACGTTCGTTAGCCACTGATCGAATTCGACAGAGTATCGCGTACCAAAAGTGTCATTCTCTTGTGAGGCGATCAGAAGAGAAGACGCTCGAGAGGATTCGATATCTTCTGGAACACCCACTTCAAAGGGTGCATCGTAAAGCTGGGCTGGCGATTGGGTAACAGCACAGGGATCGACCTGCACCGGTGAAGAAGTCCTCGACATGTCCATGAAGATATACGTTTGAGATAGTTCATCCGATCGTTGATCCCCTGGTCCGCCTGATCTTTGCCCATAGGAGGTATCTGAGGCCGCTACATGCAGCTCTCCAATCTCGCTCATACTTCGCATGAGATTGGTGAGCGCGCTTCCAGAATAAGAGCTGTGAATATCCGACGGTATACCCCTGCTGGTTTCGCTTGTGTCCTGATGTTTTACGCTAGATTTTCCACTGGACAACCTGTTCTGAGGAGGCCTGTAGAACAAATCTTGAAATTCGTCTAGATCATCATTATCCAAAGCTGAAATAACAAGATGTGCGGAGGTGACGTTGGTCGTGTTACGGAGGGCACCAGGAGAGTAGGTGGAGTCCCTGCCTTCGACTGCTGTCACAGATATCAGACTCGAAGGACGAGTGGAAACGATCACAACATCAGAGACGGGTATCCGGGATTGACTATTATCGGAGGCTATGGGCGCAGATGTCAGGTCTTTGGCCTTCCCTTTGTCTATGATTCGACTCAGAGTATCCTGCTGGCACGGGATGATGGTTCCCAAAGATTGATCTTCGGAATCACTTTCCTGCTCGTCTCGCGATGGTGCGGCGAACACAAGAACCTCACCAACGCCATACTTCTCGAAGTCAGGACTACTGATGGATATGTGGTTATCAGATGTGAAACCATTGTCTTCCTGCACAGCGGTTGGCGGAACCGGAAGGGTAGGAAGGACAGAGTTACTAGGCTGCCGTGCATGTGAGTTTACCGGCTCACTCAATGCAGTAGCGTAAGGATGTGAAATTGCACCCGGCTGCATTGCCCGCGGAGGCAGCCTGTGACGCATGCTGACATCGTTGGTAGCAGTATTAGAAGGGAGTTGGGGGTCGTAGGCAGATGGATGTGGTCCAGCATAATCAGACATTTTGAGGGAATGTTGTAGACCATGCTCAGAAGATGGATTAAGATACTGTGTATATGTGGCACCGTTGGCATATGGATGGCCGGGCATGCTCGGGAGTTCGGGATTAGGATAGAAGCGATCGTCAGAAGGAGGGGGGGATGAAAGTGCGATGCCGACTCCTTCCCCGCTTGATGTAGTCGGGGCTGGGGAAATCCCTATAACGATGACTGATCCCTCGTCGGCTTCGTTGTGCGAAGGGTCCGCAGGGTCAGTCAAATGTATGACTTTGGTTTCCTCCGTCATAGGTTCCAGGGCTGTTTTCTTGCTGTCAACAGGGGTGCCCAGCAAATCACTAATATCTCCGCAAGGTGCGCATGCTTTAAGTAGGGCAGTTTTGCCCCAGGAGTCATTGCGGGCATGTCGAGCGCTTTGAGGTTGAGAATCCGCGAGCGACCTTTGCGAATTAGATTTACCAAGGGAGTGCGACTGTGACTGTGTGAATGAGTATGAACTAGAGCGCCCGCGAGAATTCGAACGAGTGTGTGAATGGGAATGAGATCGGGAGTGCGAAGTTCTTGCAACGTTAATAGTGGGGGTAATGCTCTGACCTCCGAGGAGCGTCCGTGCAGCCAGAAATTCTAGGGTCGTACTGCCCTCCGACTTGTGCCCATGACTTCGTGACAATGACCTGGCACGAGCGCGGGAAAGGGAGCGGGTTCGGCTGTTCCCCAACGAGCGTGAGGCCTGATGTTGCCACTGCCTTCGTTGTTCTTCTAGAGCCTCGCCTTCTTCAAGAACTCTGCAGGAGTACTTGGTTATTGGCTAGCTACCTACAAAAATTGCAGCTTACTGGGTTAACGATGGTACAGGGGTTGACGGACGGTGTTCCTGTTGCACGGTCGATGCGCCCGGTACAAATTCTGACTCCTCGAGGTTTTTGTCTTCAATTAAATCTGCATCTGGGTCTAGATGTCGTTTCATGGGCGCAGTACGAGGTCTGCCAGAAATAGAGGGGCCAGACAGGACATCAATAGCCGACCTAGATTTCAACAAAACATGGTGTTTCCTTGGTACATCAGTTGTAACCAACGACACCTGTGGTCTCCCGCTAAGTGGAGCAGGACTGAGGCGCGGAGTGGCACCTTCAGCGACAGGCGTGATTGGCGGACTTAGGATTCGTCCACTGCTTCCTCCATGTGACCCATGTGCGCGCTTAACTTTGAGGCGTGGACGTGGAAAGAACAGTGCGTCGCACCATGTCTCAGGAGATAGCCAGCGTTCAACGCCTGCTACCGGTGGTGTTGACTTTGTGCTCTGTTGCGAAGGCTGCTTGTCATGTGAGGTTGCAAAAAGATTCGGAGTGGAGACAGAGAGCTTCAGTGGTGAGGTCAAGGGACGTGCACTTTTAACCGATGCGGCGGCACCGTCACTGCGAGGGTCGATCGCATAGGTGAGTGCCCGATTACGCCGAGTGGGATTATCCTGCGAGAAATGAGTATGTTGTGAGCCCGAATCCAGTGGTTGATGTCCTTGACGAGATTGTTGAGAGGTTCCGGGTCGAAAAGCAGACACAGAAACAGAGGAGGATGTATTTGCATATGGGTGAGCCATGAAGATAGTTGAAGAATTATAGTTTGTGGTCGGGAATGAAGGGAATGAGTCTTGGTCGGGTTTTCCATGTAAGTTGAGGTGCTGGGCGGAACGTTGCTTGGAGGGGGAGAGATTCATACCGTCAACCCGTGGCGGGTAATGGAGGGTCTGACTTCTGCGGGATGGCTGTGCCAATGCGGCATAAGGTGAGTCAAAGTGATTGCTAGTGTTGGGACTAGAACCTGGAGATTTCGCAAAATTAACATGTTCCTGGAGTGTACTATGCTGAACAGAACTGGGAGGCCATGTCCCCAGCGTGTTAGTCCGAATAATAGGGGATACTGGTGTACTGGTTGATTGGCTTTTTGGCTTTTTGCTAGATCCGAAGCCGAAGAACCGACCCATTTTTTTCTGGGGGGACAACGTTGCCATACGTTGCATAGGCATCGGGGATTCACCAACGTCAGCGCCAGCATCCATGCTGGTGTGAGTGGGAATTTGCAAGCGCGGTGCACTTGCCTGCCGCCGTCGAGGATGCGGCCGTATCGGGTCGATGACACTTGATGAGCTCGTAGTATGCCTCATGAAATCAGGGCGAATACGGGTTCTGTGGGAACTGGTTGATTGTGCAGGTAGACCTAGTCCCAATGGCTCGGCATCGTTCACAGACGTATCCCGGTAGCGGTCCAGTAATTGAGAGTCTTCCAGAAATGCGTTTATGTCATCCTGTCTACAAAAGTGTCTCGTGGTACCTTGCTTGGCCATTGAGACGCTCTTGGGTGGTTCTAACGGACCATTGTAGGGGATATACCAGTCTTCTTCAGAGTTTTCAGCATAAGGAGAACGAGATGAAGACCCCGTTTTGTGACTGGGAGTAAAACCAAGCCGAGGCAACATGGAGAACGGGAGGCTGCTGGTAGTCTTTGTGCCCATCAGATTCGGGACGTGTGAGAACGATGACTTCAAGTGTCGATCCTGTAGATTGCAAAACCGCATGATGTAAGGTGGGGAAATTGAGTGAATCGTGAAGGCACCACGTACGTTGTGACAGGTGCTTGAAGAAATCAGCTCAAAAATGACCCCACACCAATTTTTTTTGCGACAAGAACAGAGCAAGATATAGCCCAAGCCTCTCCGCTTGATACTTGATCATCGATCAACACGGCTCCGGACAAGCAACGGATGCAAGCAGTGCCTCACCTATGATGAAGACAAAAATAAACAGATAAAGAGCGGAATAACAATCATGAATGGGTTATGAGAGTGTCTCCGTATGAGGCCGGTGCCCTTACAGTGCGCACAGAGCCTGCACTTGGCAGCCGCACTAGCAGTTAAATTTCAACAGGTCGTAAATGTGTTGAAATCACACCCGCGTGACTGTGGAACCACGTGTGATCATCACTTACCTAAGTAGCTACCAAAATCCCACAGTAGCCTTTTCGGTATCTATCACTTCCCGGGTGGACACTCTCGGTCATACTAATGACAGTCACCATGTGCACAAACGTTTACATGTTACAAGACATTCGTAATGGCATGTTATCATCATTAAACAGCATTTCTTACCAGGGAATACCGCGAACCACTGGGGAGTGGGCTACACTGATGAGGCTCCGGCCTGGTCTTCTCTCGGGGTCCCCTACTCCACCGCGACATAAACTTGCAATAGAGACCGAGTCGGATGAGCGACACTGGCTTTACATGTGACTCTCCGCAGACCTCTATCTATAGCACAGTCACTGGGAACGTTGGTGTCAGGACTAGGTACTCGGCGTGCTCGGCCTGCAGGGTCTAAAAAGTAACCCTTATGCTTTCGGCATCTCAAGTCTAACGACACATTTTTAAAGCGACTCCGGGTCCGACCCTCCCGCAATGCGCATCACTTCCTCACAATTCCTCAATTGCCTTTAAGCGTCACTTATATTTTTGCTCTCACATCCTAATTAGGATTTCTTGGTATCGTCCATTGAAGATGTCTGGGTACGAGGCTACGCTCATATATTTCTCAGTCATAGCACTGATAAGCACCACACGAGTGCATCCTAAAATGAAGTCCGGGGACTCCGGGCCCTAGCGAGTGGTACAGTGAATTAACGGTGCATGGGATAACCCAATCGGAGCATGAGGTATGTGTAAAGAAGGTATAACTACTGCCCATCCCATTTAAGTATGGTGGATCTTTGGTGACGGTTCGATTTGCCGTGTTGCCGCGTATATTTTCAAAGTCCGTTATGTGTACTGTTGTATTTACTTTTGTATTTACCAAGATCATCCCAAATGTCACGGTCACCACGTTGGGCAGCGCTGAATATACCATCTGCATGTCTAATTTCTAAATAACGGATCATCGATGATCGATCAACGTTCAATTTCCGCCGTTCGACATTCAAATATTCAACGTTAATGCCAACATTTGCTCTGCCGCTGTTTGCAGAGGTACTTTATAGCATAACATCAAGTGAAATTCAATATGTGACTAGTAACATCGTGCTGCCCAGGTGTTTCCGTCACGACGACGCGATTTCCGTCTTCCTATCAAGACTACGATAATGCTTGCAAACCGAAGGCACGGCAAAATTGGTTGCACTGGTGTTCAGATCGGAAGTTCTTGAAAGCAGCTGTGCAGTTTCCGTCGCCAAAATTATTCACAAAGTCTCTAGTTCATGTCAGTCAACCAATAAGACAGACCAGCTCAGCATCAACTCACGAGCCCGTTATGACTTGACAGTCAGTAAGAAGATCACCGGAGCCTAGGTCAAGATACAGTCAGTAAGTTTGTCGAACGATGACTGCACAACCAAACTAACCCTGAAAATCAGAGAGGTAGACCATCTCATTGGAGAGACGATACTGGATGTGTTGCACGAAGCACAGGAATAGTCCGATTTCTGCTTCTTTGCTGTCTAGGATACGAGCTGGAACAGCCGAATTGTTGTTAATATACTTAACAAATGTACCGCTAATCCTCTCTTCAATAAGATAATTGGCGCGAGAGTCGCTGTCGTCAATGTCAACAGGAATGACAAGTGCTGCACGAACAAGTCTAAGACGTGGCACCAGTTTCTCAACATCTTTCCGCACTTTGCCTGTCTTGAGCATCTGATCGACAAACGTATATGCCAGCTCATCATCAGTCCAATCAAACTCATAGAAATCCGACTCTGCATCATCTGACTCCTCATCTGAGATCTTCTCAATGCCCATATCACTGCTCGGACCACTACCTTCAACAAACGGCGGAAAATCTACAATAGGTAAGTCCTCGGAGCCAATAAGGTTGTCCCCATCACAAGGAAGTGGGAGTTGCGCCGCAAGAAGTTTGCGAATCCCTTCATCCCATTCAATTGATTGGAAACACATCAGAAGGTCAGCATAGACATTCCAGACATTCCAGACATTGTCCCCAGTTACCGGAGGTGATCCAAGCTCCGCCATGAATATGGAGGCTTGTTGAGAAAACTCTTGCGGAACTAGGAGGGGAAAGACAGGGTGGTCCGGAGGAGCGTATATCTGTCGCATAGCATCAAGTGAAGAATGGTCAACTTTCACCTAGGAAGAATGTACCTTTCAATCAATCGACGAGACACAAAGATAGCTAGTACTTACTGAGAAGTCACAAGAATCATATTCTTCGGCATGGTAGAATATGTCGTTTGGACGACCGTGCGGAAGGATCTTGTGGATATTATGGCGAGGTTTGACATGATTGAACCTTTCTGCAAAGAGATCGAGCTCATGCTGGAGCCATGGAATAAATATATAATGAAAAACGAGCCTTGAATACTTGATGCTTAGTGCTCAGCGAGAAAGAAGGAAATCAATATGGTACTGCTACCTTTCCAAGGCGTCATCAGGATTATAGATTCCTGTGGTGAAGCCATATTCTAGAATATCTTCGAATCCTGGAGTCCAGCGTCGTCGTAACTGGCTCCAAAATATTTCGGGCTTGATGTTGCGATGTTGGCCCTTGAATTTGTGTTGTAAAGTGCGGGCAAGAGCTGGATCTTGCATATGACGAAGTAAGGTGTGACCATTGGCAATGCCATTATTTTCACTTCCAGGGTCACTCTGGGTTACAAGGGGCATAGCTAGTAAAACCATGTTTCAGTTGGCAAGTGTAGCGAGATAGTCGTGCTCACCACCAAGGGCTTGTACAGTATCACAGTACCATCCACAAATAAGACGGGGGTTACGGTTGGTCCACCAGATCTTGATCCAAAGTATGCATCCTGAGAATGGCTCGATCGCAACATGCAGGAAGAGCTGAAACCGGCGCCACTTGTCGTGTTGATCAAATACCCAAATGTCATTGACGCCTGCGGTCCAGTAAACACTCCTCTTCAGGCGTCGACTCTTGCGAGCTTGAACATCTGCCTGATGGTGGAGATTCATGTAGCGAAGAATCAACTTTCTTTTCCCAAAATACTATGCGTCAATACAGAAATATGAATAAAGAAAACACACCTTGACACGGTAATATTTTCTTCGTGTATGAGGGTTTGCCTCATGTCATGCGAACCCTGCTTTGGGAAGCGTGCTCGCACTCGCTCGATTGCAGGACCAATACTTGCTATGGTATGGGCTTGCCCACGAGCGGACTTCAGCCCCCACTGAGAGCGCTGCTTTTTCAGGAGGTCAATCCTAGGTCATGTATTAAGCATGCTTTCAGCTAGAAAAAAAAGAACTCACGAAACATTGTATGCATCAGTATCATAGTATTTGCGTAGGCGGGAAACGATTTCGGTGTTACTGTACCCCTTCGCCACGAAATCCTCAATAATCGGCCTGATGAGATCATCAGGAGCTTGAATAAGCGAAAATCAGCTGGGAATGAACTACTAGCACAGATATGCTACTTACGGGCAGGAACTCGACCGTTCTTTCCAAGTGTATTCGGCATCTGTGAAAGTAATTCAGCAGGAGAGACAGATGGTTTTGGACCATCCATTTAAACATCGTCGCTAAAAACTCGTCCGCGGGTTTGAGGAGGTCCTTGGTTACAGTCTGAGACCTTCTGGTCCTGGATCCTCTTCCTTCCGAGTCCAATGAACAGTTTCGAAGCTTCCGTCCTCAGATCATTGACTGTTCACTCCGTCCGGTTCGGGTTCTGGCCATCTTAGTTAGTTAGGGGATGGTGAATGGTAAGTAGTGCAGAAAGTCGCGTCGTCGTGACAGAAATGCCTGGGCAGCACAACAGTTACTAGCCATGTTAAATTTCACTCGATGTCGTTACCACTGATTCCTGACTGCTATCAAGTACCTCTGCAAACAGCGGCAGAACTAATGTTGGTATCAAGCGGCGGAAGTTGAACGTTAACGTTGAACCGTGATTAGAATTAGACAAGTAGAAGGTATATTCAGAACGTTGATCCGTTATTTGGAAATTAGATATGCAGATGGTATATTCAGCGCTGCCCAACGTGGTGACCGTGACATTTGGGATGATCTTGGTAAATACAAAAGTAAATACAACAGTACACACAACGGACTTTGAAAATATACGCGGCAACACGGCAAATCGAACCGTCACCAAAGATCCACCATATTTAAGAAGGTACTCCCATATTAAGGAGTGTACGTGGTGAATGTATGTTCACTTGCAAAAAATTCTCAGTCGGAAGAGAAACCTGGATGAGGAAAAAAAACTCACGTATAAGCAAATCCAACGCGATTGCTGTCCGTGTCGAAAACCTGTAGTTCAATCAATACCCAGACTACACAGTCACCTCGTGATTCGACAACTCACAGCATAGTACTTCTCCATGAACTTTTGTCCGATGATGAAGTCTAGCCCTTCGCCGCTGTTAGTCCCTAAGTACGAGACGATGCCGTACTGCGTGTTTGCTGACAAGCCCCATGCGGTGTTCTGGTCAATCGGAATGAGTTGTGCTGCAGCGTCGAGACTAAATACGGTGCCGCCGATAGTAAAGTTCAATGGTTGGATTTTCGACACAGAGCTTGCAGGGACGGTCATGAGGCCCGTGCTCTCATCAATCCTGGCACCAGGGATGGCACGCATGTAGGACTCGAAGAAGTTATCAGCGAGGAGGACCACTAGAAATGTGTCAGAAAGTATGCATGCGGATGGGTGGTAAAGCCTTACGAGTGGTGCCAGTATCGACGATTCCGGCGGTTGACGTTGGGATTACGGTCGTTGTGGAGCCGTACGTCGCGTCGGTGACATTGACACCCCAGTAGTACCCAGCAGGGTAAGTTGCGGTGACCGGCGTATAAGTTATTTCGCCGATGTACTGGATAATTCAGAACCATTATTTGGGACATACTTTTTGGGCTCACCAAAGACGAATCGATGCCTCCATAAGTGAGGGCTCCATCTGCGCGCAAGTTAGATCACCTTCAATTATTTTACACAACCTCTCTCACTAGTGTCATTGTAACTCGTTGCAGGTGCGAAAGAGACGCCTAATATTTCCTCTGTGATCAAACCCTGCGAGAGGGCGTTGTTCATAACAGTGGGAATCAGCTCGTCGGTACTTGGTGAGAGTGTGCCCTCAGTCAGAATGACGGGGCCCACTCCGACAATGCCGTCGACGCCCTCGAAGTCGGCATAGGAAAGAGCATCACCAATGGACTGGTTGGTGATGGCAAAACCTGGAGCAAGCGTCACCTGGTCGTAATCTGAAGGACGAATTTTCAGATGTTACTATTCCTAAGCAGCTCAAAGACCTACACTCCAAGCCAGAAAAGTAACCACTACCGTACGTGACGTTGACGTCTTCACCAGTGAATATACTGGTCGAGGTCCGGACATATGGTATCCCAGTTCTTGAGACAAAATGAGATTTGGCCTGAGGGTATAATGAATCAAGTCTTACCCGACAAAAGTATTGGAGCTACCAGTGTCGACAACTAAATTGTAGTACGTCGGAGGGCTGCCAACGCCAACACTGGTTGTGTACTGGACATATGCGAGGTTAGATGCAGGGACGGTTGTGGAACCACCAGAAGCGAAACTCTTAAGAAATGCAGCACGTGCACGATCAGCGTCAGGCAGTCCCGCAAGGTATGAGTTAGTTGGCGCAAGCTTCGTCAGGGGGATCCTAAAGAAACTTGAAGCCGATACAGAGGTCATGGTGACGAGGAGAACTGCGCGAAGCAGGGCAGAGAATGACTGCATGTTGAACAAAAGAGCGGGAACCTTGTCAATGCACCATGAATGACCCCAAGAGGCTTATATGGGTCGGGGCGGCCACAGTACTGACAGGACTCGCCTGGAGAAACACATGGAAGTTAAAAGCGTCCATATGAATCGATGCAAATAAATTAGAAGACATGTGACACTTTTGCAGCATGTTCAGATTTGGCAGCTGAAGCGCTGACATTTGAACCAAGTAACCATAGGTAAGCACGCGATCAACAATTCATGAGCAGTAATAGTGCAAGATTGCTCAGCTCCGTAGAATAGTAACATAGTCGGGCCTGTGGTGCCATTCCCACCCATCAAATCACACTCGTTCTCCTGTGCAAGAAATACCAGGTGCCGTATGGCTCCAAGTTAAACAATAGGCACACGAATAGCGTGGCAATAGTCTGAGAATCGGAGACCAATCAGGACCGCTTAGCCACGGAAGTCTAGCAGCACGGTAGTAGACGTACAAAAGTCTCCTGCAATGAGCCCTCCTAGACATTTCTGGGTCGCTGTGCCCCTGTGCGCATGCGACAAGTAAGTGACAACGTAGTACAACTCCTGCTCGGCCTGATTGGGCGACGATAGGCGAATGTGCCAAACTTGAACCAAGCAAAACCCTTGTGGTACTCACGAGTTACCAAGATCTCACGGCCAATAAATTTAGATTCGAATTTCGAACTCACACCGCGACTCGGAGCAACGTTGCTTCCGAGGTATCCTCTCCAAGTTGCGCTGCCTGTAGGCCAGTATGGGGGAGGAGTACTTTAAACTCACGTCAAGAGGCTCACGGCGGACAGTTCGGCGATATGCATACCACCGTCAATCCTCCGTTTCCCGCACCGCTCGAGTCGTATGATTATATGATATCAGAGTTTTGGCGGAGCATCTTCCAGTTCGTCCATGACTAGTAGTACTACTAGATTTTCGAGAAACCAGGCGCTCCAGGTTCTTGCATTGACATGCAAGCCATTTACTGGCCATGCACTGGAGCCTCAGGCTGGACCTTTTGTGGTGAGACCTTAATCAGATATCTCCCACAAAGCTTGTGGAAAGAGGATAACCGAAACCCGGTAAGTTACACGCTGGCTTATGTTCGTATTCATTGTTACAGGACTTTCAAAGAGCCATGACTCTGATGTGACTGCCGGTACCGAACTTTGGCATATCATTAGATTCCTTCTCTCTCCCTTCTTTTCCCAATCCGATGTCTCTTACCTGGCATGGGGCTAGCAATAAAACATCTCAATATATCTGATTGCTACCCCGAAATTGTTGACACTCGATATCAATCCTAACCGTCAATCCATCCGGACAGTCCATCTCTCTTGTCACGTATCCTGATGTAGTGCCCTTTCATATCTGATTTCGTGTGTGTTTTCTCTGACGCTCTTAAGTTCTTTTCGGGACCTTCTTTTATCACTCGCTATTATTTTCCGTCACTCATGGAATGGATTCTGCACGGGCCCGCAGTGCCGACTTTGATTTCCTATTTGTCCAACACTTGTACGAATAGCACGGCGGAGCGGGTGCTGATCTACATCATTGAGCAGTCAGCTGATCAACACTCCGATTGGTGCTGCTACAACTTTCATTCGCTCTTTGCCTTCCATAATCTTCGCAAGCTGGAGATCTTCATCATGCCAAGATGTAGTGTGCAGTCCGACGACACCCATTTGCAGATGGTCAAGGCGTGGTCCCTACTGGAAGGATCATTAATCTTTCATTGTTCAAGACATTGTATCGCCTCAAATGCCTTCGCCTGACTGCATCATTGCTCATGTCTAGTCTGATATCGCGTTGCCACACACTGGGTTTGCTGTGATGGACATGACATGTGTTCCCTGACGTTCTCCACCAAGGATTTTCACACAATGCACCGAGTGTGGCACACTTCAGCAGCTCAAGGGTTGGTCATCCCACAAAGATCGTCGGTTTCATTTTGGTCGTCGCACCTAATTTGGTAGAAATCGATGCATAGGAGATTAGAATCGATACTCCAGCGGTCGATCTTTTCTCCACGAAAAAAAAGGGAATGTAGATGTCGAACGTCCACTTGACTACTACAGAGTTGTACAACCACCACAGGAAAACGGAAGTGGGGAAGCAGCTGGTAGTGGCATTGGTGAGGATGAAGGGATTCCGAGGAAGATCGCGGAAGTGATGGTGAATTTGTCTGACCAGCTTTTATCAACCTTATCGAGGAAGAATTATCCGGAACATTCGCAGACGAGTACTCGATTTTCTTTGCGATGATTCGTTCTACTTTTTGTTCCTCGCCAGAGTAACTCAAAGTATCATTTGCGGCGAAACCATCTCTTTCAATTTATAGACTTGCCATCGTTCTTCCGATCGTTTTTTGTTACAACATACATTCACTCGAACTCTAGTCTGTAACTTCCATCAATCTTTCGCACCCCCGTCAATCTCATTGTAAGTATGATTGCGATTCTCTGTCAAGCACGTATTTACTTGTGCTACAGCATTTTAGTCGGTTTGAAACCATGTTTAGTCGTACTGAAATCCGTCATCAAGTTACTTGGTTCTTGCCCAACACCTGTCGTGGCAATAGTGCGCCTAAAGACTGATGCGTCAATTGGTTCGTTGGTTGTGCTTGACATATCTGGACGAAGTTCCAGGCGAAGGTAACAGTGACACCTAGAATCATAAGCTGGGTTCGACTTGATCAATTAAAGGCGCAATCTTGATGCCTCCAAATCTAAATACATTGTGTTACAAGTACCCAATACTCCTTCTCCCCTGCGATTGCCATCACTGGGGGTGAGGTGAGACAATTTCTAAGCTACTTCAGGCCACTCCCGTGCAATGATATTCTGTCGCTCTTCTTCCGTCTTCGCGAAGATGATCAGCTTTATCACACCTTGCGCCTCCTCGAAACTCTGGAATAACCGGTGTTTGATCTTGTTTATGATGCAGTATTCCATCAATTCGTTCTCTCCATTCGGCTTGAACTTGACGAATAGACAAGTCGCTCCCCGCGCTGCGGATAAGTCTGAGACGCCATCACCAAAGAAGAATACGATCGGGGCAGGATCCATATCCCTGTATGGCGCAATCGCCTTCGACTTGTCATGTCCGAAACCGCTAATTTATCATCCTCAGTCAAACGCGCAAACAGTGATGCTGATATATTACCTCTCAGGATGACGGTATTGGATGTCCCAGCTCCCATCATCGTAGGTTTTCACCTCATTCGATATTATTTGAATGCCGTCAAGGCTAGCCAGGTACTTATTAAGGACTGCGCGGATGATGGGTTCCATACCACTGCGGAGGAATGAATGCACAGCACGGTGAAACCATAAGTTTTTTGTACCTGGACACAATTACCACGGGTATATCATTCATTTCGCAAAATTCGTAGAAGCCCTTGAACGTATCATCGACTTTGATATCTGAAACAGACCACATCAGTAGCTGCACACAAACGCCCAGTGTAATGCGCAAACAAAACTTACTTTCTGCGACAGCATTTTTACAAAACTCAAATGTATGCGTCACCTTTCCTTCCTTCTTGCCATTCGCAGTGACGCTCAGGATCATCTTCCGGAAAGCATCCCTAAATGGCGAAATCAATTCGGCAGCTCCGTTTATGCAGATTTTTCGCACCGGAAGTTATCTTCGCCTTTACGTATACGCTGATTGAGCAGAACGCGATCTGAGCGCCCCATCCCATAGGTGTCCGTCACAACTGAATCGTAATACTTTGATTAGAGCAAGGCACATATTAAGTTCTCGACGCGACAAACAATCATTGGAGTCCTGCGTGGTGATCGTGCCATCCCTGGTTGAGCACAGCGAGCCTCAGTCAGTGTTATCGTCGCTTAGATCTAGATCTAGCGTTTACGCACCAATCGCTGAGCACGATAAATTTCTTGCCGTGGTAGATGACTGGTTCACTAAGAGGTGATTCCTGCGACATTGCAGAATAAGTAGGTGGGGCTGTCTAGTATGTTCGGATATCTATTGTCTAGCAGGATATGGAAGGTATGAGTCAAAAGATAGTAAAGCTGAATCCGTGAGATATGGAAATGGCTTAGTGTTTCAGTGGTGGCGCAGGTCCAGGGTTGCACGTGCACGTGTGCACTGTGCACGTTGGTCATTGGAACTCCAGATCTTATCAGATCTTTGATCAAAGCAAACTTCAAAGTTCACAATATTCTGTTGGCAATATTAATAATGCAGTAAATTACTTCAATACCAATAAAGCTTCTATACGGACATAAGGATACTGTCGCAATAAAGTAAATGGAAAAAACTAAGGACACAAATTTTGAAAGAAATACACAATTAAGCTGCACGGTTTCCACCCTCCACAGGAGGCTGGATCTATACCAGGCGGTGGCCTATGATTTTAGAATAAAGGTGTGCGCGCATCTATCGCATCTACCAGTCGATCTCGGAAGGGAAGAATTTGGCAATGAGGTCTTGGTAGTATGGGCGAAGCTTTTCGATATTGCAAGGCTCGTCACTCTTCGAGTAGAGATCATAAGGGTTGAAGGCGCGAGCGGCCTCAAGGGCTGCATGATCTTTCTCGTTCATGAGGTGGGTGTAAGCTCCTTCACGGTGCCATCTGGATAGACATTGTAAAAATTCGGTGGGCGATGCCGAGTGGGAGAGGCTTACGGATAAAAGCTGTGATATCTTATCATAGCAAGGCCTTCTGCAGGGAGGGAGCTCTGATCCTTAACGACATTGTAGAGATACTGTGAGAAGTTTGATAAGCACAGAAGAATACGATACGTCGACAGAAATATACCTCATCATGACCCCAAGACACCATAACATTATCAAGGCCGCAATTAGGCTCATAAATTCCATACTTGGTAGAATAAACGGCGTCGTGGAAGTCTGGGTTGCCGGCGAAGGTACCAGGGTATATGTTTTTATCGGAGAAAGCACAGCCGACGACGAAGGTATCCTTGCGTCAAGAAGCGTATCAGTATGCAGGTCGTTATGAGTACCAGGTAAAGGAACTTACACCGACAACGTCCCACTGGCCTTCGCTGCCAAATATGTACAACAGTTTACCAAGGTCGTGGATCAAACCGGTAACCTGCATCCATTCAGGCTTGCCATCGTGTCGGATGGCCTCGGCAGTCTGGAGCAAATGCTCGATTTGCGAAAGCTCAGTCTAAATATGTATTACAAGTCAGCAAAGGAAAGTCGCAAGCCAACAAATTACTGACGTCTGGATCCGAGTCGTCCACAAGCGTGTTGAGCATTTCCATAGCTCGCCAGATACCCATGCGAGCACGTTTCCGGCTCTTGAATTCCGTGCGGGCCTTGATGTTGAAAGCTACGGTTTGTTTTTCTATGTGACAGCGTCAGTACCACGTTGTGAATTAGTAGATTGAATGGATAGACAAACCATGTTGCTCTTTGTAAAAATTCTTGACACGATCGCAGGCCGTCTCATACTGCCGGAAGGTCGTCTTGTCTTTGGTAGAATCGAACTCAGACTGAGAGTCCCAGATTTGGACCTTTAAAGCATTTACTGCAGAGAGACGGTAAGTCACATAACGAAGGTGGTGGGGCAGCAAGTACACACCTTCATCTACTGCGTCAGAAATAGCGTCGAGCTCATGTCCGGCATGGGTGTTAACAACAACAGCAGGCATGTTTAGAGGTAGTAGCGGAATGAGGATTTTGGGAGAGGAGCAGGAGGGTTATTGGGAATGAGAGTCAAGGCAGGCTGCCTTATATACGAATCCGACCATCGCGAGCACCAACAGAACCTGAAACTGCCCTGCACCGATTCACCTACGCAGTAGCGTGTGTTTCCGAAATTGATGACGATAATTTGAAAGATTGACAACTTCCCTATTAGTATGCGGGTCCCTTATTTCAAATTAGCGCCGCGGAGCCTTTTCGTAATCCACGCCGACCACGTGTCTCTTGCGTGGCTCCGATACTTTCTCGGAGCTAGCGGAACTTGGTCTGGCCGACAACCGTAGCAGACCACAAGTATTGCGTAGTTGGTGACCAGGTCATACATCGTGCTCAACGTTAACTAGTACTGTGATACTGCTGTCGTCGGCCGACATCTAGTAACACGTTCTGACTCGCCGTCAAGGTTTGCACAGGATCTGGATTTACTTGGCCTAGTAACTTGTTCTAACTCTCGTTCGCTTCCGTGATTCAATATTGAATCAACGGCAACCTCATCTCACTCGCCGCTGGTGTGACAAAACATTCCGGACCATCGCGCAAGAACAAAGACACCGACAGCTGAATTTTTTCTCTTGGTGCAGCCCTTACTCAGGTTCACATAATTCCTGAGCCCATCGGAACATAACAACTTGGCGTTGCGCAAAGCACGGTAAAAGTCGGACAGACCTATGCGCTTATGGCAGAACCTAAGTCAAGTTGCCGTCGGTGCACGTATCAGATAGCTCCCGACAATGAATTGTTGTTCAGCTTTTCCCAGCTCTCACGAATCACTTAAGCTTGGCCATCCTACTAGGCTACTACCTACTTAGGTATCCTTCGAGATTTTATTTTGCTGGCTGGTGTGAATTGAGAAAATCTCTCAACCTATTTGCGTCGACATAGAAATCTGCTCTAATGAACATGTGATAGGTCTTCCTGCCACCCATGACTCGTCAGGCCAACCGTTGCCCCACGGACTTCGATATATTTATGGTCACTCAGGCCTGCACGATCATCCCAGTATAGGTGATGGGTCAAGTTTACGAGCTGAGCACCTCTCCTTCAGGTCATACTTAATGATGGTCGTTTTCTTTGTGCTGGCACTTGCGCAATCACAGTATATAAATCACTCATTGTCCTGAGACAAGTGATGAGCTGTCATCTCTACCCCGCGGACGATTGGCCATAGCCTCAAGGAGCACATTCTGTCTTGCAGAGTGGCAGCACGCGTGTACGCTTAGCCACCGCTAAAACCCTTGCTCCGATCCGAAAATTCTACCACGCACTGCCAGACTAGATGGTCTACCGGTTTGCACCCTCATACGAATGGAGGCACTTGCTCACTCCTGATTCGTGTCATTTCATTGTACGGTCACATTGCATATGTTTCATGTGTTCACCAGATCATCAGCCAATCAACGGTGTGAAAATGCATTCATGAAATACATGCAGCTCTACTGATGCAGATGGTTTCATGTCTGCCTTAGATGTTACAGTCGTGCACTCCAATTTACTCAATCATATACATCAATGAATGACTGCGCCTATTGCTCACTTTGTTGCAGTGGGCCAATTATCGAAGCCGAGGTCAATACCTGGATAGCACAATTCAGTACCAACCCTTCGCAGCTATTATTAACACTCACCCCAGGGAGGCATGATGAAACGCTTCTGCTTGCCACCCGCAGCTACACCGTCAAGGACTTTGATGTCCTCTGGTGTCAGCACACTGTATGCCTCTAGCGCACCGGTCAAGTTAGACTCGATACGGGATGGTGTCACTGATTTGGGAAGGACAATGATATCCTTCGCCACTACGATGAGACACATCAACTACAATTCTTTTGCATAGAGCGAATGACAAGTATTAACGCACACAGGTAGCCTAGAAGGACATCGGACGTGCTCTTGAGGCCATGCTTCTTTGCGATCTCTGTGGCAGACTCATCGGTCAACAGTGGAGAATTGGTTGAACCAAGGGGCGAGTACGCCTGTGGAACAATCTTCTTCGACTTCAAGTAATCAAGAAGTTCGAGCTGCGGATTGTACAGATGAATTTCAAGCTACGTGTTTCAATGGTCAGTTTTGAATGGTGACATTATGTCCAACACACCTGATTGACAGCCGGTATGATCTCAGCTGTGGGTAAAATCTTCTCGAGTACCGTCTGGGAGAAGTTTGATGCGCCGATTGCCTTGACTTTACCCTTCTTTACCATGGCCTCCATACCCTTCCATGTATCCCTGATGTCCCAGGATTCATCAATGTCACGATTTCCGTTCGGGCGCATCGGCATTACAGGGTGACTTCCGTTCGGGTTCATCGCGATAGGCCAGTGCACAAGGTAAACTGATAATTAATAACTGTCAGTGTCAATCAGACAAGGCCAGAGAAATGCAGATCCCACGATCAAGATATGTTGTTCCCAAGTTTGCAAGTGTCTGGTCAAGGCATTGCTCAACACGTTTATGGTATGTGCCCCAAAGCTTGCTGGTGATCTATCAATACCCAGGTGAACAGGGTAACGAATCCGTGAGATGTGTCATACGCACAAACACTTCCTCCCGCGGAACGCCCGATGCACGCAGGCCCTCTCCGACTTCCTTTTCGTTCCCGTACGCCCTTTAGTGTGAAGCGTTCATTATGATTATTTCATGGTCAATCAAGATTTTCCTACCAAGCACAGTCGATGTGTCTGTAGCCTGCCTTCAGCGCATGTTCGACAGCGCGGGCAACTTCATTGGGTTTCGATTGCCATGTTCCTGTTCCGTTTGTCAGTAAGTCGTCAACCCTGAACTGAGTTCGTGAGCTCACCCAGCCCGATGGCAGGGATGATCTGGCCGTTATTAAGGGTGGTGGAATGAGATGCCATAGGTAACAAAAGACAGTTTGAGGTTAACGACACGCTGTTATCTCCTTGTGCTGACTATGACTATGACCTGCACGAGATCATCGTTGACATCGTGAGATTCCATCGGAATCAGCCTCAAGCCACAGACAATATTTGTTCACGCGGTGCCCAGAGATAACGGATCTACGTGGTTTTGGAAAATGTTCTGCCAGGTCTCGGGCGCCACGAGTAAATGTGATATAGTACTCTGCAATGTGCATGGTGCGGTCGATGATCCAAGCGTTAGTTCCGGCCAAGTTCCGGCTGCTGCCAGCTGCAGTGCGGACGGTCCGGCCGGTGCGACTCCACGTACGTATGTACTATTAAATATTAGAGGTTGGCGTGTGACAAGTTCAGACTCTTTTGCTTCTAGCCGTTGTTACCTCATGATAGTCCCATGACTCAATCATCTACTATAGTAGCGCCAGGGTCTGGAACTTTGTCTAGTCTTTTCATTTCTGGGTACTTCCATTTCACTCTTTCTGACTCGATTTTCTGATACCCGCAATCAGCGACGGTGCGGTCAACTCGAGCGGCTAGGCCTAAACTTAGCCTTCTCCATGATCGTGACCGAAGATCAATGGTGCCACATATCCTCGATATGTTATTCGCGCGATCATTTTCAATTACTGCCCCAGCTTTCGGCGAGGCTTCGGGCTTAGCTTAAAGCTTGAGCGTTCGTCTCGTGAGTAGTAATGACCCTACATGCCTGCCTAGCTCTGCCTAGCGACCAACTCAAGTTTGTTATCGATGGAGAATCATCGGAGATGCATGTGCGAACTTGAACTTCGCGAAGATTTAGCTGAGTACGAATGATCATTTGATATTGCTCAACTTCTTAATACCCTGCTTGCAAAGTCTCTTGCCATCGATAAGCATTATGAACTCAACCGAGAATTCAGCGGTCCGAGAACGCTCTCAATGACCGAGTCACCCCAATTTACATAAAGCTTCCTTCTGTATTGGGCGAGCAAGCGCCGCCCTATACTAGTAGTCTTAGATAGCAGCCTCGTGCCGTATCATTGATGATCGATCTCCTCAGTGGTTGCGCCTCGAGGTGATTATCCTGGCCATCTCCACTTTCGGAAGCCGACCTGTCTGCCCTAGACGGACCATTAAAAAACTGCAGATCACTTGGATCCCACTCACGCTACCATCCGCACTATGGATTTCGAGGAGTTTGAAGTTGATATCGAGCGAGCCATCGAGGACTCCGATCTATCAAAATCATGTACTATTACAGAAGCTTTGGACTGGGTCGATTCAACGTGGTATGCGCCTGAAAGTAGGAATGGTCGCTGGATGGACCTAATCGGCGACTATGCCGGTGCAGAACCTTTCGTTATAGATGGTACTCGTTTGACTTGTCAGTCGTCTAACCTTCAGGTTGATGCTGATCTACATCCCAGGTCATTCTTTACTCCAAGTCGTGCTTGATGATCGTCTGCTCGCACTAGCGAAGGATGACGGTATGTCATTGTGGTCTAGTGCAGATAGTTTTTATCTGACATGACTCGGGCGATGGCACTGTTGAAGATCCATCTTTTCAAATCATTCATGCGATCTATTTACTAGAACAGATACTACAGAACTTTCGAAATCGATCAGCGAACTTCGATATCGTTTTCTTTGATGGTGAGGCCGCTTCCCCATCTCACCATCTCAGTCTATCTTACTGATATGTCTTAGTCAACCGACACCTAGTGCTGCGAGCGGGGGAGTCGGAATTTATTGTTGCATCTCGAGCCCTAGCCAGAAGACTCCTATATAAGCACCTCCAGTCGCTGGATTCGGTGAATACCTTCACCTTTACGAGTCTCTCCGACAAAAATTGGCTCGATTATCGTGTTCAAGTGAAGGTAGAACTTCGTCTCACAAAACATGATAATTTCTTCTCACTCCCATATAGCCAATGTTTGTCATGGTCAATGATGGTGGTACACTGAAGGAAGGAGTCAGACAATTCGCTGCCCATCAAATACTCACTCAACGATTATTTATCTTCGATTTACTGGCTAGTGGCTTGGCAATGGCGCCGCTCCAGGGTGCTGATTTCAAGGACACTAAGGTCGCACCGCGTCTTCCTCCCTGTTCTATTTTCTTACCTGATTGTTGGTCATGCTATAGATCTTAACTTTCGTTTTTGAATCAAAGCTTCGCTCAAGCCATGGAGGGCATTTTCCCAATGCTGTTTTATCCGCGGGCGTCGCTGCCAGGGACATTCTTGCCAGTCATGAACAAGGGCCATTCGATCAAGTCCGCAGCTGCGTTCTCGGTGAAGCATCAGTATCCCCATCTGTCTTCGACCTCCGTGCGGCCTTGAAGGATGTTGGATTGTCATATCTTTCAGTATTCAAGAGCGACACTCAGTCATTGCTACTTGCTGTTTTTATCATCCACGCCCTTCTTCTCAAGAATGTCTCCGTCCAGGATCGAGCGCGGCGCCTGCCGTCAATGAAACCTGACCTTTCCACTTCATTGACGGAATCCTTTCTACCTCATATCCTTCGAGCGACAGAAGCAGTCATCGTAGCAAACGATGCATCCCTCGACATTGATATTCGTGTATTCCTTTGTATCTTGCGCTATCTTTCCGAGCATCCAGCTCAGTCGTTGACCGAGGTCCTGGGACCGACTGTGGTCAAAGATGCAGAAGATATCTTTTTTGAGTTGAAGCTCCCGCACCTTGACTTTTCGCATTTGAGCGTATCTTTCCTTCCTGATGACTTGTATGAGATACCAATTCCCCTCAAGCTCCTTCCGTTCTCCAACCGAGTGTTCGACGAGGAGCTTTCTGCCGTCCGCATTGTTACGGAGGGTATTACGGAGGGTGTCACACGCCCCAATCCCGTAGAGCCTGTTGCTTCTAGTGGAGAAGAGTCTGACGAGTGGGATGATAGCAGCACTAGTGACGAGTCCGATGTTGTCCTCCCACCCGCTCGTTCTTCTCAAAATAAAACATCAAAAGAGGATACACACTTTTTTGACACGCAGCATTGGCACAACCATAAAAAATCCATTCTACCCCAGCACCTCGGAGGAGAGGCTACAGCACCGATGACTGAATGGCAGCGTAATCGGAAGCTTCGTTCGGACCAGCGCTTCATGAAGAACTTGCATGACCAAGCCAGCACCCTTACAGGGGCGTTAGGAGCTGTCCTCGAACAAGTGAAAATACCATCTGCAGCGTCCCTTGCGAATCAGCGTAGCGTGAAGGTCGGTACTCAGGCATATTAACTCTTACTTCTCTCGCTCATCATAGACCCCCAGCCAAAAGTTGTTCACGTTCGTTCGTCAGGCAAAAGTACCAGCAAGCCATCAAAAGCCGATGCCATCCGCGAACAGAATATTGCCAAAAAGGAATCTAAACAAGCATCTGATTCTGCAGCATGGATCGCGTCCCGCGTTCAAGAGATGGAAAGCCTGGATGGCGCTAGTCTCGAAAAGTGCCTGCAAGTTCTTACCCGCAATCCGCGAACTAGGGAGGCATCCGTAGGTGCGGAACTTCGAGTCTATCGTATGCACCGTCTGCTTCGAGAGTGGATCCAGTCCGCTAATCCAGACTCCTCGGCGACTCGTGACAAATATTCCCTGTCGATCATGCGTCTCGTCAAGGAAGTTTGGGAGATCGGCTTTAGCACAAAAGAAATGGCTAACGCAATCACAAGCGTGTTGATTACCCTCGGCTTCAGCGACTACATTGATAGCTTCGTGGTCTCAGGTTCGGCTGATGACAGGCCGCTAACTTTTCGCTTCGTCAAGGTGGTCAAGTCCAAAACCAAGACCGCGGTCTATGACTTTATGCGAATCCAAGAGCACCCTATTATTTGGCAACTCCGGCTATTTGGGGAATTCATGGATAGAAGTATGGACAGTCAGGCTGACACAAGAGTGACCTTCAAGCCAGATGCGTGGCAACGCGAGGTGCTTGACGCTGTCGACCAAAATATGTCTCTTCTCGTCGTAGGTTAGTGATGCTTTGTTTCGGAGGTAGAACAACCACTCAGTTATTTATAGCTCCTACCAGCGCGGGGAAGACCTTCATCTCGTATTACGCTATGGAGAAGATTCTCCGAGGGACTGATGACGGGATACTCGTTTATATTGCACCGACAAAAGCCCTTGTCGCTCAGGTTGCAGCCGAGATTTATGCTAGGTTTAGCAAGGATCTCAACGGTCGTGAGTACTCATGTACTCATATCCAACAAGTGACCATCTCTGATTCAATTACAGGGAGCTGTTGGGCCATTCATTCCCGCGACTACCGAGTCCACGATCCGCAGAACTGCCAAATCCTTGTCACCGTCCCTGACATACTGGCGATCATGCTCTTATCTCCTCCACTCGCCAAGATGTGGACCCCCCGACTCAAATAGTATGAATGTCAGTTTGATGCATATATATTTCCCTCTCACGTCCTACTGCAGTGTCGTCCTTGACGAGATTCACACAATCGGCCAGCAGGAGGGCGGAGCTGTTTGGGAACAGATTCTGCTTCTGTGTCCCTGTCCTGTCATGTACGTCACTTTTACATTCAACTGTTGATGTATTAATTCCCGCATGGATAGAGGTCTGTCCGCCACAGTTGGAGCACCAGAAAAGTTCAACGAATGGCTCGAGAGCGTTCAGAAAGCGGGTGGGTTCCAGCACAAGTTCGTGCATTATCCCCATCGATATTCGCACTTGAGAAAGTTCTACTACAACATCCACGAGAAGCCGAAAGATGCCTTCCAAGGCCTTTCAACGTACAAGACTACAGAACGGATGCGATTTCTGCATCCGCTGTCCATTCTTTCGTCCAGTGCACGTTCTCTCCCCTCCGATCTTGCATTGGAAGCAGTGGATACATTGCATTTATATCGTGCTCTAAGTACGTGCAAAGCCCTCCAGCCCTCCATTCTCGCTGCCCTCGATCCTGCGGTATTCTTTTCGTCTAGCAAACTGCTTCAGCAGAAGGACGTAATCCAATACGAAGAGGCTCTAAAACAGCACCTCATCCCGTTGTTATCCTCCTTCGATTCGCAAGACTCCGGGACGCCGTTGTCGCGCGTCATTATCCAGCTCCAAGATGATGATTTATCTCGTATCCCAGACAGAGTGTTGAACTCTGCACCTAGTCGTGTTGTATCTAGCGAGAATATCATTCATCTAGTTGCCGATCTTCACGCACAGGGGGACCTCGTGAGTACCCGACGCACTTTCTTTCTCTATGTTCATGTGATCCTTATTCATTTAGCCCGGTATATTCTTCTCATTCGATCGAAGCGATTGCGAATATATGGCCATAAAATTGAACAAGGTGCTCGAAAACAAGGAAGGCAGATGGCGCAAAACTAGTCCGGAATGGAAACGCAAAATGGCACAATATGAAGCATACCTTCAGAACGCAAAAGAGCGGGAACGCCAAGCTGCACGAGCATCGAAACACAAGACCGATGAAGAGGATAAGCGTGCTGACACGAGTGAATGGCAAGCATCCTTTAGACCCGATGATCCCTTGTCAGACTTCTCCTTCGCTGGTCAAGGTATTTCGTACACTCCATCGGAGCTTGAAGAGGATATTGCCGATTTTGCGAGGCGGAGACTCTTTCTACCTGAATGGGCAATGAAATGTTTAAGGCGTGGGATTGCTGTTCACCATGCTGGTATGAACAAAGGGTATCGCTCTCTGGTTGAGAGGTAAGCTTTGTTTAAAATGTAGCACCATTGTCTGACAGCGGATCAAGTCTCTTTCGCCGTGGCTTCGTGCGCGTGATTTTCGCAACGGGTAAGTGTTCCGTTACTTCTGTAGGGTTTCTAACCTTAGGCTGCATTTACAGGCACTCTTGCCTTAGGTATCAATGCCCCGACCAAAACTTCGATTTTCTGCGGCGATTCACCCTTCCTCACTGCACTCATGGTTCGTTTCCCATAATTTCACTTATTCGTCATTAATTGATGGCCCTAGTATCGTCAATGTGCGGGACGCGCTGGACGGCGAGGATATGACACACTCGGTAAAGTCGTTTTCTATGCTCTTCCCATGAGCAGGGTACAGAGACTGGTTTTCTCGAAACTGCCATCCCTCTCTGCAAGTTTCCCTGTAACATCGACTCTCGTTGTACGCCTGTTCAATCTGCTGGAAGGTTCCGATTACTCCACTGACTGCTGTCGCTGCTGTGCAACGGCTCTTCCGCCTCCCACAAATCAGCTTTGGCTCTGAGGAAGGAAGAAACCAACTTTTGCACCATCTACGTTTCTCGATCGACTACTTGCGTCGTGCTCGTCTGCTCGATGAGCAAGGGAAGCCGCTCAATCTTTTTGGAATAGCCGCACATCTGTATTACACGGAGCCCAGCAACTTGGCCCTAGTTGCTCTGCTTCGCAGCGGCGTAGTCCATCAAATTTGTGCCCAACCTAGCCTGAGGCTTGCGAAGCGTGACTTCATCCTGTTGATGGCTAACCTCTTTGGGCGGCGGTACCTGCCTTCTGCTTGCATGAAAGAGGAGTACATCATGGAGGTGGTGAAGAAGTCGCCATCAATGGTCGTACTACCACCGCTGTCTAAGACAGCTCGTGACGTGCTCATAGACCAAGAGCATGAAATTCTCCAGATTTTCACCGGATATGCCCTTACCTACGGGGCCCAGCACCAAGATGACCTTGGGCCCGATCATATCCTACCTCTTAGCAAAAGGAATATATCAGGTACTGCGGAAGATGGACCGTCGCTCATTCGCGACCATCTTCACCGTACCGCGATCCGTGTTGTCGCACGATCGCTCTTTGTGGCTAACTCGGGCCACGATGATCACTTCAACAGTGTTCGCGACCTCGCTCAAACGGCTCGACGTGGGCTGAGCCTGAACGAACACACCATCCCATCATTCGAAAGCATCACCGGGGGAACCAACCAAGAAGACGGAAAATACGCGCTGAACGCATACCTCCTTGACTTCTACATGCACGGCCAGGTGGCGGCTCTTGCCGCTGCGAATGCAGTCAGGCGGGGTGATGTTTGGTTTTTATTGCAAGACTTTGATCTCACGCTAATGACTGTGCGTGCGGTACTTGAGCAACTCCTTCAAAGGGGGTCCGTTGGCGGAAAAGGTGCGACACCAGGGAATGCAGACCTTGATGAGGATGCGGACAGTGGATATGCATCCCTTGAACCAGTCCAGTGGGAGGATGAAGAAGAGGAGGCGTCTGTGAAGCAGGGAGAATCGGCGCAGCGACCGCCAGGAGTGTCGGGTGCGGACTGGAGAGTTTTCGAAGTGGTCAACGGTGCGCTCGAAGAGTTCCATGAAAAGTTCCGGGCTATGTGGGCCTAAATGTGTGTGAGCTCATACTTCATTGCTCAAACTTGTGCATAAATCGACCATTCTGCTGCCACTGTTAGCGTACACCTATACCTCAGCGTTCAAGTTCTTTCACAAATAAATGTACAAATATACTACAGTTATCGAACTGAACACTCGTTGAACTACTACTGAGATGCTTTGATTAAGCACACCCTTGAACGTCATGAAGGTTTCCTGTCGAACATTTTTATTTATTTTATCCTTGTTTATTGTCCTGTGGGGCGGGGCCCTATGGTAGACACTACGCACAGTATTTCTCTTCAACGATACCGAACAAAGCTCGATAAAAGGATGCGTTGAATCGAGCAGCATCTCCAAACCAATGTTCTCTCCATAGCCCTGCTACCACCTTCGACATTATCTCTGAATACTCCCATCCCAAGGCTTCCCAAGACGATATTTTTACTCCCCTGCTGCTCGAATAGGAAAAGGATAATTTGTCTGTGGAGGCAACATTCACTGCTGCACTCGTGAGTCATACGGCGATACCCAATCCTTTGCATCATTTCGCATCACCACAGCCGAAGGGGTGTAGATGAATGCATATAGAAGCCGCCTTTCTTGTCGCAGCGATGGAGATTCTAGAACTACTGAGCAGCGTCTGTCATGAAAGAGGGGTAGAGTGTAGATGAACCAAACAATGGTTTCCTCTTGGGTTGCGAGACCGACCAAAAATCCTCCTCCTAGAGAAGTCGCATCTCCAGAATTTGGTATGCCCGGCACACTCATGCCCCCAGAATTCGAGTTTGGTAAAATATCATGCAGTAGTTGCATGTCACCTCGGAGAATCAGCATCTTCAGGACAGAGATTTTGCATCTATGAGCGGAGGAAGGGCAGCACTAGTCGATGGTTTAGTCGACCAGGTACTAGAAGGATGGGAGTTTGGGCGAGTGTGATCCTTCGTGAAGTTGAATGTTGTATGCCACACAACCAGAAGCCCACCAGGGCGGACAAACCCATTTTTGTGCAATACAGGGCAGCATGAAGACAACAAACGCCTTCAAGAGACGACTCTATCCCACGATTCGTTGTCTGGTTTGTGCGTCACGTGACATGACAGCGAATGTTGAATATCAAATATTATATACGCTGTCCGTAGGTGCCTGGACTGACATACTGACCCTCTCTCTACTCCGTAGAGTCGGGGAATATTACAAAGCGCGCAGCGCGCTTTGTCAGTCTCCAGCTCCGAGTTGTCGGTGCTCTCTAATCCAACAACTTCACGATACGCTTGCCTTGCCGAAGTATTTTCACCTTGTCATATGCTCACCACGCTCGTTCCGGCCTAGTCAAGTATTCGAAAACGTATATATACTGCTCATGTACACTCATATCTACAGCAAATCTTACAGTGAGATCCCCGTTCCAAGAACGATCGAAAGCTCCTCCAAAAGTCCTCATCTCTAATCCTAGTCCTATCCCTCTTCGTGTCACCTACTAACACGTCTCATTTCTATCCCATTTTGTACCGTTGTCAGCTTAAGGTCTCTAGTTACCCATGTTGTCTCATCTCATCGCCCTCCACAATGGGCAGACTGTCCCTGCTATCGGACTCGGTGAGTTCTTTAACATGGTTGAAGATGAGATGTCGGACTGAATAACGGCCCAGGAACATGGCAATCAGAACCCAATACCAGTGAAATCATTTGCGCTGTGGAACATGGGCTCAAGGTGGGCTATAGACACATTGATTGCGCTTTGTAGGAACCATTTTTTTGATTGCGAAATAAATCTGATGTCCACATTGCATGGAAGGTATTATGGGAATGAGAAGGAAATCGGTGATGGTCTGCGTATATCAGGCGTCCCGCGAGAGGAAGTGTTCGTGCGTATAACATATTTCATGGATTCGTTCGCCTGTTCACCTGGGTGTTTATAGATCACCAGCAAGCTTTGGGGTACATACCATAGGCGTGTTGAGGAATGCCTCGACCTGACACTCGCAAAATTGGGAACAACGTATCTTGACCGTAGGATCTGCATTCATCCAAGTACGAGCTCGACTTTTTTGACTGACACGAACCGTTTCATTTATTAGTTTACCTTATCCACTGGCCCATTCCGCTGAACCCGAACGGGAGTGACCCACTCGTACCGATGCTCCCCAACGGAAAATTTGACCTCGATGAATCACGGGACATCAGGGACACATGGAAGGCTATGGAGGCTATGGTAAAGAAAGGTAAAGTCAAGGCAATCGGCACGTCAAACTTCTCCGAGATGATGCTTGAGAAGATTTTGCCGACAGCTGAGATCATACCGGCTGTTAACCAGGCATGTTCGACGCAACGACGCCCGTTCCAAACTGACCATTGCAATTTATAGCTTGAGCTTCACCTGTACAATCCGCAGCTGAAGCTGTTGGACTACTTGAAGTCGAAGAAAATTGTTCCGCAAGCATACTCTCCCCTTGGTTCGACCGGCGCTCCACTGTTGACCGATGAGTCTGCCACAGAGATCGCAAAGAAGCATAACCTCAAGAGCACGTCCGATGTTCTTCTCGGCTACCTGCGTGCGTTCATGCCTGTCATTCGCCCTGCGCAAGAGAGTGGTAGCTGACGGATCTGAATGCAGTGAAAAAGGACATAGTTGTCCTTCCCAAATCAATGTCGCCATCCCGTATCGAATCTAACTTGACTGGCGCACTAGAGGCATACAATTTGCTGACGCCAGAGGATATCAAAATTCTTGACGGTGTCGCTGCGGGTGGCAAGCAGAACCGTTTTGTCATGCCTCCCTGGGGTGAGTGTTAGTAATAGCTGCGAAGGTGATTATACTGACATATACTATTTAGGTATTGACATTGGTTTCGATAATTGGCCCGCTTCGGCGACGTAAGGGGTGAGCTCAGATTCATTGGTGTACATCAAAGTAGGTAAATTGTAGGTACGATTGTAGAATCTGAGGCTCCAGATATATGAGCTGTTCGCACAATAGGATTATGTTTACTTGATACTGTAAACTTTCTCAGAATTTACCGGCCGATGCGAGTAGCATGACACCACGAGGGTGCAGGTCGGCGGACGACGTGCGCGGGTGACCTGACAGCTGAGCCAAGATAAAAATGTCAAGTTCGCAACCAGGAATCGTAGTTCCCGAGCCATATATTCGATCCGCTACTCTGAATTCGTCCGTGTTTGCTTCAAATACGCACAAGCTTCCAGTGCGTATCATCAATAACTAACACCAGTCGCGAGGAGTCACGTATTTGGATGCAGCGCTAGATAGTACCACATCCTTCGTTAGAATACATGTGTCGCGCGCGGCGCTCTTAAACTCTACTGCAATGATTTTACAAGGACTATGACAAAAGACGTGTATGTCAGTAATAATGCATGTGAATTCTATATCCTAAAAATTATATGGCTCCCGCCGTCTGATGCACTTTGGTTGCGGTCTCTTCCATTCCCCTTTGTTTGGGTCTGGCCATAAGGAAGCACTGTTCCGCGGGAATTGATGTGGTCCGCCAGGAGTCGGGAAAAACCCATAGGGCCAAGTAGGCAAGTAGCACATCTCCTACACGACGAGGTCAGTCATTTCGTAAACAACTTGACTTGATTACCTCAAAACCACAGGCCGGTCGGCACTTCACCCACACACTCCAGTCCAACCAGGAGATCAACCGTGTCAAATCCTCCTTCCATTCGTCCATGAGGGTATGTATGTGATCGGCTTCAGGGAGTTGTTCCGGAGGATAAAGGGGGTCGACTCCAATAATCATTCCAGAAGCCCACATCTTCGTGGCGACGCGGCATATTTCATGCGTAGTTTCCCGCACCGCCTGCAGAAGCAGACGTTCAGAGGGCATCAATGTCGTCCCCCGAGCTACTATGGAGGCCGTGTGTGATGTAGCACACTCCCGAAAAACTGGCGCAGCCCACAGATTTGTCGTGTTGGCAGTGACAGAGGTATTGGGAGGTAGAGCTGAAAACACAGTGTAGGGCAAAAGTACGGTGCGCAGTCGTCTCTGAATTTGTTGTGCATGATCAAAGATCGACCTATCGTCTAGCGTCATGTTCAACAGGTACTGCACAAAATCCAGGCGGCTGGCATATCGATCAACCACCACCCGCAAGACCGTTTTCCAGTCAATGCCGCTGGCTGTAACGGGTGGTCGTACTAACGCTTGATCTAGCCTGTGTTGAACACGTTCTATATCCTCCGATGATATTCCTCCCACCCGATGATCCCACCGCTCCAAGCCTACACGGCGCGGCACCAAGGAAGGAACAAGAGCGGTGTCGTAGAAAGAGACGAGCCCAGAAAAATCAAGGATAATTCGGGTCTCTCCTGGATAATTTTCGCGCCATGAAGCAGAATGCAATATATCAAAAATATGATGCACTGATGTCCGAGAATAAATCAGACCTACGTCAAAACATGGACATGGTTGCTCACCGGTAGTGGGGTCATCTGGCGAGCCCCTGACGATGCGAGTGCTCTCGATATTCAAAAACGAAACGACCTCCATGTGAGAGGTAAAGTCACAAATCATGATTTCACTATGACCGTCGTCAAAAACATATCCTCAATGAACTGTGTATGGGCCCGCACAAATTCACTTCCATTCTATAACTCGCAGATCAGCGTAAGGCATTGACACATCTCAAAATCTAACGAACCTCACAAAGCCATTCAAGCCATACTTTTGACCCCATTTACACAGATCCTTGATGCGCTGCTTTTCATTCCACACCCACTCGGGTTTCATTTTCGACCATGCCACGAGATCTTGAGTGTCCATGGTGCCCTCGAGGAGGTTCGCAGCGCTGCTTCCGTCAAAATAGAGCACTTTCATCGGCCGAGTGACTGCAAGGGTGAGGTGCCAGCACCCTGTTTCAATTGGCCCTTTGGAGAACATTAAGGAGAGATCTGGCTCTATGGCCACCCAATCTAAAGCAGTCGGCATACGGGGACCGGCGGCTCCATGGTAGAGGAGAGTGCCCACGGGAACAGTCCCTGGGACTATTGTATGACCTGCAGAACGTAAATGATCAGTTGTGACACCTGCGTGGCGTTCGGTATTTTTAGATACCAATACGATAATGCGTGTTCGCCCAGTGTTGAAGCAGGGAATTGGCAGTTTCGAACACCAGATGTCCTGTCGCGTTCATCGCGGGCGCTTTATGAAGATCCCATTGTCCAAGATCATCTTCGACCGGGTAAAAGGATGGAGGCACATGACTCAACAGAGGTGTCTGTGCAGTCAAAACCCGTTCAAAGGCAAGGAAAAGCCAAACAGTTACGGCTTTCCTTGCAGCCAGCATCATGTTTGACAAAGGGTCAAGGTGTACTGGACCACAGCGACGTCTGGTTGAAATGCACCGTTATGTGGGACGGTGGAGGAAAATTACCATTAATGCGGTGGCCCGGCCACAACGTCCTTTTCCTGCTTGGGCGCATCCCGACTTCAAGGAGCGAGGTATGCCCGTGTCATGTGAGCTTTATAGTTGGTTCCGTTTTTGGTACATAAACAAATTTGCACTGAAACCGCCTGAATGAATTTTTTTTTTGGACAAGCGATATATATTTGTAGCAACCGAGTAAATCTAGTTCTACAGATATGCGCTATAGCGGAGCTTAGAGCTTCGGTCCGAGGAAAAATGCACTTACGCACTCCCGTTATGCGGGGTGTGTGGGACTCTTGACTACCTGGTGGCCTCGTTCGGAGAGGGCCTGGGTTGTTGGATACCCACTAAAACCTCGAGGGCAATGGCCCAGTTTTTGGGTAGGGGGTCTGTGGACGTGATTATGTCAGTCCAGGTTGATGTGACCAGGTTTTGGAAGGATATGGTGCGGTTAATTTTTCTTGCTGTAAGTCTGTCTATTTGTAATCTTTTGTTGATTATTGATGTCCATCTCTTTGCGGTTGTTTGTGGGGAACAGTCAGTGCCGTTTATCGTTCTCTCGCATCTCATGACCCAAATGAGGTACGCTGATTCGGATATAAGTATTTTTAGTAGACGCGATGCTCCTTTCTGTGATTGTTGGTTTGGGCGGTTTTCAGGTATGTCGTTTTGTTGTTCGTTGTACTGTTGTGGGTGTGTAAGGCTTATGTCACCGCACCCTAGGACTGTTCCAAGGTTTATTCGTGGCCAGGCTCCGTATTTCGTGGGCCAGGTGTTTTTGGCCAGGGACCAGATCAGGGAGTTTGTGTTGTGAGGGCAATCTATCAGTATGTGTTCCATGGATTCATTGTCTGCGTTACAGTATGTGCATCTCGCGCGTTGTTCATATGTGGGTATGTTATTCCAGTATTCGCCTATTCTATGCGCGCTGTGCATGGCTTTGTATATGAATTGTCTTACTTTTTTTGATAGGTCTTTATGTCTGCAGCCTGTCCATATTGAGGCGTCGGTTTCGAGTTGTCCTGTCAGTTCTTGGATAGCGAATCTGGTGATGTCGAGGTTGCTCATAGTCTTTCGTCTTGGGGCAAACGGTATGTGTTCTCGTATACCTTTATATGCTAAGGCTTGCGTGATTGTTGATAGTTTCGCTCCTTGTAGGTTAAAGTCGTCTGGGATAGATAAATCGAGTTCGTCTGCTAGGGGTTTGTTTGCCCCTTCTTTTGCCAGTCTGTCTGCCTGTTCATTCCCATGTTGGCCATTGTGACCTTTTGTCCATTCAAATGATGTCTGAGCTGATCTTCTCCTCAGTTGGTACACTGTTGCTTTTATGAATTCGCTATTCGCTGTCCCTATCCAGCTGTCATCCTCCCATGTTGGGAGATGTTTCGTGAGGCAGTTTATTGCGTACCTCGAGTCAGTTATGAATGTTATTGGTATGTATGGCAGTGCCAGAAGTATTGCTGATATCTCGGCTATTTGGTTAGAGTGTTTGTTTCCTGGGATTCTGAAGGCAAGATTTTTCGGGTGGTTCTCTCTGAGCCATATACTGCCTCCGCTCTGTGAGTTTTCCTTCCCATTATTTATACATGAGCCATCAGTGAAGATTGTGATATGGTCTTGTAGTAGGTTTAGGCCTCTTGCTGGCGCTTGTAGTCTGTGGGCTGGGGTGAGGGAGTTATGTTCTGGGTTCGAGAAGATTCTAAAGCAGTCTGTAAGGTTTGAGCGGATGGTAGTGGTGGGGTTGAAAAGGATCTCTCCTTGTCTGCTTTTATGAGCTTGGTGGTTTTTTTCTTTTCTCTGCCAGGTGAGTGATAGACCGTCTTTTTTGGGTTTTGTTTTCGTGTTAAATTTTGGGGCGATTCTAAATAGGATTTCATTTGCGGTCTGGGCGCATTTATGGGGGTCTTTGCATCCTTTTCTGCGGTCTTTTTGGCATGCTGAGCAGGGGCAGTTTTTCTGAGGGTAGTGTCGGTCTTCGTTGTTGATGTGGGTAAGTGTTACGAACTAGGATAGTTCTAACAATGACAACTCGACAGAGTTTTCGGTCGTTGAGATTCTCAGTCTCTCAGACAAGAGAGAGTTCTGTGGACTTAGTCAAAGGAGTGCTTTGACTAAGAATCGGGTTTCAAGACGACTTAAGATTGGAGGTCTTAAGCGAAAGATGTTCCAGGTAAAACCTAGTAAGATTCAAGTAAAGAATACAAGCGTAATACATGTGCTTAAATAGATCCATATGTGCGCACAGACCAAGTCATCGTGAGATAGTAAGTACAAGTTCAAAAAAGGAAGGCATATCGTAAGACTGAAGAAAGTATGAGATAGCGGTTGTAACAGTAAGTCTCTTGCGTATTTTTATGAGGTTTTTAACCTTTGTCGACTTGTGTGTTTCATTCAGGCATTTAGTTTTTGTTTTGTGGTAGGCGTTTGTTGGGGTTCCTATATGGCTCCATGCCGGTAAGTTCTTTTTCAGGTCTTTCGAAATTTTGATAGGCGTGAAACTGATATTGTATTTTTAGCGGTCTTTAAGAGCATTTGTGCCGCACATGGTAGGGAGTTCATTTTATTACCTCTTATTGGGGGGGTCCATGATGTTAAAAAGGGGTTAGTGTTGTTGTTTTCATTATCGTTGACGCACGGTCTAATGTTGTTCAGTATTAGGTCCATTAAAAGGGCCCAAGTTGGCCTGGATGTGGATAGGTCTAGGTAGGACTTGACCCAGATGATTTCTATTGCGTTGTTTCTTGATTTTATGTCGAGCAGATTGATGCCGCCTTCTTCTTTTGTTTTGTACATTTGTTCTATATTGATTGGTGGGGTGTGGACGTCGTTCCAGACGAAGTTTCTTATCATTTTTATAAGTGCTGATTCGATACTTTTAGGCATGCCTTGCGCTTTCGCGAGGAACTGCGTCATCCCTCCTGCCATCATTTGTACTATCAGTCTCTTCCCTTCAAGTGTGGGGTGGCTGTTGTTCCATCTTTTAAATGCCGTGTTGATGTTGTTTAGTATGGGTTCCCAAGGAGTTAAGTTGCTCGTTTTATTGCCTATCCATGCACCTAGGGATCTAATAGGGTGTCCATCAGGTGCTGTTCTTATGTTTTCATCTAGAGGGGGGTCCATAGGGTGTATTATTCTAGTCTGGAGTATTCGGTCTTGGTGTATTTTCGAGCCTAAAGGGATGATTTCTGTTTTTTCTAGGTTGAACTTCGCACCTGACGCAGTGCACCATCTCGACAGGATGCTCTCCAGGTCGCTATATTTGTCCGTTTCACTTAGGAATATTGTCGTGTCATCTGCATATAGGTTGACGATGATTTTATCGGTAAGTCCTGGTATGTTATATCCAGATAGTTTATCCGAGTTTCTAAGGGTACATGCTAGTGGCTCTATAGCCAGGTCAAAGAGGAGGCACGAGAGGGGGTTGCCTTGGCATACTCCTCTCGTAACTTTGAAGGGAGTACTCAGGACGCCATTTACAGCGACTCTGGTGTAAGTGTTTGAGTATAGCGCTTTTATAGTTTTGATGAAGGTTTGTGGGAGGTTGAAAGTTTCGAGGGACGCTAGTAAGTAGTCGTGTTTTATTCTATCATATGCTTTTTCTTGATCTAGTGCAATCAGGACTCCGTTTTCCTCGGCGATGTCTGCGTAGTCTATCATCAGTTGTGCTAGCCAGATAGGGTCGAAAATGGACCTTCATGGTATAAATCCACTTTGATCGGGGTGAATTAGTGAGTGTATCTCTCGAGCTAGCTGCATTGCTAATGCTTTTGTGAGAATCTTATAGTCAGTGTTCAGTAGGGTTATCGGGTGGTAGTTCGCTATCTCGGTCCTGTCTTTTTTCTTGTATATGGGGCACATCCAGCCCAGCGAGAAATCTGTTTGGTCGTCAACACCATGTTTTTGTATGTTGTTTATGACTATGGTGAGAGTTTTCATTATGTCGAAGCTTGGAATGTCTTTTTTCCTATCGTCTAAGTGTTTTTCATGCAGACTTTTCCAGACTTCGTATGGTATCCCATCTATGCCGGCTGCGCTGCCTGCTTTTGAGGCGTATAGTGCTTTGAGTATGCTATTTTCCTTTAGCGGGTTGTGTAGTGGTGAGTTTTCGTTTTGCAGTTTTTGTGCTTGAGGTATTTCTCGCAGTGTGTTTCTTATTTCTGTCGCTCTTATGTCCTTTTCTTGGTCTGATAGGGAGTCTTCTTGAAGACTTTCATGGTAATCATGCGCGATTTGTGCCATGTGGTCTGATCGCAAGGCTAGGCGGTTTTGATTAGGTATTTTTAGTCTGTGTATGATGTCACGCGGCTTCTTACTGCTGTTTATTCTAGACCAATATTTGCTTATTGTTTCGCCCTTGGCTGCCCATTTTGCCTGGGCTTGTTGTTGTTTGTTCTTGAATCTTTTGTTTTCGAGGTGGGTGATTTCACATTTGATCCATGCTTTTTGTTGGCGTGTTGATTCATTTGTGTCGATGTCCTTGTTTTCTGTTGTTTTGTGCAGGTCTTCTTCAAGTTGCCTCACTCATTGTCTAATTTTGTATAGATGTTCTTTTGCAGTGGTTTTCACATTGTGCCTTATTTTTGATTTGAAGTCTTCCCAGCTTCATTGTGGGTTCTCTGCCTCTGACCGTTGTTGAAGGTTGGTGATTTCTGTCTACCTATTTTGCTAATCTTTTTTATGAACTTCTCATCGTTTAGTAGGCTTATCGGCCATGACCATCGGCCTTTCCCCATGAATGGGGTGTTTGTCGGTGCGTATCTGACTAGGATCATTCTATGATCTGTTGGTATAGCTGAAGTGCACGAGTCCCATCCGTAGATGCTAAGTTCGTGGGCTGGTGAGGAGTAGATGTGATCAAGACGCGAATGTGAGTTTGTATTACTGTAGAATGCAAAGGCTCTCATTGTTGGGTTATTCATTCTCCAGGAGTCTTGTATATTCAGTTGGAATCTTAGGTTTCGGAGTGCTTCTATTGCTTGTTCGTTGTCGAGATGGGCAGGGGCGCGGTCTAGGGCGTCTTCCGTGATGTTGAAATCTCCCATTAGGAAGTCAGGGTTTGGTATGTTATTTTCTTGCCACAGTCTCGTGATTGTGTTCCAGAAATCAGGGTGTTGCGCATGATTGTTTGGGGCGTATATATTTGCTAGTGTCAGGTACATTTCGTTGTGCCACTTTATTCTTAGCGCTAAGGCTCTTCCTGGAATGATCTCAGTTGTTTTTAGATCGTTCAGGTCAAGTATTTCTTTGTTTATTACGAAGGCAATGCCTGCAGAGTTGCCTGGGCGGAGGGGGTCTCGTGAGTTCAATACTTTTATTCTTTTTGAGTATAGTGTCTCAATTTGTGCTTCGTGTTCAGGCAGTAGGTGGGTCTCTTGGATGCACATGATACCAATCTTTTTTTCTCTCATGACGTGATGGAGTGCTGACCATTTAGATATTTCGTTATTGTTTCCTAGTAGTGTAGATGCGCGGTGTAGAGATACAACAATTGCTGGGCACTACACAAAGTAAGTAGCCAGCAATATAAAAATGTTGTGGTCATGCACAGCCTAGTCCGCTTATACTTGCAAGACAAGTGCGTTCGACCCGAGGGGTTAGCTATTGGATTGGTCTGTAGTTAGTGAAATGATAAAATGGTCGGGGGTCCGAGCGCGGGAAACAAAGTCCGAAGGTATATCTACGATGTCCGATGCCAAAGCGTCGGGTCCGATGTTTTTGGGTTTCAGGTTAGCGTGTTTTGGGTGCGGGTTTAGTGGGTTAGCGGGAAGGGCGATAGCGAACGTTGGGAAAGCGAGCAGTATGCGGATATATGATAACGGCGGGTATTTGGATAGAAAGAGTGGTAATATTTGCAATGTCAACTAAGAACTACGAAATATCAGGTTTGACCACTAAGTATCGGGGAACGGCTCCCTACTACTTGGATCATGAAAATACTCGTAGTCAGTCCAATATATATATAAGTACGTAGAAATCCGGAAGGCCGTAGGCAAAAGTAGTGGCCGACGATTTCAGGTCCGAAGTACATGTAAATAAACATGAGGTGCTGTGGATGATGGGAAAACATGTAATAGCGCTCGCTACGATGTGAGTAATGTGTGAAATAATCAACTACGCACCTAGTGGGGCTAGCAAGACGGGACGGGACACGGATAGGACAAGAGCGCGGGAAAATATCGGGTCCGATGCGGCCGAAATGTCGGGTCCACTAGTCAAAGCGTCGGGTTTGCGTCGGGTTGTGCGGGTTAGCATCGGGTTACATTAGTGTGTAATGGGCATTGGACGTGTATCGAGAAATAAGAGAATACGTGCTCAGCGCAAGCTCCAGTGCTACAGCGGCCCTTCATGTTTAGGGTAGCTAGTAGAATGTTAGCTCTTGTTTTTGTTTTTGTTTTTGGTGTCATGCGAGGGGTGTCTCATTGTAAGTTTGCCTGGTGTGGCATTTGAGAATGGGGGAGTCCGCCTCCAAACTCCTGTGTAGCATCATCTGGGATGGCCCCAGCGGGTTGAGGGCTTCCCCCTCTGCTGCTCAGGAGGCTCGAACCAAGGCCGTGAAATGAATTGAAAATTGAATTTAAGTTTTGAGAACGTTGAGTAGTCGATTTACTGCGCCTTTCATACGACTATTAAGAGGCGAGGACTGTCATATCCCGGACAGCCACGGTGGATACATGTTTGCACTACTTAAACAAAGTGAGTCCTGTACTCACGAGGTCTTTTTGCAGTCACTTGAGCTCCTCAGCACGGCTACATCAGGAAAAAGGGTTTTTGCCATTTTTGGCTGTTTATTCAAATAGAGACACTATGGGCTATATTTAAATATATGTACGCTATATTCACAACTTGAGTGATATAGAGTTAGACTCTTGCTATAAATCACACAAATCATATATATACTAAGTATTGACTACCAAAGCGTCTGATAAGCAAATTTACTTGACCAATTGTTAAGAAGAAAACTGTTGCATAAGTCCAAAACATTACCAGACTTCCAGCTGGAAGGCCAACTAATGTTAGGACCCAAGTGAGGAATAAGATGACAAGATTGACGTATAGTAGAAAGAGAAACTATGTCACCTGAAACAATATTGTTGTTCAGGCCAATAGCCTTAGTGACTGAATATATATTATGATGACGTCCTGGCTGTTTAGAGAGTGTGAGCCATTCCACATAAGCCAAATGTTCCTTAGGCCAGGCAACTATAGCATCATCCATCATTGGAATAGAGTCTGGAAGGCGAAAAATGACTTTTAGCCTTCCAACTTTCATACCTGCAAATGTATTGGTCAGTAAAGCTTAACTTGATAGGAAGTATAGGTAGCGCACCATGAAGTCCAGTGGACTCAGCTTCATCTGACTGAGCGACAACTACAACATCAAATCTCCCATCTCCCACGTCCTCAGCTCTGCCTTTCCCTGGCTTAGCCCTGACTGAATCTATCTCCTCCTGGCCATCTACATCATTACCAAGAGTGTCCAATGAAAATTTAAAGGTGTGCCAGACATCCAGTTGATGGAAGGGTAAGCGTGCGTGAGGGAGCTGAATGCGTGATATGGCTTCCCCTCTGGGAAGAAAGCGATTAAGATACACCCTCAAATGGTGCAAAAAAGAAGGACATCTGTGTTTCGATATGATGCTGGAGAGTGGCTGAGAAGGTGATGCCAGCTTCTTGGATATTGCTAGCCCTACTCCTGGACGCGTTTCAGACTCTAATGCATCCTGTTCCTCCTGCTCCCTCTCTACTTCAGTCCGATGATAGTCCTTCAAGTAGGTTTCAAACATTGCGACCTTTTCCTGATGACTCAACCACTGAGTCATCTGTGGTAGTTCATCCCTGAAATTGGTAGCCCTCCACCCCTCCTTTGCATAGTCAATGTGGAAACGCTCAAACATTTCTGTGTTGTAATTATCAGTAGTACCAAAATCTCTAATACACTCAGCATAATGCTGCATGGAGTGCAGCTTAGGGATGTTGAAGTGATCGCGGATGCCTAGATCAATCAAGATGCACTTGTTGGCATGGTACTGCTCTAAGGCCACTTGAAGATAACCCAGAGAGTCCTTGTTGTGTGAAGGATATTGAGATATATATATGAAATCCAGTAGTGATCGATAACAGGCTACCATCTATAATTTTTAAAGGTGAGTGAGTGAGTAACTGGTTGATCCACCATGATTTGTCTAACAATTAACTCACTTGAGATGGAGCTTTCCCTATTATGCACCCCAGAAGTATCCTTCCCATGTCTTTCCTCTCCTTCCCTGATATCTGAGCCAGGCGAGACCATCCGTTCTTGAAATGTCGCATACCAAAACAAGGCAGAAGTGATCTAATCCTAGCATCCAACTCAGCTTCAGTCATCACGTTGCTGCACCAGTGGACGAGGTGCTTTACCACCCCCTGGTACAACTGGTGTAGTACATCAGGGGTGATGGACATGTGTATGTCGCAATGTGGGAACCTCTCCCAGAATGGGCGCCTCACCCCTCCTGATACATTGTCCTGCTTGCAGCGCTCCTGAAAGTTGCTGATAGATGTAGAGTTGGCCCTGGCAGCTTCTATTATCTTGGAGGTTTTGCATTGGGTCCTCCATGGACCCGGTTCTCCATCTCCCATCTGGCTATCATCCACCTCGCACTTGGGACAGGTCCCGTATTTAGCACAAGTTACCAGGCACTGCTCTGGGTAATCTGCCACATAGCAAGCCAGTATCGGGTGCACCATGTGCACTTTACCATCTCCTCCAGTCACCTCAACACCGCTTTTTCCTGCTTCTATTAGTGGCTCCAAAACTATCCACATAGAGTCATGGAAGAGCTGTTGAATGCGGGTAGATTTTTGTTTCTTGCTGAGCTCAGCGCCAACCATCTTGCTGACAGAAAGGTATGCAACAAGGATACAGGCATGCTGGGATGGTTTCCGTCTAATGGCTCTGGGAAGGTTCCCCAAGGTAAGGTAGACAGGGTAGGCAGTCTTGTCGCCAGCAAACTGGGTGAGCTGGGTCTTGTCAGTGGCGATGATGACTGGAGCCACACAAGACCCTGCTGGAAGTCTGTCCTGAGTCAATGAAAAGTGAAGAATCAGTAAACCAGTACTACCAGGGGTAGAAGTCATTGGACGCTCACTTGGACAGTGTTCCACCAGTCCCCAGTCCACATCTCATTGTAGATCCTACTATCCCTAGAAGCATTGGTGAAAACTCTCTTGGGTCTATAGACAATATCATTTGCGTGTGCTGGATTTCCAAGTAATGTCTTGACAGCGTCAATCGGATTCCGATGATAGATGATATGTTTGTGCTCTGGGTCATTCTTGAACCAAAGTTCACAAGTCTTCCAGCAAGCACGTGGAGGTACACTGTCGACAATCTTGTGCAATCCCCTAATATTATGGTATGAGAGACCTAGTCTTTCAGAGACCTGTTGTTAGAATGCGTTAAGCAGAAAGACAATTGTGAGGTAAAATAGAACCAATGCTCACCCCAGGTATCGCCATGAGTCAATCAAATGATTTGTGACCTATGCCGTCCTGAATGGCCCAGCAGGCAACTCTCCACTCTAGCTCAGACTCAAATGGTGCAAACATGTTTGTCTTCATGGATGTCCCCTCTCCCAAATCTTCCATCACCACGTCTCCGTTGGTATCAGATCCTCCAAATTCTCTCCTCCATCTCTGATGCACCATTTCATCCATACGTATCACCTTGCCTGCAGTGGGATGCACATCTTCAACTCGCATGTCTAAAGCAGAGGATGGGTCGGGTGATCTTGGGTGTTCAGGTGGGTTCCCGATAGGAATGAGATTGAAGAGTCTATCATGGAAGTCTTCCATAACTTGACCTGGTTCCTCCTCCATTTATCCTTCCAGTCCATCAGGAAGAGGCTCATTTACTTCCCACATCAGTACATCTTCATCAACTGCGAACTCTCCTGGAAGGGTTAAAGCCCTCAGCTTCCCTTTCTTGTACCATCTACAAGACTTGGCAGTACTAAGATGAGTAGCCAGTCCTTGGGTTGTCCTCAGGCACTTGTGACAAGCAGGACATACTGTAGGGTCGTTGTCCTTAGCTCGAGTGTGTTCAACATTCACATTTAAAGCCTGCAGGGCAGAACGAAAGCCTGTCATCTGGACAAAGGTAAGATGGTAAGACAAAGGTGATGGTCTATAAATGTTGAGCTTACAATCAAAGGATCCAGATAAGAAGCGGCTATAGGTTATCCTAAAGAGAAGGCATCGGGCATTGTGTCCCACGCCATCACTGCAACAATTTTCACCGACAACGCGCTCATCATCCCGCTGTAGAGACTCGTGCCTCTCATTGTGCAATATTGCAGTTTTCACTAGGGAGTACATGGCACAAACTTGTAGCATCACTCTGTATGCTATCCACAGCTATTCCTACATGAGGCGCAGCTTTCCCGTGCAACGTGCAACTTGCGTGCGTACCTTTCCCACGCTTCATGATGTATATGCGTGCGTGCTTTCCCACGCTTGAGCGCCCTATAGCGCCAGCCATCCGGAAGCATCCATCCACTGTCCACCAAGTTCCCTAGTGCGTATATTTCCATTTCTCACATTTGCATATCGTTCCATCTTTATTTTTATCATGGACCCTTACTTACATATATCCTTACATACCTTACTTGGTAGCGCTTCGGCTCCGCATGACAGCGCTTAGGTGCCATACTTAAGCGCCAGCAGTACATACTATTACTCACTTACTCACCCACCGAACCACAACAATACCCATTTACTACCCAACAGAGCATAGTTGAAATCTATTCCTTGGCACCTCGCATATAATATCTCTCAGCTTGCATCTCTCACCTCTTGTCTAGTGTCTAATCATCACTTAAGCAAACTCACTCTTACTCTCACTTGTTTCCGCATACACACGTGCACATTCCCGCGCTTTGCGCATTCTCGCGCCTCGCGTGCACCTGCGCTTTCCCGTGCTTCGCATTCGCCAACCAGTAGCGCCTACTACTAGATCCTTGCTGCACTCGCTTCCCCTTTAGGGTCGAACGCACTTGTCGTCTCAAGTATAGCAGACTAGGCAACGCGCGACCTTACAACATTTATAGATACAGTCAGGAGCACTGTTTGTGCCTCGCTGTATCGTTGAACCTTCACTGCCTCACTTGGGAATGTTCACAAAGCAATTATTGCAAATCCATATTTGAAAGCTACAAAATGATCGCTACAAAACCACTTGGGCAAATGTTTGTTGAAGTACATGAATGAAGGTTTAAAAAAATATGGTCCTCAGTCCAGCCATTGAATACATGCAAGCAACCTCACCACTAAGTATCTTATCCTCTGGATTTCCTCTGATACTTCCCTTCCCCAGAGAGATTGGATGAATTGACAGACGTGCTGGCTGTACCAGACGATGGGAAGACTGATGAAGTAGTTGCACTAGTGGAACTGTTGCTGTCCTGCAATAAAAGGGCCTTGCGCTTCTTCGATCACCAGGTGTTCTCTGAGGTCCGCAAGCTCTGGTGCATCTCATCGGGAGTGTAGATTTCGAATCCGGCGAACCTAGAAGATGCAGAAATATGGGTACCTGAAGGTGGTAGGGATGCGGGCAGGTATTCTGTTTGGCTAACCATGACTGCCTGCTTGGAGGTCAGGTTAGTCAATGAGTTATGGTATCTCTCCCTCACTGTCATGATCAACAACTTGTCTGGTGCACCATCCTTGTCCACCGGTACTGCATCGATCATCTCTCGCAGGACATTGATCAGCTTGGCATGAGTGAGCCCCCAGCGCTTCTCTGCAGGAAAAGGCCACAGCAAGTCATAGATCTTCTTCCATATTGCCATCATGTTGCCGACCTTCCAGTATGGATCAAGGGAACGCTCAAATGCATCCCACGTCAGGTTCTCCTTTTGCATTATCACTTCATCGTCTTGGAAGTTGGAAACGCCAAACTTCGCCCATTGAGGCACCGAACAAGAACGCACAAGAAGTTCTGAAGAAGCGGTTGTGGCTGCAGTGGTTCTGGTATGACTGCGGCGTGTCGATGTGAGGGGGGGGGTGTTATTCTCACCCCAACCTGCATTAGAATGTTTGAACTTCTTTGTGGTGAGGTTGGCTGAATCAACTGTGGTGGAAATCCCTGTCTCTATGGCATCGGTATTACGAACAGGGACAGGCCAATCTTGAAGTTGATGGTAAGGACCCGTAACATTCACCCTGAGCACGAATGCAAGAAAAATAAATGACTCCAAATCATGGCAGATATTGGGGGGATGTTCTCGGTCAACACTACTGTAAGGGAAAGTTCCCTACTTTCATATGAGCACTTGAGCAAAAAGCAAGCAAAAAGGATGAGCTTACCATTGTAGTCCACTTCTTTTTCTCTTCCGAAGCTTTCTCCGAGTCATCCAAGAAGTCCAGTGCTAAGCTGAAGTCCCTGATCATTCCAGGACGCATGGGAAACCACTCAGATTCTACTATGTCTCCACAGAATTTGGGCACTCCTTCATCAATACACCAATTAGGCACAGCGTGATCTTGATCTGCTATGGGCACCCAAAACCATGTATTGCCGTCACTGGTATCACGGTGGATCAACCCGCGTAACCAAGCGTTGAGATGACCTAGGTTGTGGACTCTAAGCATTCTGAAATTTGGGACTGAGACATGCACTCACCCTTCAAAGCACCTATCAACCCTGAGAAGAATTCCCGGCGACAGGAGAACCAGGTACACCTGACTGCGTTGGTCTTGAAGATGGTTTGATAGTGCACAAGGGGATAGATTTCCACGGACAAGGGCTTCATGATGTTTGCAACACTGTCTGGTACTCGCGCCCCATCACAGTCGATCATCATAACAGGGTGCGTAGACATGCATTGATCATGAATAGGGAGGTGTCTGGGGTATGAACCTTCATTGTCCTCATCATCCCACGCAGGTTTGGGCCATCGCTTGAACAAGACTGACTGTGACTTCTTCTCAGCCTCAGTGTCATGAATAACGTCAAGATAGGGAATCTTTTCTTGCTCTATTAAATGAAAATGAGATGCAGACCAATGAGGCACGGATAGTTCAGAACGCACCTAGTTTTATGTGAGCCTTTTGAAGGCGCTCCTTGTCCTCCAAAAGTTGATGGATCTCTCCATCCAGTAAGAAACGGTCAACCTGCCAAACCTCCTTTACAATAAAAGTCTCTTGATCAACCCCCAGTTGCTGTCTCGGGCCTCTGACCGCCATCACCCGAGTGGTGCGGCCAAATCTGGCGATACCACTATAGATGATTGAAAGCACCGTAGTCGGCACCATGTCTTCTTCTGTGGTACTGTTTGCCTTCATCAACCACAATGACAGATTGTCCGTGGAAGTGGGAGCTTGGTAGTAGGGATCATATCCGAGATACCGAAGTTCAGTATGCATGAACCAAGATAAGACTTGCATATATTTGATGGGATCAGCATAGATATTGATGGGTTCAGAAAAGGCCCCACAACCACGAGTGAAAAGAGCAATCCTCATTTCTGGTCCAGTCAAGAGAGCTCCTACAAAGAAGCGACGATGCACTTGGTTGGTGAAGACCAGCCGGGAAACTTCTACCATGTACTCCTTGGAGGCCTTGAGAAGAGCCTTGGTGTGGCAATACTTGATATTGATAACAGATTTAACATCTGACCACTCATATGAGTCGTTGGTCACAAGGGTGACATCCGGCTTGTGAGCACCAATCCTGCTTGTCTTGGATGATGCCGCCACCCCTGATCTGGCTTGAAAGAATGTGGTACCGGTGCTTATCCAACGGCGATGAGGATCGTCGGAATTGTGTGGCTGTATGACTCCCAGCTCTGTGAGGTACTGATCCACCCACAAGCACGTCTTTGCGCCGGGAATGAGTCACAAAATCCACGTGCAATGGATGCCAACTCACCTTGTTCAAAAACTCAACCAGGTGCACTTCATCGGAAGGACTGTACAGCCAAGGACACACATTTTTCGACCAATGACTCACGACGAATCCTTCAGCTTGGTTTCGTGCCTGCAATGAGAAATCGTGAGGGTATGTCACCTGAAAACAAAATGCACGTACCTCTGTGACAAGTGTCTTAGTCACAGTCATTGCGATCGCAGTGTTTGTGTCAAGGTCAGCAACATCTGCAACTTCCATCAAAGCACTGAGAAGCACAGTATTCACTCTCTGGGTTTCTATCTGGGACTGCACTAGGATATCGGTTGATGACGGCGTCTTCTTGCTGGGCACTTTATTTGACATCACTTTGCAGCCTACTTCATGTATCTTCTGCGCCATGTCTTGAAGTGTGTCATCTGTGAGGTTTACAGAATGCAGAAGAAACAGTGTCCGGAGTTGTGTGAACAGATCATAATATCGGCCATCGTTGATGCAAGCTTGCTTGACAGCCTGCAAATTGGCCTCATTGAGGAAGGATGGCATGGATATGCCACCATTCAGAAGAGGAAATGTATTCAAGGAGCAACATCTGTTATTGTGGAAGGCGTGGTGTTTTAGGGTCTTCACAGCCCAATATTCGGTATCTGCCTGGAGCGGTCCCTTTGCATCCAGGTTATGGACACAAGAACCCATCTGGTGGCTGATATCAATAAAGCGAACTAGGCATGATTGTCTAACTGGCGTGATAGTGAACTCTTTTGAACTCTTCTTTGGCGTTTGGAAGAGTAGTGTCAGTTTCGGGGAGAAGTGCAACATTTTCTGTTCCAGTCTAGTGGAGTGTCCACCAAACAAGCAACCCAAATCCCACATAAAAAAGGTTAGTACTAATCAGTTTTGTGTCAACAGATGCTCATACATCCATATCAGAGCAACAAAGAAAGTAAATCTTCTATACAACAGCGATGTTCGAGGTGATCAAGATGAGTTGCTTTCACAGATTTACCAGACTCCATCGATAACCATTAGTGAGTTAACCTGGCCTTAATGGTAAGGTGCTTCTGTGTGGGAATTTCCCGCCTGTCATTCCAGCGTGCATCGCTGCAAAATGTTTCACTACCATATAAGGAACTGCCCGCACATCATCCGGAACAACGAGTTCAAAGAGGCAAGGCCCATGTCTATTCAAGTTTCCTTAGACAACACAGAATTTTCTCTGGTTTTGGATGCCCTGCAACTCATGCAAAGTGAGCTAGCTGTGGCTCTTGCTAATCGATTACTCAGCCATAACCCACCTTCGCCGCATTCAACCAAAGACGATCCAGTGGGAGGCAAACAATACGCAGGTGGACGTGCTCTTTCGGATGGCAAGGGATCTCACCGGATGCAACCTTACCGTCTTTGCCCTAGGAACTCCAGGAATTTGGCTATGGGAGGAAGGTGGACCATCGGAGAAAAAACGGCCTGTTCTTCCAACGTCTCAGCAGAAGCCTTCATTGGGGTAATTGCGGCCATGGACACTGGTCTTCAGTCAGATCTGGCCCAGTGGATGGAGAGTATTTGCTCTGTGGCATCTGAGATTCAGTTGTCAGGTGCTACTGTGATGTCTTTGACTTACCGGTGTAAGGTTTGGGGCAGAAAGGGTGTTGGGTGGAGTTTGATTTCCATGGTGAACTACATGCAGCTAGCAATGAAATGCCAGAGGTGCGTTTCAAACATTCATTTGACTTTCATAATCGTTAATCAAATGGGCATTAGTATGATAGATTCATCCACTAATTACAGCGATTTATACGAAACCCTACCGGTGGACAGACCTACCATTCGCACCTTTCTGTTCTGGATTGCTACGGGTTTCAAGTTCATGCACTTGGCAGCAGGGGGGTCATTCTATTTACTAATTCTCGTGGCCACCAAAGACCTGCGATGGACTGTAACTAGGATGCAAGCCAACGTGCCCTGGGAAATCGCCAAGATGTTGAGAAGGCCGAATGCCTGTGGTAAGTCCCGCTCATATCAGCAGTTGGTTCCTGTACATGAAAAACTGGAACAGAAAACGATTTACAGGTTCTCATAGAAAGGAGAATTATACCAATAATTTATCGTCTGCGTAAAGCCCTACCTTTGAGCATGCCTGGTGCATTTGTAGCCCTGGACAGAGAGGTGGATTGGACGTGCATTAGGGACACTGACCGCCTTTTTGATGGGGTGAATACTAAGTAAGGATGATATTATCGCTGTTCACACGGGTATCTAATTATATCTGTTTCAGTAACTACCAGCTCCCTTCTCGGTGCAAATCGGCTTGGAGAAGTTGTCTAGACCCTTGCTGGGACGAGACGCTGAGCCTGGGGTGCATCACCAGGTCATTTGGAGATGTCGGCGCAGCAACAGCACTTACGGCTTCACCTGCTGTAAGACTACTGCACTTACCCGAATTCTTCGACGACTCTACCTCTATCAAGACGCTCCCAAAGTTGATTTCCATAGAGACAGCCTTTGACTGTGAGGCTCCTGAGAACCTACACAATCCGGTTAACGGCAACAAAGTGCAGAACTTGCTGTGGACTATTGAGCAGCAAAAGATCGTTGAGGAGAGTGCAGTAACAATCATAGACACAGAAGATTTAAAGGCGAAGGTGAGCTTTCATGGTCTGGGAATTGTATGCGACTGACAGGTCTTGTATGGGGCAGCTATCCACGTTCTACCCCTCCAGAATTAAACAACCGGACACCTACATCAAGATTCCAATGTCTATCCTTCCAGGAGCGTTGGAAATTCGCAACTTGGATGGGAGCCTCATGGTGTTCATCTGCAATTTCATGCCTCCTTCAATGCGAGATACCCTTTTTCCTTTACTGAAATCTGCTTTTGATTGCCTAGAGGTGTTCAAGAATCGCACCATGTTGTCCATCTCTCAAGAGACCCAGGATCCTGAGGCCGTATTACAATCTGAAGCAAATGAACCGTTTCGTTGCATTCACTTTAGCCATTGGAATAGATACGGTCTTTCGGTGAGTACATGCTTATGACCGTTGATATGTATACACTGATGTCCAGTAGGGCAACACGGCACCTGCTGACATGCACCCTCATGATTTGGTGGCTACATCAGGCAGAACTAACCTCACACAAACGCTGCCTTACATGTCACGCGAAACTTTTGAATACGAGCAACTGTATCTCAACATCCAGAATAACCTAAGGGAGGTTTTTGAGTGGATAGAGCAGACGGTGAGTAATTTTTGAGTATTGTAGTACGTTCTCTTCTCTGACGCATAATGTATTTAGGTAGCTCATTATCTTCCAGATGACTATACTGTTCTTGCTGAGCTTGTTGATATTCTTCCCAATGCTGGTGGATCACTGGTAAAACCTTTCTTGTCTCTGGTGGTGAACATCAATGTCTGCACAATAGGTCATCGGGACGGAAAGGACTATCGACTATGTTTAGTGCTGCCCATCGGTAGCTTTGTAGGGGGTGGACTGGTGATGAGGGAGCAGGGAGTTGTTGTTGAGATCACGTAACAGAGATTTTGCTTGCTTTAGGTCTGATGAAACAACACATTTCAACTTGGACTACCTAGGTGAAAGAGCCTCCTTGGTACTTCATTCAGATGGGGAGTTTCAGAAGTGGAAGGATAATCACAATGGTTGGAAGGATCATGGGTGCTTCAATTCCACTTAGACTACTTTGAAAACCTGTAGATCTTACAGTGCTGTCCAACAGTTGCTCAAAGTTCAACTATGGACCTATCTGTTACCAATGCTCCTAAGAGTCTACTTTCCCCATATTTTGAGGGCATAGTAAGCAGCTTCTATCCGCATTGCCTCTGAGCTTATCTTACAGAACTGCATCTCTTTGCTTTGAGCCGATGTTTATGTAATTCTTTGCTGCTAATATTTACTTTACTTTCCAATTCCTTCTCTCCTCTTCTACCCATGTCTCGCCCTCCACCTAGGCCTAACACTAGAAGCACCTCAGGGCAAGGCTCATCTGTCCCCATCCGTGGTAATGGAGTCTCCTCAACACGTGGAATTGGACGTGGAACTGGACGTGGAACTGGACGTGGAACTGGACGTGGAACTGGACGTGGAACTGGACGTGGAACTGCAAGTGGAACTGCATGAAGAGGTAGAGGCATGGCTCAGAAGGGTGCAGTGGATACCAACAAGAACACCAGCACACCACCAACCTCTACTAGCAATACCTCCTCATCTGCCTCTCGCCCCAAGTCCAAGTCTAAGTCTAAGTCTGCGACTCCTGGTGGCCTTTCTGCTCAGGAGGGGAACCTGTTAAAGGAGCTCGCTGCTAAGAAGAAAGCAGTGGCTTCTCAGGCAGCTGAAAATGTCAAGAAAGGTAAGCATCAGATCATGCTAAATAAAGTATGCTTATACGTTGTCAATAGCATCACGCAAGAGGGCAGCAGATATTCTGTCCAATGAGACAGATAACGAGTCTGCTGGCTCTGCAGATGAAGGAGATGACCACCATGCGCAGTTACCACCATCAAAAGTCAGGAGGATTGGGTGATCAGGCTCACCTGTCGCAGACTCTCAAGATACCGGTATGGTACAATCAATTCTTGATTCTGAACTTGATAGCATGGATGAGTTAGACAAGGACAACCAGGAGTACCAGCAGGAGCAGGAGGAGCAGGAGGAGCAGGAGGAAGACATGGAGGGGGTGGAAGGGGAGCACGCTAAATTTTCTGGTGAAGAGGTAAGTGCTCATTGTAATTTGATACAGATAGCTAACAGACTACTACCACCAGGTGGAAGTGAGCGCAGAGCCTTGCATTACGACCAGCATTCCCAGATCAAAGGTATCAAAGTTAGCTATGCTTGGTCATATGGAAAGCCCTCGCACCAAACACATTGCCATGTCTGGCCACAAGGCCCTACGTTTGCATGTTGCCACAGTAGAAGGCTTTCCCTCCTCCTCTGATAGAGACCAGCTGTGTTGGGACCTCATCCTGGAATCATCCAAGCAAGACAAGTTGTTGTGGGAGAAGATGAAGGAGATACAGGGTGATGACGCCCTCAAGGCTCAGCTCATTGACTATGCAAGTGACTTTCTCTTTCTAATATCTATAAGCTGATTAGTACTCTTACAGACATGGAAAGGCGCCACTTAGATCAGGGGTGAGCTTGTCGCCAAAGCCAGAATTAGTATTCCCACCTGTTTTGGAGTTGGCGCAGGCTCTGACTGGACTGATGATGACCTCCAGGAAGCTTTGAAGTGGTTGCTGGATGATATGAGGTTTATGAATGGCAGCATGGATGTAAGGGTGAGTCTTCAACTTGAACCAAAGCAGAGCAGGACTAATACTGATCATTCATATACCCAGAATCTCACCTGTGATGCACAGGCACCACTCAAAAACCCAGCATTCAGAGTACTACTGGAGGCTCAGTGGTGGGGTCCCAAAGGTGAAGGTAGGAGGTGTGGTAGGAAGGGAAATGCCTACACAGATAATCTTCCTATCCTGGCTCTTATCGCTTGCACAGTAAGTGACCATCCTTCATGCTTGAGTGTGTGACTCATGATGATTGTAGGTGGAGTGTGTCCTTCTTGGAGTGAAAAGAGGATCACCGGTAGACTTCTCAGAAAGTTACTTCAAATCTCGGTTTGTTTTTTTTTTGTTTTTTTTTGCATATCTAATGTATTATCACAGGTGGGAGAGCTTTATGGAGTTGCTCACTGAATTTTCCAACAAATGTCCAACTTATTTGGAGACTGTCTGGGATGAGCTGAAGGAGAGGCTCTGGTGCGTCCATGATTATCACATTTATAGACTCTGCTAACAGTGCCAATACAGGAAAGGCCACACTGCTCTATCAACTGACGCTCCTACTCCAATATTTGATTTCTCAGCCCTAGAGACAGCAGCTAAGGTAACCAAGCAGGGGAAGGCGTAGTAGTTAATTCCAAATTTTTGTCACTGATTAACTATAGTTTGAATTGATTTGTCTTTGCTCTTGCTTTTTTTGATGTGAAAAGTGAATATGAATGCAAATATAGCAGAAATATAGTGCAGTAAAGGAAAAAAATCGAGGTGCCTCCAAATTTTGGAAGTTGAATATATATGCCTATATGTACTCCTAGCTACAATTAATGCCATATGGATCTATATGTGACTATATGTCCTCTCTATAGAGGGGGGGATTGCTTTAGATCCTATGACGTCTATAGACACTATATAACCATATATAGCGCTATATGAGCTAATATAGCAATAACCCTTTTTCCTGATGTAATCCTTGGCCTAAATAGGCCTCCATTTTGGCTTGCGCTGTCAGGGCACCCTTGGCTTTCCTGTCTCACTTCCGCGATCAGTATATTTGGGCCGAGGGTTAGGAGTAAATGAATCTAGCCCTGTAGATTCACGTTTGCGGGTGGTTGCCACTATCAGGAGTGGGTTCACTTCGCAGGGGGGTCAGGAGTTTTTTTTGAGAGGGGGGTGTTTATTCATTTACGGTTTTACATGGTGCAGGGTACAAAGACTATGGTACGTCGGGTGGAGCGAGTTCGAGTATGTTCAGTATCTAGTTAGGGAGACCATTGCCTTGGTACCTCCTCCCTTTGCCTTTCCCTTTCTGGTTCGTCATGTTGGGTCTCGAGTTTGTACTATGCTTGGGACCGTTCCAAAGTGGAACGTCTGGGAATGGACAGAGTCCATGAGGGTGTGCGATTGAGTGGCAGAGGGTGCATGGCATAAAGTTGACTGCTGTACCACTTCCCTCGAGTTCGGAGGGATAGGTGAGGGAGTGAAGATAAGCCCTTAGCTTTGTCCAGACTGTGGGGTTGTTCGTGGGGCTGACAGTGAAAATGTTGTAGCGCGGGAGAAGAATTCCTCCGCTAACCTTAAAGTCAAGGTGCTCTACCCATAGTGAGTCAATGAAGTTCCACGTTGCGGTGTGGATGTTTTCTTCAGAGATGTCACTTTCGGACAAGATTTCACCGATGTCCCACTTGGTGACGTCTTCTGACCAAACTTCGCAGACAGTGGTCTTGACAGTTGCGGTATCCATTGTGGAGAAACTGTGTAGACAAAGAAGAAGTAAGGGGGGGGGAGTTTACCCTGAAGAGGTGTGCGGCGAAGGAGATTTCGGGTGAGGACCAAACACGTTGGCTTAGAATGAGTGACTTGGTCTCATCAGAGATGTTATATACTAAGAAACTGATGGGGAAGTCTGCCTTGTCTTTGTTGGTATCGGGGCATGGCGGTGACACCTTTGCATCCATGTCGTCTTGGTGGACGAAGTGGGTGATGTCCGAGATGGCTTTCCGCAGACGTTCTATGAGAATGGGACCTTTGACAGAGGGGTTCTTTCTGTCATGGTCGAAGACTCTCACAAGGATCTTCGGGTGAGGGACTTTGAGCCAGGCTGTGATGATCTTAGCTGCCTGGTAGTCGAAGAGTTGGGCTGTGTGGGCAAGGTGGATGTGGGGGAAACCGCCGATTGAGACAGGGGTGAACTGAGGAATGACAGTGAGGGAATTGGTGCCGTTGGATTTAATAATGGACCGATTGGTTTCGGCAACCGCTAGGTGGGCTCGGAGTAGATCCTCTTCCAATGCCTGTGTGGTTGCGGCGGGTTTGGTGGGGGGTGGGCTGGAGATGAGAAGGTCTGTCATTTCATCATCGTCCGCTGGTGCAGGAGTCTGCGCAGGTGAGGAGTGGAGGGTGTCAAGGGGCATCTCAACCGTTGTGTCCTTCACGAAGATGAGAGAGTTGAGTGTTGGAGTGGTCACGTTCTCCTCTGATTCGGAGAGGGGCATTTGGGAGATGGAGGTACGGGGTTTGGGTGAGGGGGTAGTGGGGGTAGAGGTGTTATCATCTGTGCAAACCCCTTTGTCTTGTAAGATGTTGGGTGGGAAGAATTGTGAACCTGTACGGGGTCTGGGAAGGGGTTGGCGTGTTCCCATTGGAGATGGACGAGCGTTGATGTTGGCGGTTTTGACGCTTGAGAGGTCCTTCATATCCTGCAGTGAGGTTGAGGCTTTTCTTCGATTCGATGAGGTTTATATATGTTGTTTTTGGTGTTGGGGGGTGGCATTTCCTTGCGTGGATGCCGCTTGTTTTTGGGTGGGCTGTGTTGGTCGTGTCAGGGATCGTGTTGATGTGTCTTCTAATATGGTTAGATCTTGTGGTTATTGGGGTTGTGGGGGGGATGGTGAGGTGCTATGGGTCCGGGTATTGCTTCGGTCTCAGGTTGGTGGAGGGGGCATGGTGTTGCTTATCTCACTTGTGGGGTTAGAGGGTGTGTACACGTATTCTGGTGGTCATTTAGTTTTGTCAGTATGATTGTTTAGTCGTTTTTGCATGCATTATTTTACATGCAGACTAAGGGAAGTTTTTTGGGTATTCACCTAGGCATCGCCTGGTTTCTCTTTTGGTGTTCATTTCGGGTTGTCGTTCTTTCCTCAAGGTATATATGATATTGGGTGCTATGGTCGTGCTTGTTGTAGGGCTTGTTTTTATTGTTGCATGGCTTGTTTTTGGTTTGGGGGGATGTTGAGTATCGATGTTGGTTGTTTTAGTTGGGCTTGGAGTTTTGGTGTTCTGACGTTCATTGGTGGTGGGTGGGTTCCGGTTCATGGCACATGTATGTGGGTGTTTCTTGGTCTGTTGAGAGGTTTATTGGTTGAGCAGGTTTATTTATTCGAGGCCAGTGAGTTACTGTGAGCGAGAGTCGCTCAAGCTTGCCCGCATGTAGCGTGGGAAAAACCCTCCATGGTCGTGGTATGGGTTCAAGTGCCTTTTCGCCTGAATGATTTGGTTGGTTGAGAACCTACTAGTATTTGATTTTTGTGGTCTTATGGTGAATTTCGGTGCGCTCTTGAGCTTCTTTACATAAAAGTATCACTCAGCTTCAACTATGTTCAACGCAGATAGGTATTCTCCGTATCAAAGCTCGCAAATGTGTTTTGTTTCAGCGTTTATCTCCATTTTTTGAGGAGCATGTTATTTTCCTTGGCTGTCTGCTCAAGGCATAGTTTGTTGTGTGGTACATACATGGCGCGCGCGGCGCACTTAACTCCACTGCAATAATTTTACAAGGAGGCCCGGGACTACGTACAAAAGAGGTGTGTAAATCAGCAAGAATGCGTGTGAATTGTATATCCTAAAAACCATATGGCTCCCGCCGTCTGATGCACTTTGGTTTTGGTCTCTTCCATTCCCCTTTGTTTGGGTCTGGCCATAAGAAAGTACTCTTCCGATATGGTTCGCCGGGAGCCGGGAAAAACCCAAAGGGCCAAGTAGGCAAGTAGCACATCTCCTACACGACGAGGTCAGTTCATTTCATAAACAATTTGACTTAATCACCTCAAAACCACAGGCCGGTCGGCACTTCACCCACACACTCCAGTCCAACCAGGAGATCAACCGTGTCAAATCCTCCTTCCATTCGTCCATGAGGGTATGTATGTGATCGGCTTCAGGGAGTTGTTCCGGAGGATAAAGGGGGTCGACTCCAATAATCATTCCAGAAGCCCACATCTTCGTGGCGACGCGACATATTTCATGCGTAGTTTCTCGCACCGCCTGCAGAAGCAAACGTTCAGAGGGCATCAATGTCGTCCCCTGAGCTACTATGGAGGCCGTGTGCGATGTAGCACACTCCCGAAAAACTGGTGCAGCCCACAAATTTATCGTGTTGGCAGTGACAGAGGTATTGGGAGGTAGAGCTGAAAACACAGTGTAAGGCAAAAGCACGGTGCGCAATCGTCTCTGAATTTGTTGTGCATGGTCAAAGATAGAGCTATCGTCCAGCGTCATGTTCAAAAGGTGTTGCATAAAATCTAGGCGGCTGGCATATCGATCAACCACCACCCGCAAGACCGTTTTCCAGTCAATGCCGCTGGTTGTCACGGGTGGTCGTGCTAACACTTGATCTAGTCTGTCTCGGACGCGTTCTATATCCTCCGATGATATTCCTCCCACCCGATGATCCCACCGCTCCAAGCCTACACGGCGCGGCACCAAGGAAGGAACAAGAGCGGTGTCGTAGAAAGAGACGAGCCCAGAAAAATCAAGGATAATTCGGGTCTCCCCTGGATAATTTTCGCGCCATGAAGTAGCATGCATTAATTCAAAAGCTTGATACACTAATGTCCGAGAATCAATCAGACCTATTCCAAAACATGGATATGATTTCTCACCGGTAGTGGGGTCCTCTGGCAAATCTGTAGGCGGGCCGCTGGCGATGCGGGTGCTCTCGATATTCAAGAACGACACGACCTCCATGTGAGAGGTAAAGTCACAGATCATGATCTCACTATGACCGTCGTTAATAACATATCCTCAATGAACTGTGTATGGGTCCGCACAAATTCGGTTCCATCCTATAACTCGCAAATCAGCGTAGGGCATTGACGCATCTCAAAATCTAACGAACCTCACAAAGCCATTCAAGCCATACTTTTGACCCCATTTGCACAGATCCTTAATGCGCTGCCCTTCATTCCATACCCACTCAGGTTTCATTTCCGACCATGCAACGAGATCTTGAGTGTCCATGGTGCCCTCAAGGATGTTTGCAGCACTGCTTCCGTCAAAATAGAGCACTTTCATCGGCCGAGTGACTGCAAGGGTGAGGTGCCAGCATCCTGTTTCAATTGGCCCTTTGGAGAATATTAGGGAGTGATCTGGCTCTACAGCCACCCAATCTAAAGCGGTCGGCATATGGGGACCGGCGGCTCCATGGTAGAGGAGAGTGCCCACGGGAACAGTCCCTGGGACTATTGTATGACCTGCAGAACGTAAATGATCAGTCATGACGTCTGCGCGTGGCGTTCGGTATTTTTAGATACCAATACGATAATGCGTGTTTGCCCAGTGTTGAAGCAGAGAATTGGCCGTGTCGAACACCAGATGTCCTGTCCCGTTCACTGCAGGCGCTTTATGAAGATCCCATTGTCCAAGATCATTTTCGGCCGGGTAAAAGGATGGAGGTGTATGACTCAACAGAGGTGTCTGTGCAGCCAAAGCTCGTTCAAAGGCGAGAAAAAGCCAAACAGTTACAGCGTTCTTTGCAGCCAGCATGTCGACAAAGGGTCAAGGTGTACTGGACCACAGCAACGTCTGGTTGAAATGCACCGTTGTGTCGGACGGTGGAGGAAAATTACCATTAATGCTGTGGGGGCCACATTAATGTCCTTTTCCCGCTTGGGCGCATCCCCGGCTCCAAGGGGGCAAAGTTTGTTTTGATGACCGGGAACTTGAATTTGAATTTGAGTTTTATATTTGGCCATCTACGCTCACATAAGCTCAGGTAACTAGGTTCCTTGGCGCTGGCTGATTGTTCCAGACGTGGGGTAGAGAAGTACTTCTAAGTTCTTGTATCATGTGGACCGCATTTTTGTGATCTGTCAAAACGGAGTAGGGTTCTTGCGGGTTAGCGTGAATAGACAGGCCCGTGTTACGTGAGCTTTATTCGGTATCGGATGTTTACATAAACAAATTTCAATGTATTCCATTTAAGTTGCTGAATGATTCAGAAGGTCACCAGCTGAAACCGCCCGGATGTTCCGAATGATTTGCTTGGTTAAGAACCTACTAGTATTTGGTTTTCGTGGTCTTATGATCAATTTCGGTGCGCTCTTGAGGCTCACTTATGTTCAACGCAGTTAGGTATTCCCCGTATCAACGCTACGTTTTGATTCAGCGTTTATCTCCATTTTTTGAGGAGCGTTATTTTCCTTGGCTGTCTTCCCGAGTTTGTTGTGTGGTACACACATGGCGCGCTCGGCGCGCTTAACTCCACTGCAATAGTTTACAAGGAGGCCCGGGACTACGTACAAAAGAGATGTATAAATCAGCAAGAATGCATGTGAATCATATACCCTAAAAAACATATGGCTCCCGCCGTCTGATGCACTTTGGCTGTGGTCTCTTCCATTCCCCTTTCTTTGGGTCTGGCCATAAGGAAGCACTATCCCATTGGGGGTGATATGGTTCTCCGGGAGCCGGGAAAAACCCAAAGGGCCAAGTAGGCAAGTAGCACATCTCCTATACGACGAGGTCAGTTCATTTCGTAAACAATTTGACTTGATTACCTCAAAACCACAGGCCGGTCGGCACTTCACCCACGCGCTCCAGTCCAACCAGGAGATCAACTGTGTCAAATCCTCCTTCCATTCACCCATGAGGGTATGTATGCGATCGGCTTCAGGGCGTTGTTCCGGAGGATAAAGGGGGTCGACTCCAATAATCATTCCAGAAGCCCACATCTTCGTGGCGACGCGGCATATTTCATGCGTAGTTTCTCGCACCGCCTGCAGAAGCAAACGTTCAGAGGGCATCAATGTCGTCCCCCGAGCTACTATGGAGGCCGTGTGCGATGTAGCACACTCCCGAAAAACTGGTGCAGCCCACAAATTTATCGTGTTGGCAGTGACAGAGGTATTGGGAGGTAGAGCTGAAAACACAGTGTAAGGCAAAAGCACGGTGCGCAATCGTCTCTGAATTTGTTGTGCATGGTCAAAGATAGAGCTATCGTCCAGCGTCATGTTCAAAAGGTGTTGCATAAAATCCAGGCGACTAGCATATCGATCAACCACCACCCGCAAGATCGTTTTCCAGTCAATGCCGCTGGTTGTCGCGGGCGGTCGTGCTAACACTTGATCTAGCCTGTCTCGGACGCGTTCTATATCCTCCGATGATATTCCTCCCACCCGATGATCCCACCGCTCCAAGCCTACACGGCGCGGCACCAAGGAAGGAACAAGAGCGGTGTCGTAGAAAGAGACGAGCCCAGAAAAATCGAGGGTAATTCGGGTCTCTCCTGGATAATTTTCGCGCCATGAAGTAGCATGCATTAATTCAAAAACCTGATACACTAATGTCCGAGAATAAATCAGACCTGTTCCAAAACATGGATATGATCGCTTACCAGTAGTGGGATCCTCTGGAATATTCGTAGGCGGGCCGCGGCCGATGTGGGTGTTCTCGAGATTTAGGAACGAAACGACCTCCATGTGAGAGGTAAAGTCACAGATCATGATCTCACTATGACCGTCGTTAATAACATATCGCCAAGGAACGACATATGGGTTCGCACAAATTCATTTCCATCCTATAACTCACAAATCAGCATAGAGCATTCATGTATCTCAAAATCCAACGAACCTCACGAAGCCATTCAGGCCATACTTTTGACCCCATTTACACAGATCCTTAATGCGCTGCCCTTCATTCCATATCCACTCGGGTTTCATTTTCGACCATGCCACGAGATCTTGAGCGTCCATGGTGCCCTCAAGGATGTTCGCAGCGCTGCTTCCGTCAAAATAGAGCACTTTCATCGGCCGAGTGACTGCAAGGGTGAGGTGCCAACACCCTGTTTCAATTGGCCCCCTGCAAAAGATTATGGAGTGATCCGGCTCTACAGCCACCCAATCTAAAGCGGTCGGTATTTGGGGACCGGTGGCCCCATGGTAGAGGAGAGTGCCCACGGGAACAGTCGCTGGGACTATTGTATGACCTGCAGAACGTAAACTATCAGTCGTGACGTCTGCGCGTGGCGTTCAGTATTTTTAGATACCATTACGATACCGCGTGTTTGCCCAGTGTTGAAGCAGGGAATTGGCCGTGTCGAACACCAGATGTCCTGTCGTGTTCATCGCAGGCGCTTTATGAAGATCCCATTGTCCAGGATCATCTTCGACCCCCGCCGGGCGAAAGGATGAAGACGTATGACTCAACAGAGGTGCCTGTGCAGCCAGCACCCGGTCAAAGGCAAGAAAAAGCCAAACGGTTATGACTTTCCTTGCAGACAGCATGTCGACAAAGGTTCAAGCCGCTCAAGGGCCTTTGTAGGTTTAGTTATATACTCAGTGGGCGCATTCATAAAGTTATGGTTTGATCCCCTTCATCATGATGCTCCAGTTGTTACGGTATCATGTGACCTGCGGCAGAAGGGAATGACCAAGCAGGGCGAGCGAACGCCGAGTGTCCATCAAATGAGACATCAGACCCATCTTATTGGCAAGAGTCGATTGAGTAAGGTAACCTAGTCTGTATATTTAAAACAACACAACAATCAAACATGCGATGGCAAGCTCAGCGATCCAGCTTCAGAAAACACAGGGCTTCGAGAGCAACCCAAACCTTGGAGTACGTCGATATTCACTTGATAATGCCATATCAGCGACTGGCTTTAATGCAGATAGTATAGCGTCAAAGCATGGTGTGACATGAGGTACCATAAGAAGCATGACATGAAGTGTGGGATGATGTACGGGGATTATTTTACGCAGTCCTGAATGGACAACATGAGCACAGGACCCGGGAGGATGACAGTCCAAGACATACTTGTGGTGCGAGGCTTTGATGGCTGCGACCTTGGCCTTCTTCTCAGCAACACGCTTTTGGATAAGGGCACTAAAGGAGATATTACTACGGCGGACCGGGTTTCGTGCAGACAATTATCACTTACTCGTATTCTGCCTTCTGCTCCTTCTGGCGGTCAATCCGGCGACGGTTGAGAGAACGGAGGTGACGGGCGCGTTGCAGACGGATGGGGGTGACCAATCTTTGGATTTTGGGTCTGGGCAGGGAGAAAACTTCAGCCCAGAAAAAAAGCAAAGTGACTATACTGACGCCTTGGTGTAAGGTTTGGCGTTCTCCTTCTTCGAACTCTTCACCTCACGCCTCACAACGTACTTCCTGACATCGTCCTCCTTCGACAAGTTGAAGAACCTTCTGATCTTCGTTGCCCTTTTAGGACCAAGTCGCTTGGGCAGGACAGTGTCGGTGAGCCCAGGGATATCATTGTCGCCCTGCTTAACGATGACGACGGAGAGGACAGCAATGTCCGGGCCAACAATGCAACCACGGACAGATTTGCGCTTCCTCTCGCCTGCGCGGCTTGCGCGATAGCAAGAGTGGTTGTCGGTCAAGAGAAGTCTGATACGGGAAGGGAGTAGGACACCCTGCATCATGGGGAAACCTTGCTTGTCGTTACCACCAGTGATACGGAAAATGTAACCCTTCCATTCGTCTCCAAGGATGTCTGCCTCTACCTCTTGCGAGATCTTCTTGTCGAAGAAGATGCGGCTAGTTTCAAGTACTTTGGTTAGTTTTCAAAGGAAGAGTTGTGCCAATCATACAATCTTCTCTCCTCGTCAATGTTGATAGTCTTTTGAGCCCCAGTGGCGGGGTCTGGATAGAATGTCAGTTCAAATCGTATTGAGCATATTGGACATCAAACGTACTGGCAATGTTGATCTTCATACTGCCCACGGAGAACTGTCAATACGAGCTCAAATTTGATATCAACATTGATAATTCACCTTACGAAAGGGAAATAGGCCTTGTCACCGTGGGCTGCAGCGACGAGGAGGAGTCTTGATCTTGTTGGTTAGCCTGGGCCTTGTATTCAACAGTGGCAGATTCCGGCTTGTGGCTGAAGTGGAAAATAAGGTTTGCTACTATACAGTTACTAAGCCACATACCAACTCGTCACGCGTCACATCACCTTTCTGTGAACGCGTCCAACGACACTCCTCAAGACATCCCCTCCGTCAACAAAAACTGTGAGCGTTCTGCGAAGTAGTGTTGTTTAAAGCTGACAAGATGGTACAGATTCATCATGGGTCGTATGCACGCTCCTGGCAAGGGCATTTGTGCGTAGCAAAAATGTCTTCTATTGATATATGGGATCTATCCTGATCATCTTCATCAGCGTCCTCCGCCCTTCCTTACAAACGTTCCCCTCCTTCGTGGCTCAAGACCACTCCAGATGAAGTCGTCGAGCACATCATGAAATTGGCTCGCAAGGGTCTCACTCCTTCTCAAATCGGTGTTACCCTCCGTGACTCGCATGGTATCCCTCAAGTGCGCTTCGTCACTGGTAACAAAATCCTCCGTATCCTCAAATCCAACGGTGCGTGCTTCACCGACCAATTACTTCGCCAAACACTCATGCATTGAACTGTCATCTGCCTCGTTGCCGTGCATTTCTGCTACTGCATCTCGTTTTGTACATGCCTTTTGTTTGGGGATAGGAGTGGCACCATCCATCCCAGAGGACCTTTGGCACCTCGTCAAAAAGGCGGTGGCCGTGCGCAAGCACCTTGAAGTCAACCGCAAAGACAAGGACTCCAAGTTCCGTCTTATCTTGATCGAGTCTCGTATTCACCGTCTTGCTCGCTACTACAAGACAAAGCAGCAGCTCCCTCCTACATTCAAGTATGACTCTGCTACTGCTTCTACTTTGATTGCGTGAACGGTAGTGGGCTTTGGCGTGTAGTGGCTGTTGGGGCAGATTATATCTCTATCATTGTCGTACAATCCCTTCACTGATATCACGCAAAAAATAGGCTTATGCAGAACTATGTGCAAATATCCGTTCTCGTAATCAAGGAGATCATAACCCCAGAGTTAAAGTTGTCCTTGGTATATCATCTCTATTACTCACCAGCTCTTACATTGCCGACCAGCTAGTCGACGAACATTTGGCGGTGTTAACGTTTATCCCTGAGTGTTTTCAAACGCAGTTCTTCAATTGAATGTTGGCAGCCTATACAATCTTGATGGAGCCGTCTTGTAGTGATGCGGCAGACTCATCATCCTGACCACGCGGCTTTAAGACAAATGTGGCCAATATTCAGCGTTAGCGAGAGGGGCAATTGGAGGGATTTCCAGGCTATTGCCAGGAGTACTAACAACGGTGGCAAGTTGTCAACTCGTAATTAGTCCTGACTACGCTGGAGCCTCTCTGAACGACATCCATCATCGTGACGTCAGTCTTAGCAATCTCTACTGGTCAAATGGTCGGCCACATTCAGTCGCCCTGTGCAAGACGTATTGGTAAGCAAGCCTGGTTGAATGCAATAATATGTCGTCGCTATGTGTTATCCTTTAAGCATAAATGGGAGTGCAAGCGCAGCACCCAATGTTCCCAGCCATGATACACCGAATACCACTGTCACAATTTTTGAACGGTCGTAGACCGCACGGACCCTAAAAAGATCTTCGCTAGTGCACAACACGGAATTTGAGGCAAAATAGAGGCTGTTATTATTTCTGGAATAATCATAGCTTATCATTATCGAGAAAGTTGGCGTGCGTCGTGCACGTGTCGATTGATCAAAAGAAGCAAACCCACAATTTTGAGACATATATTCATTCATGATCAATCAATCAAGACCTTACTTTCCAGATCCTCAGTTTTCTCAGCGCACTCACAATGATGGGAGGGCAGATTCGCTATCACCATTCTTGGATGGATCATCAAAACAGGCTAGTACTAGCTCTGGACGTTTTTCATCATATGACGACAGAACAGTGCTATGTGGAGTGCACAAATATTTACCTTGACCTCATTGATATTTCGGTTACCAAACTATAGTACGGATAGTGGTATACTGCGAATGTCACCGCTATACGTTTGACAAGTTCATCTCTCACCCACACCCATTCTCTAACAATATGACCATAGTCTCAAATGACCCCACTTGGTGGCCGTCCATCAATGCATATCGTTTTGCTAGCTATTTTGGAGGTTCGTGGAGAGCAGTCGGATGTTGAAGCTGAGCGCTGACTTGGATATCTCAATCTGACCTTGGCTCCGGTATCCCAGTTGCCGCCTTTGTTGGGGTGATGTATGATTGGGGTGAGCACGATAATATCAAAGGATCACTGATATCTTACAAGTATTTTCAGCACTCACATTCGGACAAGAGGTATGTCGACGCCATGACCGGAGCAGCCATCTCGCTAAGAATCCTTCTATAGGTCGAACTCATCTGGGTGAGTAGAGTCTCATGGCAGAGGGAACACACATGAAAATGCACTTATTTACAGATGCAACGCTGGTCCCTAATGACAGTGCTGTATCTCAGTGTACGTAGCTTGTTTGTCATAGTTGCCATTGCGTGCTGACTTGAAAGTATCCTAGGTGCGCTACCTTGGAATCCTATCTGCTGCGTATGTTCGGAAGGCTAAACAATTGGTGTTGTGCTAATCGTCTGTCACTCATAATCAGCCTTGTTACCCTGAGTATGTCTCCTTGGTTCATTCACTATATTGACTTCTTCTGATTAACGGCATTCAGGCAGTCTTCCGACCATCTCGCTGACAGATACAGTGAGTCTTCTGTATAAATGCCTGCCATTCCCCTCAAATTAACGGTGGTGTTCTGTAGCAGTGGGTGCGGTCCTTTGCCGACTTCTCAGTCCACTAATGGCTGTCCGCTATGCTACCAAAGATGTGAGTCTGTGTGGAGTGTGTACTACCTGAGACTGGTCACTGATCGGATTTGTCAGGCTGGATGATGTACACTGTATGGAATTGGACGGTTTTTGTGGTATTTGCGATGCTGTGGGGTGAGCTTTGCACTTGCGAGACCTCAGCGATATTGGAATGACTGAAACATGCTGCAAGTCATCATCATCACTCGGTTGCATGCCATGTATCAACGAGACAGAATGATCCTGATATTTCTCGTTGTCACCTTCCTGGCGATCAACGCTTTTAGTGGAGTGACAGCCGTAATGTCAACGATGCATCCTTCGGGAGGTACGCTTAATTATACATGAAAACGAACGTGCATATGGATCATTGATGGATACCAGAGGAACTCATTCTCTCCGGCACCTACCAGTGCAGGATTAATCATACAGGAGATACCCTAGTTCTGGATTCTGCTGCTTGGATACTCTACATTGTGTGGGAGGTCCTCACACTATGTCTCGCAGTCTGGATTGCGGTAAAGCATTTCCGTGAACTGCGATTCCATCCAGCAGGAGGGATTATTGGGGACTGTTTTACGATGTTGATAAAAACTCATGTGCTTTACTTTGCGAGGTAAGTTCGTATTGTGATCATTGTCCTTTTTTCCACTGAAGGGTTGGACATGACAGCTTTGTTGCTGTCTCTTGCTTCCAGCTCTTTATGGATTTCTCTCCAACATCATCAAATGTACGTGAATCTTCCACTTACCTCCAGTAGACATGTGACCACGATCTATCATTTCTGTAGAGCCAACTTCTCCTACAAGATTCTTTGTCTGGCTTGTTTCAGATTTTGGAGGTCGTGCAGATGTTCGTGCTAGGACCACGGCTGATCCTTGGCATTCGAGAATATAATGCTGAACTCGTGGCTGATTCCGACGCAGCAACCGGCATGACCTCAATCGCTTTCCAGGAGCGTGTGCATATATCGACTAGCAGTCGTGTGTAATGCTCGGTGAAGTTGACGAGAACCGTTGTCTAGTGCTTGCAGGAAGCACGGGAAATTTGTTTTTTATCAGCTTCGTTGCGGTGCTCAAGTAGTTATTTAGTGTCACGAAATAGATGTCAAGGAGACACAGGTTTAGGCGATATTTTCGTTGCAGTATCTATTCGAATCATTTGCTATAGGTCTTGACATTGACAATATTAATGTTTCAACCAATGTCCTGGATATCTCTACCGTACCAACGAAGGAAAGCAGTGCCCAGAACAGGAAAGTCGAGGAGCGAGAGATGTTTATAGGCGATGTCGCCGGAACGTTAGATGCAAGTTTCTATTTGCTCCTGCTTCTCATCTTCGAGGACAACTCGTGACCCACCTCTCGTCGTATCGGACGCACATATGGTGTAGCTGTCTTGTAGCATATATAGGTATCATGCCTTTTCATACTTCATGGGCGCACAGACATGGACAGTATGCACGCATGTAAGCCAGTTGGCGTGAGTTGAAAACGGGAGGTCGAACGTTGAGATCAAATAATGGCATGGTGCAGTACATAAATGAATTGTGGACGTCTAATACAGATTCCTGGAAAGGCGGACTGGTGACAGCGGGCTGCGGTGATCATACGGCAAGGACCTCGACAGCCTCCTCACGTACTTGACTTGAGTATTTCTAAAAGCAGAGGAGGCGCGTCTGGCAGGCGAGGGTGGGTCGAAGAGTCCAATGTAGAACGGTCGACTATGCCAGTGGCTTTGCTAAGCCACCAAAGCTTTTTGAATGGTACGAGCGTGCTTCAGAGTGCTCAGACGATGTCTCACCACCATGCGGAGTGCTACCAGTGAGCATTGCCTTGCAGGGGAATCTGAACATATCCAAAGTACTGACATCTGAGCATCGGACGAGAATCATGAAACGGCTTGTCGGTGTGGTTCTAAACCCGTGAAAGGGACATGCAGGGACCAGCACCAGCGATAGTGAGTGAGGAGTCGAGCATCTGCTGCTTGTTGTCAGGCTGTGGAGGTGATGGCGACTTCGAGACAGGGAGAAGTGAATCCCGAGTCGATGTGGTTGGTTTGTGGCAGAGACCTGCCTCTAGGATGTAGCAGGTGATTACATGGATGCAGCCAAGATGTTGTCAACTAGCTTGACAATGGCATCGATGTTTGGGCCATGATTGAGGTTGAAAGCGCATCCGAAAATCAGGTTGCGGTCAGGACAATTTTCATCACGTGCCGCAACATATATGGGAGGGCGACTATATCATTAAGAAGATGTCATGTATATAGTACTCTACACCGCATATCTCTCGCTAGGTTGGATCATATACGCGATATTTGTGGCCATCAAAAGTGCAATATGTACACACTTAGTATTCCCGTCATCCTATCATGCACTGAATGCAAGCTTCGTTACCAACTTCCCAGCATTGGCGCCAGTGAAAAGCCTTCCCCAAACCTTTGGGATGTCAACGAAGGGTGCTTCCACAATGTCCTCAGCACGTTCGAGCGTGATGTCTCCCCGCTGAAGTGCTCCAGCAATGTCTGGAAAGGCTTCCGTGGCCACTCTGTTAGACCCGTCTTTCGGGAACATGAAGTCAAGAACAACGAAGCCTTTAATAGATAGGCGGTTGGTGACTACTTCAATCCAGGTACTACCCATCGTGGGTTTCCCCACGTCCTTATTGTATCCTGGGTATGAAGGTCAATAGCTATGCATATCGGCCAGATGTATATTATACTAACCTGAAATGGCGCCACAAGCTGCGATACGACCATGCTGTTTGATTCGTGGAATCACTTGATCCAGGACAAAACCACTATTGCATCAGCTTTAGTTCATAGAAGTAAAACGTCCTGCTCATGTAGCTTACCCGACACTGCATGCCGAAAAGCAATGAGTAAATATTCAGGATATAGACTACGAAAGACTTACCTGTCAAAGTATGCATCCACAAAGTCCGATGTGGCGTCAATAAGATCTTGAGGGAATGTATCTGATTTATAATTAAGGGCGACGTCTGCGCCGAGTTCCTTGATCCATTGGCATTTTTCGTCTGATCCTGCAATTCCAATCACTTTTTTCGCCTTGATCACTTTCTTGGCGTATTGAACGACGACATTCCCGACGGCACTATTTCCATGATTTTAGTGGACGGTACTATTGAACGGACCAAGATAAACTCACCCCGCAGCCGCGCTGACAATCAGCGACTCTCCTTCCTTGAGTTTCAAGATATCCCTCAGACCATCTATGTGCACATTAAACAAAGGATGACACTGCGCACTGATGACAATTACAGTATGCAGTAAATCCAGGTACCCCAAAAAGACCAAGAGCGGCAGTAGGTGACACATTTTCGGGTAGCCTAGTTAGGTCAGCGGTGTAACACCAAGAGAAAGCACTCGCATACATTACGGGTAGGCATGAAGATGGGTCTGTCTTGACCACAGCGTATCGTCGCCACCCAACAGTCAAACAGTAAACTAAGTCGTTTACCTTGAATCCATGGCTAGTGTTGTCCTTGAGTGCGAGAACACGAGCGATGGAATGAGTCGCCATTACATCGCCTTTACGCACAGGAGCGGTGTAAAGGCGTTCTGGTAATACACCTTTCTGGATCCATCCTAGAGCAACATGGTCAGCGACTGAGATCCAACCTTGAAATAGAATATAAACCTCGTTGCGCAGGGTCGTTGGAGATGTACAAAGTTTCCACGAGCATTTCCCCGTCCTCAACATGAGTCACAGGTTCTTCTGTCAAAGCAAACGTTGCATCGTCAGAAAAATCAAGAACTACAGAGTCTTGAGGGGAATTCTTGATACGCCAAACTGGTGTATGCGTTGGGAGGGACATGTCGACTTTGAGCACTATGGATGACGAGCTACTGTTCTGTGGGTTGGAGTACAAGAGGCAGTGGCCCGTAATATAACTTGTGGATATATATCTTGGCGCCTGCGAATATGATCAATCGAGTTCTGGATGGAGGAAGATCACATCAATTGTCTTTGAATTCTCTGGGATAGGACACCCACAGCACTCTCAGAATGGTAGTAGTCGTCTGATGAACACCCTCTGTCCGGTTATTCCGACGTCAACATCACTCGGGTATCCTAGAATGGAGATGTCCTCGTTCCATCCTGGATGACTTGAAATTACCTTGTTCACACAAGGTCACTCTCACAATTGTGGGTGTAGCGTACCACAACAATGCGCCCCTTCGTACTATCTTTTATGCTTCCCCGTCTTATATGCAAGACAACCACTCTGTATTCCAAACATGTCTCCTGGCCAACGTACAATAAGACGATGCTGTGCTGTTAATTTGTGGCAATCTTGTAGAGGTTAAGTATCTATTTTGTCTTGTCAATTATACGGGTATCGTCGCAGATTGGACTCACTGCGTTAATGTTTGCATCTGTGCTACCACGAATAGCTTTGACATGGAAAAATTATTACGCTACGCTTAAGCGAAGGTCGCATGTTTTTAGGGCAAGCGGAGTCCGCCACATGCTCGGGGGACTCGGTCAGTCAGAGTTCGCTCGGAATACGATGTACCAACAACTCGAATTTCTCGCAACATCTGTGAGGCCTGCGGATGATGTGCTTTGCCTCTAGATAGCATCAGTCGTTCCCTGGTCAATCATGTATGCATGTTTTGGTTTGTGTGTTCCAAAGTCGAATGCTCTGTCGTGACCACTGACGGTGATGTTGAGTGGAGTTGATCGCCATAGTACAATTAAACGGTCGTCACACGTGACCAATGCCGGCGGCGACCAGTCCGGGTTGTTCATATCTTGAAATAATAACAGTAAAATTTAAATCCATCTCTGCCAGTTGCAGCAGTGCGCTAGTCGTAAACGTTCGGGCTCATGCATGAATGAATGGCCGCCATCTACCGTACATAAGCTCAGGTACCTATCTCTCACATGAAAACGAGCGTGATTTTAGAGTATAAAATTAACGGCCATTGTAAATCTCAATTTTTTAGAAAAATGAATTGCGCAGTGTTGATGATCTGATCTTCAGATCTCAGATTCAAATTTTGCAGTGTGAACCCTGTGCGGCTGGATTTTTGAAACAAATGGTGAGGGCCATTAAGAAAATGCATCATATGAGTTAGGTGTCGACATCATTGTGACACGTCAGCTGGGCCTAGGCTCCGGTGTCTTCATAACCTCAACTACATCTCACCCAAAATTGCAGTATCATGATATGCACACCATTCTCGCAGGTTCATGACTACTTGACAGGGAAACAAGCCATGTTGGGCCAGCACTTAAGAACGGTGATGAGTGACCTGTTATTACTTGGAAATTGTTGAACCGGCTCCCACAGCAAGATACGAGCAAAAACTCAGTGAAGATCTCACTCACTGCACGGACCGTACATAATAAGTTCATTGATATTTTCGCTCTTTTTCTTGTAAAGGAGATACAGAGCATTGTGGCTGCACTCCCTCTGATATTGGTAGTACATATATCGGTTAAGTATGTCCTGTTGAGTGTATCCTAGCTATTATTTATTGTGCAAGCGTACTGTACAGGGAGGAGCAGAGTGAGGCTTGGCCAGAAAATGTTAATATTTTGAAACTACCTAATTAGGAAATATTTTGAGCGGTAGTGACCGCTTCGGGTAATTTTCTGGTGATAAAATTGATATGTACATTTATTTTTTCCCACAAGGTCTCAGCCAATTGAATTCATTTGTAGTTTATGCGAAGAACGTAGATCTACTTGGAGGATGTCTGAGTTGAGCATTTTCCCAAAGGTACTACTTACTAATTATCAGAGGTTTCTGAGGGTCTTTTTACGTTACACTGCTGGTACCTTGTTTTCGCCACAGCTTGGCAGCCGAACAGTGGCGGAGTGGTGACAGGTCACTACACACTCACCACTCTCGCAGGTTCATGACCGCTTGACAGGGAAGCAAGTCATGTGGGCCAGACAGAAATACCGAGGTCACTCGCGTTACGCATTAATGGTTTGTTATGTTTCTCTAATGCACTTTGTAACCTGAGCAGTGGTTTTGCAGATGCGGCGGCCCTACTAGCCGATGTAAGATCACCAAATTCACAGTTTTCCGCCACCTTTCGAGACCACCCTTACCGCGTGCAGTGGTCCTTGTATCTATGCTGGCACGAATCACAAGGTACAATCGTCGTTCTAAACATAAAACATCGCTGTGCTGGGCAATCTTGGAATGTGGCAGCGCGGGATATATAGTGAGTGGTGATTGAGACACGTACCTCTATATTTGAAATACTGTGTCAGAATAGGAAATTTTACTATATAAAAGCTAGGTTGCAGAGTGTGAGTTTCGGATCTTGCAATGGAGAACCGAACTACTAAGAGCTTTGGACAGGGGTCCTACTTACAATGACACTGAAATTCGGTTACCCTACCGTATATAACCTTCAACGATGCAACTCGTTCAGCATCGCTTCAGCCTCAGTCACTGAGACCAGCATACTACCGACTTGGATGGCTAATATCTTTACTCGTTACGATTTAGAACAGTTCAAATGGAAGCCCTTCAAAGGTGAAGGCGTCCAAAGTGGATGGGCTCGCCCTCTTGGAGGCGGTGAGTATGTCCACGATATTTTCAATCGCTATGTCAAGGGTGACCAAATATGTATTGTTTTTCGGGGTCACTATCGACTTGCATGACCCTGTGAGCATCACCAAGCTCCGCTCTTCCGCTCAAGAGTGCTGGTGCTGGTTCCGCTCCCAAATTCCTACCATCGCGTCATCCATCCTAAATGAATCAGATCACAAGCTGCCCACGTTGATCTATACAACTGCAAGTCCGCAAGAGATCAGCCAGTGGGCTCAGCGCACTCTCATTATCCATCCACCCTCACATATCGACCTCGCCCAATTACGGGTCAACGAGGGTCAGAAGAAGGTCCCTTCATCTGATGGAGACTATACACGGATGCATCTTGTCCCTGGCGAAATCGTTAACGGGGCGGTCTCCAAATTCGGTCTGCTGTTTCATACCCATCATTCGCTGTTCGATGGCACAGGCTTAAAGATCGTCATGAATCGCTACCTCACACAATTGGCGAAGGTGCTCTCCGACTCCTACAGCGGATCCGAGTTCGTCGAATGGGGAAATGAGTTTAAAAACCTTCCTCCGGCAGTCTACAACATCCTAAACTCCAAAGAAGCGCTTCCTATTCCGCCAGACTCGCTGGAGGAACCTAGCTTTGACCACGATTACTACAAGTCCCTTACAGCAGGAGTCGTTTCTGCCTTGGGCACGACAAAGGTGCTATTTATTTTCTTTCGACTTTTTTCGTGGCTAATTACTGAACATCAAGGATACATACGGATTTAGCGCTCGCCCTAAAGATACAGAGTGGCCGAAGACGCGTCGCGCCGAGGTCTCCTTCACGAGGGAAGAATCAGAACGAATCCTTACTGCCTCGAAGATCTCTGGGTTCACAATTACACACCTTGGTATGTAGCTACCTCCACCTCCATCAGTATGTCGGATTGAGAATCCACCAGCCCATGCTGCTTTAGCAATGGTCGCCATAGCTGATAATCCACCCAATTTGGCGTCTTCTTCCCACTACTTGAACAGCCCATCTCTGGCTAATTTCCGAGGCCGGTTGGATCCCAAACATGTGCTACATCCAGGCTATGCCATTGCTATTTTTATGACCAGGATTCCGGTGTCAGCATTCTTGTCCCCTGACGGAGGTGTCTTGCCATTAGACAGAGACATGCTTCTACAAGTAGCAGACATAGCCAAGGAACAGTATCGAACCATCACAGAATTGCCCGCTGGGTTGAGTTGCATGCCGCAGGTTGCTGAAGCATTCGCCATGGTCACCGTGCCGGCTGCATCTGCAAACATGTACGTGCGGGGTACGAATAATTCACGTTTGATCATGTCATAGCAGATTGCCACCCGACCAGTGTTACTCATTTTCCAGTGACGGCAGAGGAGAAAATTACTTGAATCCCACTTTCGCGGATGACACTGGGAAACCCATCCTTTCGGTGAACAAGTTCTTCACATCTCTGAACAGATTCGACCCCGGCCCGTGAGTTTTCTAGATCTTAATAGTTCTGCAATGCAATTAACTGGAACACTTAGATTCTTCCGTCTCTCTTCTTGGGGAGGCGTAGTTGACCTTGGCGCTGATTACAACTCTAATATCGTGAAGACGGAGGATGCGATGAATTACTTGAATCAATGGAAGAGGCCATGTTTATATCATTTGGAACCACATGAGCAACATGAATTATTTCTGTACATCATAGTGGCGCTCCTAGTCAGCCGCGCCAGTCCCCAACTCAGCATGAAGACACCAAGAGAATATATGATTCGCAGGTGATTGTAGCACGATAACATCGAATCGATTTATTTGAGGCAAACCATTAGCTTTGTCACTGGTCTACCACTTGATTTGGAGTGGAACTAGTGAGTTTTTCGTAGTTCGCAAACCTGCGCACTTCGATTAGGAACACGTCTTTCCTCTACAAAGCCGAGAACGACGGTGTGATAGCCCGCAGCAGAGTTATGCCTTTCTCAGGTCTCCGTTCACTGATGCGCAACTGGGCAGAGTTGCCGAATACAATTTGTTCGGGCCATCTGCAGTGTATGTGACGTACGAGTGACAAAGGAAGGACCTGCTATGGGACAAGCTACAGGTACTCGAGACGCGCTAGCCTTATGATATTGAACAGCTACAAATACAAAATCTGATCTTGAACACCAATCAAACATGGTGTAGTAGTATACTACGTAGCTGAACGCTGGTAAAGCGTACGTAGGAATTTATGACTAAGTATAACGTATGGTAGCAGCAACATTATCATAACATGAGATAATGTACAAGAAATCACCGTCTCCCTCCTTAGTGTCTCTGAGACCTTCTGGGCGCGGCAACGGGTTGAGGAGCTGGTGGGAATTGAGGGGGTATGTACATAACGTGTCTGCCCCTCTCGGCTTCAGCCATCAAACGAAGTTCCTCCCTCGCCACCGCATGATGTCTGGCTTGAACGGCCTGAATGCGTTGCGCCTCCCTGATTTCTGCTTGACGCTTCAACTCAGCGTGGGCGAGTCGTGCCCGTGCCATTCGCTCCTGAAACTGTGCATGAGCCTGGGCACGTTGAGCGAGCGCCACTCGCTGGCGGGCTTGCTCCTCTAATATCTGTTGCCGAGCCTGGGCATTTAACATATTTCCTGGGTAGCCTGCATAGGGTAAGCCATAAGCGGGTACTGCATACGCATTCGGTACTGGACCATGCGCATTCGGTAAGACCGGTAATGCCGGCAAGCCCCCCCATCCAGCGTTCATGGGCTGAAGAGGATGCATATTGGGCACTGGCTGAGCCGGACCGGCAATTGGTAAATCTATCTTGATGTTGCTCTCATCAACGTCAGGGTGATCGCGTTTGACATCTTCCATCGCCTTCTTAGCTGCTTCTTGAACCTGGACAGATAGGGTGCCGTCAACAAAATTGTTCCGTGATAATCAGCCGAACCTAATACCTCAGTCGCATGCCGCTGTTCTACCGGATCCCATAGCAGGCATTTGTTCTTATTAAAATGCTCGTATCCATTAATGATCTCCCGGCATACATAGCAAGATACAACTCGACAATTTGGACAGGTCATTTTGTTACACTGAGGTGCACGGTGAGCATGTGGTCTCACGACGAAGGGGGAAAAAAAGGCTTACGCCGTGTTCTTTTATGAATGCTGTGTGTAACTATGATTAGAGCTACTGATTGAAAGAGTTTGTAAGAACGTACCTTTCTGGCACTTCGGACAGTTTCGCATCAGTGCACGAGCTGAAAAATATTGTCAAAATAAGCCGCTAATGATCATCATGTGAACGTACTCATTGCTTCCTCAACAACGTGCTGCACGTTAAGGTGTTTGTCTGATTCTACTTCTGGAGGACATTGTGAGCGAAACAGTCAATGAATACAGGATCGAGGTTACCCTTGCAGCTCTTCGGTAAATGGTCCTATTCAAATGATGAAAATTGGACCCTCTTCTGCATGAAGGTTTGAATACGTACATGCTTCTTACATTCTCGACAGCTCACCGCACCGCAGTCCGCATTCTCACACCGAAAGAGCTTCTCCATCTCGTTCTCGATCACGCATTTATAATCGCAAAAAGGGCATTCCTCCAAGTTCTCAAGGCCGGCGTCCTCAATGTCCTTGCGCTGCCTTACGCGATGATACAGCTCAAGCAGCTTCGGTGTAAGGAAACGTTCCAGCTCGGACTGCGGAAAGAGAAGTTTGCATCCGGACTGATCCATGCAAACGATATTGGGATTGTGCTCGCCCAAAAGGTTGGATGCGTAGGAAGACATGCAACCTTTGCAGAATAGATGTGCTTCCGGACACTGGACCATCTTGTCCTACTCACGAGGTTAGATTATGCTTGCTAAGAGAACGAAGAAAGCAACAAACAAATGGATACGAGGAGAAGCAACAACCACATTCAATACCGTCTTCACATTCTTCACATGCATCATTGTCACTTGTTTGATCAGGAAGCCGCTGTACATCAGCTGACACAGGTGCATCCTGTCGCTGCAGAAGCCATTGTCGCTCTGCCTCGAATTCGGGGTCGTGCTTCTCTCTCCCCTTTCCACTAACTCTTGAGGGAATGGATTTCGGAACATAAGGTGGAGGATCCCGCTTCTCAGCCAAAAACAAATGAGTTGGAGCATAGAATCGACGTTTTAGTAGCAGCGTTCGGAGATACGGCTTCGGCGCGTATGGAAAGTCGACCATAAGCCGTTCCTACTAAGGGATCAAGATAATGTATCATACAAAGAGAAAAGTTACATACCAAAGCCAGCTCGAAGTAATGTATGCCCCCCTTAAATTCTCTGTCTGTCGCGCCATAATCAATCTTAGGAACAGGCTGCCCACGGGCAGCGCCTTCCTCGTCATCTTCGAGCCTTTTCCGTTTCCCCTTCCTATCGACTTTAGGGTAATTTGGGTCCTCAAAAAGAGAATGGAGAACAAGCTCTAGGACGTTCTGTCCGGCATTGACTGGATTATGGATGAATTGCTCCGCAAGCCCGAGAACATGTGCGGGTTCTACATCTGGGACAATCTCAAGGACGCGAGCAACACACGTGTCAGTTGAAACCTGGGCCTCCACCGGTGTTTCAGAAGGTTGGGAGGGTTGAGGAAGTGGCGCGAGCGGAAGCACTGGTGCTGGAGGGATATCTAGCTGCTGCATCAGCATGGGCATTGGTTGTAGCTCTGCATCCTCATCATCTGAATAAAAAAGCGGAGCGGAAGCGATTCTGTCTTTGCGAAGATGTTTCTGAGATGATCCGGCAGCCGGAATAGCTGCACCCTCAAGCAAGCCATCAAGAGGCGCCCCGATAACCGGCAAGTTCGAAGGACCTGGTACTGCATGTGTTTTGGCTGAGCGCCTCTTTCCCGGGGACATCGGTTTATGCTCGGGTTCACTATCAGAGTCTGTTATTTCGATGATTTCTTCAGCCCATAGACTTGGTACTGGTGGCGGTCGCGGTAGTATCCTTCGCTTTTGCGACCGAGGCTGTTGGCTTTGATTGCGAGTTACTCTGGATGTCGTAGGAAGTAGTTCAGGGGAAGAAGGGATGTCAATGACCTCCATGACGGTTGGACTTTAAGTGCGAGGAGCCACAACTGGCAAGTCAGTCGGGTTTTGCATTTATGTCTGAGCATAAAAATATCCACAAAATTACATATTGTCGTAAAAGGCAATTAAATTGCTACATTGTGGATTGTTCAGGAAACTCAGATACGGTCATTGTTGACTAAGCCACGCGCTGCCACTGAGTGATTCCACTGGCAGATGTTGGTGAATCGTGATGGTGATATTCAATATCACCGTGACAGCACACCTTGATGGTAGTACCCAAGTATGCGTGTTCGAAATACAGGCATTGTCGATTCAATGGTTCTCAGGTATGTCCGCCACATTGATAGTACCAAAGCTTCATTGCGCCGCAGGGACGCTCAATGATCATGAACAAAGCAGCATCAGTGTGGACCAATGGTCATTCCCGGTAGCGTCTCCTAGGCAATTTCTTGTCCAGCGTAAATATTCGGATGTGGAGACCTAACTATTCCCAGCACTCGCTCGCACCACCTCATCATGTGGCGAGGGCCGTAACAGGATCTTCTCTCCCGAGGGCCACGCACCCCATTCCTGGAGCTCATTATAGACGCCTGCAAAACATGAGGTAAATATGCATGCTTTTCTAGGTTCAATGTTCATTCTTTGTTTAATGGTTGCTCTGTAGCGTAATCGTGCGAATGCCACCAGCAGGACAAGGTATTCAAACAGCAGCCACCACCACCTCGTCAGCAGGGCCGCACTTCCGCGTCGAACATATTCCGGAGACTAGTTACTTGACGACTCTGGCCAGATACTTACCGCGTCTCTCATGCACTTGACAAACCTGTTTGCAGGCCTAGTTACTTCCTGCTCCCGCTAGGTTTCTTCTCTGTCAACTGAGCTTGAATGATTTCCTTTGCTGTGTATCAGAAGTGTGGAATTTTTCGACGCTCCACATGGAATCACCCTCGTGTGACCGGCCTCCTCCACCAATCAAGCAACTTCGAGGATCACGCTTGCGCTTACGCCTTCGTTCCTTTATTTGCTAGACTCAAAGCTCAACTATTATTTAGATATGTCTCGTACCGGTATCACCCACAGGTGCAAACCCAAGGACACATCAAAGACACTGCAAGGCATTGCCAAGCGTGATCATATGGATCTTGTTTGCGATAGTATTGGCAAGATCTATTCCTTAAGTGGCACATTTAGCAGGCGATCAGGTAAACACATCATTTGCATGACGGCAGTCCTGCCACCTCTAGCTTTACTCGTACGTGGCATGTGGCACTACGGGAGATTGGATAACAAATGTGGCTATCGGGTTTGATAAGAACACCGAGGACACACCAACACCACCTGATATATTCGAGCGTGGACCGATCAATCAGCGCCATAATGGCATGGATGCCCGAGCCAGTTGCACGAGAATGGATAGTGGAATACAGCAATTATGATCTAGACTGATGATATCAGCAACGAGCCTGACTTTGGCTCATACACGACTCAGGGGATAACGACAGGGCAATACTGCTCAAGCGGATGCAGATACAATCCCATCATCAGCGTCCTATCCACTATGGTTCCCAGATCTTGGCAAGTTTTGGGTCTCGACTGCACCACTGCTGCCGATCCAGGAACGCTGATCGGACAAATCTGCATACAGGAGGCCTAGGACTCCAATGGCTGTCCATCGACTGCCACGGCGGCTGACTCTTCAACTGATCTACTAGAAGGTTGGCTTTGCAAGTACCGCGGGGTGGAAGGGCCAGGCAATGGGGAAAGTAAGTGCTGTTCGTGGCGTGGGGTAGAATCTTCCCTGACAGCCTGCTCAAATGCAGTTATTGAAGGTGCGGTACTCTGTGGCACTATTGTGCGTTTTGTTGGTGAAACGCTTGCGCCACGTTGGTAAGGTGACTCAACCCAACGTCTTTCAGTTGGGATCTCAGGCAACGGGGTGTCACCGAGATCATCATCGGTACTGTGGGAAAGGCCACCACAGCACGGTTTAGTGAGGGGCTTTGCTGGTGTGACATCCTGTGTTTTGGCTTTCATGGCGGACTTATATGAAGACTTCTGTGGCGGGGTAGAAGGGCGAGTACGGTGTTTCGAAGGCGTCCCAGGAGAATTCATTTCTTGTAGCTGAGATTTGATGCGGCCGGCGACTATATCACATTCCTTTTTGAGGGAGATTTGAACGCAGGTAGAGGGACGCCATAGTTCTAACAAAGTGGTTTTTCTTGCACCCCTTGAACAAAATGACGCGAGCAATGTAATATTAGAAAGATATATCATGCAGACCTTCATAATCTGACATATCCAGTAAGATACGGCACAAGTCACCATACTGGCTCGGGTACGAAACATATCAACCTTGGGGATACTGCTTTCCGCTTCGCACATTGCGACCGAGGCTTTTTGTGACACTTCGTTATTATTCAGTCTATGAACAATTATCAGATGCCAAAAAATAGTAATCGGGAAACAGTGCACCTTCTGATGGACGCGAGGTACGCGCAGACTCGGATGCCTGGAAGTGCACTTGGATGAGCGACGAGAAACGCAGAGTCAGGCCCAGGCTTTTGCAAGTCGGAGAATCACCTGAGGCTGTGCTTCTCATATGTTTCTCCGGAGTATAGTGTGTCTTTCAAGTGCTGCTGCCATCACGAAGGTGCACGACACGGTGGAAGGAACAAGACGCGCGTCGCGGTCCGCGAGCGTGACAGCTGAGCGGGCACGTGACATCTATCTACACTCCCTCCCAGTCAACACACAGTTCTGGCTTTGACCACGGCCAGCTGGCCTAAAATCTACCCAATTGTGCCAATAAGCCTACATTGTTCTTAGAGAATAGTTGCCACAGCCAACACGCTTTGGGTCAGTAGAATTGCATAAAAAGCGTCTCCTATTTCTCTCCTTTCTCCTCACTCCATTTTCTTCCTTCCAATACAAAATGCGCATTCCAATTATCGCGAGCCATCGATACCAAGACGTTGGTCGCCGAAAAGGCGGCGGCGGCGGCGGCGGGAGAGGTGGCAGCAGCGGAGAGGGCGGCAGCAGTGGAAAGGGCGGCAGCAGCGGAAAGGGCGGCAGCTCAGGGAGTGGGGGTACGTCTACTAATCTAACAGCTAAACCCGTGGTAAATCTGATTAGACTTTTCAGGCAAAACATCGAAGGTACCAATCACGGGTGGCTCTGCTAGCGGCAAGAGCACTGCAACGGCGTACGGATATGGAGGTGGGAAACCTAAAACGATTCCCGCTGGGCAGTTATTTGCTGGACGTACTGCTGGAGGGGCTATCAGACCACAGATATATGGTACAAGGTTCGTCAACAGATTTTTTTTATCGCGAATGAAAGTCAATCAGGTGTTATTCAGAGCGTATGGCAGCGGATATCCTGGATACTCTAATTATGGCGTCGCAGGCCGAGGATTTCCGTTTTGGTACTGGCCGGTTGTTTGGGGAGGATCTTCAAATCAGTATTTTCAAATTCTGAAGTAACATTATTGCCTCCTCGCACCAAAAGTCGACTGATGCTTCCCCTTTTTAAAGTATGGCGATTCTTCCAATACCAGTAGGTTCGGCGGACCGATGGCACAGGCCGAGTTCATCTCAAATAGCACCGGTTCTACTTTCCATCTACTATCCGACAACAGCACGGTGGGTTCCTTGATCAACTCTATCAACACCAATTGCTCGTCGCATTTGTCATCCTCGAGTTCGAAAACTTCGTCGCCATATAATTCATCCGTTCCAGGAGGCCCTCAGCCGGAAGAAGCTATACAGTACTACCGCTCTTCCAGCATCGTGCTAACTCTGGATGGCTACAATAATTCCGCTACATTCGACAGTAATCCGAATGTCACGGACTCGCCGTTGCCTTCTGGGGTCGACACGACACTTCTAAATTGCTTGAATTACACCATTGGACAGGCCGCTCCGTTAATCGGTGGTGCTAACTCGCGGTACATCTCGCCACCATGCATTGGCTTTGCCACCCTGGTTTGGTTCTTGTGGTTCTTGGGGTACCATGTTTGATTCTTCTAGATCATCATGCATCGTGTTTCATCCCCTCGCTTTTTTGGGATTTCTCCATCATGTTCAGATCCGGATCACGCTTCTGATGATCCTGTTTGTTCCACATTGTTTATTGATGACTTATTTGTAAGTTAAATCGTGATGGATAGGTGCATCTCTAGTTCATCGTATGGTACTATAATCGTAGCCTACCATTCCTCTTTATGCCAACTGTATCGAATCTATCGATTGTTTTTTTCAGAGGCAAAGGCTAGGCTTTGCGTACTCGGCGTGAAATGGGGGTTATAAACTCGCCATGTCACTGGCAAGGGAAGAACTCTGATCCAAATGCAGTACAAAGGTTTAGGATGTCGGCACGTAATCGTTCGTGAGAGTTGTTAATTTTCTTGTCACCGAGAATTTGGTCGATGGGAGTTTTCGGCGAACGTGCGGCCTCGAGGCACGCCAGAACGGCGATGGAGAAGCGCCAAGATTCTCGAGTGGGCAAGAGCCGCATCTCCTGCCTCGGGCGTTAGATGCAAAGTTTCAGCATTCACGTTATAATGATGGAATGACGTGTTCCAGGACGTGATGGGCTGAGCAGACACGATTCGAGTCACGCATTCCGTCGTGCTGTATTGATAAAATTGCAGACAGCGAGGTTGCCAGTCATCGATGAGTCGGATCCGAGATTCTGAAAGTGAGAGGACGAACGAAGAACGGTATAGGAACCGAGTCGGACCACCGAAACCCAAAAAGGAAGTGACAAGCTACCGACCGTTTTTGATACAAGGGAATGGATAAATCAAGGGATGCTTCCTGGACGAGGACCTTGAACACTCGAAGAACCGTTGTACGCATGTTAATTATTCATTGAAAGGCGCTGACAGTAGCTCTCTGTTCTCAGCCCATTTCGTGATTATCATCCACTAGAATCTAAAATAACAAGAGGCGGTGTTCTTGGTCCTGTGCATAAAATTAAATCTTTGCACCCACACTCTGGACTCGCTTGACAAGAACCCAATCTTCGGGCGGACTCCCTACCTGAAAAGCTATAAGGAACGCCCAACACAATAACGCTTTTTGTTCCCCCCCTCCGTCTCTCTTTTGTATCCTGCTTTAGGGAGCTTCCCAACTACTACCGCCCTACTGTATCCATATCACTATAGACATGCCAGCCGTCCGTCTTTCACACCGTCGACGCTCATCCTTGGCCATTAGTATGTTTCTTGATCGCTTTCGGTTTGGTTACATGCTCATGATAACGATCAATAGCGGCTCTCCACCCAATAAAGGCAGGCATCTATGGTATCAACACGACTCCTTCGCCACGATCGGTTACATTCGCACCCAATGTCACTCCAGTCACCTTTAACGAGACTGACGAGTTCCTGTCCTCACCGACTCCAGAACCTTCGTCGCCCACGACGCAGCTCTTCCCTCCTTCAGAGCTTCCCCCAACGACCACCAGGAGACGTGTACCTCCTGGCAAGCGCCGGTCGCTAGGTTACATACCACGTCCCCCGAACGCATTTATGTTGTTCCGTGCGGACTTTGTCCGTCAGAAGCACGTTCCAGGGTCCATCGAGACTAATCATGGTTCGCTCTCCAAGATCATCGGTAGGTTTTAATTACCCAGATAGTCTCATGTGATTCTCATGCCGTACCTAGGCAATTGCTGGAGAGCGCTTCCTCTCGAGGAGAAGCGTGTATGGGAGATCAAGGCCAAGCATGCCAAAGCTGAGCACAAGGCACGGTATCCCGAGTACCGTTTTCGCCCAGTCCACAACAAGAATAAGGAAAAGAAAAAAGAAAAGGCTACACCCACAGCTGAAGATGAACGCCGCTGCGAAGAGGTTGCTCAACTCCTCCTTGACGGAATGAAGGGCGACCAGCTCGCCGCTGCTATCCGCAAGCTCGACGAAAACAAGGTACATGCACCTACGCCTGCCTATCTTCTGAGGAGACCCTCTTCCGTGCCCCTTCCGGATTCGCGATTTGGTGCTGCAGGCATTACCATCCCAACGCTACCTTTCTTCGCAGGCTCGCGTCCTGGGTCTCCTGTTGGCAAAATCTCTCACTCTGCTCGCTATATCCTCGGTCAGCGCAGAGCTTCGAGTGCCCAACCGACTATCCCCCGTCATTGGGGCGTCGCCCCACCTGCCTCCTGGCAGCGCGATGAGTCTCCCCTTCCAGAGGCAAACACGAGCTTGTTTGAGCCATCATTCTTCAACTCAAACTTTTCCAGCCAAACCACGCAGTCAGACTGTGCATTCGTACGTATTACCATTTTTTCATCTTCCAGATCGACGCTGACATGACAATTCAGAGCTTCAATGAGATGATCTCTACTTTCCCTCCTCATGCTCCTCAGGACTTCGGCATTGCTCCATTGGACCCACTTCATGATCTGTCATTAGACATCAATGCCTTGAATTTCAACCCTAATGACCCCTCCGCTTGGGTGTCGGCAGAGTACAACAACTCTCAGACATCATCCCCATACACTGGCTCCCCTGCACACTCTGACATGTCGTTGCCCGTTGCTGCACCCCAGCCACAGCATGCAGTCGCCCAATTCGATCACTGGCCAGACATGTCACAGCACTACACTATTCCTGTCAAGGGTTTGGACTGCTTGCAGGGGTCTGGTGAGCAGCAGATCATAGAGCCACATTTCTCCGGCTACTCAACTGGTATCGAGGGTTTGTTCCCACCGCTCGGCGTCATTGATACCCACGGACCTACTATGATGGGTTTCGACTATAACTCGTACTGCTTGTCTTAGCTTGGTGCATATCACTATCCCCGTCTCCATCCACACGATCTATCATTGTATGTATAGCTATTTCTTTTATTAGCCTCGGAGTTCCCCCCTCTTCCTTGCCCTGTTTTTATATATATCCTTGGTTTGCACGGTATCGTTGACTTGTAGCTTTATCACTTGCTGTGTCAGATTGGATTGCGTATCCACCATTGTATCCATATCGTCTCTATTGTCTTGTATGCTTGTAAACGAGCAATATTATGATACCCTGTTCCGCCTCGTTCTGGGGCGGAAAACGTCAAAACGTGATTTAGACTGAGCCGACTAGCAAGTTTTATCTATGGCGCCAGTCTATATCAGTCTTGCTGTGCCGCAGATCGGTGCCACCTTCGCATGTTATTTCAACGATTCTTCGGAGCATGACAATTAGCTACACGTGGTGAGGAAGGCTGGGCGGTGCTTAACTTAACGTTTCAAGATTTTCAACACAGGTTTTTGATAGGTAGCGCGTGATCGTCTCGCAAAGATATGTGCGGGCGCCACGCATCATCTACTAGGCGCGGTCTAACTAAGGCAATGCGAACACGACCACTAGTCCTAGTCAATGTCCGTGCATGACGCACATATACATACGTTAGTACATTCCTTGCGATTATTTTTCTCGGGAGGACCGATGGGCGTATAAATATAACCACACATCAGTAATTCACTACGAGGGGGAAGACTAGTCCGACGGCAGGAAGGATACAAGATAATGCTACATCGTTCAATAATCCTGACGACTAATACATTGCGAAAGTGTCCATGAGAGTGTCCGGTGTTTATAAGGAAGGATGAGAGCTAGGAAGGACATCATGATCTGCACCTCTGCTTCCCGAACGAGGGTAAGCCGGAAGCTCTTCGCTTGGCTCTCGGGAATAATGATTTGCAATTATGTGTTCAGCCCGGTTATCTCCACTATCATGGCGATAACCATTTTGGGAATGGGCACAAGACGGATACAGCTTGTCTAGCTCGTAGAACCGTCGGCGCCTTGCAACAGTGGACGGAGAGGTGTCACTATCGTCGAATAACTGAAATGGTATGGGGTCGACACGGGACGGGGTAGACGGAGATCCATCCCTAGAATTCTGTGTAGTACAAGAATCGAGATATTCAGGGTGGATGATGAATGTCTCTCTACCGCTCAGAGGACTCGGAACGGTGATGTTGCGCTGTGCAGGTGAGGAATGGTTGAAAGGGGTCATAGATGATCTTTGTCCTGTGCGACGTGATCGCACTATGATACAAGTTAGTAGGAGAGCTAGAAGCGCGACTCCTACGACAGTTCCTCCAATGATGGCGGCCATGGTTATTGGGGATGCAGGCTCGATGTCAACAAAGATTGGTTCAACCGAGAGACTCGGGACCACATCAATACTTGTCAATGTGACTGTGACTGTGAGGATTGAGGTGCTCATCGCAGGTGTAAGCGAGCAGGATGTTGGCGCGAGTGTCTGCCATGACAATGAGATATTTGGCGTGAGCGTTTGAGGTTCTCCTGAGAGACAATCTCCGTCCATGCTGGGATTGTATAGTCGATGAGACACGGGAAGACCATCCTCTGGTCGACCTTTTGTGCTAGAGTTCAAGCAACTATCGCACCAGAGACGGCCAAACGTTTCAGAACTTTGGGCAGTGCCAAAGTAATCATCAGTCTATCATGAGCTCCGGTGGTGGTGTTTAATGTACAGTACAAGCGCGAAAGACAATAGGTGTCTAAACAGACAAGGATTTTGAAAAGTCCAGTCGAGACTGGCGAAAACAAAAGCAGGAGTTTCCTGATATGGTAACTACGTTTAACCCGGAAGGTAGCGAAAGTTATAAGTACTAAGGCGAGCGACTCAGCATCTGTTGATTTATATCATTGATCTAAGATCTACACATGTAGTGAAGCACAGAGATCTGGCTACTCTTGAAGCTTGAAGGTTAATATCAATATTCTCCGTAGATCTCGCTGACTTCTACGACAGATTCTATAGGGCCAGTCCGAGTCGGCAGCTGGCTTGAGCGGAGTTTTTTTTGGGATGTTGTGCATCGATGCTATGTCCATGATCACGTTTGTGATCAGACCATGAAGCGCTCATCACCATCCCGTCTCCCACTGCGAATATTTGAACGCATGGCAGCCGCAATCCTCCAGCCCATCACCCGCAGCGCCGCTAAACTTGGTCGAAACGGTCGCTAGCTTGCCTGTCTTTCGCAGACTAGTACTCTCCGGGCAGGCGCATGTGGATGTCTGCACTCCGCCTGTTGCTGTGACGTATTTCTCGATATCTTTGTCATAGGGGTGTCGTGTTTGCACTAGTGCCATTCTCGCACTTGAAACAGGTTCGGGGTTTCCATACTGATTGATCATAGCGTGTTGGAGGACTGCACTCGAAGTACCACCGCTTAATCTCCTTCAATAGCAACCCCCTTCCAGGAAAGTCGAGACCTGCCATTTTGTGGACGCACTAGCCTGAGGCTCCAAAATTCAGGTTTCGATGACTCGGCTCTCCAACTTCCCTGCGCTTTAAGTTAAATCAAGTGAGTGCAGCCTTCTCATGCAACGGCCTCATTGGCCAAACGACATAGCTCAAAGGCAATGCCAATTGCGTGGCAACACAGATGACGGTTTCGGGGTAGGTGCGCATCACTAGTCAAACCGCCACAAAAATACACAGTACTTTACATCATTCATTATCCTGGTTATCAAGGGATTATCTGTTGGAGGGAAGTTCAAGAGCCGGTAAGGACATGAGGATCATCAAGGTCTGCTTTTCTACTCCCAAAAGAATCAACCGAACGAGGATAAGCCGGCGGCTCTTCACTCGGTCGTTGCGAATAACCATCCGTAACAATGTGTTCAATCCGGCTTTCTGCGTCGTGATGATCCGAGGGGGAGACATGAGATTGATATGGGTACAGCTTCTCTAGCCCATGGGACCTATAGAGCCTAGCAACACTAGACGCAAAGATCTCCTCATCGGCCAAGTGAGATGATATGCGATCTGTAGCAAATGACAATGATCTATTCCCAGAATCGGAATATTGAATGAACGATGAGCCTCCGCTGTTTGGACGGACAGCACCGCTGGCACTTTGGAACTTGAACCACGTCCGTGACTCAACCTGCGTTGGCCCTGCAGTTGAGAGGAGATTGAAAGGTGTTATAGAAAGTTGTGTTATCCTGCGACGGCGCAGCAAGATAAAAGTTAGGAGGGATAGAAGTACGACCGCTCCCACAGTGCCTCCTATGATGGCGCCTATGGTCGGAGATGGTTGAGTGTTTGAAGTGGTGGGAAGCACTGATGATGGTTGGGACAACGAGCTCGAGACCATATCAATTCTGGTCGATGTAACTGTGGATGAGAGAGGCTGAAGCACTGTGATGGTGGCTCCGATTGTTTGGTAAGTTGAGGCGACTGTGGTGTAAGTAGTAGTACCGACAGCGGTATTGTCACCGCTAGAAGGGTCCCCACTCGACGATGATAATGTTGGGCTGCCAGCGTATGGATTTGTCGACTGGGATGGGGTGTGAATACTACTAGAAGAGCCTGAGGATGCATGGGAAATTGCTGAACCGCTAGAGGTATTATCTACTGAGGTGCTATATGATGACTTTGACGACTGGTGGGTACTGTAGGCCAATGATGTAGAAGTAGTTACAGCAGGAATCAATTGGGGATATGTGGAAGAAATGGTAGTGGGGGGAAACAAAAAACCAGTACTAGAATATTCGGGAACGTCTGGCTCACAGAAAGAATCGAGCATAACGCAAGACTGGGTGTACGAGGTGTCCGCCTGACGTTGGGAAATGTGAGCTTCCGCTGAAAGTCGCGGTGCTCCATCCGCAAAGTTCCCAGCTTCACTTGGTTCCGACATTCTACGTTCAACAAATGATGCGGCTGTGATTGGGCTAGCCTGCTCATTTGAGAAATGATCGCTGTCCGACAAAGTGCACCCTATGCAGTTTATCTCGGGCTCGTATAACAGCTGTAGACCACCTTAGTTGACTATCAGAAAGAAGAAAAAATAAGAAGAAAATTGATGCCTACGCTCGTCCACATTGATATCTCGTGGCCGGTCCAACGAAACAGGACCATCCTCAGGTATAGTTTTCAATGAAGGGTGCCGAGGCTCATCGCCGTTTAACGAACGTGAATGATATACACGATGATTGCGAAATAAAACATTGAAGCGAGTGTGGAGGGGAGTCATTTCAGCCAAGAGACCCAGTGGGGGTTGGGAGAATCATAACAATGAGATCGACCTTTTTTGTACCATATGAGTGAGATCAACCTGATTTCACACCCTGAGTGACGACCAGACGTTTCAACAGTGCCAAAGTGATCGTGAAACATGATAATTGATAGTAACTCCGTGGCCGTGATCGACAACCGCTGAAGCACTGAGCATTGGTCCTTTAACTTGAGCATTGTAGTTCAGCGTGTCTACAACCGATAAAAGTTTGGTGCTTACTAGTTAGTCATTTGGCTATGGTTCTAGCACAAGCCATCATGATGTGCTTCACAGGGAAATCGTGAATGATGCGACCAAACACTGCATGCAACGTTGACAGATGATCAGATGGTAGTCTAAGGTTCCGAAAGTCATAATTATACCAATATTACGACGTTCTCAAGTGAGTCGCACGTGTACACGTTCAAATTGTCCTATAACAGTAAAGTTTAGCGATCATCGTGTATCCACGTGGCGGAAATATCATCCAGTACTAGCTACCGTTAATCATCCGTGGTACGATGGTCCGTTTATTTTCCGACTGAATTCTAGTCGAAAGGGTGAGATATGCAGGGCAAATAATAAAGAATGCGTTGTAGTCACATTATTTTGCTACTTCTCAGGCTATTGCAGCACGAAAACAGCTGCAAAAAGTTAAATCAGTGATATTGAAACCGACCTGTTTTCACTGGCACGTACTGTGAACGTAAAGGCTAGGACCCACACTTGCCCGTTGATTTCTCTCTTTGGAACATCTACCTATGTGTCACAGCTGACTGGCAGAAAGAAGTTAGGAAAGTTTTGAATACTAGGCTGGCTGGTTATGGAGAGCAAGAACACAAACGAGGTCGAGGAAAATGAAGATCAGGCTTCTGGATCTGATGGCCCTCGATGAGTTTCATAAAAGACAAATATAATCATGTGTCTGATACGGTTTGCAAATTTGAACGTTCAAACGTTCATGCGTTGAACGTTAACGCGTAACGTTCAACGGGTTGCTTACTCAACGCGGACAATACCGTGACAGCGTAGATCGCAGTTGCTTATTCAAGGTCATGTTTCCTGCGTTTGAGGCACTATCATCATGCCGTCAAGTGTTTCCAGACCCGAGCTCATTGACAGCTAGGTCCACGCGTACTCCTGAAAGCGCCAATGGAGGCGCCTATAATGCATGAGGAAGGCCCGACGGTGAGGCAGCGGACGTAATATGTTCGCTTTGTATTGGCGGCCTCGTCAACAATACGCCCATTACATGCCACACGTATGTACAGATGTCCGAGAAGCGGAGGGAATAGCGCGTAAAGTATTAAAAGTACACCGTATCGCGCATGGTCTTGGCGATCGATGATCAAGGGAGGAGAGGGGAAGGACTGGATGGGACATCATAATCATCATGACCTATTTTCTCGTTCTTCCAAGATTTCGTTTTCCCATTCTTCAAAGATTTCGTTGACCAATATGCCGGCAACACTTCGCTTGATTCTCGCGAACAATCCTCCATAACAACTTGCTGGACCCAGTTTTCTACACTGGAATGACAATAATGATCGGAGGTGCAGGCGCGAGATGGAGATAGATCCAGTCTTTCTAGCCCGTTGGATTGTTGATGCAGGACAATGACGGATGGAAACTCGTTGTCGCTGTCGGGTAAGTGATTTGATACGGAATCTATGAGAAAGGACGAGTGTTTGTTGCCGGGATACTCCATGCGGTATGGGTCTGAATAAACAGACGATAGACTTCTGTTATCTGGACGAACGGCATCGCCTATGCTCTGGGCCCTGAGCGAGACCGGTGACACGGTCTGCGCTGCTGCTGCAGTTGAGGGCAGGATGAAAGGTGTCACAGAAGGTTGCCTTCTCCTGCGATAGCATATCGCAATAAAAATTAGAAGAGCTAGAAGCGCGACCGCTCCAATAGCCCCTCCTACGATGGCAGCTGTGTGCGGAGGTGATTGAGGGTCTGAATTGGTGTCAGACACTGATGTTGATTGGGCTGATGCGCTCGAAGCCACAACAGTGCTGCTCAATGAAGCTGTGCCAGATGCCAGGACAGGCTGAAGCGATATCGTTGTTATTGCTGTTGTTGTTGCGGATGTATCAGGGTTCGGGGAGACTGTAGCGTCATTGGGAATCGAGGATGCGGGGTATATAGTGTTCGAGCTTGGCGTAGAAGGGGACTGCTGACCAGATGTCTGAAGAGTGATCGTGGACAGGGAACAAAGGACGCCATCGCATTGATAAACACTGTTGGCAGATGACGCAGTAGAGTGAGAAGATGTAAGGGTAGAAGATGTGAGTGCAAGAGGTGTAAGTGTAGGAGATGTGAGTGTAGGAGATGTAAGGATAGAAGATGCAAGGGTAGATAGTGGTAGAACGGTGACTGCCTGGTTAAGAGTCATGGCTGCCTCCTTACTGACGCTTGTGGAAGAGGTCACACCCCGTCGTATAATGTAACCTTCCTTGACGTGTCGTGGGGATCCAACCGGAAGATCACCAGCTTCAAAAGATGGTATCGTTGAAGTAGCCTGCTCATCGGAGAGATGTTCACAGCCAGACAGGGTGCAGTCCACTGGTTCGATCTCGGGCTCTTCAGAAGGCTTGAGACCTCCGTTAACTAATGAAAAACATATACTCAAGAAATTCCAAGAAGAGATTTAGGACTTACGCCCATCCACGCTGGTATCCCGTGTTTGATCTAACGAGTGGAGACCATCCTCCTGTACAGGAGTTACAGTCTCTATAAAGGAGTGCTGAGGCTCAGCACGGTTGAACGTATGGCGGGAACGGTGTGATAAACGATTGTGAGATAAGAGTTTGAAGCGAGTGTGAGGGGGAGTCATTCTTCTCCCTTTGACCAAGAAACCCAGTGGGGGTTGGAAGACCATATCAACGAGACCGACCTTTTTGTACCAGAGTAAGATCAGACAGCTTTCGCACCGTGAATGTAACCACAGCAACTACCACACGTTCCGGCAGCGCCAACATGATTGCGAGTCGGCCGTTATTGCTGGAAATCCTAACGACCGTAACGTACGCCTAGACACGACTGTCGTTAATTTTACGCACCATGGTCAAGCAAGGTAGTTCAGCATCAATGAGCAAAGGAGGAACGGACTCGATCATCATCTGGCCACACGCGGGTTCTAGTCCGACGGCCATCGTGAAATTGATGTGTTTGAGCAGAAATCATGAATGATGGGACAACACATGGCTATGTGATAGATCAGTAATCTAAGTTGTCGAATGTTCATTGTACTTACCTGTCTATTGCCTGCCCATGTCGAAAGTTGACGCCTAATTTCCAGCGGTTTGAACTCTGCAGAACACTAGGCAAGTCCTAAAAAGAGAAGAAGTTTGACCAGGTCCCGGGACCTTTCAACTTCCGAACAATCAATCGATCGCGTTCCCGCATAGGACGTTACGGGACGTTACATACCCAGTAAGTATCTTGATTTCAAACAAAACTGTATTTTTGACAATCGGCGGCAGCCTATAGTGTTTCTTCAAAGTGCGGCGGCATGATGGTTGAATCAGAATTCTGAATCAAACTCCGCTACAGGGGTTCGTCCCTCGAGTTCGCTAACTTACATAGATCAAGTACTTCACAATATTGTAGACACCAAACCTGAAGACACCTTTGTGATTAATGAGTTGTTTCACTTGGAACGTTAGCCATGTGCAGGGCGTTACATATACAAGTACAAAAAAGAATTGTCGAAGCCAGTATGCCCAACCTTCCATGTATAAGTATTCTATATCAATCGATTTGACTGCGGACGAAAAACACCCGCTACATCCTCTCCAGAGGCCTGACACTCAAAAGCCGCATCGCAGCACCCAACACATCCCTCGCGCAAAGGTAGAGCCACAGTCTCGCTTGAGCTTTCGCTGTATCTTCTTCCCCTTTGACAATGAGCGTCTCCCAGGCACTTGAAATCGCGTGAGCCAGGCGGAATGCGAAAGTCACTACACCACTCGGTTCGTGCGTCTTCAATGCAGTCTTCACGACATCGGGGTAGGATCCTAACAGGATCGCGATGTCGCGTGCATGTTGGGAGGAAGTAAGAGAAGAAGTGTCGATCTGGGATGGAGGCGGCAGGGGGATGAGCTCTGGATTTTTCCGTTCCATAGAGGTGAGTCGGACATGTGCGTATTGTAAATATGGTCCGGTATCGCCTTCGAAGGAAAGCATGCGATCCCAGTTGAAGGTGTAGTTATTGATCCTGGCGTTGAATGAGCTTCAGTAGCCGAATGAAATAATGACACTCACCGCTTTGCAGCCATGTCCTGGATCTTAATTCCCGTGATCCCCACTTCTCGAGCGACCATCTCAGGGTCTTCAATGTTGTTGTACTTTACCTCGTTCCGCTTCATCTGCTCGTGCATGACAGATGAAGCTTCGCGGATGATCTGATCCAAGAAGACTGCGGTTCCCTTGCGAGTGCTCATGCCGAGCACTAAGCCGTAGTTGACATGTTCAAGGCGGTCTGCCCAGGGGAACTCCATCAACGACAGCATCTTGAAGAACTGCGACAGGTGCAGGTCTTGCTGCGACGCGACGACGTAGATCATCTTGTCAAATTTGTATCTCTCCCATCGCTCGATCGCACCGCCGAGGTCGCGAGTGAGGTATATGGAAGTACCATCTACGGATGGAGATCAGTAACACGTATGAAATGATTGACTTTTGAAACATACTAGCTTTGCGGAGTACAGCCTTCCCGAGTTTCCATTTTTCAAGATCGACGAGTTTGGCACCCTCGACATCACTGATGAGACCCATCTCTTGAAGGCGCTCGAGAGCCCGATCCTGCCACTCCTTACCAACCTCGCTCTCCCCCGTGTAGACTTTGAACGACACGTTTAATCGTTCATATTCCTCGATATACTTCTTGACGCTCATTTCCCGCCACACTCGCCAGTTCGCAAGCGCCGATTCGTCGCCGTCCTCCATCCGCTTGAACCACTTGGCGGCCTCGACCTTAACGTTTGGATCCGAGTCGGCATCCTTGGATACTTTGACGTAAACGTCATATAGATGTTTGATGGCGTCGTTTTCGAGGTCCTCTTGTGAACCGTACTTTTCGAATCCAGTGGCGATCATACCGAACTAAGGAAATAAAATTAATAATCAGAAAGGAGAAAAGAGAATTGCTTACTTGGGTGCCCCAGTCACCTAGATAGTTAAGAGATACTACCTCCCATCCGCATGCCTTATATAAATTGTCGAGAAATGCGCCTATAATCGTGCTTCGAAGATGTCCGACGTGAAATGACTTAGCGATGTTGGGCGAGGAGTACTCGATGACGAGTTTTTTGCCCGCGCCAGAGGTGTTGGTACCGTACGACGGCTTCCCTGTGGGGCTGTCGTATGTGAGGGTGTGTATTTGGTTGAGGACTTCGCGGATGAGGGAGGTGGTGTTGAGTTGGAAATGGAGGAATTGTTTGTCGTGGGTAATTGACGAGACGAAGTCGTCAGGTTGGAACTAGTAGCAAAAAGCATTAAAACTGACGGGGAGGAGTAAAAGAAGGAACCAACTCACATCTGATATGACACTTTTTGCTAACTCGTCAGGCTTGCCCGGCAGGCGGAATCGCGGAAGGGCGACTGTGAAATCTACGCCCTTCTTTCCATAATCGACACCTGCGTAGGCCTGGTCGATGGTAAGGGGCGGGAGCGCGTCCGATACACGTTTTGCAATAGCAGTGCGGAACGCGTCTAGAATGCAGGACGATGGGTCCGTGCCTAGAACAGAAGGTAAAGATGGGAGCGAGGAAACCATGGTTCCAAGAGCTCTCACGTAGGACCTGGGGAGGATAGGGATAAATCTGTTTACTATCAGCAACGCCACCTTGAGTTTCGTGACTCGTGCTTGAAAGTTTTGAAAGGATCGATTAGATGAGTCGTGAGAAAATCACGTGGTTCAGCCGCACCTGAAATCAGCCTTGTATCGCTGGTCAGTGTTTTCACTTCTTCACTCTCCAACACGCGCGCCCTCACTTGTCTGGACCGCTGCTCATACGAACCAGAATATCTCGCCAATGATTATGCTGACCGGATGGCCTCATTTGCGCAGAACCAACGCGGGGTTATTCCTTCGGGGCCACTGGCAACTTTCTCGATGGATGATTACACTATGTTTGCATCCGGTCATGGTTTTGTTGAAAATAACTTGTCCTCTTTCATCATTTCTAGGCTCGAGGATTCTTATGCGTTGAGCGACTCCTTTCGTCTAGCGCGAGCCCTGACTATTGCACTGTATGACAGTCATCACCTGCCGGACTTCCCGTACACTCGGGCATCTAACTCTTTCTCTGGCGTCGTACAATTGCATACCCGGTCATCACAACTTGATACCGCAGGAGGTGCGGCATCGATGTTTTCGTGATACGCCGCCCTGGTGCCATTTCGGTTGTTTTTGCTCGCTGCCCGGCCTTCTCGGCTATCGGATATCCGTCGTGCGCATGGCATGCAGCTGTGTGATGAGACCTCCTCGCTGCTTGAGGGCGAGGCTGCCGATCGTGTGCGAGAGTTCTTGGAACGAGCAGCTCAACGCCTGTTTTCTGACGACGCGGAGCTTTGGCCATAATATCGGACGCGTTTTTTACATGGGTGTACTACCCCCACTTGCACGTATTGTAAGCAACATGATTGAGACAGAAGTGGGTGTATTACCCCCACAGTCTCATGGTATGGGCAACTTTGCGTCTGGTAATGCGGGTGTCTTACCCCCACAGCTGGATAGTACGGCGATAGAACCTAAGGTGTTGTCATGATTAGCGCAGGCATGGCACGTGCATAGTATTCGGCTCGTAGGACGTAAAGTTTGGGGAGAGCACAAACGACGTGTAAGGTCTCTGAGTACCGTTCCTTCTGGATACTTATGCGTACCTCCTACCAACGAGTTTGTGAGCTTTGCTTTGATTGCAGACGTTTGACTGGATTCGGAGCGTTTTTATTTCATTGGTAGTTGAGCGCTAGCCATCGAGAACCTAGTTACCTGAGCTTATGTGAGCGTAGATGGCCAAATATAAATATTCAAATTCAAACTCCCTTGTCCCGTGTCTTTATGTAAAAGATTTGTGTGGCTCGTCGATTGCGTCGTGTCTTTGGGTCCATGCAAGGTCCATGTATACAGTTTCTTCCCTCTCTTTCAACTTCGCTGTTTATTTCTGTTCCCAGAAAAGAACGATACCGAATGAGGCTCACGTGACACGGGCATACCTCGTTCAACCCGGGGATGCGCCCGGAACATGAAGGGGATCAAACTATAACTTTATGAATGCGCCCACTGAGTATATAACTAAACTTACAAAGGCCCTTGAGCGGCTTGACCCTTTGTCGAAATGCTGGCTGCAAGGAAAGCCGTAACTGTTTGGCTTTTTCTTACCTTTGAACGGGTTTTGACTACACAGACACCTCTGTTGAGTCATACGTCCTTATCCTTTCACCCGGGAGTCGAAAATAATCTTGGAGAATGGGATCTTGATAAAGCGCCTGCGATGAACGCGACAGGACATCTGGTGTTCGACACGGCAAATTCTCTGCTTCAACACTGGGCAAACACGCATTATCGTATTGGTATCTGAAACTACCGAATACTACGCAAATGTCATGACTCATCATTTATGCTCTGCAGGTCATACAATAGTCCCAGGGACTGTTCCCGTGGGCACTCTCCTTTATCATGGAGCCACCGGTCCCCATATACCGACTGCTTTAGATTGGGTGGCCACAGAGCCAGATCACTCCATGGCGTTCTGCAAAGGGTCAATAGAAACAGGGTGCTGGCACCTTACCCTTACAGTCACTCAGCCGATGAAAGTGCTCTATTTTGACGGAAGCAGCGCTGCGAACCTCCCTGAGGGCACCATGGACACCCAAGATCTCGTGGCATGGTCGAAAATGAAACCCGAGTGGGTGTGGGATGAAAACGAGCGCATTGAGGATCTGTGTAGATGGGGTCAGAAATACGGCCTGAATGGTTTTGTCAGGTTCGTTGGATATTGAGATGCATCAATGCCCTATGCTGATTTGCGAGTTATAGGATGGAAGTGAATTTGTGCGGACCCATACATAATCCCTTGATGATATGTGATTAATGACGGTCATAGTGAAATCATGATCTGTGACTTTACCTCTCACATGGAGGTCGTTTCGTTCTTGAATATCGAGAGCACTCGCGTCGGCAGCGGCGCGCCTGCAGATTTGCCAGAGGACCCCACTACCAGTGAGCGACCATGTTCATGTTCTGACGTAGGTCTGATTTGTGCTCGGACATCAGTGCATTATATCTTTGAATTAATGCATTCTACTTCATGCCGCGAAAATTATCCAGGAGAGACCCGAATTATCCTTGATTTTTCTGGGCTCGTCTCTTTCTACGACACCGCTCTTGTTCCCTCCTTAGTGCCGTTCCGTGTAGGCTTGGAGCGGTGGGATCATCGGGTGGGAGGAATATCATCGGAGGATATAGAACGCGTCCGAGACAGGCTAGATCAAGTGTTAGCACGACCACCCGTGACAACCAGCGGCATTGACTGGAAAACGGTCTTGCGGGTGGTGGTTGATCGATATGCCAGCCGCCTCGATTTTATGCAACACCTTTTGAACATGACGCTGGACGATAGCTCTATCTTTGACCATGCCCAACAAATTCAGAGACGATTGCGCACCGTGCTTTTGCCTTACACTGTGTTTTCAGCTCTACCTCCCAATACCTCTGTCACTGCCAACACGATAAACTTGTGGGCTGCGCCAGTTTTTCGGGAGTGTGCTACATCGCACACGGCCTCCATAGTAGCTCGGGGAACGACATTGATGCCCTCTGAACGTTTGCTTCTGCAGGCGGTGCAGGAAACTACGCATGAAATATGCCGCGTCGTCACGAAGATGTGGGCTTCTGGAATGGTTATTGGAGTCGACCCCCTTTATCCTCCGGAACAACGCCCTGAAGCCGATCGCATACATACCCTCATGGGTGAATGGAAGGAGGATTTGACACAGTTGATCTCCTGGTTAGACTGGAGCGTGTGGGTGAAGTGCCGACCGGCCTGTGGTTTTGAGGTAATCAAGTCAAATTGTTTACGAAATGAACTGACCTCGTCGTGTAGGAGATGTGCTACTTGCCTACTTGGCCCCTTGGGTTTTTCCTGCCTACCTCCGGACCGCATCAAGTCCAATGGAACAGTACTTCCTTATGGCCAGACCCAAACAAAGGGGAATGGAAGAGACCACAACCAAAGTGCATCAGACGGCGGGAGCCATATAAGTTTTAGGATATATAATTCACATGCATTATCACTGACATATACACGTCTTTTGTACATAGTCCTTGTAACATCATTGCAGTGGTGTTTAAGTGCGCCGCGTGCAACACGTATGTATTTTAACGAAGGATATGGTACTATCCAGCGCTGCATCCCCTCATCCAAATACATGGCTCCTCGCGACTGGTGTTAGTCATTGATATGCACGACGTCGGACCCCCTCTGAAGGAAAGCTTGCGTATTTGAAGCAAACACGGACGAATTCAGAGTAGCGGATCGATTATATGGCTCGGGAACTACGATTCCTGGTTGCGAACTTACATTTTTATCTTGGCTCAGCTGTCAGGTCACCCGCGCACGTCGTCCGCCGATCTGCACCATCCTGGTGTCATGCCATTTTATATTACCTGTGCACCTGTGCATGCGTCCCGTACCCCTCGCATCGGCCGGTAAATTGTGAGAAAATTTACAGTATCAAGTAAACACAATCCTATTGTGCGGACAGGTCTCGTCACAATCGTACCTACGATTTAATGTACACCAATGAATCTGAGCTCACCCCTTACGTTGCTGAAGCGGGCCAATTATCAAAACCGAGGTGAATACCTGGATAGTATATGTCAGTGTAATCACCTTCGCAGCTATTACTAACACTCACCCCAGGGAGACGTGATAAAACGGTTCTGCTTGCCACCCGCAGCAACACCATCAAGAATATTGATATCCTCTGGCGTCAGCAAATTGTATGCCTCTAGTGCGCCAGTCAAGTTATATTCGATACGGTATGGTGACATTGATTTGGGAAGAACAGCCATGTCCTTTTCCACTGCATTCAGATCCGTCAGCTACCACTCTCTTGCGCAGGGCGAATTGACAGGCATGAACGCACGCAGGTAGCCGAGAACGACATCGGACGTGCTCTTGAGGGTGCGCTTCTTTGCGATCTCTGGCAGACTCATCGGTCAACAGTGAGGCGCCAGTCGAACCAAGGGGAGAGTATGCTTATTTTCCTCGACTTCAAGTAATCCAACAGTTTCAGCTCCGGATTGTACAGGTGAAGCTCAAGCTATAAATTTCAATGGTCAGTTTGGAACGGGCGTCGTTGCATCGGACATGCCTGATTAACAGCCGGTATGATCTCAGCTGTCGGCAAAATCTTCTCGAGCATCATCTGGGAGAAGTTTGACGTGCCGATTGCCTTGACTTTACCTTTCTTTACCATGGCCTCTATAGCCTTCCATGTGTCCCTGATGTCCCGTGATTCATCGAGTTCAATGTTTCCGTTGGGGAGTATCGGTATGAGTAGTCATTCCCGTTCGGGTTCAGCGGAATAGGCCAGTGGACCAAGGTAAACTAATAAATGAGACGGTTCGTGTCAGTTAAAATAGTCAGGCTCGTACTTGGATAAATGCAGATCCTACGATCAAGATATACAAAACATGCGCACCCGTCGAAGTCGGTTGTTTTGTACATCCTGAATAGCTGCTTAGACTTGTGCTTACGTCTGCTTGGATATGAGTGCCAACCTTCCTGCCAATGAGAGGGTTCTAACTGCGGGTACTCAGGCGCTTGGACGTTCCTGTCGGTCGTCCGTTTCGTCTCCCATACTTTGAATTAAAAATTCGAGCTTGGTTCGGCTTGATGATCGCGTGCCAGCTGAGCGTAAAAAATCCAGCTCAAATAAATTGTTCTAAAACCGCTTACCTTCGAAGGTATACCTCGAACATAATTAGATAGTCAAGTTGTAGCTCTGTCGACCGTCCAGCGAAATGTCGATTCTTAAGTTGCCGCCTACGTGCACCCCCGCGAGAAAGTCGCAAAAGAAAGATACATATTCACAACTACGCTGAAGAAATCCAATGACATCAACGAAACCGCATCCGTCACTAAAGCGTAAGGCTATAGTCATATTCCGTCTGCGCACTCTGCGCAATCCAAAGCACAACCGCCGACAGCATCAACGCCACGTTCTGCGACACATTCGCATAGCCGTAGTAAATATACTGCTCGGGGTAGTCCATCATGATGTATTTCAGCACGAGGAGAGACTAGAACAGACATTAAACATCGGGTAACGTCAAAAAAAGACATCAAGACTTACCACGCTCCCCGCCAGTCCACCAGCCATGAACGCAAATCCGATGAAAAGGAAAAGACGTGCCCTCCACACAGCGTTAGAATCTCCATAATCGTCCCCTCTAATCCTATCCTTGTCGATCATGTTGATGATGAGCATGCCAAGGAGCGAGCAGATACCCGGCACCCAATCAACGAACAGGACATGCACGGGAGGCGGGATTTGGGGTTCATCATAAGGCGGGTGGGCATGCGCAGATAAGATGGCAGCGTCGAGGAAAGTCCAGTTTGCAAGGGCGAACTGCGGAAAGGACGTGCGGTTAGCGTCAGCAAGGGAGGTAGAAGAAGCGCACGGACCAAAGCGCCTGCGAGGTAGATGCCAATAGTCCGGCGGTGCTTTCCCAAGTTTAGGTTGAGGTCTGGAAATGGGTTTAGACACACCCTGCGGGGGTCGTAGTCTGAGCGAGGGAGCGACATGGGCATTGGGGACAAGCTTGCAGTTGCGCTGCTCTTTTGCTGTGCTGGTCACAGGCGGTCACCGGAAGCGTGGGAAGTCACTTGTAACTCGATCAGTGTTGGAACAGCGCATCATATATTCGATTCTCATTCAGATCTTTTTACTATGGCATAGCAGCGCTATATCGACGCTCCTCAACCAAGTGGACAGTGCTAGTGAATGGGGCCTGCCATGTAGATTTAGCGTTTGGTATTCACCAACCCCTTTGTATATTTTAGGGTTAGGGTCATAACGTTTCTGAGGAAACCGTCTCCTGGACACCTCATGTATACACCATGCACCACCTTTACCTCTCCGCAAAAGCTCCAGAGTGAAACGTTCATGAGATTCACTCGTCTACTCTTTCTTCCTACCACAGTAATATCATCGCATTCAAAAACCTTTCGTTCACCACACGTTAACGGTACTGGTCTCCAAAGACTGCATGAAATCTGCTGCGCAACTCGGTAGGTACAACCGTAATAATCTTTAAAGTTACAACAACGGGGTATCTTCGTGAAGTGCGTTGCAGTGTGAATGGGGTGGGGGGGTACGTAAATCGTCAAAAGTGGGGCATACTGTGAGGGGGATGTGGTAGCGCACGAAGGGTATTGTGCGTGAAACGATGTGAGTATGCACATAAAACCTATGTATAATTACAGCTAATTCAACAACATTGTATCCACAAAAACCAAGATCTAGCACGGAAGAAAAGGTGAGCACGGTGGATGTGGATGTGATGAAGGGATGATTTTACAGGTGTCCTATGAAAATAAAGTCCAAGACCGACGATGCCCGCATACATCGGTTGAGAGATCAGAATCCGGCAGGTGCCACAAGCATGTTTTCAAAGTTGAACAGCTGCTCAAACGTATCGTGCCCTTGCGCCTCGAGTGGATATTGGTGCACCTCCATCGTCGATGCGTCAAAGGAACCAGGCGCAAAGTCAATGTTAAATGCCGACGGGTGCTGGCTCATGGACGCCAACTCTCCTCCGCATCCTGGCATACCGAGCTGAATTGGAGGAATAGCACTCAAGTCAAACTCGTCTCCAGCAAGAAGGTCACTGTGACTTTCCCATGCGCCCTGTCCTTCCCAAGAATACTCGGGATACCCGAAGTGTACGTTATCCAGAGGCGATCCAGACATGGGCGAGTCTCCATCATTCATGCAAGACGCTAGATCCTCATGGTACGAGAATGCGGGAGGCATGCAGTTTATGGGCGTATATGGGCCGGAATGCGGGCCGGATGAAGCGGACGCTATTGACGACACTGGAGAAACCATTTGTTGACTGGCTTGCAGCATGGACATGTCGGTGGAAATCGATAGAGGATGAGGCGCAGAGGGGTTCTCGAACATCCCATGGTAGAATCCATTGGCCTTGGGAGCGGTTGTCAGCCTGAAGTCGAACGCAGACGTTAATCGGGTACTCACATCAACGCTTGACATATAGGCGTTAGGGTGCGAAAATTGCTGCTGGGGCAAGAAATCAAACTGCGACGCTGATGAATTCATTCCATGGTCTGGATGCGACGAGCGGCGGCTAATCATTGGCATCAGTGACGGTGATGTCGGACACGAAGGCATGTAAACGGTCGGGACTTGGATTGTCTGCCGAGCAGGTGGGGGAGTAGGAGCGGACGCAGAACGGCCATGCTTCGTCACCGTCGGGGGTGACAATGGAAGCACAAACGAGATGCTGCTCTCACAATCCGTCTCGTGTTCAAACTCGCCTCGCTTGCTCTTCTTCCCCTTCTTATCCTTTGATCGCTGGGGGCGATATACGTAATTGGGGTACATCTGCTCGTGCTCCTTCTTCTTTTCCTTCGCCTGCTCCTCCCAGTAGAGACGCTCCTCTGCAGAAAGCGCTTTCCACTGCTGGCTGATTGTTTTTGACAGATCTGCTTGACGCTGCTTCTTTGTTGGGGCATCAGCGTATGCTGCCGATACTGCCTCTTCTTGAGCTTGTTGTCGCTCCTCACAGCACTTCCTGCGGAAGAGGATGAAAGCATTTTCAGGGCGCTTGATGTAGTCCTCGTCACCCTTTCTTGGTCTACGCTCGATGTCGCTGCATATCGACGACTTGCGGCGTTTGTGCGATGATGGGGAACCAGGGCCAGAAGATAAGGTGAATGATGATGTGGAGGAGAAGACCGAGGTCGATCCTTGTGAAGTGGATGATGAGGGGGAAAGAGGGGAAAGAGTGCGAACGAGCGTGGGGTGTGAAGGGGTGAGCGTGAGCTTCCGGAGATCTGGCTCAAATGGAGAATTAGCAGGCGACGAGTAATGACAGGTTTCGCTTTTATCAATAGGGAAAATGAAGGCGCGCGGCGTCGGAGAAATAATGGCCAGGGTAGGCGGTTGGATGGCGTCTGTAATCACCTCAAGTGCTGATAGAGGTGAGTGGTTAGGATGATCTAATGTTTAATAGAAGGGCTTACATTGAGAAGGGGTATCGTGTTGGCGGAACGCAGGCATGATTGTTCTGTGTCGAACAATGGCTGCCACGGTGAGTGAACGGTTGTGAATGGGGGGGAATAATGAGAAGGAAGAAGAGGGATGGCTGATTGATGCTAGAATAATAGGTTTCGCTAAGGCGGGGCACGCGGCTACTGAACTGATTTCTTTGTCACACAGCGCGCTATCGAGCAAACAATTGGGCGAGTGGGGCACACAAAGCGAATACAATACGGACCGCCCGTTATATACTATGATCAAATCGTCCATCGAAAAGTTCCGTATGAACTTAAATCATACATCCGTTTGGAGGACGACGCTTTGACTGAATTGGGATACTTTCATTTCGCGGTACTCCGAATTTGGGGGAAACAATGAGAGGGAAGCAACTCTCCGCTTATGCAATCGACCCTCAGGCTGAGACAGAATCACATCCATTTCATAGCCAAACACCGCATAAACAGATTTCTTATTGTCTTTTCGCCGAATTTGCTGGCTTCCTCGGCCGGCGATATCCCCCCAGATATACATCAGGCTATCTAATCACAGATTATTGACCCCGTTTTTTCCCTCCCCCTTATCGTACACTGACTCGGTTGTATACCCACGAAGAATTCCTTCCAATCACCTCACCCTCCGCCGACGGTTCCGTCCCATTGGATCTCGTCTCAGCACGTACGGACCATTCAAAGGTGTTCTGAGGCTACGTCTGGCTGTTCGCGAGTTATGACCCTTGTCATTTTCACATGTTCAAGTGCTATTCTCGGACCGTCATCTTCCTCGACGTTAAAGATTCCATTTTAAGTAAATGTGACCCGTGCCATTCTCGATTGGGCAAGTTATGAAGATTGACTCGACTTCATATTTCGAGGGAAAGGAAGGTGTAGCTGGATTCTACGGAGACCTGCGTGGTGGCTATACATTCGTCGCATAGGCGCTATACTAGAGCGAACATTAGTTTCTATTCGTTATTTCCGCTCAACCGAACATACCGCACGTCCTCCCGCTCTGCACAGCAAGGGCTTTAACCTCCAACTTGTTCACCGCCGAACAGTAAGGATCTTGTCATTTACCCCATATTGATGTACGTTACGGTATCCCAGTACTACTCGCTTTAGAGCCTCGCGCGGTCATTTATGACGGCCTCCAGAAAGGGAATACATGTACCCTCCCGTAACACGTGTAGTCCGCTTCGCCAATGACTCGGTACAATGTATTGAACATTCTGGGAATATTTTCAACTTGCAAGTCGCTCGGTGGATGTGCGAGGGAACCCCTCCCGCCCAACGCAGCCCAATTCCGCTTTTCGCCCCTTAAGACCGACCACGTGTATACACCAATGCTTCTTGTGCACTCTTTACCGCGGATATAATCACACACATTGTCAGTGACTCAGTACTCGGCGGGACAATGTCATCCCATAGTGAAAACGTGTTGTTCTATCAAGTTGTGCGTTGGACCCTGCACCGCGCACCACGCAGGAGATCCCAGTTTCCCCGCAATCTCAAGTGCGTCATATTACTCGATCGGTTTAGAATGCCGTACGTACTGTTCCTAGGGTTACACCGCCCACTGCAGGCACTTGGGTCGGAGACTTGTATCACGGATCACAACTTGGAAATGTACAATTGACGTACATTTGATGGCTCTTCGGAGCATATCCACCCTCCAAATCCTTGTTAACCATCCTCGGACTTGGAGGGTCGCTGAACCATCGTCGGCAAAAATGCGGCTCATCCCATTACCGATTATGCGGGATATCGGTTAGGGCGGTCTGAGAACATATATCATATCATAAAACCTCAACGCGACTCGGGACGAAATCCGGAGAAAATACAAATGTTGGGACTGACGTGACGGTCGCGGAATCAAATGTCTTGCGCAGCGGAGTCAAGTCTAAATTACTCTTCGTATTAACAATGAACGAAGCATGGCCCGCCGTGAGGCTGAGGATGAACTTTCACGCATTTTTCGATAAGGAATGATTATCTAGACTTTTCATACAAAACGCCGAGATGGGATTTATCTAACATGATTATTCATTCGGGGATGGGGCGAGGACAAAGCGGCAATCTACTAAATCACGGTCAAGGACAAGGCGAAGAGATGACCCCCGGCGACGAGAAGGTCTGATGCCCTAGTAGCCCGATATCAACAGCATTCGAACTGCAACAGTTTGTGGCGTATCTGATTACATACTAGTCCTCGACGCAGCAGCTGCGAAGGCCCATCCGCGCTACGCTTGTAGCCGACGTAGATATCAACACGAGGCAGCCATGAGGCAAAGTCTGATCAGAAGATACCAATAGCGTGTGCATCCAGCATCCATTTCATGTTCTTCAGTGGAGCCCCCTCTCATTGCCAGCTCTCTTTGCAGGCCAAAAAAAGGGGACAATGGCAAAGACGCACGCAATCGATTGATTCGACGACTGGTGCCAACGAAGCAAGCCAATCACGGGCGTAGATCATGCATGCATTCATGCGGATATAAAGGGACCATGCGTGCCTTCGCCCGCCTCGTGCCCGGTGACGGGCATATCGGGGAAATATTGGTACGGGCAATGGGGTCTGCCCGGCTGATCGTGGTAACCCCTGGAGGTACCTGAGAAGCCCAGGACAAATGTTTGTGCACTCGAGGACGTCGAGTCAAAGCGCATACGCTGTGTGAATAATTAGCGTATGACCGTGAACAATATCTGAGCCAATGAGCCATTTCAACATTGGATCATGATCACGCCACAGCACTCCACAACCTAATTCTGCTACAAATGTCCTCAATTAATTCTGAATTGTTATCTTTACCAAGATAACCACAAGACTCACGAGTCATATCCAGCGAACAATGGCACATTGTCTGTTCATCACACATTCTGAAGAGAGAAGCGCAGGACAATGAGCGATTCAATGCTGGAAGTTGGAAATACGTGCATCCGGGTCTTAGAAGGGCCATGAGTCGGCGATAGCTAGGACAGATGGCGGTGGCTGCTGATGGCAACATCGAATTTTGACTCTGAGGGGCGAGATGACATTAATGAGGATTAACTCCTTCTCTTTCGGGGGCGCGTATTGTGACTCGATATCAAACAGGGGTTTTCCTTTGTTCCCGTTTTGCTATTCCACGGAGACTGGGTAGATTATTGCCGGAGCGAGCACACTCCCTCTTTGGATATGACAATGGAGTTCGTATCCAGAGAGGGGCGCAATAGGAAGCTAGTCCGAGTCACCTATTATGACATCACAGAAAGTGGTCAGTCTAGGGGCATAAACTCCTCAATCATTCATGCCGCCGGTAAGAAATGAGGATTAATCACCGAGTCGCGGACATACGTGGGCAACCATCACCGAGTACTGATGTGTGACGGAGCAGGCAGTGCCGCACTCGAGGCAGATATGCCAATTGCAGTGAATAATGTCAGATCTTTCAAAGATCGATTGGGTGCAACATGATACGACGTGTCAGTGTTTCAATTGAAGATACAACTCAGAGTGATATGGCACAACATACCGCGTCCACAGGCAGTCAAATTTAGGCAAGCTAGAAGGAGGCCTGTCTGACAGAGGACAATGGATATGAAAGTGGTATGAGTCAGAAGACCAGTGCGTTGTGACCGGCTGGAACATGCTCGCTAGTGCTACGCATTTTGAAAATTCGCCACATAATCAAAGGGGGACAGAACGTTAACAGATCATGGCGCCACATCCTAACAAGGTGGACTCGGAATCATCATGGGTTCTGGATCACAAGGTCATGTAAGGCCGACGTGATCCGATCCGTGACTCCGTAAAGGTTGCACCCAATACATTGCCGACCAATGGAAGATGTCTGCGGAGGTGTAATACTCGCAAAAACGGCTGCTTCAAAGGCGCATCAGTCCCCGATCTGTTGCAATCAGCGCTGTGAATGAGAATGATGGCATTCTGAGGGTTATTAGCTTGGGATTACGAGGTGAACGGAACTCCATTAGATGACTAAGCCGACTGGCACACGTATGCTGAGATTAAATATTTGCTGTTTGTCTGCTAGCCTAACCATTCATGAACCTATTGCTTGCATTCTCGCCACTAGACCTGTGAAATGTTCCTATATATCTTCCAAGACAGGCCTGATTACTACGATCATGCGTCCAGACTCCAAGCTACCCAATGATTACGGTGTCCACGGAGGCTTCTTCAGACCAGAACTTGTTCTGAAATCAATCACTGCATTTTCTATTGGCCGAACAATTCCAGCGATCGCTCATTGGTCGAGAAAACACTATGGACGCTTTGGAGCCTGGCTGACCACTTCTCGAAGCTAACGTAACTCGCCGGTCATAGGATGCGAACAGTTCTATGTATAGCGTACGACTCACCCTCTTACGCGTCTCGATATTCTGTACTTGATTCAATCGGCATCGGCAGTGCATATATACGAGATTGACAACCGTGGTGGGCTACGCGTTTTTTTCCACGACGAACACTTCATCAGAACATCAAAACACGACATCGGCTCAACTTTACTGCTGTCCGATCCACGTATTCCCAACGCAACCTGCGATGCGTCTGGTTTTCATCGGTGCTGAAGCAAATGATAAATGTTTATCACCAAGAGCGACCATCTCGAAACTAGAGCCCAGCAAGTTGGTTGATGGAGCAGCCACCTATTTCGTTTTCATATACGTCCATTAATGGACATTCAAAGGGAGCACCATAACGAGTTAGCGCGGCGAAGTTCTAGCCGGTCACGAAAACACGTGTAACATCGCCGCCTTCTTTACGTTGAGGATGGCGGCCTCTTCTCGCTGTCCCTCACCGAGGATCGCGGTGACTAGGTATTTCCCGGGCTGTCGTTTACGGTTCCGAATGGCCTTGTGGGCGTCTACAGGTCGAATATGACACATGCAATGGCATGCGCGCTATCTTTCTGACGCGATCCAGGGGAATTCGGACGGCTTGCATCGACTTCTTACTGATGATAGTTGCTTTCACCAGGCGAAATGTGATCACCCGCAGGCTCGAATACTATTGGCCGCGACAGTCCATGGCTCTCATATGGTGTCATAAATATTAAAATAGACAAACGATGGTTGCCGCGGATTGTCTGTTTTAATTGTTCAGGTGGCCAATGTAGGCTGATAGTGGTTGCTGCCCACCATGTTTTGCAAACGAGATATTTGACCAACGTAAATTTCCGTTCTGCTATTTGGATTTTTGCCTGAATCACAAGGCATATATCGAATTCCTGGACGCAGTTCACAAATGGCTAGTTATTTCACGAGTCGTTCCATATGTCCAAGTATCACGACAACCCGCCAGGGCTGGAGAAATCTAGATCATTGGAACCACCTGGAAGAAGGGAAGAAGAGATCGATAAGGTTTGATTTTGATAGTCCGATCCTTCATTGATGGGTACCACAATGTCGGGTCACAATAACTTGAAACGGAGACCGAGGGGCACATGATTAGCGCCCAAGACCAGCCAGGCCGTATTGTCAGTTTGTTATGATCTTCGAGAGAGACGGCGGTGCTCGGTGTTTGGTTGCTAGGGTATATTATGATCCTGCCAGCCAGTGTCATGCATTCTAAGATGACGGATCTGCAGTGTCGTGTGTCTCCTGTAATGGACGTAGTCAGCTGTTCTCGGCCTGTTAGATGGTTGACAGCCGAGGGCCTAGAACAGACTGAACAGTGCATTCTGACGAGTTGAGGTTTCCTCGAACTAGAAGGTATCAGCTTGATGGTAGCACTAATGTAAACACGCCAGCTTACCCGAGTTTCCCATAATCAGTACGTATGCTGTCGCTGACACCGCTAAGTTTTCAATACTCTACCTTTTGGTGCGCGGGTGCCAGTCTGACCCACTTACCACTAAGCTCGAGAAGAGTCTGATCAAATAAGCATCCAGCTCCCGCTCTACACTGCGCTGTGCACATCGCAGTATCAGGCTTGCTGACTCACGTTCACGTTGTTGAACCATGCTGGCGGGCTGAAGTTGTGTGAGGCGAATTCATTAGCACAAAAATGTAATACATCATGGCGTTCAATAGTGTTCTCTCCATTAGCCAGCCGCCCTAGGCTGTACAAGAAAAAGGATCGTCAATTCGTATACGGAGGAAAAAATATAGCAAGAAAGAAATCACGCACCTTGACCTCATCGCCAACCTTGCGCACCCAAACTGATCTGACTGTGCCGCCTTCTTTTTTCAAACCTTCCTCGCCCTCATCCCACGTATAACTGACACCCACTGCTAGACGTGTGCCGTCGCAGTTGAACGCGATACTGGGGATCGCAGACGCATATTTCGGGTACTGTCTAAGCCGTTTTTTGACCTTATGGTCCCAGATGGAGACGGTGCCGTCTGACCCTGCAGATGCGAATGTATTGTGTCTGATCGCATGGTATGAGTAATCAGGGTAAGTCGATTAATTACGGCAAAAGAACGAGAAGACATACACTGGGTGAAATGCAAGCGCATTGACCGGCCAGACGTGATCCACATCTTCGATATTTTGTCTGTGGCACTTGAACGCATATTTCTTATCCTGGATTTCTGGACTTGGGTCAAAGTACTCCACGCCGATACGGCCTTCCACGGAGCCGATCGCATAACCTAACATAAAGCACGTTACCCCTGAACACGAAAGCAATAAATCTAGACTCACCCTGTCCATCAGCCATGCATGCTAAACTTCTCGTCATGAATTTCAAACTGCTCTCTCTTGTCTGCGCGGGCTCGGACATTCGCCGTACGTCATATATGTGGAACAAGCGCGAGGCCATGGAGACGACGAGCGTATTGTTCACTACGTCCATGTGGTAAACGCGTTCGGGAAGCGTATGATTCGATACTTCTGCTTTTGGTGCGCGGGGATCCCAGAAACGAAGGGATTGGTCCCATGAACCCGAGATGAGCGTATCTGTTAGGTAATAGTTGGAAAAGAATTCAAGAATATAGGATAGAGAGACGCACTGATTTCACGTGCGTAGGAGAGCGCAGAGACCGAGTTGGAATGTTGACCCAGGGAAGTCACCCTTTCTGTTGTGAGATCAAGCCTGTAAGAAACGTCAACGTCTTTCTCAAGGAAATGAGATAGGGATACACACTCCCGCACTCCAGTATCCAGACATCCACTGTAGGCATGGGTCGAGTCGCCGAACAGACAGGAAAGGACGGCTGCGCGATGGTCAAATTTGGCTTTTTGTTCGTTCGTGGCTACATCATAAAACCGTACAGTCTGATAATGTGTGGTTAAACCTTGGCAGACTAAAAAGACAGATGGAAGCTTACAGTGTCCCAGGCAGATACCAGGAGATGATCAGGGTTTGTCGGGGAGAAGCGTACCTGGGATACGCTATCGAACGGAGGTGATGAGAGTTCCACTTGATCTACACATGTCCCCAGTGGTATGGATACACATTTTTGGGAAAAATACAGACTTACCAGCCATGAACAGAGATACTAGAGCAAGCGCTGAGACTGCAAAGAAACTAAGTTATGCGCGCAGAGACACAGCCACTTCGTGCACAGGTGTGGTCACGTGAAGACGTAGAGCAAAGTTCAAACCATCCAGCACTATATCCGACTCACACTGTTTGCTCGTGTCTAAGGCCTAGGGCCCAACGTCCCAGTGCCAAATTCCACCTACATAATTGAATATCTCACGTGCTGCGATCAGCAGGGTTTCCCGGGCGCTCACTGGCACTAGTACTCAGGCTGCGTGCGTTGAAGCAAATATTGCCTCGAGGCTTGGGTCAAGGGTGGCCTGTTATTCAAACGACATGGGGTCCACCTACTTTCTCACCGAGACTCCCCTCCATGAGCACTTGACAGATTCGAGGCCATTTCCTCTTGCAGCAATTCGCACATCCCAAGAAGCAATTGCTGGTCAAGGCTCGTAGCTATCTGGCCCAGTGGCCCTGCAGGCAAGGGGAAATCAGCATCACTTACACTATTCCACGACGTGAGAGAGAGGGTTGGTTCATTTTATTGTTTCGACCCTCATCGAGAAGCCCACTGCTGTCATGAAAAGGTTTTTTCCACCATCGCGCACGACCTGGCTCATCGCCATCCTCTGGAGATGAGGAGAGGATTGGCGGGTGCAGTTGCGAACGACTGTGTGCTTAAGAGCACAGTGGATGTTATCCGGCAGTGGCGGAGCCTTCTGACGTAGGGAAGCTTTCGGCGTCAAATTCAGGGTGCGTCATGGTCGTGATAGATGCATTGGACCAGACACCTTCTCCGTATTCTTGCTGGTAACCTGGCTGTTTCTCAAATTATGGACCTCCCAAAAACAATTGTACCATTGTTACTTCTTGCCCGCTTCGCAACATCGATGACGAACTCGGCATATCGACGGATGTCCATGGAAGACATTTCATCAGAAGTTGGGGAGATTACATATCCGAGGGTACTGGAGGGGCTATCACATTTGGGGGACAGGGTGTTTGCAGCCCTGGCTAATGAACCTGATGGCATGTTCAAGTGGGCCCGTCTTGCTTGTGAATTCGTCATAGATCGTTTCCCGGTGTACCACTTTGACCTTGTGGTGCCCCGCGATCCTGTCGATCGCAGCATGCTGCTATACGATATATATCACCTCATTTTGACAGAAATCATCCTGCTCCAGTCGATTTTGGCCTGCGCACATTACGAACAACAATTTTTGACACGAAGATCGCAGAAGGAAGTAAACTTGACTTTCGATTCGCTTGGCCTTATCAACGCGCACGCACAGTGGCGCAGTTGACGACTTTCCGCTCATCCCCTAATGGTTCAAGGTGAGCACATCGCATCTGTACGTATCAGTCTTGTGCGCGGTCATGCAGGAGCTAGCTGCAAAGGTGATTGTATGTTGTATACTTACTTGCGTCATAACGTTGATATATCACAGCACTCCCAATATCCTGCTCCAATTCTTATCAAGCGGTCTTCCAGTGCGGCCAGGATGAACGTGACGCGACAGACACGGCCCACCTTCACTTATATTCTTACAGGACTCCGCTGAGGTTTGTGCCTTGACACAAATCTTCATAGCTCCGCCGTATCATATTCAACAACCAAGCATTTGGTCGGAACATCGAACCTACGGGCATGGCATTGTACTAAAGCTCGACACGCTAAACCATGGGAAGGAGGACACAGTCACTTGTAATCCAGTTGATGTGGCAGTGGACAAACCATCTTGGAGACGCCTCCTTGTCATCACAATGTTTAGGCAGCAATGTACCAATACGAATAAAGAATCAAATTCCTGCATTCGCGGAAATACAACAATAGGCGAGCACGTAACTGCACAATACATCAACAACTGCACAAACCAAAATAGCACTTTATACGACAAAAGAGGTCATTGAATAGGACGTCATGTGGCTGTAGAAATTTGGAAAGCTCAGCAAACAAACATAATCGTGACTTCCTCCAGATCCTGGGGATCAAGTACTTTTGCTGAAGGTCACGAGTCTCCGGCGAATGTCCAATATACGTTGTCTTTTTGTCGAGAGCATTATGCGTTTCTGAGTGATAGAGGGATCTTCGCTGACCAACTCGTTCATACGCTCAGAAAAGTCAGGCCCAGACGCAAGATCACTCAGCAAGCTCGTGAGAAGGCTTTGCGAAAGTTGTCCCGCTAGAGCATGATGGAGAGCATGTTCGATCGTGAGAGGAATATGGTCAACGATGCGCTGTGCTCAGGGCAATTAACACGTTGAAATGGAGATGATGGACAAGACTCACCTTGTAGGCCACATGATAATAGGCTCGAACGTCAGCCATCACAACTAGCTCTTCCTCGAATGAGTCGGGAGGTAACAACCGTGCAAGATCTGAGACTCGAAGATTGGTATACCCCGCTTCTGCAAGAGCTCTCAAAGCTTTGTCTTCAGGCGTCTCTGCCAGTGGAGTCGCAGAGGTGCGGGGTTTAGCAGGAACCTTACTAGTAGACTTTGGCTCTGCGGGGACAGCGTATGCAGCTGATGAGAATGCTGAGGGTGTCGAACCGATTGGCGAAGAACATTCCTGCCCCCATTCCTTATAGTCTTTCTCGAGACTTGAGCGGCCTTTGGGGGGGCTGGGCGTCTCAGGTCGTGGTCCAGGTTCCTTATCCCCCCGAATATGATGAGCCTTGTACTGAGAAGGTCTACTTCGAGCTGTTTTATAATGTGACAGCCATTTGTCGCGGAGCGTTTGGAAGTAGTGCGCGTTTTGAGTATATTGCGGAGTAGTTTCCAGATCCAAAGCCGATCTAACAGCAACTTGGGCGCGCGCCTTGCAGATGTCGACCTGGGTTCTAATTAGATTTCTGGTGTCACAATTAACTTGAGCACAGACAATGATCGTAAAGAGTCAAAACTTACCCAAAGTAGTCCTGAAGAACTTTGAAGCGTCCAAAATGGGTGCTTATGAGTGCATTGATCACTTGATCGAGCACATCGTTGATACCCGCAAGACAGCGCTCAGACGGAGCAACCCAAAGTTTAGTAAATTGAGCGATGAGATTTACTTTGGCCTGATACGGCACGTTGTTCGGAATCTCCCATCCAATCGCCCTTGATGAATAGTAGTTGAGCTGTCCTGCAACTACCAGAATAAAACACGAAAACATACTCCTGAATGACATTGCGGATGTCATATATACCCAACACTTTCACCCCAGGATCTCGCTCAGAAAGAGTCATATTGCCCTCCGTATCATCCAGCGGAACAAAGTCTTCCGGTTGATTAAAGGGCCTAAAATCGGGGGCAGTACCGCGTATGTCCCTCTTGAAAGTAGTGTAGAGAGCACGATTCCGCTGCGCAAGATCTTTGTCTTGGTGACTGCCATTCACAAACTTCTTAAAGGCATCGCAGAACGCATTCACTCGTCCTAGCACCTCAACTTGCGGATCATTTGCAAGAGGCGGCGGCAATTCGTCGATGTCCTTGATACATTTGGCAAATAGCTTGTCGACATCGTCTCTAAGGCACGGTAAACTGTAGACAATGTAAGTACTTTATCACGACCCAAATAGAAGGTCTACGCACGTTTCTTCGATCAATTGAATGAGCAATTGGCTCACATCTGAAACAAAGCCTGGAATTCCAAGTCGATGACGGTCAGTAACGTCCTTCCAGGGCGACGTCGTGTCGAAATATTCAGTGGCACGCCTTTGCGATTCAGCACGAGACAGGCGTTGTGCACGTTCGGCGTCATCGGGAAGACGCACGCAGTAAAAACCGTGCCTCAATGTGTGATCCTCTGAACGACCCTCGATGATTTCTACCCATTTGCGGCGCTGGTTGATAGCCCCGACACCAAGTGTGTCAGGTTTCGTAAGTACACCTGAAGAGCATTTAATGATTGAATTATACTACGGTGTGGGTGACTTGCCAATTGTCCTCTTGCCAGCAGGATCTGCGGCCCTGGCGAGACTCATGGATTGTTGATTTTCCATGTCGTCTGGCATGGAACCCGTCAATTCAGTAAAACAAGATTTTGCAATTCATACACCTACCGCTCATGGGAATTGTAGTCAATATGATGGTGTTGTCTTTCTTGGTGTAATGTTCCACCAAGTTCTTCACCAAGGCGACGATTTCGGCTTCCTCGTTTTGTATTAAACCTTCCTTGCGCATCAGTTATGTCGGTTTGGTCTAGATGAGAATATACTTACCAGGTAAATCATAGAATGATAGGTCAGTCGCATCGGGGTCTTCAATCGAGACGCATACCACGTTGCGGGAGAACTTCAGTGTGTTTTTCATGTTCCTGAGTTCCTCGACAGTTTTTGTGTGAAAAGAAGAAGAAGAAATATCCGGGTTTAAGATAGCTGCCTGAGCACGACGCAGCCAGACTTCAAAATCACTTTTGTCTGTGATCGTTTTGCCAAAAGGCACATTAGTAGGTTTTTGGAGGTCTAGGCCGTTACGATCGAAGCCAATACGTAGGGTAATAGTGCAGGACCATGATGAGGCATGACTTGACATTGTACATTCCATAGGGCATCTGCACATAGTATTATGAGCATTGTTGCAATAACTGACGGTGGTTAGTAAAGTCACCTTGTACACGTTCCGCTATCTCTTGGGACGTTGATCTTTATAGCAATGAAAATATGAATAACGTGATAAAAGGATGAACTGTCTGTTGACGCACCCCACTGACGGCCTCTACGAGTGAGCTTTTGCCCGCTGAAATATCAGATTGAATATAGTTGTAGCTGCAGAAATGGTCCAACCACAAACCAGATTGACCACCAATTACCACCACGGATGGTAAGTCGATCAGCGCGTCGGCACTGTAAGAGGTAGCGTGAGCGAAATATCCTTATAATCATATCTACAAACACCCACCCCATGGATCGGAGGTCAGCCATCATCTGTATAAGTTCACTTCGTCTCCGAGCATAGTCAGTGGACGATATGTCCACTTCCTCCCATACCTCCAGAGGGTTGACGGAACCAGAGAGGGAAGGAGGAGGCGCTCCAAGAGAGGGCTCGGTGATTGAGGCTGCTTGTCTGCGTTTATTGTGAAGTGAATCCATGGTGAATCGGATGTCAGAAGTGTTCAACGCAACATCCAAACGACCTTTGTTTTTATACGCCAGCGCTCGATTTGGTGCCTTCGGATGACGCAAGTACAGTAACCGTATCAGCGTATTTACCGGCGACACATTGTTGAGGCGATCCGGATGCGAAGTAATACTATGACACATACCAATCATAGAAGATCTGTGATGACCTTTTTGGCACAAGGTCGTACAGTAAACAAAAAGTAGAAACAGAACATGCGCACCTCCCTCCTCGCTAAGGTCCATATTGGCAAGAAGTCGATCATTTAGGTGAATCGCTGCATCATTCATGGACATGATTGGGTGTTACCGCCGTATACCTTTCGTTCTTCAGGTGCGCTCGTCCTTGAAGCTGTCGCCACGATGCTCGCCTTTGACTTGTTCGCATTGTCCGTAACATTCAAGACAAGGCGTCGAATAGAAGGCCATCGAGAATAGCTGATGAAAGGAGGGAAAACCTAAAGCTTGGAAAGAATCATATCTGACTCTTCTCTCATGGCAAATGTTCCTATTACATCACCACGATTCAGAGCCCGAGTCTTATATTCTAAGTTACCGCAACCGACTCGGAGGACTCCGGCATCATGATATACAGGGAGTGGTGACAATCTGAAATCGAGGTTTAAAGCTTAAAGCTTGAAGCCCCTGCCATGTTACATCCTGCTCCATCAGTGTAGGAAGTGGTGATTTGACCGCGAACTGTGGACACTTGACAAAGTCACCACTCCCTACACCTAGTAAGTTACATAGTATGGCAACTCGAATTATGTAGAACTCTCATGGTGCAACATGAAGTACTGCCAGTCGAGCTCTAGGTTAGTCTGACTGTACTAATATACCAAGTGGTACTATGCATACCGATTCAAATCATTTCAGTGCCGCAGGGAAAAGGAAGTTGCATAGCCAGCCTCCTGCATGGTATTTAAATACCGCCGCAGATACGAGCCCGCTGCGGGCAGTGGACTCGACTCTAGCCCTGCGCTCGAGAGATGATGGAAGACTAGCTGTCTAGAGAGATGATGGTAGTACAACGTGTCGTGCTGTCGTGGGCGGAGACCCCGAAACCCCGAGACCCTGGCACTCGCCCGTCTGCCGCTAATCATCAGTTTCACCAGTACGTACTATGAATTGTGTTCATCGATTCAAGCAGAAAATGTCATGAGAAGCAAGACTTCCAACGGGATTGGTGACTGGCTAGATCATCAGAATACAGGTTTATCAACAGAGAGCATAACCGCCGGCATGTTGTCCACCACGTCATGCTGTGTTGTTGATTGATGGTCTTCAGAACGGAAGCAGAAGGCAAATCTGCGCACTCTCTTCATTTCTTTGCTAATAATATGCGTGAATTTTCTGCCTCCTTTTGTCTTTCATTTATCTGTCTAGCACTTACAACCTCTTACTGACGGCTCAAGGATTGACGCTAGCACGAACCGTGCTCCACTTGCAAACAGATCCTTTTGCTCATGGTCATACTGTAAATACATTGAATGGCACCTACGCCTTCGTAACTCCATGAACACAAAATGAGGGCCGGCAGCCGAGTCCTTGTATTGGATATCAAATTTCTTTCAAGTTGCGGTACTTATTCCCTTCCAGTTATATTGTTCCATCCCTTCCTCTGGTCCCAGGACGCTAGCACAACACGCAAATACTGTGATGATCAGGGACTAGTAACAACTCCTTGACTGCTAACCAACTTCTCAAGCATATCGCTGGCAGCAGTCCTCAACTCTTTCACAGCAATGGCGACACTCTCACCCTCTCCCTGCTGTGCATCTCGCATCTCTGGTGCGTTAAGAACACGATCCACATATACGATGAAGGACTTGAGATCGAGTTCCTTAGCAGTGTGCATATACCTCTTCGTGCCTTCCACAAGGTCAGGAAGGAACTCGAAACAGTGTATGTCGTTGACGATATAGGGGGCATGGAACCATGCATTGCTGATCGTGTCCCACCACTGCTGCCCTGTAATAGAATTGAGGATTGCAACCGACGACTGTTCAGGTGCGATCCGGAGGAGGATGCCAGCTAGGTAAAATGCATGTAGACTGAGGCTGTAGCGCTGTGCAGCAATGCTAATGCATCGATCTATATGATCCTCAACCAAATGGGGGTGCCAGTTGGAATTCCTCGCGAGGGCAAAGAGCAGTTCGAGATAGCACAAGTCGCGTTCATAATGGAAGAAGCAGTCAGGATCATCATCGGAGGGTGTTACACCTGGTTGTGGACAAACTGCAGTGAGGATAGCGGGGGAGAACTCGGTCAAGATCATATCCCGCAGTTCCGCATTATCAATGGCATCGATCGAGACCATTTCTTCTCGGGCACTGTGGGCAAGGCGAAGAGCAGCATGACGTAAGTGGGCAGGCATGTGACTACCCATGCAGGCGATGAGGCTCTTGAAGAACTGATGCCGTTTAGCAGGGCTGGAGCGTACTTTTATGACAACCAGGAGGAGTAAAAGGATGTCGAATACTGCTTCCTGGTCGTTGGGATCCAAGTACTCGAGGCAGTCGACCAGCCAGTCGAAGTCTTCTGGCGAATGGGCATCACCTGTCCAAAAATACTGGTTATTCCACAAGTCGGCAGGGTCCCGAGATACTCCGGCAGCAGCAAGCGTGAAGCGCAGTGCACTTTGCGGAACACCCAACAGTTCCAAGGGAGAATTTTTTTCGGATGATCTCACTCGTGAGTAAAGCTTCCTGCACATGTCCAGGTTCCGCATGGCAAGGAATGAAGGATTATAGTAATTTTTGGCAGACTCAAGCACAAGACAAATGGCTGTGATGAGGTTCGATTCCCGATATGTTATACCTGTGCTGTCGTCGCTGAGATCACCTCCATAACGTGTCCAGAGAGTAATTTGGAACTGCTCCAAAAGGGCATTCGCAAATCGAGGCAGGGCAGAACTACACAATATCTTCGTTAGCCATACTAGTAGCAGAAGCACCAAATGAGTCGATGGCACCTTTTATCAATCCGGACTATGTCCTTCTTGTCGAACTGAACCCCGACCATGACGCAAGCAAGAAGAGCGCAATTGGCTATGATTTGATTCGATGGAGAGGATGGAAATGATAGCAGTATTGATATCACATCCATGGCCAATATTTCCACGTTTTCATTCGCTCGCCCAGTGACAAAGTGGTAAGGAAGAGAATGTGACAGCCACTCCGCCACAGAGTCAGGACAATCATACAACGGAAACCACGGGAATATGCTATCTTCATCTTGCAGAAGACAAAGATTCTGAGTCGTTTTAAGCACCGTCATGTCGGCTTGATCCATACTCCTCAGAGCCATCCGGTCAAACATGACATAATCTCGTTCCTCGAAACCAAGAAGTTCACCACCGGCAGGATGTGCCTGAAGAACACGGCCACAATATAAATGACTCATAGCCATTAAACAAGCTGAGGCCTTTTCCTCCAACGACGGCATAATTTGTCCATGAAAGCCGACGCAGCTCATATAAATATCATACAGCTGATGCAGTGCGCCTGAGACGTCGAGATCTAGGGGCCATTCGACCTGCGGAACAAGGCTGGCGGCGGCAAGAAATACTTCAGGATCCGTAGAGGTCTCGAGCAGCCACTTGACACTGGGTGCTTCCAGATTGCTGGTAGGTATGTTAGGAAGAGCGAGGTCGTGGTCATTGCCCGACGAAACATCTAATTTCGGTCCAAGCAATTGTGCTTCTGAGTCCACGACCTTTGTGGAAAAGCGCAGGACAAAATGCAGCCAGCTATGAAGACGAGTGATTAACTGCTGAAGAGATCGCTGTGCGAATGCGCTGATCGCACGTACAGGGCCTGAGGAGTGAAATGAGCACTGGGTATCTTTGTGATAGTAGATGAGATTGTCACATCTAAATACTGCAGACAATCGGGTCCATCTTGACCTGAAAATGTCAAGCAATTGTTCCAGCACGCCTGACATGGAACGGTCAAAACCTGTCCACATGAAGAACACACAACTCACCTTGCAGCGACTTTGTGAGCTGCTGGAAACAACTGGAGGTTCGTTTGAATACCGGGCGTAGAACCCCTGCCATGTTGATTCAGACGGGGAACGACCACCAGAATTTGGTAAAATTGATCTCACTGTCAATGTGCAACATGCGTAACATCGTCGATGTTGGTGTCTGAAACGGACAAGCAGGAGACACCAAACATGCCATCACCGTCAGGGAATAGAACAGAAATCCAAAGATCGTCGTTGCGATGATGACCCAAGCGATGCTCAGCTGGTCATACCACATATTGGCGCCAAGGGCAATTCCAAATAGAAGAAGGGAGATCTGAAGCAAGACCGGAAAGGATTGCACGACAGCATCAAAATACCATGTGACGAGACCGTCGAACTTTTCTTGCCTGCGCTTGCCTCGTTCCTCCTCCGAGCCGCGGCCATATCTGCTCGACTTGTAGTACCCGAGCCACTGCTTGCCTAGTACGGCCCCGAATGCAGCAAGCAAGCTCATGGACAAGCTTGCGTATGCGACCAACTGGATCTTCACAGCCGACGCAGGTGGCGACCATGTAGATTCTGGGTCTGCGGGAGCGGTGCCTGCCTCGGCGAAGGTTGCCGAGTCCGATCTGCACGAGTTGCTTCAAAAGATAATTCGTAGTGTCGCTGGGGTCGGGACTGAGATTGGACTCCATCGCGACGATGAAACCCGTGCTGACAGCCGAGAAAAGACCAGACTGATCAAACATCAGTTTCAATGCGCCAAAGATAAGAACGCTAAACTTACGAAGATCAAGACAATGTCCATGTCAGTAGTGTATCGCTCAAGGAACTCGCCATCATGTTCCTCTGCGACTCGTTTGTACACCCCCCAGAAACGAGACCGTTTGTCCTTTCCAATCTTCGATGCAATCGTGGAGTCCTGGAGAATGTCCAATACTTGCCTCATGACATATGCTCTGAGTGTACAGTATCGTCAGTTGCGATCGCTTGACTTGTTTTTCGCTTACAATTCGCTTAGAGTTAGCTGGTCCTTGTCCTTGTCCGCCACGACCTTTCCCTCCTCGCTGAGACAATTCAGCAGCATGTTTGACGTCATTGTTGACATGGACTCACGGAGCTGAATCGTCGACTGGTGGAACATTGGATGTGCTTCCTTGTACGTGAGAAGGTCCTGACGGCTGTGAAGGCCCAGCATTCGAGCTGCAGTTCGGGTACTAAGGAATGGCACAGACGCCCATCAGGGAAGAAAGACACTTACATCCCTGATGGCAACTCCGCCAAAGGTTCAATATCTGACTTCTCCCTGTCTTGCTATTAGACGGGTGTCAGATTCCAGGAAGCTGCAACTTACTCTTTGATGGGTCCTACGGTGTCAATTTGCGGGGGAGGCTGCTCATCGTTGTGAGTGAGCTGATCCTCGGTGTCGTCGGTGCCTGATGCTTGTGACATGAAGAAGTTATACCTATATTAGATCCCAAGTAAAGCTAGCGAAATTGGGAAGGGTCTGAAGGGCACAGACAGAGCAGTGTGGCGGTACACAGAAAGTCGGTTAGGCGGCTACGACCATGATGAACACGTGCTTGCCACGAGCGTTGACGCCGAGAGTGCTTGTGAGCGCTGAGCGCTCCCAGTCAAGTGAACTGCGACTAGTCTCCAATGTTTGTTGCTCCGATCAAGCTGTGCGCACATGCAAGTTGCACGATTATGATAGACTTTGGATAAACTGCAAACTTGAATTTTATCATGCCCCAATTTGAGACCATTACTAAAAAGCAGTTTTTCCAAAGGCTCTGTTTCGATATCCAAATAATGTTACAGGTCGCACACGTCGCATACTCATAAGCAACTTATAAGCGATTTAAGTTTTAACGAATACACTTCTCGCGAGGGATTTGAATGCAACACAATGCTGCAAGGCGACGACCCTGTATTCCGGTGCCTCCATGCTTCCAATCAATCTCCGAATCACTCGATTTTTTTATTCGAAAACTTGGAAGTAAGTTCCGTGAGCAAAACCACCAACAGAATCAAAAACGCAAACACTCACTACAGTGACAACAGTCCCATCGTCCAACGTCTCCTTCCGCGGTACGAGCGAATACCCAAATACCTTGGGCAGAACGATTCGCCATACAGCCCAGTACAGCCCGCCTGCTAATATGATGGAGATCCCGACCAGGCAGTACCTAGAGAATAAGCGAGGAATAAGAATAAGGGAAGCGCTGCTGAAGGAAGCGTACAGGTAATATGGTAGTGGTGGGGTGTCGCCAACGCCGTTGGCTGGTCTCATGAAGGGAGCGATGAGGACTGTGTACGGGTTTGGTTAGAGAAAGAAAGCATTGAAGCTGTAGATGGGTGACTCACGGAAGGCAGAAGCAGCCAAGAAGAATACGGCGAGAGGCCACCATACTGCATCATATGCATTAATGTACCAAACAGAAAGATGTTTGCTCACCTTTGAATGGCCGAACAGCATCTGGCTTCTTCCATCTCAGATAGAACAGACCCTGGCGGCATCAAGAAGTAAGAAACAATCAAGAAGGAGTTGAAAGACGTACGATGACAATAAAGAAATTAATAATCTGCTGTGGGTATCCTTCGATATCCAAAATGAAGGGGAATGCAATGTTTGGGGGAGGCGCGATGATAGTAATCGCCTAGAAAATCAATCTCAAATCAATCTCATGGATAACATGCAGTTCCATGGTAGTACTTACAGAGGGTATCAAGTGGATGATCAATCCCGGAAGCGGAGACTTCCCCGTGGGCCAATTTGAAGCCCAGAATTTGTTTCCGAATGGTAAGGGTATCCCTTCCTTTGCGAGCTCTGTGATCGAAGCATAAGCTATGTAGGACTACGATGTTTAGTATGACGGACCCTGGTTCACTCGTGCCGCACCAAAAGTCTAGATGAAAAGTTCTTGCGTCATACATTTAAATAGCATCCCTCAACTTACCACAGTAACAACGTTCTACGGCCCATCATCAGACAGAGATCATGATATAAGATATATAAGACTCACTCCAAGAGCACTGTCATGATAACAATAAATCAGGAAACCCTCGAAGCCAAGATGTCGAGCTCACCTGAGAGCAATGAAAATCGCCAGCGCACGCTCCGCAGCAGGACCAAAGACATTCCCGAAAAACAAAGAGGCAACAGCAACACCAGACTCATCGATCTCCGTCTATTGATATCATTCAGTATGTCGTTCGTGGTGCATACACAAAACGAGTTCTTACTTTGGTTGCAGCCGCGAAATAAGCCACATTTGCAAGCAAGTACAAAAAGGCACATATACCAAGACCTAGCGGGCCTGCGATCTTGAGCGTCCTCACTGGATTACGGACGTTGTTCATCACGTAGTTCACGCTAGCCCATCCCCCGTATGCGATCAGGACTTTGAAGGTAGCGGTAGCATACTGTGAAGAATATAGTCAGTAGATGGGCATCTAGGAATATGGTTGGATGCACGTCGTTGCTGCTCGTGGAGCTCCCTGCGAACGCGTTTCTGAAATTATAGTTTGGGTCCGCGACGCTGGTTTTTCCAGAGAGAACTACCCAGCCTGTGATCACGACGAATATCAGAATTGCGATCTTGAATATCGAAAGCAGCTGAAAGGAAGATGTTGAATATAATGGTGTCAAAATGAAAGTTGCATACGTTCATTATCAGCACGCCGGTCTTTGGAGCCAATCCGTGTAGAAGAACTACAAAGAAGATGACTAGAGGCCATGTAAATAACCGTGACATGTCAATTGTGTAGGATATCATACCCCCAAGTGCAATAATACGTTCATTCCAGCGATCCACGGATTGATCAGCAGCAACCAAGATGCTGCATTATATCAGCTGAATCGTTTCATTAAGATCCAAAATGCGCACTGGCTGGCGAAAACCTTAAAGAAGCAGTTAAATTTTAACACCGAATGTCTATCCGAAACAAGAGATCACTGACAATACAACTGCTTGCAGTGAATCCAAGCAATATAGAGTTGACAGCAAATACTGCGGTGGCGAGGTACTTGGGCTTTTTGTAGACGGCCTCAAGGTATACTTTCTCTCCACCACTGCGAGGGAACATAGTGCCGAACTCGAGCCATATGAAGAGGCCACAGAAGCTAAGCAAGAACCCGAGGACCCAGAGCAAGAAGCAGGCGCCAACTGACCTCACGCTGGAGAGGATGGAGGATGGTGTTGAGAATATACCGGTGCCGATAATCCGTCCAACGATAAGGAGAGTGCAAGAAGTCACACCAAGGTGACGACCGAGGCCTCCGGCGGTATCTGAATGACGTTAGATGAGCAAGTTGAAAGAATAGCTAGCAACCTCACATTCTTCAAAGGTCAGTTCTCCAGGATCAAGGTCAGGATCGTCGTCTGATTCCTTTTGAATCCTCTGATCCTTTTCGGTGGACTGTGACTCAGAGGCACGGTCCTGTTCCTGTTTCTTGCTTAATCGCGACCACCAGGTAGTAGACATTCCTGTAGATGAGGAGGGAAACATGAACACAAGATATCAGCGCCTTGCAGGCAGATACTTTAAGGGTGCTCGATATTTGCGCAATAAGTGCACATGTTGTAAACACCGTGATGTGGACCAGTGGTGATATCCGTTAGTGTCTTAATTTCAAAATCGGGGGACCGAGGACGAGAAAGAATAAGAAATAATTAAATCTTACTACAGCACATAACGCGTCCTAATGTTCGGACTCGCAACAGGGTTCTTTTTTTGCTGGCTAAATCGTCGCCATCTACGTTTCCACGAAACTGGAGTAGATATCACCATCTTGAGTTAAGGTGCTCGACAATTGCGCAATAAGTTCACATGTCGTGAACACCGTGACCATGATGCGTGGACCGGTGAGGTCACTACCGTATTACAGAAGACAAGTCGAATGGATTAGGCTGTTATGATGATTTCTAATTGTATTTGTAATTTTTAAATCGCCGCACCGAGGACATAAAAAAACAGCCTGTGGGGCTGCTTTAGATGATGGCCCTGTAGATGTATGCCAAACCAAGTGAACCTTAGTAAGAGAAGAGGATGACGTGACGAGCACGCTTGCAGGATGATGAATTTAAGGAATGTGGAAGACTTGCAGACTAGAATTTGGGTGAGGCCATCCATCAGTAAACTCACAGTGTCGCTCTGTACAAAGCTGCATCTGCAAACTAGAAATTTGTTCACAGATATGGTAATTTTCGACAGTTTCCCACAGCCACCCAAAGTGGCGACAGAGCTCACAGAACGTACAGCCCCAGACGCCAAAGTGGTCACAGAGCTCACAACCGGGTCAGACTATTCAAAATAAATTCAGTGATTTCCAGTTCAACGGCCTCAATCTTTTCAAAGTGTAGTAGTACTAGTAGCAGGCTCGGCTGTAATCTCCAATTACAATACAAACATTATATTCAATGAAATACAAATATATAGTAGTAGTATCCGAGTCGTACATACTACTACTACTAATGTGCGCGCTGAACTTGAACACAAAAAATAAGAATAGCTCGAGTCATCAATCTAAAATTACTGATATGCGACGGCTGGATTGTTCTGTGATAGGACATGAAGTTTGCAGTGGTGAATGTGAACAGATATGACTTATAGTGCTGCTGCGGTCTGGTTCGGTTCAGTTCTTGAGGGTGTTTTGTTGAACCTCAAACTGAACCTTGGGTCCGGTTCAGGCAAGGAGGGCGAACGCTGGACTGGACCCTTGCGAACGCGTTCACAAGCATTCGGTTCGAGTTCAGAACGCGTTCAAACCCCCAAATGCATATAAATTCTTGCACATAAAGGTATGCTTATGAAGCATCCATGTATTACTGTGCCAAGGTACGCCAGCTGAATAATGCCGACCAATGGAAACATGATTAGGCTATAAAAACAGACGCGGGGTAAACCTATGTGAGTCCCAGGCTGCGGCCAACAAACAGCACAACAAGGTTTTCACTGTAGATATCACCTGAAATATCACATAGTAGCTAACAAGTCGGCAATAGTATTGTGGAAGTTTGATGAGAGGAACGTGGGCTGTCCCAGCTTTTATCCTCTGCAAGTAGAATGGTGCCCTCGTGACAATTAGCACGATCGAGTTTGATGCACTGTATGAGTCTCACGACGAGGAAACATGATTGATGGAATGGCGGATGATTGTAGTACACATGCTGCTCCTGTATTAATGACCATTGGTGTGCGGAGGAGATGCACAGCAGAGAAACAAAACAAAACGAGCCCACAATGGGATGGGTGGTGGCTGCATGGTTGTTGCACCTGTTGCGCCAGCGCTGGTACCTTGAGCAGGTGTGGTAGTGGTAGGCTGAGTTTGTGACGACGAGAGCTGAGAAAGGTCAGAAACAGAGCTGGTGAAATAAGGTAGAGGACTCACTTGGGTGTTGTCGAAAAAGCCTGGTGGTATTTGAGGGGCCTGAATAGGTGGACGTCTGTTAATCAAGCGGTACTTCGATGCAATGGAGATGCAGATGGATCCAGCTCTGTGGACTTGGGGGATGGCGGCACTTTCATAAGCCGCACAGTGTTATCCGATGAATCAGACGCAGTCACGCAATGCGAGTACCATCTGGTGAGAACGAGACTGACAGGACTGAAGGAGAGGTGCGAGACATGTACGGGGTGCTGCTAGGAAATTATGCAAATAGATTACATAATGGAAATGTGTTGAGTGTTTGGGTCGTGAAGTCAGAGCCGGTCTTGGTCGTCCCAAGGTCAATATTCCCAGGACTGGCAATTGCCATGCTTGTTGCCAGAAGATCAGAGAATATATTGTTAGTAGATGGCTAGCAATAAGCTTAAGGGGGTCGAGTGGATCATACAAAGAACTTCAGATTTAAGAACAGTTTGGACACATTCAGAATGCATTTGCACGTTTCAGGCATCAGCCGAACGCCAAACATAATAATGTGTTCGGTCCTTACAGTATGCCAAACCCTGGACCGAACACATGGTCCGGTTCGGAAGTGTTCAGGTCCGAACCAAAGTTCAGAACTGGACTCTGGCAGCACTAATGACTTACCTTGCAAACTGCATGGCGCAAGTGAATGGTGAGAAAGACCATATTTTTTGAATGTAATTCACATATACCCTAATCCTATATCTGCCTTGTCGAGCTTTTTCTTCAAAACATCAGACTGGTGCTTGGAAAGATTCGCCATGATTTCGCGTTCTTGCACTACACAATCCGCTAGTGCCTTCTCCGCCCTAAATATGTCCCACCTCACCCTTGCTAGGTCCATGACGAGGTTGGCTTCAAGTTCATTGGTGTTGTTGATTGACTGTAAGTACCATGTTAGTGAGAGTAAGTGCTATACAATATGATTGACTTACCATTGACCTGATACCATTGGCTATATCATACAGGTCAGAAATACCGCTGGAATTGTGACAACACAAGTGACAACTTGGATGTTGCTGAACAGGGTGTGTGCACGTACAAGACATCAGGCATGAAGATGATGGTATATCATTACTGAGATTAAGACTGATTGGTGAGGCTGACATTTTGAAGAAACAAAGAGTAAGTTATTGATTATGAATTGGGCTTCTCACGAGTGTCGGACTTTGCGAGGACATGTCCAATTTCCAGTGTCCTTCATGTGGTAAAACCAGTTTCAAAGATCAGGTTGCTGTTGCTCGTCACATGAGCCAGCCTCGCTCGGGATGTAGCACCTGGCTACAGGATTTAATACATCTGCAGGACCTGTCTGACGATTCTATGCATACAGATGACTTGGACGAGCCAAATATTCCCGGTGCTGGGCCTCAGGCTGAGGTTGAGTTCACATTCAGAGATATAGATGAGTTATTTGAAGGTAGCGGTGAGAGTGGTGGACAGGCCTCTGGGGAGGGATTACTTCCGAATGGTGCCGATTTCGTCGACTGTTATCCCGAATCTTCTCGGACATATGGCAAGGGGTACACCTTCCTTGACTTATTCAATTCTGATGAGAATAGTGTGTACCGTGCCAAGAATCCCTATTACCCATTCAGTGGCCAGAAGGACTGGGAGATTACATCGTGGTTACTGCGCTTAGGATTGAGCATGGGGAAGATAGACAGTTTTTTGTCACTTGAGATGGTAAGCAAATTGTTTCATTCTCATTACAATTCCGACGATAATTCTTTTGTCAAGATCAAGGGTCTTCCATTATCTTTTTCCTCGGCCAAGGAACTGCGAGGTAGAGCAGAAATGTTGCCCAGTGGTCCACGCTGGATGTCCCAAGTGCTCTCTACGAGTCATCCCACCAAATCACCTGTCGTTTTGTACTGGCATGATCCCTTGGACTGTATTTCAGCTATTCTGAATCATCCCTTTTTTCATGATCAGTTAGACTTCATGCCTCACAGGGTCTATACTACTGCACAACACTTGTGCTGTGTATATTCAGAATGGATGACAGGCGATGACACATGGAATATGCAGGCATATATTCATGTTTTGCACCAGTCGCTGAACTTATTGGTTCCTCAACAGTCTGCCCTACCCAAAGGCACAACACTCCTTGGAACCATTTTATCATCCAACAAAATGAATATATCCACGATGACGGGTGACAGAGTTGCGCACCCGCTTCTCATCAGCCTTGCAAATATCAACATGTTCACACGACTCAAGACATCATCCAACACCTTTGTACTCACCACCTTACTCCCCATACCCAAATTTATACATAAGAATAAACACATGCGAGGTGTACTCGAGGATCGCTTAATTCATGAATGTCTAGATATTGTCCTGTGTCCGCTCAAGCAGGCTGCACATGAGGGAGTCATGTTATCAGACCCTGTTGGACATAGCCACTATTGTTTTACCCCCCTTGCAAGCTATATTGTTGACACTCCAGAAGCTATGATGCTAGCTACTGTCGGTGGGAAAACATCTCCAGTCACCATGGCCATGTTCAAGCAGTTCGGAGACCCTTTCTGTCATGAACCTCGCACGAAATCAACCACACTTGCACAGCTGGCTGTTGTTCAAACAATGGTGGATCCCAACAATATTGAAGCCTTCTTTCGTAAAGCGCAGAAATTTTGCTTGAACAGCGTCTCTAAACCTTTCTGGCAGGACTGGACCCTTGGTGAACTGTCTCATTTCTTCACTCCAGAATTTCTGCATCTCATTCACCAAGAATTTTACGATCACGATGTCAAGTGGATTATTTGTGCAGTTGGGGATATGGAAATTGATTTCCGGTTTTCTGTGTTGCAGCCCATCACTGGCTTTCGTCATTTTGACGGTGGTATCTCCAAGCTAAAACAGGTTACAGGTTGAACTCAACGTGACATTCAGTGTTCGATTGTTGCAGTCAGTGCGGATGCAGCACCTAGTGCTGTGATCACTGCTGTCCGAGCATTGATGGAATTTCGGTATCTCATCCAGTCACCGCATATTAATGAAGACAACATCAAGTGCATTTCTGGAGCCCTCAATGAGTTTCATGCCAATAAATATGCAATTACAGCTGGAGGATTTTGTCGAGGCAACAAGAACACAGTTATCGATAATTGGTACATTGCCAAATTGGAGCTCATGCAGAGTATAGTCCCCAGCATCCGCAACACTGGTGTTGCCATGCAATGGACTGCAGATACAACAGAGCATGCGCACATTACGGAGATTAAAGACCCTGCGTGATCAAGCAACAACAATAAATATGATCCTCAGATTTGTCAACATCTCAACTGGGTTGATAAGTGCCGTCGCTTTGACCTTGCAATGAGTCTTGTGGATGGTCTGGCAAGCTCGGGGCTACAGGATGACGATATTGGTGATGATGTTGACTTTGATGCGGATGATGATGATGACCTCCCCACGGAATTTATGGCCACTATAAAATGTCCTGGACATTTGCGCCCAATCACCAATTACTTCGCGATTGCGAAGATCCTCCAGCATAAGGAGGTTGGGACTGTCCCTCTACCATTGCGCACATTCATTATCGGACACATGGCCTTTCATCTCACATATTCCCCATCCATCAGATCCATCTCCATCAACAATGCTGCTATCAAATTCGGCCTTCCTGACTTATGGCCGGCCATTGCTGATTTTCTTTGTCGCAAAGCTACCCACGGACAGAATCATGTCCACACAATTGGGGGAGCCAGGAGGGCTGGACCTACTGCTTCCCTGCCATTTGATAAAATTCAAATCTGGTTCAAACTTCGACTACAGGACACAGAGTTTCATGACAGTAGCATCATATGGCCCACGCAGACCCTGAATTGTGTGCCGCCTTCTGATGTCTGGAACTCTGGTAGGTACGACTCAGTTATTGTGAACAATGAGTTAGGGTGCCTTTGGCCTGCTCATGGTCTTCGTGGTATGTTACAACCTTCTATCGTGCTGGATACTTTCTCACTATTATCTTTCAGGTCACACAATTGGTCAAATTAGGCTTATCATGCGTCCAGTTGGAAGAATTAACACAGATTGGTCATGGAAGGACCGTTTACTTGTCTATGTGTACCGCTTTGATGGTACGACAAGTGCCCGTGATCCTGCCATGCAGTTGCACTCAATCAGAAGGGCAAAATGTTCCAATGGTATGTTAGTGGGTGATATTGTACCACTGACACAGATCAAGGCTCCTGTTAATCTCATTCCTTGCTTTGGAGCCAGTGCAGACAGCCGGTTTACCTCACAGAACAGCATGGAGCACACATCAGAGTTTTGGGTAAATAAATTTTGGGACAAGAACACATTCTTTCCGCTCTCTATGTAACTTCCTGCCTGTATTTTTAACTTTCATGCTATTGGTTGCCAACAAGCTTCTTTCTGTTATATTCTTAGTACAACGAGCATTGATGGATGTAGTGATGTGTGATAAGGGCATCTTGTTGCTCCCACCATTGTCATATTATAGCTTAGAGTATACCGAACAAATGCCACCTCAGTTTTTTTTCAGGACGGGCAGCTATGGAATAAAGTTGTCGTCATTGGTCTCACTCCCTGCCGCTGTCTCAGGTGATGCCCTTACAATGAACAAGTACATGGCCGAGGAACTGAATTGTTTAGTTACACAGGAAGATGAACCATCTGAGTCGCAATCGCTGGGACACATCCTCTCTCATATCTTTCAGCCTTTCAGCATACCTCTCCTGGATTTGTCTATGCTCCAGATCCCACTCAAAAACATCCTTCATCACAATGAATGTACCAAAGCAAATTCAGCAAAAATTCACCAGACGATCTGGTGCCATTGTATGATGCTGATGCGCAACTATGGAACTGGAACCTTCCAACTCTTGCTCCCACAAACAAATCTGAATCAACAACTCACTCTCAACCATCCGAAAGCCTAGATTCGGAGGACAATGCAGAGATTGGCAAAGCCACAAAACCAACTCACAAAGAGATTTTCTCATCATTTTTCAATGCTTTGCTATCTGCTTAGCGAAGGCAGAGCCCAAACTACTAGCCAACCCCACTGCGATGCGCACATGGACTGCGGCCCACGCACATAAACCATTACCTGGTAGTGAGGTGAAGCGGAAACCTGATCTCCTCTTATCAGATGAGATCACGGCAAATTGGGGAAATATCAGGGTATCGGCTGAGCTGACACACAGTTCATATCAACCTGCGCTGCAACTCGTGAAAGCTGCTGATACTCATGCATACCTCATGCTGAGTGAGCAGCCCTGGAGGTGCTTTGCGCTTGTACTATCACTCACCAACGAGTATTGGGAGCTCAGAGTCCTTTTCTATGATCATGCTGGTGGTGTCGTGTCCCCTGCCTTCAATATCTACCAAAAACCAAGCATACTCGCTCACATTATTGCTGTCCTTCGTTTCGGCAGCCTTGAGTGCATAGGATATGACTTGACAGTCTCCTTCACAAAACACAGTTCCCCTCCCCAACACCACACCAACGGCTATCGTCCGATCAAGAACCTCCCTGCCAAATGGCAACCTGCAGATCACATCATGGCTGCAGCCATGTCTGAGCCCCCTAATCCACCATGCGATGATTTCGAGGGCGCACCAAGTGCTGTCATCGAGTCGATATCTCCCGACACGGAGCCTGAGCCCAAGTCAGACTCAGAGTTATGTGCTGACCATGGTACATATGTTTCTATGAAGAATCTGGAGGATCCCCCCCTGGTACAAGCCACTGCAATCTCCAGCGCCCCCCTTCTCAACCTCGCATCCCAAGCGCCTGAGGAACCTGACAGTATCTATTCTGCTACACCCCATCCTTCACAATTCATGTATTCAGCTCAGTCACCTGAACCGTGTGGCAAGATTTGTGTCAGGGACACAATCTACACGATCACAAGGATCCTGTTTGCAAGTCGTGGCCTTGTTAGTTGTGGTGTAGAGACTCGTGCCTCTCATTGTGCAATATCGCAGTTTTCACTAGGGAGTACATGGCATGAACTTGTAGCATCACTCTGTATGCTATCCACAGCTATTCCTACATGAGGTGCAGCTTTCCCGCGCAACTCGTGCATGTGCCTTTCCAGTGCTTCACGATGTATATGCACGCGCACTTTCCCACACTTGAGCGCCCTATAGCACCAGCCATCCAGAAGCATCCATCCACTGTCCACCAAGCTCTCTAGTGCGTATATTTCCATTCCCCTTATTTGTATATTGTTCCACCTTGATTTTTATCATGGACCCTTACTTACATATATCTTTACATACCTTGCTCGGTAGCGCTTCGGCTCTGCATGACAGCGCTTAGGCACCATATATAAGTACCAGCAGTATATACTAGAAAAAAAAAACAACAGAGGACTGAACCAGAACAATACCCATTTACTACCCAGCAGAGCATAGTTGAAATCTATTCCTTGGCACCTCGCATATAACATCTCTCAGCTTGCATCTCTCACCTCTTGTCTAGTGTCTAATCATCACTTAAGCAAACTCACTCTTACTCTCTCTTGTTTCCGCATACACACACGTGCATTCTTGCGCCTCGCGTGCACCTGCGCTTTCCTGCGCTTCGCATTTGCCAACCAGTAGCACCTTCGGCACCTACTACTAGATCCTTGCTGCACTCACTTCCCCTTTAGGGTCGAACACACTTGTCGTCTCAAGTATAGCAGACTAGGCAACGCACGACCTTACAACATTTATAGATACAGTCAGGAGCATTGTTTGTGCCTCGCTGCATCATTGAACCTTCAGCGGGGCTGTTTGTTACTTGGTCTCTTTGGATGATAAAGAATTCATCATCAAAGACCATTGGGTTCAGGGTAAGGAGGATCAGGTGATCTTGAACATCAGGGAACTGACACGAAAAAGATAAAAATTGACAAAGCATTATCTAAAGTAAAATGTGTATAAAATATGTCATAATTGTACTCCAAATGAGAAAGCTTTAGATACCTGGACTAAGTTGGATATAACCTACCAAATGCATATTGGTGACAGTCTTGCTGCAACCACTTGCCAGCTTAACATCATAATGGGACAGATTGCAACACCTACCAGCTGTGACAAGGGAATATTGAGCCATTAAAAGTCACCACCAGTCATCCAGTTGTGTATTAGTTGTAATGTACTACAATGTTGCCTGCCCTAGGTAACCTTTGATGGTTTTTTCTTCCTCCACAATTTCCAGCTGAATGTCTAAGTCAGATCAAGCTTTATATGGCTGGACTGTGTTGGATCAAAGCTGCCAATGTCCCAAGGATGTCATGTGATTATCATGCAGTGTCTTTTTATCTCGATGTGATTGTGATGCCAGACTGCACCATGTGCACAACACAGGTAACAAATGACAGTCTACTGTGATCCTTTCCAAAGTTTGAAAGTTATGATCATAAGATTTAAGGCAAGCAAGATATTATATTCCTGGCAAACTATGAATAAATGCCAGCACTGGACACAGTCTTTGAAGACTAGGCTGTTTTTGATTGAGCTACCTTTGGTCCAAGGATGCAGAGCCATGACAACATGGTGCCATTCTCCAGCTGTTTGCCAAGGCTTGGTCATTAGATATAAGGTGAGTGAAATATTTTATTCCTCATAAAATCTGAATAAGTGCTGGCACTAGATACAGTCTTTGAAGACTAGGCTGTTTTTGCCTTTGATCCAAGGATGTGGAGTGATGACAACATCATGTCATCCTCCAGCTGGTAGTCGAGGCTTGGTCATCACCTTCCATCTCAGCTACTCGATGATCCCAGCTCAAGCAGAGTTCAGCTACAGGTCAGTTATCTTGCAGGACATGCTCACATGGATCAGTATTGCATAGGAGACCATTATGCTATATCCTGAGAACATATTATTATTTGACAACAGGGTTTCAGGTATTTTGTCATTTGAGATTTTCTGGAGGCCAGTGTTGTAATCACTTCAACATACTAACTTCATTCCATTAGTCACAAGATGCTAGTATTAGATGATATTTGTATTTACCACATGAGGACATAAGGACTACGAAGAGACTGTGTTCAGAACTGCCGCCTGTTTGGTCGCAAGGTGCTTAAGTCGGATTTTTGATAAGGCACTGTTAGCTGCTAACTGATCGTTTGGCAGCAGAGGAAGTAGGGAAGACCTGACTGTATACATAGCAATATATGAGTTTCAGCGAAATGATAAAGAATGATGACAATACCGATTCCACCATGTCAGCAGCTCCTCGAAAAGGTCAAGGAGGCTATGGTAAAAGGTCTCTGAGTCCATAGTAGTGTCGGTCCATGAGAACACCGAGGAGGAGCTTAGGGCGAATCAAACCTTCAGTTGTACAGTATATCAAAACACTTAGTCATTAGTATATGGAATCAACTGAACCTGAGTTGCAACATATGCAATAGAAGCAATGGTGACCGAATTTATCCCATGGAGACGAGCATTTCCGGACCATGTGGCTTTTGGTTCTTTGTCGACTGAACTCGGGGATGTAAAGACGTGCTTGTAAGCCTGACATCAATGAATATAGTGAAGAACTACGGAGAAATGTATTCCCACTTACGCATACCAGCAAGCAGCTCCTAAGAAGCCCACACCATGGGTCTTCTGTATCATATGTATAGTGGGCGAACAAAAAAATAGGCCATTGATCTCCGCACACCTGACAATTCGCCGCTCTGAAGGTTCTCTCTCATTCTGTTTAGAGTTTTCAGGACTGCAGACACCTGGAAAATGAGAATGAGAACATACTCTGTATTGTTCCAGTCCAACCCAGCGGGACAAAGCAGTGATCCGGTAAGCTCGTGGTTGAATCCGCGATCAATCTTTGAGTTCCTGTGCAAAGGGGGCTGGATTGCTGCCCCTTGTGGGGAAATCCAATCAAGAATGGCAGACTTCAGGGTTTTTGTGACATCGCCTCTCGCACCTGCAGCTCCTTTACCAATCTGTGACTCATCAGTGTGAACTCTGGCCAAGCAAGAAACAACGCACTAGCTCTCCAATGTGGAGAATTTCTTCTTCAGACCCATTTTGTAAGCGCTCTAAAAGGCCAGGATAAGATTCTAAAAGTTGTTCAAAGACACAATGTTCACGTCGTTCTCTGCCAAACACGTCAGTCAACAGACTAGTAAATAAGGATGATGTTTTTTTCACTCAGCAAAGAAGTTCTCCAGAGGAGTATCTTCCATTTGTTCTAATCTAAGGATACCATTGGTGAGTAGAGAGGGGTAGTTACACAGTGCAAATACTGTTCGACCAAAGTGACGCCCGTGGGATATGAGAGGATCAAAGGTAGAGCTGTGCGATAAGGTGAGCTTACAAAATTGGTGTTAAACTTGAACAGCTTATGCTTTTTTGCGAAGGTCCCAATTGCAGGGCTGACACAGTGCATTTGCTCGGGATATTGGAGATAGTATCTTCAGTGGTCATGAGAACCAGTAAGGATTGAAAAGTAACTTAATCTATGCGGATACTGGGACCCAGCTTTTTATCTCCAGCATTGCCGTGTGGGATTCCAGGGAAGCGGTGTACCTGATGGCCGCCAAGCAAAGACCAAGGTGACTGGACGCTAAGGACTGCTGCGGTGCTGGCCGCTAAGCACTGGCCGCAATCCTGGGAGCTATGCAACCAGGACCGAACACCCTTTCATCTAATCAATGGCAATTAATAGGACAGTTCAAAGCAAGCGCTAAAAATTACCAGAGATAAAAGCCTCCTGACCAGACAGACATTGCCATTCATATTTACCACTAAGTCCAACCCAAATATGTCACAAACTTCAAATCAGAGTCAGACCTTCAATGTATCTGGATGTATTATTAGTTTGAACCTCCGGTGAGTCTGGTGAGCCACTTACAGCAGGACGTGCTAATTCTCCGTCAGGATTGAGTTAGCGAACAAGGTCGATGAAAGAGGCGAGCCTGCGGAAATCGCCAGTATAAGGTGAATGAGCAACATCATCGATCAGTCTCAATGCTGACCATATGACAGCGAGGTGCATGTCGACAAGAACCCCTCAGTGGAAAACAAAAATCTGCCGAAGCACAACTGTGAACAATGCGAAGAGTTCATGACTGAGCTCAAGGAACAACTCAGACTTGCAGAATTGAATTGCTCAAAACTGGGAGAGCTGTACCAAAAATACAGACTGCGTTGGCTGGAGGAAAACTATTGGGCAATGATCTTAGAGGAATACGCACCAAATGGAACGTGTGCTATCTCTCCTCGTCAGATTGCATGGGACACCCCCTCTCCCTTTTCAAGTATGTCCAATGCATACACTTTTAAAACGAACTGACTGTCTTTCTTAGCTAATCCTGATGACCTTGAGAATATAGGAGAAGACATACTGTAGCATTGTTATATAATATTATGGTCGTTGTACTCTTTGTGGGGCAATTCCATCATTGTTGGACCTGGAAGTGATGGTGGTTTTTCATACCCAAAAAATGGGTTCTTTTCCATGGTAAGCCTAAATCAATAGTTTCGCCCAAGGTAAAGGAGAATTACCAGTTGGTAGCATAAAACCCATGTCCATGAGTGCACGGATCCTGCTGTGGATCGAGGTAAACCATTAGAGGAGGCTCCCAATAGCTCGACGCTGTGCTCGTGCTCTGTTGATCTTGTGATCGTTTCAGAACAAGAAAGAAGGACCAGAGACGTAGAGTAAATCACGAACCAAAGCTATAGCAGCACCGACGAGGCTATCAACAACTCCTTCATTATCTGTAATGCGAGGGATTCCAAACTGCTGCAGATGTATGATGTGACAGAACGAATAGCTTATTGAGACCGATCTAGCAATAGTATTCCTCCAAGATGGAATTGGTGAGAACCTGAACTTGAAGGATCTTTGTCTGGCCGAAGTTCCTGGACTAGGGAAAGCATGAGTAATGTGGCAGCTTCTAGGGCACCTCTGAGAGTTCATGGTACTAAGTCGAACGTAGTACTACGCAATTGTTGTGCTGCAGCAGGCTGTGTATTTTTCTTTCCTTTTTTGGATATGTCATCAATTTCAATATCTCACTCGATCATGGACTGGATTCTCTTGATCTTTGGAAATTCGAAATCAGCGTGAAAATATCTTTGTAAAAGTATGATACTCTTCAATTCAAACCTATAAGTAAGATCGTGCAACTATAAGAATTTTCCCAGTGTAGGATATTGCGGTAGTGTACTCTATTGCTAGTAGTGCCGGTACTCTACTAGTCATACTAGTACTACCCTTGGTATTGTAATTTGAAAATGGATCATGATCATCACATTAGTTGAGCATATATGGGGTAGTAGATGTAAGCACTGCTAGCTAGTGCTGTGATATGATGTTGGTATGAGTGTAGCAGCAACAAGCTTCAAGTTGTGGTTCATAACGTTCATAGCTAGAGCATTTTAGTTATCGGTTCTTTAATAATTGAGTAAAAACACGCACGCTCTGCATTACTGAATTCACGCATTGCGTCACGTGTTGTGCCACACGAGCAAGGTTGTCGGCACAGAAGCGGGTCAATTGCCTGATGCAATGTGACATCGGTGGCCGCAGAGTAGCGGCTGCCTCGGGTCCTGAAGTCAGGTTCCATGATGGCGACGTGTTACTAAATGCATACCCTATTTTCCATCCACAGATCAAATTGTGTCTGTGAAATGTGAGATTGTATTTAAATTACCTACATGACAAAACTTACACAAGAATCGCTTCCGACCTGAGGTGAATGTGTGACTCGAGTCATTGTGTCTAATGCGAATGTAAGTATATACGATCAGGAGGATTCAATATACTTGCCATGAATATTCCTTATTTGGTGTTTGTGAATCGTGATACAGATGTGACAGTAATAACGTGTAATCACATTCTGTCACACCAAGTAAGGCCAAACAATGATAAACATGATGTAGTCTGTTTTCTGCAATTACCGTACACTATAGCTATATGCTAGCTTATCATTATTTTTATAAGTCCTTGGAATTGCGCGCTCACAGTATGCCGTAGGCGCTCATCATCACTTCTCACGACGACGACGGACATGACAGACTGCTGCGCTGACTCAGAACACTCAAGACTCACTTCAAACCACTCACTGTCATTGCGCACACACTTCTAGGATGTCAAGTCTATCAATGTAAGTAGTTCTTCTAGTGATGCACTCTGCGCATCAACAGTTGCTTCGAGCTCATGTATTGCAGCAAGGTGATCTTCGACAGTCACTTGCAGCATATGGTTCGCCTGGGTAAGTTCCTCAATCTGCGGCTTGAATTCAACTGATTCTTTACTCTGCAGTGTCAACCAATCAACTTTCTCAGCAAGCTGTGCGACAATGGTGCCTCACTCGAACCCCGTTCTGTCCTGCGTCCCCTCCTGCAGGCCGTGCTCGTTTCGAGGTGGACACATTTTCTGGGGTTTGCGATGCCCTCTTCCTTTCCAGTGGACCCAGTGTAGCAGTGCTCAAGGGCTCGAAGGTGCCAGAGGATTTGTTGGGTGCATTTCGGTGAGGTCCTGCCATGTTTATATCCTGTTTATCTGCCTGTTATTTGGGATTTCCCCCACATATTTCTCTCGCATTATTTGCCTTCAAAGTGAGGTGACTATGCTTTTCATATATTTACAAGCTATATTCGTACTTCATACAGATTCATTTATTTTCTCATTTCCGCAGTGAATGTCCGTTATGTATATTCTATATGATGTTGCTTACAGCAAGGATGTGAAGCAAAAAATGCATTTCAGCATTCAAATCACGACTACTCTACCAGTGTACATCAAGGTTTTGGGAAGAAGTGTGAGATGTGCATACGGAACTTGGAAATCCAGGGTGTTACTGATTTGTATGGGTGAAATATCGGCCAAGGTCTTCACCCGCTTCACTCCTTGTATTGTAGTGGCTCTTGGGACTCCGTTCTTGGTATCCATAACGAAGATATTTGCTTCCCTGAATGTATACAAACAATGAGCAAGATCAAAATTTGTGTACGAAAAAAAGGACACTGACCGTAAGGAAGGTAGCTGTCTGATCACTTCAGAGAAGGAGGGGAACTGCTCTAGGGACATATACATCCCATTGCAAGCAGCCAGGACCCTGGAATGTAGCTGGGGCACTTGCAGGTACTGCTGACTGCACCTTTACATCATGAGCAAAGGCCTGGTAAATCTGATGGAGGCATCACTTTCATCACTGCTACGTTCTAAGAAGGAGAAAAGGCTCACTAGCACGACGAGTGAGCATACAGTACTGCATCATAGATTGCCATTCCAGTCTTGAATGTCCCCAGGAAATAAATCAGCCATCCGTCCATGGACATCAAAAAGTTCAGCGATAGGTTGCATCAATGTGATCCATACGACTTCCTTAAAAGCTTGAGTTATAACAAGACCACTGATTCCTCGTTGAACCTGATGGATGAAAATGTTAAGTATTGATTGTGCAGTTTCTTGTCTCTTACCCATTCCATATTGTCTGAGTTGAGAAGAATGATGAAATCGAGCATCTTCTGGATCCTATGCTCATTGCTGACGACAAACCCAGTAAATGAAGACGCACTACCTCTTGCAACCTTCTGCAGGTCGGAAGTAAATTCTATATGCAAGTCCTTGAACTGTCCCTAACGTCTTAGAGTGAGTGAGGGTAACACATCAGAACGTGCATACCTTGTTCCTTAAATACGGCCAACCCACTTCACTCTTGATCCCAGCAACGTTCTTGACCTTCACTGATCATTCCGTTAGCTATTGACATTTGGGATTAGAGCCAGACACTTACACCGTTCTTCATATAGTGCTTCAAACGTTGTATTGTAATAAAGGACTGCTCGGATGAAACACGTGGTTATCGATTGCCTTGAAAATGCATGGTGGACATTGAACGGGTTTTCTGGAATTCCAACCACTAAGTGCCCTGAATAAAGGCATTTTCCTAGCTGCAACGGCTTGTTCCAACCTGACCCTACCAACGACTCTCGGAGCGACTGTTTTTGAGATGAATCAAGAGTATCCAGCCTAGATTCCATTGTCCAGGAAAGCTCAGGATGAAGGGATGGCGCCTGACCGACGAAGTAGTATTTCTCAAGGGCACTCAGGAGAATGATGTCTTCATCAGTAGTAGTGGGTCCATACATAGATGCTGTGACATTTCGTCCTGTGGATTCATAATCTTCATCTAGAGATGGGTATGACAATGTAGCTGGTGCCAGACTGAGCACCTGCGGAGGAGACTCGACCACGCTAATGAGGGGTGGTGCGGGAGGTGGAAACCCTAATGGAAATGTGGCTTTGTGAAACAGGATATTATTAATTCGCTGGAGCACATCAAGCTATGTATGCGGTGCGATGAGTCTGGCGACACGTTCATGATGAAAGGACTCACTGCCCAGATGGGAGAGGCTTCCCTTTTGATTATATTGCCCTTACAAAACATGCTGCCGATATTCCTGAGAAAGGTAGAACCGCCCTCCTAATATGTCCATTGCATCAAAATTTAACATAACATGATAGAGCTCTCACCTGTATCTGGTAGATGTCATATAGTTTATTGCCACCAGTAGCCAGGTAACCTATATGATCTATAATGTCATGGGATGTGTCCGCGAGATGGATGTGCTCTTGAGGCCACTGGAAACATATACCCCAGAAATAGAAGATCGGAGAAGCCATGAAAGGGCTAAAACCAAATCAATTGAAGAGTCACACTTATTGGTGATAGTGAACCTTGTCAATCTGCAGGGTCATCAGTGATTTTGCGGATGAAACAGTGTAGATTGTACTTACACTGGTGAATGATAATTGCGCAACTTGGCCCGCAGATGGTACAAAGATGAATATCGGGGGATAAATAAATCCTGGCAATACCAATTGTTACATCTTGCGAGAGGGTGGGGCGGCAAGATGAAGGAAAAGGTGCCAAACGAGATCTTAATAAATACTTGGGTGTGACCATTTGCCGCTTTCAACCACTGGGCATTGAATCATGGATCAGTAGGGCACCAGAGATCGGTGCTAGGGATAAGCAACAATGTATCTCAAACTAGTAGTGATGGTGAGTCAGTACATGCCAAACATTGCCAATCAAAAAGGAAGGGCCAGCAAGAAGCGTCAGACTATACCAGAGATTAACATGGCGAAAATTACCACTAGTCAGGGCACACCAGGGATTGGGAACGAGGTAAAGAACTGCCAGTAAGAAGTGTCAGGCTACACCGGAGATTGGTATAGTGACAGGTATGTTTGATGGTGAGTCAGGGCACGCCAGGGATTATAATGCGGCAAATAGCCTGTCAGCCAGATGCGTCAGGTTACGCCAGGGATTGCAATGCTAGCAAAGAGCCCGTCAGCCAGATGTGTCAGGCTGGGCCAGAAATTAGTGAAGCGAGAAGTGAAAAACTAATGATGGCCAGTCAATGCATTGCCGATGCAGTAAAGAGACGCCAGGAAGAAGCGTCAGGCGACCGATTAGTATTGTGATATTATTAGTCCTCATAATCAAAAGTATGGTATGTCGTAAACATGTCGTCCAATGCCTGAGCGAGCAACTCTGTGCTAGCATTGAGACCTTAATCAAAGAAGTCAAGATCCTCGATGCTAATATGATCATCATCTTCCTCCTGTTCATCGTCATTGTCATCATCATTGTCATCACCAGGAGATTGTTGGGGAGTGCTTTTCCCGAGGCTTCCTTCACTTTCCAAGGCTTCATTTTCCATCTGTACTGTCGTTTGTGTATCAGGGCAGGGTGTCACTTGTGCCAAGCAGGGGTCTTCTAGAATATTTGCTTCATGAGAATATATGTGACCCACCCCAAGGCCATAGTGATAGCGCATGATGGTATCACGATTGACAAAGCTGAGATCCTAGTATTAGCTGTCATCATCACCATGGGAGATGGGTCCATTTACCTGTTGACATAGTACTCGTGCCAGTCGTGTTTATCTCCTGTGAGAGTAGAGATCCCACATTCACCTGGATTGCGCTGGCCTCAGGAAAAGGCAGGGATGATATGACATGCCCTAAGTACAACGCTTGGGTCCACGAAGCCGAAGGCATTCTGATTTTCTAGAGGCTGGAAATGGACGCGCCCCAAAGTGCCTGTGCTCCATGTGTGAGTCTGCATGGATTCGTACCAGCGAACAAAGAGAAAGTCTATGCGGTGAGACTCGTATATGTTTGCAGCACGCACGATGTTAACATGGTGTATGCCAATCACTTTGGCATAGCGATAGTGGCCACCGTGAGTATCATCGTCTTGGAGTAACATAATATTACAATGTGGAGTCCTTGGGTTTACAACATCTTGAGCCCTTCGAACGTCATAGGTAGTGTAATTGAATTTGGCAAGGTTGTGGTGATAAATTCAATTATGCTTGAAGAAAATTGAAGTGTGCTGATCAGAACAAACAGATCTCTCCCCAGGCGATTTGGCAGTATTTGGCTCGAGGCGATTGAAAATATGTTCTTTTAATCGAGGTAGGAAATCCTGTGTGATGTCTCAGGATTATGACCATCAAGTCATAGAAATTGCTCACCTTCATAGCAGGATCTCCTGCGTGGTTGCGGAGGTACTGGCCAAACTCATCATATATCCTCTCACTCTGACCGATGTAATGGTGTAGTCTGGGGTCACTTGCTATTTCGTGTACATCTGTATGAGAGACTCCCTGTTGTTGCCACTGCTCAATGCGGCGCAAGCGTGCCTCACAGCACTCGATCCGAGTTAGTTGGCGAATAAATGTATTTTGATCAGTACAATGGTATCTGCCTTTGGGCATATGATGCTCTAACTCTCCCTGATAAAAATTGAGTTCATGAATGGAGGGGTAGTGGGCTGCGACTTACTGGTTCAGTACTATATGAATCTGTTGTGCCAAAGTGATGAATGCAGGCCACATAATCTCCAAGGACATGGAACTTGTAAGTCTGAATGTTGAATGACTTTTTCCTCCGTGGTTGTTTTGCCCCAGGTACATTCTGTTCCAGCTTTGCTTTTTCTTTACCTTTAGCGTTAGAACCTTGGAAAGCTCGCTCGGAGCCGCGTCCATTAATAGTCCCTGCCCGTTTGGCCGCTCCCTTTGCCTGCCGGCGAGATCGTGCACCAACTTCATGATCAAGCTCCTGGGTTTGATATGAAGGGCACACTTTTTCCTTGAAGTGACGGAACCGTTTGCCAAGATCAGTTGTTTGCTGCTCAAAAATATCTAAGGTCAGGTCGGAATGTATGCAAAGCTTCGCAAGTCCATGCCAGTGTGACATAGTAAAAAGGAGGTCAATGATAGTGTTGTTGTGAACTTCAGGGGAAAAGGCCATTGAAGACTGGGATAGAACACTCAGACAAAATGAGCACATGAAGACGTATGTCAATCTTTCGGAGTACATACTTGTAGAAGATCCTCAAAATTCCACACAGCCATGTTCGACATCTCAGAGACATTTGAACAGAACCGCCTGATTGTTGCTGGTCCAAATGGGGGGACCTGCCTGTACCTGTAGAAGTTGAGTGTTGGTTCACCAAGTCATTACTGACATATTTGACTGACCTCCTGTCAAGCTCATGGATCAGGTCCTTGTCCAAGGCTGTGAGCATTCCTCAGTAAATGGATTAGAAGCATATGCCACACTCCAAGCTCGACCTCGTGCAAGAGATCGACGACAAGCACAATAAAGATATTAAAGCCAAACAGACCAAGAGAGTCCGAAAACGTGTTCTAATGATAGGTTAGTAAAGGTGAGACGACAAATCGATGGACATTCTCACAGAGGTTGGTACCCATGATTCGGGCTTAAGAATTGACTCAACCGCTGTGCTATCTACACCAAAATTCTTCTCGTAGATAAGGTTCCATGCTGTAGCAACCAACTGACTCCTGGACGTATCGGCACATGCAAGTGTTTTACGCTGTTGCCTATCACTGATTCATGCCCAGGTGATGAAGCCTGTTTGTGGGTATGATACATCATGAGCAGGGACAACCTCCTAGTTGCCGGATAGTAGCAACGAGGACCCTTGCTAAGGTAAGTTTGTGTATCCTACAGATAAGTATTCATGGCTTACTTTTCGGGATAGTCTGCGGAATAGGTAAATACCCACGGGTAAAATCTACATTTGATACCGTTACAACAGAGAATCACAATGCCATGTTCATAGGCCTCTAAAAACTCGTCATCAAGTAAAACTCTCCATTGAGCTTGGAACAAGTCACGGTGGCAGTGTGTGGTGCATTCACGACCAACACCCTTGCCTTTGGTGTAAGTCCCCATGAAATCTTTGAATGAATCCGGAAGCTGCCAAAGCTGTGAGTTTAAACATAGAGGAGGAATGACCATCATACCTTCTGAAAGTAGGCAACATGATTAGCCAGGTGACAGGATGGCTTACAATGGTGATATTTCGACTCGTTTCCGAAATACATGTAGACCAGCGATAGCTTCACATTACTGAAGGTCGTCAGCTGTGTGGCATCTGACCAGAACATGAGTGCTGCAACCACACGGGGTAAGTCACATCCTGCCTCTCCAGGAGATGCCTGAAGTTTGTGATGTGCATCCATGAATGCTGGTGAAGTATACAACTCTCCCTGAATGTTTACTTCACGGGGTAAATGGGGGGGGCTCCATCGTAATTGATAAGGCTCATAGTAAAAATGTTCATCATCATGGACATTGGCGAGCTTCTCCCGGATAACCGATACGAGAGATCAATGGTAGAGTTGAGCCACTACGTAAGGTCGAGTGCCCGGCTGAGTTGTAGTGCGAGAGAAAGGTACTTGGATGTTTACTTCCGTCTTACACCAACCTGCATCATCATCCTGCCATTCATATCCATCCTCATCGTCAATGGTCACACCTAATTGCGAGTTGATCTTGTCCCAGTGCGTAAGTCGCACATTTTCAGGATCGAAATCTGGGCATCCGACAATATTGAGCAGTTCCTTGAAGCTCTCCTGTGACTTTTGTACACTACCATTCCAGTACCAATGGCCAAGGTCAAAAGATGTTTGATTGGGGTATGGGTGAAATGAGTTGCAAGGCTTGGCATGACTACCCAATTCTGCTGGAGACACAGAGGGGATAGAATTGATATCTTGGAACATTGCAGCCTCTTCCGGGTCATGGGACGGGGGGGTTGAAGAAAAAAACTGGTGCACAAGTCCAAAAACATTCCTTGCCATGCGGAAAGGAGCAGACCGCGATGATGTACAAGCTGTGGTAGGTGCATCAATGGATTTTTCGGGTGGGGTGGACTCCAGCTATTGAGCAGCATGGCTGATAACGCTCGGGGGAGGCTGTGGGAGTATGTCTTCATACTGTCTATATCGTTGTGGCATGCAAACACCAGTACATTTGGTTCTACGCTGAGCTAGGGATAAGCCTTCATCTATCTCCACAGACGCTGTGCCAGGATTGGCATCGGATACTGGGATGGGCAGATTGCATTGCAAAGAAGAACCTGCACGCGACACATCTTGGGAGGGGTGCACTACTGACAGAGCTGGATAAATACTGGAAAACTCTTCATTGGATGGCTCGTGGACCAGGTCAGAAGAGACGGACAAGGTTTGCAGGGAGTGGAGCTGCGTATTTGGAGACACCATGCTAGCGGGTGCATTCTTGGCATCCAGCTGGAGCTGTTTTGCAGCTCCTAGGAAGTCCTTTGCTTTTGATAAAGCAGAGAATAAATGTTTTTTGCCTTTCACGCATGACCGTTGATGCCTGGTGTAGGCGCTTTCCTGAGTAAAACCACGCGTGCAAGTGCATTTGAAACACCTTCCGGATGAATCATCCAGATCCATAAGGTGCTACAAAGATGAGAGATACAGCAAGCTGAACCCAGCGGTGAAAAATCAGAACAAATGACTCACCAATTTCATCCAACAAGATAATATAACATAATAGACCTAGGCACTAGATGGCTGGCACACAATTAGCCGGGTCGCCACGATGGCCATATTCTCACGGACGAGAATCCTGGCAGCATAGACTGGGGCTGGCGCACTTGATGGTGGAAGGAAAAGTTGAACCAGTCATGATATTCCATAAAAAGGTGAGTCCTTGATACACTGACTGACCCAATGGAAGCCCCATCTTCACCTTCTTCTATCATCACTGCCCCGCCTGACTATCATGAAAGTGCTCTCAGGCTCACCAAACTCATTACAGAGGCCATGACTTGCCACTTTGCCCTCCTACATTATGACAGTATGTCAAAATCAATGATTGAATGGTACTGGTAAGATGCCATTTGAATCACGCACTGCATCTAAGAGTTGACATAGCCCCAAAATGCAGGCCCAACGATGACAAGGGAAAGAAACTTCTACCGTCAAACTTTGAGAAGTACCGTAAAAAATGTCAGTTTCAATACCCGTGCTGCCTGTGTGCAGAGGAAGGTGGAAGAGGGGCATACACAGAGGCGGCAGTATACCCATGGAGGGATAAGACCACCAATAAGACTTATTGGAATGTGAGACGTGCGTCTGATCGATGTGGATATCAAGGTCAGCATTCCTCATTTTTGAGAAAATCCAAAACTAACCGTCACCTAGTTAAAATTGACGCATACTATCACCGACCATCTGTAGCAAGCTGCCAGTACCCTCGTTGAGGTATGAGCTTGTTGCGCTGCAGTGTCATCATTTTATTGAGTGATAATGCAGCAGAACATAAAGAACTGCACCCGATTCAACTCGAATGGACCTTCCTGGAACGAACAGAATTGATGAAGAGGCTTGAGTCTGTTGGTGATGGAGTTACAGTGAATGAGTTCCGCATTCTTTTTAAATGCTGCACCTACTGTATGCGAGTCGGATCAAGACCAATCATCAAGCGTCATATTCAATTCTGTTCAAAAGGAGTGCATCAGGTGTTGGGCTGGACCAAGCGCTAGCTAGGAATGGATCACATGCAGGTGGAGCTGCGCAAGAGCGTGGGCCGGGACATTGATCCATGGAGACTGTTGTACTTAGCTCCATCGCACTGATATCATTTACACTAGAAAATTTCTCTACCTGTGAATTGATCCTGGTTTATGAATCATCACCGATTGATAAAACCATCCATGTCAACTTGAGTAAAAAGGAATTCCATGCCTTCGCGATCTGCAGGGTTGGCACTGGAGTTGCACTGAAGATAAGTATTGAATATTGAGCGTTCGAACCTGCTGTTACTGAGTATGGGGAAATGCGGAGCATATCAGCTCAACTTCATTCCCCGGCAGGCCCAGGCCCGATGCAAGATGATCACTGTGAGATTTTATTCAACAGTCCTACTTCTCTGGATATTAGGCTTCAAGCTTCAAGTCCGGTGTATATGTCCCATGTAGCATTATGGATAAATACTCCCAGATGACATCATAGCCCACTCCTCAGCGCTTAATAGCAGCCACCATACCATCATGCTATGTCCCTACCTCACCTCAAACCTGGCCGTCTGTCCATGTCATCACCTAGGCGCTTTCTCCAAATCCTGTTGTTCAACAGCTGGGTCTTCTGTCATAACCTGTTGAGTCTCCTCTTGGCCAGACTTCCATGTCACCTAGGACGTGAGAGAAAGACGATTCTCCAACACTTGGACGAATAGGCAAATTGTATATCCATGTGGAAACACGTTTGAAATTTTGTTATCGGATCTCCAAGACAGACATTCATGTGGGCGTACTTAATCTGTAAAAAAAGATTTCTCTGCTAGGGTATCGATAGAGTTGAAATACATAAAGTCGTGACGATACACCATAGATCTTAAGCTACTACCACCTGAAAAGTTTCGCTTCAGCCATCGACCGTCTGGACCATGATAAACAATAAACGATCTTTTATTGGCTGGCTACATGATACTTCATTGGACGTCACTTACGTCATTTCGATCGCCAGTGAAGGATTGATGGCCAGGAAACATTCAATCACTGCAGCTGCTAGTTCACTACAAATATATTCCTGAGAGCGGATGCCGTTTCTCAGAAACCACGCGCTGCACATACTTTCTGTGATTCACCATGTCGACCCCCTCCTCCCTTCCACCATTCAACTCCCCGGCTATTCATCTTGGAATGTTTGAACTTTCGAATATACTAAGTGCTCCTAAATGGCTGGAATTCTATATAAGACTTATACCATCAGAGACGGTCAGTCCATAATTTCTGAAAGACTTCACAGATCTTGAAAGTTCTTCATATAGATCTGAACTGAACTGTACTTGTTTTATTTTGTGGTTAGAGGTTGGGTCGATCTTGGCGATGTCTGGCAACTAGTTGGGGAGCGGTTGTTGGAAGCGCAAAGGGAGGAATTGTTGCGCAATATCACTGGGGACAGTACAAGGTGTAGAACTGCAGAACTGGCTTTCATGGAAGAGAGGAGGAATCAATGTCAGTTGGAAGTGTCTTTATGCAGTCAGGCCATTGATTATGTCCAGCAAAGATGGATCATTTGTGAGATTCTTTTAATTCAGTACACGAATGGGCGCTTCAGTGGTCTGATACCTTTTGAGCACTTCGTCCTATCAAGGTCCCAACCGCCATCTCTGTCTCAGCAACCCGGAGATGTGTTGTTGCACGTCCTATGGCCTATTCAGCAGCTGCACAACAGAAATGCGAAAGTTGGTTAAGGAGACAAAACACCAACTTCACGTCACCCAATGAACTTTTTTCAATCGCAAGTGACCCACCTTCAAACGCTTCAGCTGTCGATCAGCTTGCCCATTCCCCGGAACAACAAACATCAGTCATCGTAAACATCAGTATCGTCATTAATTTACTTGGCTGCTCTTACTGTATCCCTAAAGTGCAACCCATCATTCCACCTGTGCAGCACATGGGTTACCCTTTGTGTCCAAGAGGCCTTCAATGAGGCACGCAAAGTGGAACTCGTCGCTCAGGCTGGATTGATGACAACATATCTCGATATTGAACATTACCATTCTCACCATCGTGATGCACACTCAGAGCTGCTTTACTTACGTGCAAAGATGCTTCGTGCCAAAGCTGAGGTAGAAGTCTTTGAACTAGCAATCGAAAATGTGTGTGCGTCCATCTACATTGACAGTGTGTTCTCTTCAAATGCTTATGTCATTGCAGCTTCATCACATCCAACTTTTTTTCAGACGATTCTATCAGAGCAAGTGCATACTTGCAAGGAACGCATTCCTACTGGATCAATCAACGATCACACTGATTCAACTTATGGTAATAGCCTTGTGTTTGTCCCAGCCTCGATGTAGGTGGCATGCTGCCTACGGTCGGGTGTAGTATCATCTGCTTCACTTACGTCTGCCGCCGTTCAGATTGCACCATATATTGTATGTTATGCACTACCGACACTTGTAAATCATTGAGTATTTTCTTTAAAAAATTATTGATCAGGCTCAAATTCATTGACTACACAGTTGCAAAATAATGTGAAGGGCTGCTCGCTGCTACAGTTGTTTTTTTTAAGTCGTAATTGTCGCAGATGGCGAGAAAAAACATTTCTACCCTTGTTTCAGACAACTGAAACTTAGATAACATGCAGTGCGAGATTCCTGGATCCGCACCTGTCCATGATGATCAAAAATGGTGTGTCGCCATGTGTGCCATGCTAACTTGAACTTAAAATAAGTTTTGAAAATAATCATAATCAATAAGCTCCAAAAAGGAAATAATAATAACAGTTACTAGGCTGCATTGGCTCCCTCGTTCACACCAAGTTCACACAATCAACAATTGATTGTCATTGTTTGCAAGTTGGAATACATGGTACGTTCCAGTATTGTACCTTCTGACGTTGCCTCAGGCTTCAGGATGCTGTTGTGCTCTAGGCAACTCAACACTCGCAACAGTACTTGGTGGAGCTACTGGACTGCAGTTTTGGAATCTGGCCGACGCAACTGCCATGGTACGCTGAGCCGGTGATGCTGTGAGTACGGATTTACTAATATGTTACATTTTCAAGTTGAATGTCATTTTTATTATATAGTACGAATGGACGTGAAGATCACTTGGTCCCTATGAAGTGAATTGATAACCCTGCATTAGTGACTTCGCTCCCAGTAACAATGTCAATTTGACCATTCTTACAGACCCGAATTGTATGGGAGTGATTGGGAGGAGTTGGTCCACCCCTTAGGGGGAACTTATTATTATCACAACAAACAGGTGAGCACTGATCAATTGTATAAGTGATGTATTTACTTGCTAACATTTAGAATACGTATACATCGATAAATATACGGCATATGGATCGACGAAGGCTCGAAGATTTTATCAATGTATCAAGAGCCACAGCGAAAGAGGATGAGTGGACACTGGTTGTTCACCAAGTGAGTTACAGGGGAGAAGATGTATTTCAATACTACTACGTGGTTCACGACCTGCGCATCATTACCTGGCTTGAGGATCTGAACGGCTACCTTCTTTTTTGAGAGTGTATCCAGGCAAGCGAATGGAGGCATAAAAGTACGCTGCTATGCTATTACTTGTTCTTGTTCTTGTTCTTAATTGTGCTTATACAGGGCTTGAACTCGAGGCTCAGTATTGGTGAGCGTTCAACGAAATTTGTCTTGCTTATTTTCATGTCTCACTGCTCGGCAGGAGACACGTAGAATTTTTTCTGCACAAGTTCCACATGACAACCTCACAAGTGAGATGCACATGTAGAGAAATTCTTTGCTATCTTGGAGGTAAGCCTTATTTCACTGCAACAACAACCAGAATCACCTGAACACACAACAGAAGCGACAACCTTGAACCAGTCCACTGCAGCTACAATTTTTTGGACTCTAGACCAAATGAGACAGGTCGACACACAACTTGCCAGTGTCAGTATGTACCTATATCTTATCCGGCATAACATCATAACGACCGAGAAACAGAAGCCCTCGCAGAAAACAGAACCATCGAGGATACTGGTGTCGTGCACTGTTGTATGTGAGCCCAGCAAATTCGGGCAATTCAGATACTAATATCCCAACTAACAGGCAGAATATTGTACATGCTACGTAGGTTACCCCTTCATGAATCGGATGTTACTGAGTCAACACACAATAGGCCATTACCAGTATTTGAACCGCCACAACCAACCCGAGGCTCGCCTTATTCGAGGTCACGCAGTGATAGAGAAACCTAGGACATGTAAGGCTCTCTATTTCATGGGCAATACTGCAGCCACGATACTGTGTATGCCGATCACAATCGACTGCATCAAGAATACTTCCGTCGATGGTATTGTAAATGGGGTGGACGTCAGGACCTTTATCGATGATTTCACCAGTCAAGCTAAGAGTCAGATCACCCTGGTAAGTCCTGTGTCAATATCACAAATATACTTTGTAACTCATTGGTTCTGACAGGCAGGTGTTTCCGTGGCCATGGACGTCGCCATCCTTGCCATTCTGGGTCTAGGTACGACAATAACCTCACAGATGCTGTGCTCCTGCTCCTTACTTTTGGGTGTTGGCTGTATTTTCGCCGCTACAATAGTGCAACACTTTGGTGAGAGAATGAGATCTATTGACTTCACGGTTGGATTCACACCATATTGCCGCAGCCTGAGCCTGACCTTACTTACTGAACAGGTATATTACCTACAAAAAAAGACGATGATGCTGATCGTCATTACAAGTATACCGACTTGCTTTTGCATACTGAGGTCAGTAAAATTCGATTATGATTGCTTGTATCACTCATAATTTTTTTACCAGTGTGCTAAGTTCTATTCTTGGATCTCTCACAGGTGTTGCTGCTGACTTTAAGCCATCCACACCCTTGATGATCGCATGCTTTACTACGCTCGGCATGGTGATAGGTTCCTTACTTATATTGGTGATTGCAAGTTATGGTCTGGGCTTGTCCAGGACACGGCCCCAGTGACTAATGATATATTTTGGAGGGTGTTCTATGTATCACAGTATCATTACTAAGTTTTTACACAGGCAGAATGACTGTAATTACCATAGACACATCAAAAATATAAGGAGTGACCAATGGGTGTCAATATCATGTTGTCCTTAACCATCGTGACGTTCAGCCTAGACAGCCAGTGACCACTAGTGACCATTATGGTCAAGATCTGCTTGTATTTGACAAGATATTGCCCTAGAAACATCACTACTACGAATAATGACCATTCAGTGCCAATATTATACACATTTTACAACTCTTGATGTGCGCCTGGTTGGCATTGTAAACAGCCATGATGAAGTTCAGCTTAGTCAATGGGTGACCAGTACTTTGGAGAGATGCAGGACCTCTTTCAATAGTTTATCTAGCATATGTCAGAGTTGCAAAACTTATACATCTTCATCAAAATTAGCTTTTTCGTGTATCTTTTTGTCCTTGCCAAGCCACTATGCCATGATTATTTATCACTCTGTAAGCAGATATAATCTGGTAGACATGTGATCTGAGTTTGCCATTTATATCTATAAAAACCTTCTCCTCACCGATTCCCTAATGAATGAGATCAAAATGTTGAAGCGCATGTCTGGCGTCCCTGGCATTCCCGAGTTGGTGGATTGATGGGTGGTTGAAAAGTCAAATGGAGAGCCCGATGTGACCAGCAAATACTGAAAACAACCGCAATGCCTAAGTATTGCAGGGACCAGTCACTCACATGTTCGACTTGTCTTGACACCCTGCACTCACCCCCTACATATGTTCCGAACTCTTAAAGAGTTTGTGAAAGTGCTGAGGGATATCATCATCAGTAAGTGTTTGTTTTTTGATTGGCAATATTTGAACTGACGAATCTAATTTCAGTTCAATGCACAGCGGTGGAGGAACACAAGGTTCTACACCGCGACTGCAGCTTAGATAATGCAATGATTGTAGATCTGTTAGGAGGTGGTAGTAGGGGGGTTCTAATCGACTGGGAGTTTGCAGTGCGCATCAACCCAGATCTGAAGTATGCCATTGGTGGTATGGTACGTGCATTCAGTCAATTACAGTACGTCTAGTGCTGATCTGTTCATCCAATCTACAGGGAACAATCCCATTCATGTCTTGCGGGCTTCTCACCCAACTCTCAGATGCACAACAGGCAGCGCTGGGCGGAAAGAAACTGAAATATATCCCCAAAACATCTTCAAACGCTTTGGCGTTGCCTGTATCACATGTCATTCAATGCTTTTCGGATGACCTTGAATCACTTTTTTCGTATTCATCTGGATTTGCATCAAATTCTGTGGTCCCCATGGCCAAGTACGCCAGGATAGCTTATGAAACTCAATACCTGATCGCTGGAACAACATGGACCTCGAATCCTGCGTGGCCTTCAAGGGCAATTTTTTTGTAACCAAGAAGGAGGAACGCTGTCTTGTAGACAAGATCCATCCTTACTTCAAAGACTTAATCCCTCTCACCAAGGAGTGGCGTACAGCTTTGAAGGACAATATGGAGAACCCTGTTTTCTTCAGCACCATCCTTACACTATTGAACACACATCTTGACCGCCTTCCGGATGACGAGGATCTCGTTTCCACTGTCAAGACGCTCAAACAATCTGCAGCTATTCTCACAGACCGTGTCAAGAAGCGTGTCGCTTCACAATCTTTCCCCATGGAATTACCCAAGCGTCGGAAGTCTGATGGTATTTCGATGGAGACTGACAATGAGTCAGATGGTTAGCATACATACAGGCTGATTCTTCAATGTAAATATCTTTTTCATTGCTACTGTGTTGTACTCTCATTCTCACATTGACCCGATGTACTATGCATTTTTGGTTGTTGTGACTTGTATGACTTTAAATTATGTTTCTTGGCAACTTGACTTCACACATTTATTCTCACCAAGTTGACTCACTCGAAACATGCGGCATTGATTATTACATGGTACACGCTTCAGTGTGATGCTGCATGCATTTTTGAAATGTAATACTGTCCATTATTCGCATCAAGGCCATTCTATTGGTCCACCCGGCACCGAGACATGATACTAGTATATAAAAGGCTGGTGAGTTTGCGACTCGATGAATCGCTAGACTCAGGCTTCACCTCTTTCTCTATCCTCCGTCCAGTTGCAATCATGCCTCCTCGTGCTATTAACAGCCCCAAGAAGAAGAGGTCAAAGCACAAAGACTCAGATGCTTCTGGCAGGGCAGGTGTACCAAAAAAATCTCGCCAGACTACGGACCTCACCGAAACACTCAGCATACCATTTGTTTCCCTTGGCCTTGCTGAAGCTGAAGATGGTGCTCCACAACGTTCTAGCCACCCCAACGCAGGGACTGGAGGTAGGAACAGCCAGCTAGAAAAGATTGGCACAGTCCTTGAGTCTCAGTCTCGAAGTCGTCCTCCCAAGGGCTCCACATCCCTCAGTCCTAATATCCCAGTGAACCCTCAGGCTCCGGAACCAGCTCGTAAAGGACGGAAGGGTCGTTCGTCAGGCATGTAAGTATTCGTTTTTGCTAATGCTGACATCTGCATTCAGGCAGTTTCTCCGCCTTATAGTTCACTCACTGTTACCAATGGTCCTGCGAGCATTGATAACACAGGTCCTGGTTTTTCAATGCACCAACCTGGTGGAAGGTTTGGTTTTGTTGCTCCTCCCAGTGCTGGCCATAGTCTTCACGAGGCTAACAATCCACATATCGATGTTGGCTCAAAGGCTGTCAAGAAGCGTGCTATGAAAGTAGCTCGTGATCCAAACCCACGCAATATCATACCACCACTCACCACTTTCATGGAACAAAACTTGGATCCAGCCCTTTTTAAGGAGGACAACAGTGTCAGGCGTCAATCTATACTGCGAGAATCCAAGCTGTTGAATAGCGGACCCAAAGGCAGCAGCACCAATGACAATGATGACGAGGATGAGGATGAGGATGAGGATGAGGATGAGGATGAGGATGAGGATGAGGATGAGGATGAGGATGAGGATGAGGATGAGGATGAGGATGAGGATGAGGATGAGGATGAGGATGAGGATGAGGATGAGGATGAGGATGAGGATGAGGATGAGGATGAGGATGAGGATGAGGATGAGGATGAGGATGAGGATGAGGATGAGGATGAGGATGAGGATGAGGATGAGGATGAGGATGAGGATGAGGATGAGGATGAGGATGAGGATGAGGATGAGGATGAGGATGAGGATGAGGATGAGGATGAGGATGAGGATGAGGATGAGGATGAGGATGAGGATGAGGATGAGGATGAGGATGAGGATGAGGATGAGGATGAGGATGAGAATGAGAATGAGAATGAGAATGAGGATGGGGAGAGGGAAGAGGACGAGGATGAGTCGGACAAGGATGAGCACACCAATGAGAATGAGTACCAATGTCGCGATAGCCATCCAGGTAATTTCCTTTATTGTACTAAGATTCACCTGATGTTGTTCCCTATTTCAATCTTACAGGATTTTCAAATGAATCGCTACCTTCGCAGCCTCGAGTCATTTGTCATCTCACACCTGAATTCAATTTTCAGTACTCTCGCGATGAGGATGACGCGGCTGCTCAGACGAGCCTCAATAAAAACACTGTAGCAAATTCTCAATCCTCGTCTGTCCACCATAACAGTGACTCCCAGGTATGCTAACATGGATTTACTGACATTGCACTTATTCTTTTTGCTTTCAAGGGCTCTCTGGATCCTTTGGTAGGAGTACAACAGCAACAACAGACACAACATTCTGAGGTGAGCAAATGGTTTTTATTCTGAATGAGGCTCACAGTTATCGTTTGCATACCTCGAAGCCTAGCAGCGTATTGGAGTCCCACCAAAAGAAAAATGGCCAGCCCCGCCTTCCCAACCCTGACACTCTCGAGCTGCTTCATCAAGTAGCCGAGCACGCTGATGACCAGCAGGCTCCCCAGAGAAACAGAAAGACAAAACAGTCAGAAGACGGGCCCAAACCTACTCTGCTAGCTTGGTACAGGCCGCACTGGAAAAGCTTCCTTGAGCACACCAAGGGAGAATGTCGTGTGGAACACGCTGTCTTCTTAGATAGATGATCTATAGATAAACACCTACAAAATCAAAAATCTCCACGGTCAGTGATTCAGACAAATACCAATGACTGATAACGTGGTTGTTCATGGGTGGCTGTTTACACTTCCCCAAGCTATGTTCAGACAAAAAGTACTTCTTGTGAGGTCAGTAGCAATACCAGTCAATCCAACAGTATGGACACAATAGAAAATAAAATAAACAGAATGTAGTCAGCCCAACGGTATGGTGATGACAAAAAGAAATTGATTCACTCCAACGGTATGGCAGTGTTTAGAGAACAGAGAAAAGTCAGCCCAACAGTATGGTACTGATAAAAAAAAGAAATAGATTGATAAGGGAAACCCTTCCTTCAGTAACAATGCTTCTTGTAATAAAAATTTACTACAGAAAGTCATGTGAAATTATAGCAATCACCCCCTCAGCACAAACAGGTAGAATCAAAGGTCAGGACTAATCAGTGATCAGTAGAACTCTTAGTTCACTATTGAACCTGCTGCCAAGGAACTCACGATGAGTATTAAACAGAATCAGGAACGGACATCCTTGGATTTCAGTACCAAGTCCCCTATTCAACAACTAAAGTCTAGCAGACAAAGAAAACCCTGGCTCAGTATCACTACTCAGATGAGTGAGGTCAAGCGTCACTATCAACTTCTGAAGTCTTCCCACTAAGCCGGTGCTTAGATGGACGTAAAGACAACACAAAGATCTTGAAACAAATTCAGACAATAACACTGAGATGTGAACGAACTGAACAGAAAAAGAGACAAATGAAAAGAAAGAAACAAAGAAAGAAACAGAAAAAGAAAAAGAAAGAGAGAAAGAAGAAAGAAAAGAAAAAAAAAGAAAAAGACTAGAGGTTCACCAGTAGAAAATCAAAGAAAAAGTTTGCTTACTGTTGAGCACAGTGAGCTCAAGATATTTCACAGTTGTTGATGATGAGCTAAAGGTATTGCTGGATGTTGCTTACAATGACCTCTCAGTTAGTTGCTTAACAGCTCTTGTCACTGTTGTTGATACTGATCACACTTCACACTCAAATTTATTTTGTGGGGCTTAAAAGTTCCCTCTATGCATATTTTTATTGGCAAAAAGTGGGGTCTTATATAGATAAATTAGGGTGGCTGTGCTACTATTTCCCACGTTCTAATAGGCTTAGTCAGATTGTACCAATACTATTTACTGTAGTCATGTGCTTTATAATTTGTGTCATCAAGCTTTAGTCATCTCAAAAGGTTGCTTTGTCATGATTTGGTTTAGGATCATAGGTCACCTGACTGTTAGAGTCATATGACTTAGTATCATGTGACAAATATTAAGTAACAGACTGATTATGTTATTTGTTGGTGTTTTGTTATGATGTTACTTTATTGACCGTAGAAATGACGTGAGCCGTGTATTTAGAGTGTTAAGAAAGTTCTCACAAGGCAACTTATGCAAGAACTATTTTACACTGTTACTTGACATGTGGGAATTCAGTCTGAGTCATTGTTATTGCTGACTAAGCAGAATTTACTGCAAAATTAAATATACAAGAATATTCAGCCTATCTGAGTCTGTCTGAGAAATGAAAATACTATCTGAACTGCAGTCTGAACCATAAAGTAAAGGAAGATTGTTCATAATGATTTCTAGGGTATCAGGCTCGTGGGAGAGCATTAGTCATCCATGCACCGAACCGGTTTGGTGCAGGTCAACGCGCTTGACAATCTGTTTCCGAGTTTTGTTGATGATCTTCCAGGGTCAGTAACTGAAGTTCTCATTGCAACTTTAGTTGTTTGGGACAAGGAAGGAAAACAATTCGAAGCTGGTGCGTGTTTGCTTCTTCTTGCGCTAATTTGTTTCATGTTGCAATCCAGGGGTTTGGCCAGAGTAAAAGTGTAACATGGCTCGATTGGTACGTGTTTCGCTCTCTTAATTTACAGTCTTGCTGATACAATAGGTCTTTATTGAAGTTATATGACGATCTTTCAACCTGGTGATCAGAACTCAAGAAAACTGCCATAGGCTTAGCACCTCTTGCATACTCACTTGTTCCCCCTGCGTCAGTCCCCGCTCAAGAATGTGCAACATGGGCCCAGAATGCTGCTTCGCAATTACTTTCGGAATCCGAGTTCTTACGGTTTGGATTGGATGCATTGGTGAGTGATTATGCACTGACTCTGACGACATACATTAAAATCACTAGGGCAAAACAAGGAACTTTGCTCATCCTGGCCTTCATGACGCAGCTATTGGATTCTTTTACATGGGGCCATACCGAATTGCCCGGAAGAGGCCAGATATCTTTCGCAAGCAATTGCCCATCTCATGCTTGGCTTTGGTTTCCACTGTGGTACTTTCTTACCTTCTGCCTTGACATCATGTATTGACATTTTTACAGTACAACTGTGTCCTCGACGGTCTCGTCAAAAATGGTCATGGCAAATCTTATCCCAAGTTCTCTGCCAAGGAATACGGCCCAATATACCGCCAGATGGTCAGAATGATCGATCAAATTCTTCAACATCCATATCATGGTCCCAGGTTAGTAGCGCAACTCCAGGAATGGGCTGAAGCAGGATGGTAAGAACAACCTTTTTCTTTGAAATTTCGGATGCTGATTATTTTTACCTAGGGCCGCATGTCTAAAACTCGATGGCGCTGAGGAGACCAAACATATCCATCTACAAATCATCCTCAACTAAGTCTTCGCATTCCTGTGTCCAAGTTGCAGTACTACCATAGTTTGGGAGCCGTTTTTTGTTTCGTATTTTGCTACTACTAGTATACTGATGTTTCCATACCACGTGATTGAATATATTGCCATTGTTCCTAAATACCTTGGGTGAACTGTACATAAATGAATGTGTGGACAATTATCGCTCTCCAAGTGCTCTGTGAGTGTCTGTACATACATAGTGCTGCCGCGGTCCGGTCCAGAACCACGGTTCGAACCGGACTTTTGGTCCGGTTCTCTGTGGTTCGGTCCATGGTTCCCTCACCAGCCAGAACCGGACCGGAAAGCAGTTCTGGGTTCTGGACCTTCACTAGTGGTCCGGTTCTGATTCGACTTTCCCGAACCTTCCCGAACCGTTCCTTGACCTTCGAATTCCCTTGACTTCGACACCAACCACGACGACGTCAGTGTCCATGTCGACATCAAAACACCGTCTTCGAGATTTGCATTATTTGTTAATCAGGCTACTGTTAGCCTTTTTGAAGGTAAGTACTAATCAATTTATTCTCAAGACTCTGACATATGTTTACCTATATCACAGATATCTACTTGTTCTAGTCTATATGCTTCCTGGATAGTCATGATCCTCCACCGGTTCTCAACTCTAACAGATCTCCTTGGATATTGTCGCTCTGTCTAGGTGAGTATCTTTTTTTTTTGCTTAAGTCCATGTCTCATTTTGTTACAGTTCTTGACCCTAACTATAAGTTAGCATACGTCGAACAGCGATGGACTGTGACGAAGGTCGCAAACGGGAGGGCTCGTCTTGAGGCAGTGGTGAGTACTATTCAAACTTAAGTACCCTACCGGTCTCTAACTCCAGATGTATTCTTAGTTTGACAAATATTATCAAGCGCCTCCAGCCCCAGGACCACATCCCAAGGAGCCAGAGGCCACATCATCAACAATGAAAGCTTCGATCTTTCTCCAGCGCGGGCATCACATCAACTCTGCGCCGCAACGCACTCGCATCATCCACTTTCTCCGCGCTACAATTGATGAAGGCAGCCTATAAGAATGGACATGTGTCAGCAGCAGTAGAGGCAGAAGAATATGCAGTTGGTATGCAGTTAGACTAGCTACCCAATGTCATGTAGATGTCTTGTGAATGTTTTTTCCATTGCTTGAAAAATTTTCGGTTCAGTTCGCATTCAGACCAGACAAGAACCGGACTGGACCATTGAGAACCGTTCTCAATGGTCTGGTTCTGGGTTCGATAATTTTAAAGAACCGAACCATGGTTCGGTTCTTGGTTCTCGTCAAGGACCCTCTGAACCGGACCGAACCGGACCACGGCAGCACTATACATACATAGACAGTGAAAAAATGTGCAATTTCACAGGTAGTTGTTATTTACTGGGTGGTCTGTGAGTATCTGTACAGATATCCACAAAGTATGGAGCTACTGTGACGAACTGGCTAGTAGGGACCAAGCTGTAGAGCTTGTGCACTGTACAGCTCTGTACAGAGCATTCTGGTTTGCAGATGTGGTGACAGGGCCACACAGAATGCCATGCCTACAACCTGGTCCCCTTTGGACAGCTATGTACAGTATCTGACAGAGCCTCACAGAAGGCACTTTTGTGTTGCAATGTCGTCACAGACCCCTCTGGATGTGCATGCATCCATGCATATGTATCAACAAGTCACATTTATCAGCGTATAAATCACTATATTTGTCCATCCTGGGGCATCTGCAGACTTAGAGATGAGGCACGGGGCACAGGGGCCCCCTAGACTAGTTAGTATTGTCTGACATAGGGTAGCACACCCCAATGGACAATAATTCAATTCAAAAAAAAAAACTATATTTGACAGAAGCAGAATGATATATTTCTAACTATCATGGTTACAATATTGCGAACTCATAAATTTACTGATGTCTGCGTCTTGTACTTACTAGTATATGGTAGTATGATACCGCATACTTAAACTGTGCATTACATGAACACCACACCAACTTCAACTTATCAGCACTTCCAATCAATCCCCGAATCACTCGATTTTTTTATTCGAAAACTTGGAAGTAAGTTCCGTGAGCAAAACCACCAAACATAGAATCAAAAACGCAAACACTCACTACAGTGACAACAGTCCCATCGTCCAACGTCTCTTTCCGCGGTATGAGCGAATACCCAAATACCTTGGGCAGAACGATTCGCCATACAGCCCAGTACAGCCCGCCTGCTAATATGATGGAGATCCCGACCAGGCAGTACCTAGAGAATAAGCGAGGAATAAGAATAAGGGAAGCGCTGCTGAAGGAAGCGTACAGGTAATATGGTAGTGGTGGGGTGTCGCCAACGCCGTTGGCTGGTCTCATGAAGGGAGCGATGAGGACTGTGTACGGGTTTGGTTAGAGAAAGAAAGCATTGAAGCTGTAGATGGGTGACTCACGGAAGGCAGAAGCAGCCAAGAAGAATACGGCGAGAGGCCACCATACTGCATCATGTGCATTAATGTACCAAACAGAAAGAGCGACATATTTGCTCACCTTTGAATGGACGAACAGCATCTGGCTTCTTCCATCTCAGATAGAACAGACCCTGGCGGCATCAAGAAGTAGGAAACACTCGAGAAAGAGTTGAAAGACGTACGATGACAATAAATAAATTAATAATCTGCTGCGGGTATCCTTCAATATCCAAAATGAAGGGGAAAGCAATGTTTGGGGGAGGCGCGATGATAGTAATTGCCTAGAAAATCAATCTCAAATCAATCTCGTGGATATCATGCAGTTCCATGGTAGTACTTACAGAGGGTATTAAGTGGATGATCAATCCCGGAAGCGGGGACTTCCCCGTGGGCCAATTTGAAGCCCAGAATTTGTTTCCGAATGGCAAGGGTATCCCTTCCTTTGCGAGCTCTGTGATCGAAGCATAAGCTATGTAGGACTACGATGTTTGGTATGACGGACCCTGGTTTACTCGTGCCGCAGCAAAAGTCTAGATAAAAAGTTCTTGTGCTAATGCATTTCAATAGCATCCCTCAACTTACCACAGTAACAACGTTCTATGGCCCACCATTAGACAGAGATCATGATGTAAGATATATAAGACTCACTCCAAGAGCACTGTCATGATAACAATAAATCAGGAAACCCTCGAAGCAAGGATGTCGAGCTCACCTGAGAGCAATGAAAATCGCCAGCGCACGCTCCGCAGCAGGGCCAAAGACATTCCCGAAAAACAAAGAAGCAACAGCTACACCAGACTCAACGATCTCTGTCTATTGATACCATTCAGTATGTCGTTCGTGATGCATACACACAACAAGTTCTTACTTTAGTTGCAGCCGCGAAATAAGCCACATTTGCAAGCAAGTAAAAAACGGCGCATATACTAAGACCAAGCGGGCCTGCGATCTTGAGCGTCCTCACTGGATTACGGACGTTGTTCATCACGTAGTTCACGTTGGCCCATCCCCCGTATGCGATCAGGACTTTGAAGGTGGCGGTAGCATACTGTGAAGACTATAGTCAGTAGATGGGTATCTAGGAATATCGTTGAATGAATCCACGTCGTTGATGCTCGTGGAACTCCCCACGAACACGTTTCTGAAATTATAGTGCGGGTCCGTGATGCTGGTTTTTCCAGAGAGAACGACCCAGCCTGTGACCAACATAAACATCAGAATTGCGATCTTGAGCATCGAAAGCAGCTGAAAGAAATGTCAAGTTGAATATGATGGTGTAAAAATGAAAGTTGCATACGTCCATCATCAGCACGCCGGTCTTTGGAGCCAATCCGTGTAGAAGAACTACGAAGAAGATGACTAGAGGCCATTAAATGACCGCAACATGCCAGTTGTGTAGTAGGAGATCATACCCCCAAGTGCAATAATACGTTCATTCCAGCGATCCACGGGCTGATCAGCGGCAACCAAGATGCTACATTATATCAGCAGAGTCGTTTCATTAAGATCAAAAATGCGCACTGGCTGGCGAAAACCTTAGAGAAGCGGTTAAGTTTTAACACCGAATATCTATCCGAAACAAGAGATCACTGACAATACAACTGCTTGCAGTGAATCCAAGTAATATAGAGTTGACAGCAAATACTGCGGTGGCGAGGTACTTGGGCTTTTTGTAGACGGCCTCAAGGTATACTTTCTCTCCACCACTGCGAGGGAACATAGTGCCGAACTCGAGCCATATGAAGAGGCCACAGAAGCTAAGCAAGAACCCGAGGACCCAGAGCAAGAAGCAGGCGCCAACTGACCCCACGCTGGAGAGGATAGAAGATGGTGTTGAGAATATGCCGGTGCCGATAATCCGTCCGACGATAAGGAGAGTGCAAGAAGTCACACCAAGGTGACGACCGAGGCCTCCAGCGGTATCTGAATGACGTTAGATGAGCAAGTTGAAAGAATAGCTAGCTAGCAACCTCACATTCTTCAAAGGTCAGTTCTCCAGGATCAAGGTCAGGATCGTCGTCTGATTCCTTTTGAATCCGCTGAATCTTTTCGGTGGACTGTGACTCAGAGGCACGGCCCTGTTCCTGTTTCTTGCTTAACCGCGACCACCAAGTAGTAGACATTCCTGTAGATGAGGAGGGAAATATGAACACGATCGGATATCAGCGCTTTGAAGGCAGATACTTTAAGGGTGCTCGATACTTGCGCAATAAGTACACATGTTGTAGACACCGTGATGTGGACTGGTGATCTCCGTCAGTGTCCTAACTTCAAAATCGGGGGACCGAGGACGAGAAAGAATAAGAATTACTACAGCACATAACGCGTCCTCATGTGACTCGCAACAGGGTTCTTTTTTGCTGGCTAAATCCTCGCCGTCCGATGCGTTTCCACGAGATATCGTCAAGTTGCTCGACAATTGCGCAATAAGTCCACATATTGTGAGCACTATGATGCGTGGACCAGTGATGAGGGCACTATACCGTACAGAAGACAAGCCAAATGGATCAGGCCGTTATAATGTTTTCTAATTGGATTTGTAGTTTTTAAATCGGCGCAGCACATAACGCGTCCTAATGTGACTCACAACAGGGTTCTTTTTTGCTGGCTAAATCCTCGCCGTCTGCGTTTCCACGAGACTTGAGTAGATATCACCATCTTGAGTTAAGGTGCTCGACTCCAATTGCGCAATAAGTTCACGTGTCGTGAACACTATGCTGCGTGGACCGGTAAGGTCACTGCCGTACAGAAGACAAGTCGAATGTATTAGGCTGTTATGATGATTTGTAATTTTTAAATCGCCGCACCGAGGACATAAAAAACAGCCACTTTAGATAATGGCCTTGTAGATGTTTGCCGCACTAAGTGAACTTGGTGAGAGAGGAGGATGACGTGACGAGCACGCTTGCAGGATGATGAAAGGAATGTGGAAGACTTGCAGACTAGAATTTGGGCGAGAAAGGTAAGTGAGGTATTAGCGAGGCTTGAGTGCGTGTCCGATTCAAACTAACCGAGTACACCCCCATCATCTACAGCAGAAAGCTTATGACGAGACTATATCCATAAGGTCTATGACCCCGAAGGATCCCATTCTGAAACAAAAAAGCGAGGCTTTCGCGGTGGGGAAGGTCTGCCTTTGCCCGACCGCACAGCTTGAATGATTCCAGCGTTTGAGGTTGAAAAAAAGAGAAGTCAGACAGACTCGGAGGGGATGGACTCTCTCAGGCTAAAGTCGGACGGAAGTTTGCGAAACTTATTTCAATGCTAATTAAATGCAATCGTTGAAATTCGTCATGGTAATGTGCGATTGGTCGCCGAGTTATAATACAAGTCGCCTCACAAGTTACAACATGCCTATTGGCATCATGTTATATACTTGATTGGCCAGGAAATCACATTGGGCAGAAACGCTCGGTATAATACACATCCCCAATCTCAATATTGTCAACACCGTCTGCAAGAATAATAACGGATCGTAACCACGACGGATACTGCCAGTATGAGCTTGGCAATGGGAGCAAGGTGTAGTAGTGGCTTGACACTAGATTTCCATATGCAGAGATTTGCGCTCTGCATCATGGAGGGAGCTCGGCGGTATAGGATCAAGTTTGGCGGTATAGCCTAGATCGAGTTCGGCGGGACTACAGGGATATAACAGGTCTGAGTTCACCCATATTGTCAAAGACCAGTCTTCCTTAGACAGAAACTAGATCCCGACGAGGTATATCTTGTTGCTGAACCATAGGGTACAGTGTGACTTTCCGTACGGTGACTTGTTGAAAAACCTGAACGAAGTAGCGTTAACGAGTGATTGATAGTGGGGGTTATAAATAAAGGCAAGATCGGAACCTTACTTATCAATGACCAGAAGATGTGCTTGACGAGCAGTGACTGAGGTCTTGACCTCGAGGGAGTTATATCTCATTTGTTTTGAGATCCGACGGAAGAATGGAGCGGGTGGGAGCCGAGTAAGTCTACGAACAGAAGGTGGTCGAGTTGATGCCAAGTCAGATCTCATTACGGAACTTGGAATGCCATTGTAATGTCATGGTGAGTCCATGTAGTAAATTGCATCACTGAGGTGCGGGCTTGAGGGTACCGGTAATGCTTCAAATTCCATTCTGATTGTCCAGGCGATGAGAGTGATAGCAACAGCAGTGAAGACAGTAATAGTAGTACTACTGAGGATGTCAGTAGTGCGGCCGATGTCCAGTTCGCGTTCAAACCAGGTTCAACCATAATTTAAAATATTCACGCCGGGTCTTGCGTACTCTTGGTGACGGAGCACTTGACAAAGTGTCGCTCGAAGATGGTGTGTATGTAGTATGTCAGTACTCTTGGCGTCATTGTTCAAAAAACATTTGCACATCCTCACCACTCTCCCAACCTACGCTACTCACAGGACTGGCATGCATTGCACTTCTGAGCATGCACAGGACTGAGAGGAGGTGGTAGTCATGAACCTAGATGTGGTTGCCTGGTTGGAGCATGCTGGAGAGGCGGTTGCGGATGCCTTGATCGGCCACTGTGGGGGTTGGATGAGATGACTAGATGTATGGGTGCAGGACTCACGAGTATGATGAGTAGATGTACGGTAAAATGAATAGATACACGTCAAGATCATCATCGGATTAAACATGCTTGAAACACGAACGAACGCACCTGAGGCTGCTCATAATTAGCCATCTGCGTTTGCATGCTCCGTCGCTACGTAGTCCATCCAGCGCACAGATTGAGTAATGTATGATTGTATTCACCCAGCTTTGTCGCTGGGTGCACTGTTTGTTCAGTCAAAGTGGAGAGCCGTCGATGGATGTCGATGGGTAGTCGTTGCCGTTGTCGCGATCGTCAACTGAATTGTGGGAAAATCTGACAGGTGTGACGTGGTGGTGCCGCAAAAAAATAGCGCGAGGTGAAGTCAGCATCAGTCTAGCTAAGATGCTGCCAGCAGCAGACGTTCGCTGCAGTTCCAGTGAGCGCGCACTGCAGGCTTGCATCCCAACCTACTCAGCGACAGACACAATGATTTAGGTTTGTACTAGCTAAATATAGGTAGCACTATGGAACTTCTAGTCTGTATATATCTGTTGACATCACATATGTATGGGCGCTAACTTACGTATGCTTGCTACGAACACCCACCATCAAGTTCAACCAACCATACACTCGTGATAGGAACTTAACCTGTTCGGGCCCACCACCCTTCACATGCTTCACGAATCACAGCTCACGTTTTTCACCCAGGGTTGCGGGTTAGTGTATGATTATATCCTTTCTTCTACCACCGCTCGCTGTATTCACATCTTTCTCCCAAGTTCTCGAGAAGGTATTGGGGGCAAATACTCGGCTTGTGAGGAAGTTCACTGGTTCCCACTGTCACGTCATTCTGAAAGCGATCTATTTTAGAATTGTAACAGGTCACTTCACTACACACTTAAACGTTGCTTCTTCAATTAACTCACGCTTATCTTCATGTACTAGTATATAATGTATATTTGTAATACAATAACTTGAAGGCCGATCGCGCTCCGATTCTGCCTCGAAGCTGTTGGCGCAGTGTTCTCTGTCCCCGCTTTCTTCCGTACTATGAACTCCCAACGGTCAGAAGAATCTGTGAAGGGGGACAAGGAAAAGGTTGAGGAGGTCAATGCAGCCAACCTTCAACCTTTAAACCTTCAGCTCGATACCGGTAATAAGTATACCAACTTTCGTCATAAATGGTGGCAGTTGTGGTAAGTGATGCTATTTTATAAACAATATCCTCCAAAGTTCATCGAGCTGCGAGCAGGTTACCTAAGGACCCACCACCTCCAGCGCCATCGTCTCTGGAGGATGCAGCGGTGCGTAAACCCCTTACGCTCTTTTTCTGAAGGACCCTCCTAATAACATGGTATCCTACAGTTGACGCCTTTGGTCAATGCTTCTATTTTCTCTCAGCTCACCTACTCCTGGGTCACTGATATAATAGTCAGTCATTGAATCCTGATCAAGCGTATACTGTTATAACGCATACACCCAGATTCTCGGATATCAGCGCACATTACAAGCATCTGATCTATACAAAATGGACCCATCCCGAGAGTCGACCGTCCTTGCTGCTAAACTTGAAGCTGCATGGCAACAGCGTGTTAAGGCAGCAGCCGACTGGAATGCACGACTTGAGAGCGGAGAACTCAAACCATTTCTCTTCAAACGTATCGTCTGGACCATGCGTGCAATTCCAACGAATGATCAAAAACAAGGCGCGACTCTGTCTGAGCGATATGCAGCGTTTCACAACCATTGGCGAGAATGCGGAGGGCGGAAAGAGGCCAGCCTTACTTGGGCTTTGAATGATGTCTTTTGTGGTGTGTTCTGGATTGGAGGTATATTCAAGGCATGGGTTTTCTTCGTAGATTGTCGCTTTCATATTCAATGTACAACATCACTTGGCAGGTCGTCGCTGACACGGCACAACTCATGGTTCCTATCGTCCTTCGGGTAAATAACAACTTGTATTGGGTCGTAGTAACCTCTGATGTCCCCCGCAGCACATCATTATCTTTGCGCAGGAGCGTTCCGCTACGACCCTTGCAGGAACACCTGTCCCTAATGTCGGCCGCGGTATTGCTATGGCTTTTGGGCTCTTTGCGCTAACTGTGGTGGCCAGAGTCTGCTCCCACCAGGTTTGTAAGACTTTATGAATTACACTCGACTCACCTAATGTTTTCAAGTTTTTTTGGCATTCAATGGCAACAGGCGTGCTGGCTAGAGCCGCGCTGATAACATGCATTTACGAGCGTGGAGTGAATCTCACGGGAAAAGCGCGCATTAAACTCAACAACGCTGCACTTGTGAACCATATTTCTACCGATGTGAGCAGGATTGACGCGTGTGCGCAGTGGTTTGTGAGTCGTAAACTTAAGCATCGCACTTGTGCTGTCGACTGACTTGTAGCATGTCCCTCGTTACTAGCATGCAGGTCAGTATATGGGATCTCTGACATTCAGATTTAGAGATGACTTACTATCTTCAAGCCTGGGCCGCGCCTATTCAGATCACAGTCTGTTTAATCATTCTTTTAACTGAGGTTTGTTATACACTGTAAAGAGTTCGATTTGTTCTAACTTGGAAACTAGCTCGGGCCGTCTGCACTCGCTGGTTTCTCGCTATTTGTCCTCATGATTCCGATTCAACAGTGGTTATTGGCAATGCAGCGCCGTATTCGCTCAGTATCGATGAAATGGACTGATCAACGAGCCAAAGTTCTGCTAGAGGTACTCGGTACGTAACCTTGGAGCTGCTAGGACATGCAATCATGCTAAAGAGTACACAGGAGCTATACGAGTTGTCAAATACTTCACCTACGAAGTTCCTTTCCTTCAACGTAAGCACGATATCGAGGAATATCAACAACATACTCACGAATGTTACTTAGGAATCTTCAACCTTCGAAAGAAGGAACTGCATGGTATTCGAAGAATTCTTCATGTAACTTCGGGGAAGTAAGTCCAAATGTGTATAGCATAGCAACGCCTCCTAATTCAATTCACACAGCTTGGCCCTCGCGACTTCGATGCCAGTCCTCGCTGCCACACTAGCTTTTGTCACATACACCCTGACAGCACACAACTTCAACGTCGCTGTCATATTCAGTTCGTTGAGTTTATTCCAGGTGAAATTGTTATTGTTTCTTGCGGCGGACATACTAGACACGCACTTACCCGAGGGATAAATAGCTTCTCCGGCAACCAATGACGTTCATGCCTCGCGCTCTATCGGCTATCCCCGATGCATCTAACGCGATTCAGCGGCTCACACACGTGTTCCGCGCGGAACTCATTTCTGGAGATACACTCGTGATTGACAAGGATCAAGAACCCGCGCTTCTGACCAGGGACGCGACATTTGAGTGGGAGTCGTATGTAAAGGATTCTGGTGAGGCTTTCAGCTCGAAGGATGCACGCGGCGGCGGTCCACCGACGGGCAAGGACAGAAGTGTGAAAGGGGAGATGGCAAACGAAGGGACCGCTCCTGGAAAGGATACACCTATTTTTCAGGTAAAGAATGTGACCATGACCATTCCACGAGGTCAACTTGTTGCTGTAGTTGGGCCTGTCGGGAGCGGCAAGGTAATTTTGTCGAATAAAGTCCTCGAACCGACCATTGACCCATGAACAGTCCAGTTTATTGCAAGGACTGCTAGGTGAGATGAGGAAGGTCTCTGGCAATGTCTCATTTGGCGGTCGCGTTGGTTATTGTCCACAGACCGCGTGGATTCAGAATGCTACGTTGGTCAGTATGGTGCCGCCCTAACAAGAGCAAATACATCTAACATCTTACCCTAGCGTGATAATATTACTTTTGGCCAACCATTCGAGGAAGACAGATATTGGCGCATTATTGAGACCGCTTGTCTACTTCCAGACCTCCAACTGCTCCCAGATGGGGATTTAACTGAGGTACGTGGGTGAATCCAACTTGATATCACCGCTTATATTATATTTCAGATTGGAGAAAAGGGAATCAATCTCAGCGGAGGCCAAAAGCAGAGAGTGAGTTCGTGGCTTGTATCTGTTAAGAATCGATCTTTATCTTCCACCCAGGTCAACATTGCCCGTGCTCTGTACTTTGAACCTGAAATTGTTATATTTGATGACCCGCTCTCGGCAGGCAAGCCATGTCATTTATATTATGTCTATCACACTGAAGAATGCTCTCAGTGGATGCTAATGTTGGAAAGTCCTTGTTCCAAAATGCCATCGTGGGTTCCCTGCGAAATCGTGGCATTACTGTCATTCTGGTCACGCATGCGATCCATTTCCTCTCTCAAGTAGATTACATCTATACCCTGAACAACGGCGTCATCACGGAGAGTGGGACCTATGAGGATCTGGTCTCTTGCGGTGGTGATTTTGCACGTTTCGACTTAGAGTTCGGTGGCCATGCCTCGGAGGGGAAAGATGAAGACCAGGAAGAGGAAGTCATTTTGCAGACACGCATTACCATCGAGGATGTGAAGTTGAAGTCAGAAAGAGCCAGAAAGCAGGCTACTGGCAGCGGTAAACTTGAAGGTCGCTTGATGGTCAAAGAGAAGCGGTCGACAGGCTCCGTGTCCTGGAAAGGTGCGATCAAATTCGTCTGAGATGTTTCCCTGGATTGAAACAGTTTTAAAGTGTACTGGACCTACATTGTAGCGGGCTGCGGTCCAATAACAGGTCCCCTACTTCTTCTCATCATGTTTGCGATGCAGGGAAGCCTGATCTTGAACTCGTACACGCTAGTTTGGTGGGAAACCAAGTCAGTATCTTTTTATTGACTTTTCATTCCTCTTCTAAAACCTGGCGCAGCAAATTCAACCGACCAAACTCGTTTTATCAGATGCTGTACGGCTGCCTAGGGGCTGGTCAAGCGATCTTCACCTTCTTGCTGTAAGTCGGTTCCTATCGCAGATGGCGGCACGCTCACTCAACTTGCTGCAGTGGTGCTGGAATAGATTTCATGTCCTATTATGTGTCTCAAAGCCTGCACCACAAGTCCGTACGCAGCGTCTTTCATGCATCCATGTCCTTTTTCGACACTACAGTAAGTGATTGTGTATGAAAGCATTAGAACCGATGCTTATTGTGTACCTATAGCCTATGGGCCGAATCCAGAGTATTTTTGGAAAAGATATCGACAGTTAGTATTCACTGATTTATGCTATGCTTGCTGAAACCTTTCACTCAGGTATTGACAATCAACTACCACGTGAGTCATCTGTCACTGCATAAACGTCGCTGATTCATCATCAAGAATCGATGACATTGGGTATGTTAGCCGCACGCTTCGTTTTACAGAAACTGACTGGAAATCCAGTTATCATTACGCTGTCCAGCGTGATGGGCTCTATCATCATCATTTCTGTCCTTGAACCGTACTTTGGTCAGTTTATAGATATCATCTACCGTCATATGGTTCATGCTTGTCTAGTTATTGCTATGTTTTTCATCGTTCTCGGTTACAGCTACTTCAGTGCCTTTTATCGAGCTGGTGCTCGTGAAGTCAAGCGTCTGGGTTTGTTGTTGTATTTTTGACTTGGAAAGCCTCCGTTGAAATTAGTCATCAGACTCAATGCTTCGCTCTCTTCTGTATGCCCACTTTTCGGAGACCTTGACAGGACTTCCCACAATCCGAAGTTACGGAGAAATGAAGCGATTTATTGCTGCCAATAGATACTACGTTGATCTGGAAGATAGAGCTCTATTCCTCGTGGTTACGAACCAAAGGCAAGTAACCTTATACACATTTTGGCGGTTGTTGGTTTATTACCTTCCCTCAGGTGGCTTGCGATAAGGTTGGATATCATGGGAGCCATATTGGTCTTCACTGTAGGCGTCTACTTAACCACTGATACCTCATACTGACGCAATGCTACGATCTCAATAGGTCGCTCTTCTCGCAGTGACCGACGTCTCCGGGATAAACGCCGCTCAGATAGGGTTGGTACTGTCGTATACCAGTGGGTCTCGCAATGCCGCTACCAAAGTACATACGACTAACCTGTGTCACAGCCTCGCTGTCACAATTGTGTGGTCTGTTAACCAGACAGACAGCAGACGTCGAGGTAAGGCTTTCCTTACTATCCCACATTACAGGCTATTGAATCGTTTGTTTGTCTCAGAATCACATGAATGCAGTGGAGCGAGGTGAGCTACCAAATACATCTTACCTTAACTCTCGCTTACATCTCTCAGTGGTACAGTACGTCGCAGGCGACACGATACCTCAAGAGGCTCCGTATGAAATCGAAGAACGAAAGCCCTCGGCGCAATGGCCTGAACATGGCGCCATCGAATTCAACGACGTTAAAATGGCATACAGGCCGGGCCTTCCCAATGTATTGAGAGGTATCTCCATCAAGATTGAAGGAGGCGAAAAGATAGGCGTTGTTGGAAGGTCAGCCGGTTCGTTGGATCTGCACACGTATGCTAATGCGGTGTCTTCTTAGGACTGGTGCTGGCAAATCTTCGTTAATGCTTGCACTGTTTCGCATTGTTGAGATGTCTGGTGGTTCAATCACTATTGATGGGTGCGTGGGTCATTGCTCGTGACTAATATTGGTTGGTTCACCCCTTCTAGTGTCGATATATCTACAATTGGTCTTCAAGATCTCCGCTCCAAGATTTCTATTATCCCACAAGATGTCTGTAAAGTCTCCCCATACAATCTAATACAGGACTAACGGACGAACTCGATAGCCCATTCTATTCAGTGGTGAGCATCGTTCTATGTACTCTTGTGTGAAGCGCTAAATGATTACCAGGGACCATACGCTCCAACCTAGATCCATTCTCCCAACACAGTGACACGGAGCTATGGGATGCACTGCGTCGATCTTGTCTGCTTGATTTCAGCACCACTTCGAAACAGTCATTTTCCAGTGATGGTGTCGGAAGCGGGCAAGCTCCCACCAGCCGCCATCACCTTGACAGTACCATTCAGAGCGAGGGAGCGAACCTCAGTGTTGGGGAGAGGTCTCTGCTCAGTCTAGCTCGTGCGCTGGTGAAAGACTGCAAAGTCGTTGTGCTTGATGAGGCCACGTTAGTCATGTGTTCTTCTCCTGGATGCCTGATGTTGAATATTTTTTTTCAGAGCTTCTGTTGATCTCGATACTGACAGTAAGATCCAGCACACTATTCAAACGGAATTCCAGGATCGGACGCTACTTTGTATTGCCCGTGCGTCTTATCTGTTGTCCTCTCAGTTAAATGCTGAGATACGATGATACTTCAGACCGACTTCGTACTATCATTTCATATGACCGGATTCTGGTGATTGACGCTGGCCTTGTTGCCGTAGGATAATTTGAACACCTTTCATCGGTTAATACTCACTCTATCAAAGGAATTTGATACTCCATCCAATCTTTTCAAAACACAGGGTGGACTTTTCCGTGAAATGTGCGAGAGGAGCAATATCTCGTTGAAAGATATACTAGAGTCGAGTAGACAGGTTTAAATGGCAAGTCTGTCGTTGATTTCTTTTCATGTTGGTAAGGCCTGCACTTGTTATGCCGTGCTTATTTCTTGTAGCAATCTTGAAGCTGATGTCGTTCTTTGCTCAGGCTCAAGAGAATGCACATGTCTGATATATATATAACCAAGCTGTTCGGTGCCAGCACTGACGCACGTTCGTTACTTCTCATTCTTGCTTCTCATTCTTTCCTTCCAGCACTATTATATGGCGACAACCTGTACCATCATGGATTGGTTGGTATTTAAAATACATCTAGATATTAATACAGTAATAAAAACCACTGGAAATGCGACAGCTATATCGCTCTGCCGGAGGGTTTGTGCTAGTGTCTCTTGATCCAGAAAATAGCGCTGGAGATCTTCCTGTCTCCATCTTATGATCTCGGGCGGCAAAAACATACTACCTGAGGATTTCATCAATGCTCGTGTGATCACTGTCACTCCAGATACAGAAACCGTTTTAGAACTTGATGGTGTCGGTGTATGTCAATGCATCCGAGTCTCCCATCTATCGGTATTTATGGATAACTGTCCATTCCAGATGTATTAATATAGCATTATGGACTGTATCTAGCAGAGGTTCAGGGTATGCAGCAAGCCGGCATCATGATCTCAAGACCGTCAAACTTACACATGACATGTCAGTGCCATCAGCATTATGTATCGCATTCATCATTTCAAGCAGAAGATATCACGAGGAACAAGACTTCCAACGGGATTGGTGACTGGCTAGATCATCAGAATGTAGGTGCTGTCGGCAGAAGTTTAAGAATAGTCACGGCACTGGGTAGGAAGCACAGCTGTCCGAGGATCCGATCTAGACTTCGACGTAGTACCGCATAAATAAATCGTGCATTAAACGAGCACTACTACAACAACAGACCAACTTATTAGCACGTCCAATCAGTCCTTAGATCGCTGGATCTTCTGATTCGAAAACTTTAAAATAGGCCCCGTGAGCAAAATCACCAAACATAGAATCAAAATCGCAAACACTCACTACAGCGACAATAGTCCCATCGTCTAACTTCTCCTTCCTCGGTATGAGCTCATACCCAAATACCTTGGGCAAAACGATTCGCCATACGGCCCAGTACAGCACGCCTGCGAGCATGATCCCGATTCCAACGAGGCAGTACCTATAGAACAAACGATGAATGAGGATAAGGGACATGCTAGTGGAGGAAACGTACAGGTAATATGGTAATGGTGGGGTGTCGCCAACGCCGCCTGGTGGTCTCAGGAACGGAGCGACGAGGACTGTGTAGAGGTTTGATTAGAGAAAGAAAATGTTGAAGCTGTGTGACTCACGGAAGACGGCAGCAGCCAAAAAGAATACAGCCAGAGGCCACCATACTACATCATACGCATGAAGGTAGCACACAGGAAGAGTGACATATTTGCTCACCTTTGAATGGCCGAACAGCATCTGGCTTCTTCCATCTCAGATAGAACAAACCCTGGCAGCATCAAGAGGTAAGAACGCTCGAGAAAGAGTCGAAAGACGTACAATGACAATAAATAAATTGATAATCTGCTGTGGGTATCCTTCGACATCCAAAATGAAAGGGTAAACAATGGTTGGGGGAGGAGCGACGATGACGATGATCTAGAAAACCAATCTCAGATTGATATCATGTAGATTCTACTGTAGTACTTACAGATGGTATCAAGTGGATGATCAATCCCGGAAGTGGGGACTTTCCTGTGGGCCAATTTGAAGCCCAGAATTTGTTCCCGAATGGTAAGGGTATCCCTTCTTTTGCGAGCTCTGTGATTGAAGCATAAGCTATGTAGGACTACGATGTTCGGTATGACGGACCTTGATTTACTCGTGACGCAGCAAAAGTCTAGATGAAAAGTTCTTATGCCAATACATTTCAATAGTATCCCTCAACTTACCACAGTAATAACGTTCTATGGGCCACCATCAGACAGAGATCATGATATAGAATATATAGGACTCACTCCAAGAGCACTGATATGAAGACAATAAGTCAGGAAACCCTCAAACCCAGGACGTCGAACTCACCTGAGAGCAATGAAAACCGATAGCGCACGCTCCGCAGTAGAACCAAAGACATTCCCGAAAAACAAAGCAGCGACAGTAACGCCAGACTTGTCGATCTCCGTCTGTCGATAACATTCAGTATTTCATTCGTGGCACACACACAAAACAAGTTATTACCTTGGTTGCAGCCGCGAAATAAGCCACGTTTGCAAGCAAGTACAAAACGGCGCATATACCAAGACCGAGCGGGCCTGCGATCTTGAGCGTCCTCACTGGATTACGGACGTTGTTCATCACGTAGTTCACGTTAGACCATCCCGCATATGCGTTCAGGACTTTGAAGGTGGCGGTGGCATACTGTGAAGACTACGCTCAACATATGGACATCTTAGGATATCACTGAACGCACCTCGTAACTGCTCGTGGAGCTCCCCGCGAACGCATTTCTGAAATTATAGTGCGGATCCGCGACGCGGGTCTTGCCCGAGAGGACTACCCAGCCAGTAACCACGACGAATACCAGAATTACAATTTTGAATATTGAGAGCAACTGAAAGAAAGATGTTGAATATGATGATGGTGTAAAGATGAAAGCTTGCATACGTTCATGATAAATACGCCGGTCTTTGGGGTCAATCCGTGTAGAAGGGTTACGAAGAAGATGACTAGAGTCCATGAAACGACCGTAACATATCAGTTAGGTAGGAGACCATACCTCCAAGTGCAATTCCACGCTCATTCCATTGACCTGCGATTTGGTTAGCAGCAACCAAGATGCTACATCATATCAGCCGAGTTGTTTCATTGAGATCCGAAGCACACACTTGCTAGCAAAAACCTTGATGAAGCAGTTAAGTTTTAACACTGAATATCCATCCAAAACAAGAGATGACTCACGATACAGCCACTTGCAGTGAATCCAAGTAATATAGCGTTAGCAGCGAATACTACGGTGGCGAGGTACTTGGGTTTTCTATAGACGGCTTCAAGGTATACTTTCTCTCCACCACTACGAGGGAACATAGTGCCGAACTCGAGCCATATGAAAAGGCCACAGAAGCTAAGCAAGAAACCAAGGACCCAGAGCATAAGGGAGGCGCCAACTGAGCCCACGCCAGAGAGGATGGAAGACGGCGTTGAGAATATACCGGTGCCGATGATCCGTCCAACGATAAGGAGAGTGCAAGAGGTTACACCAAGGTGACGACCGAGTCCTCCAGCGGTATCTGGATGGTGTCAGACGAGTAAGTTGAAGGAATAGTGAGCAACCACACCTTCTTCAAAAGTCAGTTCTCCAGGATTGAGGTCAGTATCATCGTTTGGCTCCTTCTGAATCCTCTGATCCTTTTCGCTGAGCTCAGAAGTATGGTCCTCTTCCTGCTTTTTGCTTGATCGCGACCACCAACGAGTAGACATTCCTGTAGATGAGGTGGGAGATGTGGACACAGGATATCAGGGTATATGAGTGGCCGCGAAGGGCGCCTGATAATGGCGAAATGCCGCTACTGGAATGAAGGGAATAGGAAATCGTATAGGAAGGGCGCCTGATAATGGCGCAATAAGTCCACATGTTGGGAATACCGGTGAGCGCACAAGTACAAAAGGCAAGTAGGCTATCAGATTGATCTCCAAATGAGTTTCTAATTTTGAAATCGGAATAAGCAACGTTCCGAGTTCCCGAGTGCATTATGGTTTAAAGAACAACCTAACAGACTACATTTTTACATCGCGGTACCTAGACTCTCATGACTCCTACCGTCAGGGTCACCGTGACTGAGTCAGAACCAAGCTTGGAAGCCGCAAACTTATCTCACTGTCATTAGATACCGCAACCCTGCAAATCTGCAAACGTATCTTTCCTCCCTCTTGTGCGGTGCTTGCGCTCAGTGGTTGCCCTGTTGTCCGTCTTCCTGTTGGGTACCTTCGTGGGAGACCTCACGTGTTTTTTCTGTCGTTTGTTGAGACGGTTGTTCACCTCCTTCGTCGTCCGTCGAGATGCCCAGGAAATGAATCTTCTCTTTTCCGTGGTCCACCCATCTGGACGGTTCACCTTCCTGCTGGACACCCTTCTGTCCAGCTTCTGCCTTCTGCTGGGGGCGGTCCTCTGTGGTCCCTTGCGCAGGAGTCTGGCCGGTATCGCCGCTCTGTGAATGCTCTGCGACATTCCGATCGTCGTGTTTCTCTTCTTGCTGACTTACAGTACTCGGGTATTGCTGTTTCTGCTCGGGCGCTGCGCCTATACCTGCAGCAGCCTCACCAGGGCTCTGCACTGCCCCTGCACCTACAGCAGCCTCATGACCGGTCTGAGTAGCACCCGAACCTTGATTGAAAATAATTATCCCGTCGACCGGGTAAGTAAAGTTGAAAAACACTAACCTGTTGATTCAGGTACAGTCTTTCCGGCAACTGCACTTGATTTTTCATCACCCGCTCCCTGTTGCCGACCTTGATCCGTCACCCCTGCAGCAGCACCCCCAGTTGCGGCCCCAGTACCTGCGCCAGTCCCAGTTGAGGCGCCAGTACCTGCTCCAGTCCCAGCTTGGCCCTGCCCTGCCCCTGCGCCTACAGCAGCCTCACGACCAGTCTGAGCAGCACCCGAACCTTGATTAAAAATAATTGTCCTGTCAACCGTGGAAGTAAAGTGGAACACTAACCTGTTGACTCAGGTCCAGTCCTTCCCCCAACTGCACTTGATTTCTCGTCACCCGTTCCCTGTTGTCGATCTTGATCCGTCACCCCTGCAGCAGCACCGCCAACTGCGGCGCCACCTGCGGCACCAGTTACGGCACCAGTACCTGCGCCAGTCCCAGTTGTAGCGCCATTACCTGCTCCAGTCCCAGCTTCCGCAGTCGTTCCTTGACCAGCAGGTGCCGTTCCAGAGGGTGCCGTTCCAGCCGGTGTCGTTTCGGTAGGGGCACCTTGAGCCGCGGGCGCATGACCTTTCATCATTGCCATACCCTCGGCAATCTCAGCACGGCCCTTTGTAGCAAGGTCAACGTTCTTCTGCACGCCAGCTGTAGAGCTCGTAGCACGATCGGCAGCTCCGAGTGCTGAGCCTCGAATATTGTCACCGAATCCTAAATAAATCAAGAAGGGTTATAATCGTTCTTGGTTCTGAAGCGAGTATGAATGACCGTGGATGACTTGAGCGGCTCCTCTGCGGATTTATTCAACGACTCGACTTGAATAATGAAATCAAGGCACGGAACGTACTTGAGCTTACTCCCAAAACCCCCTCCACCCCCACTTTCATTCTTCGTAGGACTAGTGCTGGTGTTTGTGTTTTCCGTAGTCATAGTTCATGAAAGAAAAGAAAAACATCTCCAACCCTCCTATATTGTCTCCCAGAACCTATGACGCAAGTATGCGGTCACCACAGCTATATCGCGGAGGACGCAAGGATCGGACATAATGAAGAGATGAATCCCGATTTAGGTTCTAATGTATGATCGAGTGGCACGTGCCGATCATATGTGCGATGGGAAAGTTACTGTTAGGTCGTCTCCTGGGCATCAGATCCAAGCTCGAGAGGGATGCGCGCTGATGGGCAGAGCATAGAGACTATCTTCTTGGAGATCGCTGTTTGGATACTAGGCAAATTTATGTTGTAATACCGCAGCAGATATCATGATCAATTGCTACGACCTGAGTGCCAAGTGAATGTGGACGGAACAATCCAGTGGGGTGATTATCACAGTGGAGGTGACGGTGCCGACCCTAGGAATTCCCACGATCTTGATTGTTTTCTCTCTCACAATGTCTTGCTCCATGAGGTCCGTTTGATTAGCGAAGGTCTTGTCCGAATCAAGGCTTTCTCCGAGACTAACAAGAAAAGGTATCCAAGGATATCTTGTGAAAAAGTTCTGAAACGTCAATATTATGACAAGTATGGATGCTCTACATTACAACAAACGTAGGGATATCGACGAGCGACGACCAAGAAATTGAGCCTCCAATCCGGGGTACACTAATTCTACAACAACAATAATAACCAGCCGAAAAAAAAAACTGCGAAGACGAAATGTGTGTGCGTAATGTATATGGGATATAAGTGTAACAATAAGAAAAACGGTGACGAGTAGAGTTTTGTTATATATGATAAAGTTATAGTTGAGCTCCGGTCGTCGTCGATATCTGTTTTTTGGAATGTGTCCGTGTCATATGCGTGGTGGTTGGATGTGGATGTGGATAATGAATGATTCTGCTGCTGACCCCTCCCCGTTCTCGCTTCCCTCCTAGTATAGCGGCGATTGCTCATTGTAGGTTTAGCACCCACGCTTCTGGACCCAATTTTGTGCTGGATAGCCCCATGAACGTAGTGCGCCCCATTAAGAAGTCTACCCGCTTCAAGCCCTTGCGCTGCTCTTCGGCGTACGCCTCAGCCGAGGAGGCACGCGCACACCGTTTGCGGTATACATCTGATATGGTGTCCCGGATGCTCTGACTAGGAGCCGCTTTGAACTCCTCACGCGACCCCGGAGTACGGAGGAAGCTGTAGAGTTGAGTGAGAACGTCCCCGACGGTGACATAAAAGCATGTCGACGCGCGAATTTCGCAGCGCCATGGGAGGAGGTCGTTTTGGAGCGAGAGAACGGGAATGGGTGGGCTGGTAGCAGGTTCTGCGAGGCGGTAGGAATCAAGGTTGAGCGGTGAGGCGCGAATGTTAGCGGAGGCGGTATTGGGTGGATATGAGACGTCATAGTTGATGGGGAAAACGAAGGGGTGGTAGGCAAGAATTGGGTTGATAGCAACGGGGCCCAAGTGCATGAACTCCCTCAGCTGAGGGGGCGTAGTTGGCCCAGTTGAGGATGGTAGTGACGACTCTGAGAGAGTCGGCGAGGTGCTCGATTCTGAAGGAGCAGGGGAGTAGAAGATGTTCTCCTCGTTGAAGTGGACGTGTCTGCCCGGCATAGTGATGATTTCTGTGGTAGTGGGGGTAGGTGATTGAGGTCTGATGCTTGACAGCTCTATTATAGCTGGATGCGGACTGTAGTTGCCCGTGAACAGAACTGTAGAACTGTAGATGGGTGATAAAATGAATGCATCCATATTCATGCCGCGACTTTTATAGTTATAGTTCCTTGGCGCAGTTCAGAAAGGGTCAACGCATAGCCCGCTACCGACAGGAGACAGAAATGATGACTTGAATCGTAACTTGAATTTCGAGGGAAAAAAGACAACGAACCAGGCACTAAGCACTTGGGAAATGGACTGGTTCAGACAACACAGCCGTTTCCAAGCGGGTCATGTGCTCGTTGCCCGCTTACAGCCTACGGTTCGCGTTCTTACGGCAGCCGAGTCTTGTCCAATCTATTTGAAGCGCTTGTCTGCTCCATTGCTTTCGTCCCGACTGCATCGGCTGAATGATTGAGGTTATCTACAGCAAGTAATGTTTTAAATCAGTAACTCCCACAGTGAGTCCCATCGATAGTTGACTCACGCATGAATCCTATGACAAGGTTAAGTTTCCTATTCCGTCGTAGCCCGAGTCATTGCCTTTTGCAACCGACGACACCGTGACCGTAACTTTTTCTTAGCCACCGCGGTAGGTGCCCTGATTCGAGTCAATTGTTGTATACACTCAACATGATTGACGTTAGGAATATAATCGCACAGCTTTCACCAGTGTTGCCAATCGTTCCAAGCAGATCCCCCGCGATAAGGCGGTCCAAGGCACTTGGGGAATCTCAATCACCATCGACCAACATAAATTTGGTACTCAGCTCACTTTTGTTCCACAGCATTCAAGACGGCAACCAGTCGACGTGGCACTATTGTGCTCCGCCTCTTCATCCGCAGTATAGCGCTCGATATTGTAGGCGCCTCACTAGTAAAATTCCGTAATTGATCTGATCACGAGCCAAAAAATTTACTAGCAAATCACTGATAAGGACATATCATCGGCGTCCCACTGCCCGTCGGTCGGCGGAATGTAATGGTAGGCGCTAAAAATGTACGCGGGGTCTTCCACTTTCACCATAACGGTGGCATAACCCCCTTGCCCGAGGGGAATACCTGTTCCCATCGGGACTGATGGGGCCCCATCTTTTCACTTCAAATTGTCTCATGAAAACAACTATACTCCGTTGGCTCAATTGAGGTTCTGTAGGGTTCTATCTGCATTAAACTTGTCAGTTTGGGAACAGCGCTTGTCCCGCTCCACATCACGTAAGTCTTTTTCGCTTCTGGAGGCACCGGTCTCGTACGGCCTCCTCCGGGCTCCACGACACAGGCTACGTGGCACTGCGTATCTTATGTCAGTCAAGAAGCTTTTCCACTGTTATCACACTGCCTATTTTCGAATGGAACATTCTACGAACCCTGAGTCTTAATGAGTCGGGGACGGCTACGCACCGAAAGGTACCGACATACGCGCTTCAAGCACATCGTAACGGGGCGTGGAAAATAGGTCTACGGGACAAAACAATCTCCACCTGGGCACGTTCTCTGTTTATCTTCATTTATTTCTCATTTAACGCATCATTGACGTTATAGGAAAGCGCACCAGTTCGTATTGTATTAGGGCTGTGGGGTTTGATAGCTCGCCTCTCCACATTCGGGCATATTTCATTGACTTCCTAGTATTATTCACCCCTGTTCTACAACCTCTTACTAATTTATCATGCCGTTGTTTTCCTAGGTTCTTTGTCCTGAAAGCGCCTCCTTGGGTCTCGGCTTGCGCCGCAGCTGACTGTTTTGAAATGTATGCATGTGCTTCCTAGTATCTATGATTAACAGTTTGTGGGCGTTGTCCCGCCGCAATACCTCAACCCTGCAGCAACAATATTTATCATCCTTCAATCTAACGATTCCTTGGACCCAAAATGTTCCATGCTGATTCATGGGACATGGGACCTTGAAGAGGCACGCTCTTGTCTTCGGGCTGTGATACCCTACTTTGCAATTTCACGCTTTCGTCCTCAGGCTGTGATACCCCCCACTTTGCAATTCCAATCTTTTTTTCCATCAGTCCCTCCGCCCTAGTCTTGCCCGACACCCGGTTGAAGCTTCTTTACGCGCTCAATACCTTTATTCGACCGACATCAAAACCAATTTCAATGGTCTAGCGCCTAGCGCTAGCGGTAATATAACTAGAATACCGATCTTAAAATAATTCATTGTTTTTTTTACTTAAAATGACATGTTGCCAGTACCGCCCCGGTGACAATCGCCCTCCCGTGCCTTGACGGAGTTTGCGGATTCAGAACATCTCGACAGAATAATGATCAATACGAACAAAACATCGCAGTGCCTTTGATACCCACATCTCTTCATGATTTGGTGAACGTTCCCGAAGCTCCCCACTACAGGAAAGAGAACTACGCATAACATAAACATTCATATCCGACACCAAATTTCCAACCCTGCCTATCTTGCCCTTATTATAAGCTGCTGCGAGCGATCGCTGCGGAGATGAATACATCTACAAATGACACAACTTAAGCGTTTTGAACCTTGAATGTTCGCCTCGTGTTGGTGAATGTGCGTACGGAAGTGGCTCATCATGGGACACGTTGAAGGGGTGGCGGATCGAAGATGATTTACATTAACATCTTCGTCCTCATGGAGATCGCGATTAGAGATCTTCGGTGCTTGTCGATGGGCGCTGATAGGGATACATTGTCTACAGCTTTGTTACATTGTTACAAGGGCCGCTGAAGTGCTGACACTTGGTTGATGCGATAAGTGATGGCACGTTGTTAGTTGGGCCGCAGTACTCATCATGTCAATATCTTTCTCAGCTTGACATGTATGTCATTCACTAGGAAATATGTTTAACACCGAGTCAGAGATAAATATAAATGTGACAGGCCGAGTCAAAGAATATAACGAGAAAATAATAGGAGGAGACTTGCAGGTAACTGAATCAAAACATGATACTTTGTTCTCACTCTACCGCCGTGTGAATGATTCGGAACTATGTCAAGCAAAAAGACCTCAAAGACACCGCAAAATCACCAAGGAAATGTGCTCACGCGCTGCGCTCGACACCATTGTGAAACAATTCACTTTCGGAATCATCTATTGATGATGCTCCGCGTGCATGTTCATGCAGGCACTGCCCACTCGTCCTAATGGACCGCAGCTTTAAAATCGAGGCCCACAGCAAGTATCGATTTTCAAACCTTATTCGAAAATCTGATATCACACCGCGGGGATGCTAAAGATGGGGTTTTCGCTGTGCATGGCACCATCAGCAGTACTTTGTTTTGATTATGTTTCAAAAATATAGCTGATAAACTTTTTTTTCGGCGCGCGCGAACCCAATCCTTTTTTCCGCTCTACTGGATGTATATTAGCGGTGCATAGTGCATACTAGGGGTCTGAATGCTAACCATTAATTCAATAAGCCTCGGAAAGCCACATAATCAGAAGTGAGCATTGCATTGGTGGTGGCTGCGTCAGCATCAGCTAACTTTGGCGATGATCGGGTTTGCCAATTTGTTGAAAGTGGTTTTTGCGCGCGTTTGAACCAGTTGCACGTTCGTCGTATGCGATAAAAATTAGCAAAGCACGGTGTACATTAAAACCCAGAACGTTCCTGCTGAAATTGACAGGTCCAGTCAGTTTAATGGTGGAAGTGAAGGGAAGCAGTACACAGGTGGCACGGGTGGCTGCACAGCACAACGTTCTCATCATCTGATGAACCTGACATCTGTTCGGACATGGGCCTGGTTGTCGGTATCAGCTCCACGCGGTCACGGTAGGGAGGGTCTTACCTTAATCATGATCATACTAGTACGCGGATAATTGCTTGCGCGGAACGGAAGGTGCATGACTGGAACAGATGTGATAGATCGTACCACTATGGTTGAGTCAACCGGGAAATGAAATTACTCGAGTCCGACAAGGCACCAGTGACTCCGTGACGTGCACCAGCTTGCAAGTTCAGATCTGGTTCAGATGTCTGGGCCGAGATATCTGCGCTCAGGGTTGATCCTGAAGAGGCCGCAATTATTGTTGCCAAATTGTACGCAATCCTATGAACCCCTCGAAACGGAGCTTACAGCGACATTCAAAAACAACCCGGTATAATCTTGAAGTGAGCACGTTTCTAGAGCAAAACAGCTAAATTCGTTACTCGTATATCAAAATCAACGCCCCATTTCAAGCTTTTGTGAAGATCTACGCAAATGTGCGTTCCTAGGAGCGACTTCGCGTTCCAGAGAAGATCATCGGTTACTGTGATCCCCGCACGTCAAAGAAAAGCGGCAAATCAATAAGTCACCAGCTGGTATGATTAATTCAGGGGAATCGGCCGGAAGACAACGAGTCTAGAATATCCTGTGATGTCAGCAGAATTAATAATTCTGAAGACAACAAAGACAAATGAATGTACTCATATTGAAGCTGCCCTGTTTCAGGCCTAGGTGCATCAGACGGAGGCATATGCATCTGTCCCACAGGTATACTATGACGACATGGGAGAATAAGATATTTCCATTAAGTTCGAGTGTGAGGTAGCAAATATGCTTTCCCAGGAACCGTGATGGTCCCCCATTATAGACGTAGATCAACAAATGTTGATGATGAGACCGACGAGAATGTGGGCCACCTTTGAGATGAGGATGAGATGTTCCCGATGATGGACGCGTACACTTAACCGAGTTCTTTGTGGTGATCTGATGATAGAGAGAATTATACGGGTTGGAGGAACCATGCATTTGGCTCTGCCAGAGGATGAACGTGTGTATTCATGATCAGATTTGGACGAACACTGAACAAGCTGTGCCTCGACTATTAGTATGATAGACTTAGTCAAGACCCGCAGAAGATAATTCGCTGAAACGGGCCACACTCTGCAACCGTCGGGCTAGGCAGGTCTCAGTGAGATCCAGTATTTGTGGCAGGCCGTGGCTGTCGGTACACAACGAAAGATCCGTAGTACATGTGAATCGCCTGGTTCAATTGAACAAGCCAATTTAAACCATTCCTATTGAAACTGTCTCGGAACAAACTTGTCAGTGCCTGTTAGTACTAGTACTAGGGCTACTTAATACTCACTTGCACCGAAGTTCCCGATGTCCGATGCTCGCAAACTGTCCAAGCCATAGCATATTGGCAGTTGTGGCCGAGTTCACGGATCCAAAAAATTACCCAGGGTAACGGGTGAGGGCCGTTACTCACTGGGTACTTCAAGTTGCACTGTGCTGTAGCGGCAGACATCCGATCCGAATTCCCACCTCTTTCAAATTGACACCTGCTCTTTTCTTCACCACCAAATTGTTGAAGGCGTTCGTCACTCGTCGTATCTTCATTAATGTTAGTTAACTCAAGAGTCTTACATCCGACCTGCAAAATGACTTGGAGTCTTGTAAGTCTCGGTGCGCCGCCTTTATTTCGACGACACTAGTACTTTCGACCGTCTTCCACTGTCACGACATCCGTTCAATTGAACTCACAGAATGCACATTTCTTTACATGTGCTTGATATCATTTTCACTGGATTTTACACCTCGCCTTACCATGAGTGTGCTATTTCAGTAGTATGCGTGATGCAAACCAGCTAACAACTTGCATGAGAGCGCCCCGGACAAAGGGTACTTGCATGTCCACTCCAACCTTGGGTGTGCCTTTGTCACTCACCATGACATGGCCCACTTCTTTAGACAGGCTGCCCTTTCAAGCCTATCCCTACCTTCGTCTTGTTAAATATCACTCATTTTGCGCCACCTCCAGCAACCCATCCTCAATTCTTTTTGACATTTTCTTCGACGCACCATGACGGACCGTAACCAATATTTCAGGCTTGAAGGTGGGTAACTCCATATAACCTTGGTTTACATTTTGTTATCTTCTCACTCTACCTACAGTCATGAGAGGAAAAAATCTCGATGTTCCCTCTTTTCGCATACCTGTAGGCATTTACGTGTCTATCTTTATTGACTCGAAGAGACGCTGGAAGTCAACTGTCGGAGAACTATTATCAGATAGTTCTGTAGCGTGGAACGATGCCGTGACCTTGTAAAGACTTCCACAGAGACTTGCGGACGTGTTTCCAGTACTCATCGTCCGTTTGCAGATCACCATGTGGACCTAAATTATCATTGAAGATCATGGCATCCTTCGAGCGCCTCCCAATGCTGGGGCGAGGAGAAGTCATCAGCGAACTTGAAATATCGTGGCATGAGCTGTGCGAGCGTGGAGACGAACCCTTTGGTGAGCAGTCTATTTTACATTCGTGCATATCTATTAATTTGGAGTTGTAGATCTGCATTTTTCAGCCATTCGTGACGTCCAGCCTTCTCTGACACTGAAGGTCGCTGTTGTGCATGGAAGTGGAATTCATCATCACACATACGTAGGCCACATGCGATTTGCCAAATACATCGCAAGCAAGAATTTGAACGTCCGAGCAGCTGAACTGACCGAAGTTTTGAACCATTTCCAGTTCGTTCTGGAGCAGTGTCCAGTTAATCATCCTCATCGTGCTACTGCTCTGACTAATCTCGCGTGGGCCCGCCTTCAAGGGTACATTCTCAAGGACCTTGAAGACATTGACTTGACTATATCTCTATTCCGCGACGCCCTTGCATTGTGCCCGCAGCACCACCCCAATTATCCTTTTTATATCTATCATCTCACCGAAGCATTGACTAGACGCCCGACTACTGCTGCCAGCATCCGCGAAACCGCCCAGCTCTATCATGAGCTACTACCTCTCTGTCGTGAGGGCACATACCTTTGGAGCATCGCAACAGGGGACAATTGCATCGGTCATGTCATCCGCGAATGCAACAATTTACCAATAGACGTGTCCGATGAAGGCATCCACCTTCGACGAATTGTGCTTCAGCTCTGCCAACTGGGTCATCAATGCCATCTCGATGCCCTTGCTAAGCTTGCAAAGGTACTAGAAGTGCGCTTCGAACAACGCGGCAGCATTGATGATATAAACGAGAGCATACAACTCCGTCGTGATGCCGTTTCCCTGTGCCCTGAGGGACATCCCGATCGTGGTACCTACTTGAGAAGCTTGGCTGTGGCACTCAGCGACTGCCGCTTCAATCACGAAGGAAAATCTCATGACATCGATGAAGCCATCTCTTTGCACGAGGAAGCGCTGCTCCTTCACCCTGTTGGACATGAATCTCGTGATAGAGCACTGAGCAGCCTAGGACGTGCCATCCTCTACCACTTCCAACAATGCAGTGGTGTCAGTGATATTAATGATGTCAACAGGGCAATCAACCTCCATCGTGAAACACTGATGTTGCGACCACCTGGACATCCACGACGCGATATCACTTTCAATGACCTTGCCTGCGCGCTCGTCGTTAGATATCGTAGCGTGCATACCGGCGATGATCTTGATGAGGCCATCGGGCTGTTCCGTGAATCCCTTCTGTTACTGGAGCCAGAACGCCGTAGAACTCGCAGTTTGAGCTTGGCGCTCTGCTGTCGTTTCAAGCAAACTCGGATCAAGAAAGATATCGAGGAGGCCATTCATCTTTGCCAACAATCATTGAATGCTTTACCTTCACTGCATCCCGAAAAATGTATCGGCTATATGCAGCTGCAGACGGCTTATCTTTGTCGCTACCAGATTCTACGCAATGCTGCTGATCTGTCACTCGCAGTGGATAACTTTTGTCTGGCATCAAGACACCCAACGCAAGGCTTTCCACAGCGCATTCAAGCAGCTTCAAGCTGGGTTGTTACAGCCGAGAATTATTGTCATGAATCTGCGCTCGAGGCCTATGCAATGTGTTTCGAGCTTCTTGATGGTCATTTGGCAACACGATCAACTACTATCTCACGTCGCGAAGCTGCCGCTGCCTTTTATTATACCAGGTCACTGCCTGCAGATGCAGCATCGTGTGCCGTGCGCCGTGAAAATCTATCAAAGGCGGTCGAACTCGTGGAACAGGGCCGTGGCCAACAGTGGTCACTGGCCTCCCGACTCAGGACTCCGCTCGAGGACCTCAACTCCACGAATCCCCTCATAGCCAAAGAATTCTTGATCCTTAGCAATCGCTTGTCCAACGTCCAAGGTTTTACAGGCAATGCAGACCAAGTTACAGCATATAGGGCCGAGAAAGAGTACAGGACGCTTACGAAGCAGTGGAATGCTGTCGTAGCTGAAATCCGTAACCTTCGGGGTTTCTCGCGATTCTTGCTCTCCCCCTCGTACAAGGAACTACAAGCGGCAGCACGCCAGGGCCCAGTCATTATACTTATTGCGAGTAAATACTCATGCAGTGCCGTTATTGTCCCTACGGCAGGAGAGCCCCACCATGTCGCCTTCCCGGGGCTAGCTCTTGCAGATCTGGAGAAGCTCAAGGATGACTTCGTCAAGGCGATACGCCACGCGGCTGGTATGCGCCAAGAGGATCCGAGGAAGGAGTTGCGAGTTTTGCTGCGTACTGTATGGAAAGATATCATGCTACCCATTGTCAACACCCTCCGACATGTCCTGAAATTGCAGGAACAGTCTCGAATATGGTTGTGTCCAACAGCAGCCTTTACTGGTATCCCTCTCCATGCGGCTCACCCCTTTCGGATGGGGACGAAGAAGGGCTGCCCCGAACCGGAGGAATGCCTAGAAGATATCTATATCTGCTCTTACACGCCGACACTTTCGGCTTTGATCAGAGCAAGGCAGGCGATGAAGACGTGCGCGGCACCAACTTTCGTGGCCATCGGACAAAGTCAACCAGGCACAGGGCAGGGCACGGTGCTTGCCACTGTTGACAGCGAGCTTGACGATGTCCATAAACATGTTCCCTCCAATGTCAAGTTCACCAACCTTTCTGGCGACGAAGCCACACATGCAGGTGCACTCGAAGCTTTGCGATGCAACACCTGGGTGCATCTCGCTTGTCATGGCAAACAGGACCATGATCAACCTTACAATTCACGTTTCGCCATGAGAGACAAACCTCTCACACTGCTTGATATCATGGAGAACAACTCTCCACAAGCTGAGTTCGCATTCTTATCAGCGTGTCATACCGCCGCTGGTGATAAGGAAACGCCCGACGAGGTCATCCACCTTGCAGCTGGTCTGCAGTTTTCAGGTTTCAAAAGCGTGATTGGGACACTGTGGGCGGTCGATGACGCTGTCGCAAAACATGTCGTCAAAGCTTTCTACGAGCATATGTTCGAGGGTTTGAAGAAGGGCGTCATGGACTGTACAAAGGCAGCCTGGGCTCTAAACCATGCTACGGCTGCCGTGAAGAATAAGGTGCCGCTCGAGCAGAGAATTCTTTTCATTCATATCGGTGTGTAGTTCTGTTTCATATTACTTTCGGACATCCTAGCTATCTGGTACAGTACAAGTCGTTGAATTCTCTATAATCTGTCGGTGCATTTGTTAATTGACTGGATCCCAATATAAATTCCATGCCAGTGAGCGCCATACAACACAACCTCCCAGTCGGAAAGGGATTGGTGAGAAATGCACGAGTACCGATAAGAGCTCTATATCGTCAAAATGTCGAAATCCAATTGCTCAACAATCTTGAAAACCGCTGCTTTCATTGGTTGCCAAGGTCTCATGCTCTCTTGGATAATTCTGGATCTCAGAACTGATACTTTTGTTCATAGTCATTGTCCCGTGTTAAAAGCTGTTGACACATGCAAGCTGTGCTTATTTTCAGGAGGAAATGAGGAAAAAGATAGTGCAAATATAGTGTACGTAGTAGAATAACCAATAAAAAGCAACGACCGAAATTCATCTCTTGTTCTATCATAGCCTACTACGCAAAATCATCATTCCTCACCAGCCGCACATTCAGAGGCACTTGGGGCGTCACGCCATCCCCAGCAGGGGTCTTTACAACAGGGATATGAAACCCCTTGAGCTTCCATTGTATCTCCTTCACGTGGCCTTGTGCATTCCGCTGCGTCGGGAGCGAGAAGTGCAGACGCAGCACAAGCGTCGCGAGGACTTGTTCTAGTGAGAGGATTAGTTGTGATCGCAAATTGTCACCCACACACAAAGGTATGCACGTACTCATCTGCATTTCAGCAAATTTGAACCCACTAGGAATTGCAAATTGTGGTGGTTAGTCAGAAGGACACCACGAGAAGAAAGGGACTGACATGCAGGAGCGGCTGCCAGCGAGAAACGTCGTCCTATGTACGTATGCCAAATTATCAAACTCAGTAGGAACAGGAAGTATTGTTGGTACTCACATGTTGGAGTACACGCTAGGAAAATGCACACCATCCTTGACGCCTAGAACAGGCGTAGATCTCGGCGTGGACGTGACGTCTTCTCTACCGACTGGGGTGTCCATGTCTGGAGGAACAGCCAGAGGTGATGACAACCATCGCTCGGGTCGCCACTCATTTGCATCGGCACCCCACATCCCTTGATGGCGGTTCGCAGCGAGGATGGAAATAATTACCTGGGTCCCTTTCGGGATTGTGATAGTGGACGTAGGCTCACCAGACCGTGAGCGCACGGGGAAGTGTAAAGGAAGGGTGGTTGCTTTGGTCGCTCTGTGCCATATGCCGTGCACGAAGTGAGATGTTTGTAAGGAGGATTGATGAGAGAAAAATGGACGTACGTTCGGACCATGAGTGGGAGGGATGGGTAGAGGCGGAGAGTCTCCTTTACGATGCCGTCAAGGAAGGGGAGGCCCATGAGGACATCATAAGGCAGTTCAGCGGATGGGATGTCGCCATCTTCCTGATATCTCGAGGACTTCATGGCATCACTAATTTCGCTCCTAAGTCTTGCTTGAATACAAGGGTGCTGTGCAAGCAAGTAGACACAGCGGGCAATCGCAGAAGTAGTCGTGTCGACGCCAGCAAATATCATAACGCTGTAATGAGATCAGACGATGTTTATAACGCGCGCATGATTAGAAACCTACTTCATTTGTCCCAACAGTTCAGCATCCGTGAGCCTTGTTACATTGAATGACATGGTATTAGCTTTGACTATGCATGCCTGAGCCATGATGCCCTGGATGTTGGTCCATGTAACTCACGCATGATATCCATCATCGACAGTATTGAATCACCATCTCTGCATAACATATCATCGGCCTCCATTGTTGCCTTTTTCTCTGCGAATACTTTTCGGCTGACACAATCCATGGTCTCTATGATGCGGCGCATCTCCCGGATGTCTCTCATAAACTTTGTCGGGATCCAGGGCGCCGTGACCAGATCAAGGACTTTCCTTGCCCAGTATGGCGAGCAATAACGCGTGACGATTAGCACGAATGGCCGTAGCAGGCAGAACTTTCCAATCAAGAACCTGCAGTGTATTATCATGATTCAAAAGGACAGGTGATTGAATCGAGCGGACATACCCGACCGACCGGACTGCTTCGGCGTACGCATCATCTTCTGCTACTGAGAGGCTATTAGAGGAGTACCCAAGGACACCATTGCAAATGCTGTCGAGCGCGCAGCGGGAGAGCCATGGGAGGACGTCAATCTCGCTATGTGCTGCATCACAGGTATCAACTGAGGTTTTTCTAAGTGTAAGAGTGATACGTACATCCATCAGTAGGAAGTTTAGCTGTGATGGTGGATGCTAATCTGTCAGCAATATCATGTACTGTGGAGAGGACTCGTCGCATATTTGACGTTGAGAACACAGGGCTGATGAGCTTGCGTTGTCGGCGATGCTGCTCTCCTGGAGATAAGTACATAGTGTGAAAAGACGTATAATTAATTCTTGATAAAATGCGCCGCACCAATGGTGGATATTAAGCCTTCGCCAAATACGAGTTTATTTGACCTTGATGCTCCAAGTCAATGCAGTACGAAAAAAGTAGCAGGGAACTGACACGATGAAGTCTTCGAGCTCTTCAAATATGTGCTGGTCTTTGACTACAATGTGATGCAATGCGCGTGGGTCGGATACATAGACAGTGTCCTAAAGAAATGAGCATTCGCAAGGACAACTCGGAGCACGCTAGTGTACATCATGAACAGACTTACGCCATATGGCCCATTGAGCCTTACCGCCCCACCATATTGCTCTGACAGGTTCACACAATAGTCCATGCCACCTTCAAATAATTTGATGACGCTGCCTGTGTTGGAGGTCAAACGAGGAGACCGAATGATGATGAGTACGAGTTCAAGAACCTAGTAGCCAATTCCCACCGTTGGGTCCATCGAGATCAATGCCATGTGGTCGTCGCAGTAGTGAAATGAGGGCTTTGTAAAAAACAAGAAAGAAGCTTCCGACTACGCAGAATTGGACTACTGGCAGCGGCATTGGAAGTCGACTGGGAGCTGTTTGGACAACTCAGGATGTGCCGGCTCTGTTGATATAATTCTGATCAACTTCAGACTAGCCATTATAAGAATGCAATTACTCGTGAGGCTGACCATGTGTGCACTGCTTAAAGACCTCAAGAACAGCGGTGATCTTGACATATTATCCATCTCCGGTTAATTCGAGGGCGTGGCGAATAGGCTAACGGAAGTACCGTTACTCAACTGTGGCAAAAATCAATTAATGTCATGAGAAATTGTACACCCGGGCCAGGCGATCACAATGGCTGCGCGTTCGAAAAGGATAAATTTTAGAATCAAAGTTTCTTGAGTAGGCTAAGTGACCATGACATTTCGAGATTCGGTCTGAAAACTTGAGGTCGCGTTCGTGATTGGATTACTTACACTACTAGTAAGTTGGTGCCGAGGAAGTCTCACGAAGCGGAGTGGAGTGACGAGTGCCTTCCGAAATACTTTAATTCGGCTCCCCAAAAGTCCGACATGACATTGGCGTAATTTATAAGTGCAATGACAAGACCTCGAAAACCTCGTCAGCTGCAAAATAATTTGCCCGAGTTACACAATGATAGTGGTTAATCTTCTTGCTGGTACATAGAGTATCTCTGAATCGCCTGGCGACGTTATTGCTGAATTTGCGGCTCTCGAAGAAGTTCAGAGCATAATTGAAGTGCTCGAGGGCGACTCTGACAAGTTTGATCGGATCAGGTTGAAGGTTGTTAATTACATAATGGCGAGGATGATGCGGACGTGAATATCTTATTCTTAATGTTTGAGCCTAGAGTTTTACTGGTTCTGCCGGTAGAACTGACCCTTCGACAAGTAGGGTTCTGCACGGGTAACATAGTCACCGTGAAATATTAAGTTAATTCGGCTCCCCAAAGGTACGTGCGGCACGACTTATGAGCGCAATGACAAGACCTCGAAAACCTCGTCAGCTGCAAAATAATTTGCCTGACTTGCCCGAGTTACATATATAGTGTAGTTAACCTTCTTGCAGACTCGGAGTATCTTGCCTGTAGACGTTGTTGCTGAATTTGCGGCTCTCGAAGAGTTGAATGCTGAATAAATCCAGAGCGTTAACCGTGCTCGAGGGAAATGGTTTTGACTTTGACAAGTTTGATCAGGTCGAATAATACCAGACCACTCTAGATGAGGTCGAGGTTGTGCCATGATTACATCAATGGCGAGGATGAATCGATGACGGGCAACGTGGATGTTGTCCTCGATACCGTACACATAATAGTCTACATCATGATAAGCATGGAGTTTTGCCGGTTCTTCCGGTTACACAACCGGCAGAACTGAGTACTGACCTTCGGCAAGTAGTTCCTTCCCTACACTATCTGAGTAGTAGGAACAGTGGCAGTGAATTGAACCTCTTAACTACGAACAACTCATTCTATGCTGTTGAATCTGGACATCAACATCAAATCGTAAACCGAGGCTTCTGAAAAAGTTGCACAAACTCAGATTGACGTTGGAAGTCTCTCGTGCCCATGATATTGAAAGTTGGCTAGAGAACTGTCATAGCGATTTAGATGCTAAGGCTGAGCAATAGGAACATAAATCTGGTTTACATCATGATCTTCTTGTAAACCTTTGGGACACAGTGCGCTCAGGCAAACAGTCATTGCGGAAGAAACAACGGTACCTTTTGGACGTCAACGAGTACCAAATTCTCCAGCTGGGACATTTGAGCACAACATGCACACGGGCTGTGTCTCGACGACTCCGGGCTCATCTGTTGTTGCCATTCAGTTATGACGCCCTTCTTATCATCCAATGATAATAAGATCGGGATAGGTCCATCTTAATCACTACGACCAGCATTGCCTTCGCAACCTCAGCGGCGCTGCTTGGCTTGGTTTGTGTCGATATTCGAACTGACTGATTCAAGCGCTGCGAAGCGGCATAACGATCACGAAAAGGATTTGAAAAAACTGACGCGTGAGATGTCGCCGAAACGTTTTTGAAAGTATAAACACAATGAGATTAGTCAACGGCACTTGCATGCACTCGTAGCATGTCATGTAAGCGGTCTTTCCGATCACATGTCTGAACGCGAATGAGATGTGCTCGGGCGATAGTGGCATAATTGTCATGAATCATGTAAGGAAAGTTCTCTACGACGTGGAGCAGTAACGGATTGTTTGAAAAAGGTTAGCTGCACGGAAAGGAATGTACATGAAAGCTGTAGTTGGACGCAGCCAGATTCGAGAGCGGCGCTTTGTTTTGAGGACATGCTCAAGTGTGTTGATGAGTAGCATGATATCGTCCCATAATATCCGCAAAGTACTATTAGATCCGTCCTCGACTCCGTTGGGTTCGTCCGAGTCGTGTGTAAAATAAAAATAAAAAAAGAAGAAGAAAAAGTGATCCTTCAGATCTGTGAGAGTGACAGACGGCGAGGGAACATGATAGGGGTCTCCTGACCTCAGGACGATCATGGTACTGCGTGAATATTCACTGGAAATGGAGATGATGGCAGGGCCCTGGCGTGCTGCCGCTTGCAGGTCTTCGTATGAAGGTGCGAGAACCCCCGAAGATCACGTATCTCAGCTACCGCAGCTTCCCATTGCCTTGCAAGTCTCCTATACTTGGTTGCTGCTCTGTCAGCAGCAGATCTGTCGGCGATGCTTTCAGAACTCTGGACAATATTGGAAACGCACTTGCCCGTCTCTAAATAATTGTGTGCCAGTAGCAGATTGGCTGACTTGAGGTCTTCGAATGGAGTCCAGAGGCTAGCGACCATTGTTCCAAGAGTTCCACTGCGTGTGGTAGATTGTCACAGCAGAGGGCACATGACGCTGCATCCACGGGGGGTGTTCTCGCGTAATGGAATGTACCGGCAGCTTCGTGCTGTGAAGTTGTTGATGATCGTGTTGCCAAATGAGCATCCAGAAACTCGAAAAATGTTGGAGCATGTTGTTCCATTGCAACTGTCCAATTATACGCCTGACTGATGCGTTGTGAGGATCCTTGAGTGGGTGACCTGATGATTACTCTACAGTAAGTGACAAATCAGGAGGCGGTAACGACTAGAGTGCGTGTGTAGTATGTACCTATCTAGTCACAGTCTGGGACATTAGCACCCCGAACGGAGTTTAAACTCCGATCGATGTTTCGAAGTTCGAACGGCCATGTCAATGACAATCAATCCCGCCAACGCGCCCGCCGCCGTCTCACATCCTGGAATGCTGCCATGATGTTCATGCTCCGCTTAAACACTGCCCGCCACTCTCCTTGCCCAGCACTCTCCTTACCCGCCACTCTCCTTGCCCGCTCTTCCTTGGAACATTCATACTCCGCTTGGAGGTGCCGATGGGCCTGCCGATGTCCCATATTTTGTCTCAGACCGGCCATTTCAGATATGCCCTCCTGGCTGTAGTGATGACAGAGCTGCCAATGATACCTGGCAGAGATTAACGGCTCCTTGACATCTTCGTTCTCCCCAGTGTGCGTGAAACGAGAGCAGAGCACCGAGCTCAAATTGAAAAGATTGACATGGTGCTCTGGATGGTCAAACCGCTTTAACCGAGGTCCGAAGGGAGTCGCGCATCCGCATTCAAATCCAGAGTCTAAAACTTGACGGTACTCATGGCAACTGCAAGCTACAACATACGATCTACATAATGTTTGCAAATAGTGTCAAACCCTTCGAAAACAATGTTCATCCTTGGAATCTGTCCGGCAAAGCATTAAACAGTATGCAATGGTACAAATCCCGAAGAGGCACTGCTCCCATCCCAGTACACACTGAGCCAGAGTCTCTGCGGCTCTAGCAAAGTTGCTACGCACAAAGGCAATCCCCCATATCACAGTCCCCGTACATCGCCGTCGCACTCTTTGACAAGTCCAAGCTTCTCAGTCACTTTTGTCGCTCACTCACATACGACCGAACTCCAGCAACCCAAAAGACCGATCACCTCTTCTCGTCGCGGCCTTTTTCACGTTGCCATTGCTGCAGTGCGTGACACAGGTACATTTTTCTTCAGGTGCATTTCCTTACTGTGATTCGATGGTTTCTATCTAGGCATTGTTTGTTGCTCGACGGACGGAACATGACGAATACAGCAGCTGCAATACTAATCACAATCAAGCCCACCAATCGTCGTCGCAAACTCAGCCTGCCGCTGCCTCGAGGTACACAGCATCGTCTGCTTCTACTACTAGTACCTACCACGCCGAATCCAGCAGTCACTCAGTCACGACCTCTCCCATTTTGGACTCATTTAGTGCTTTTCTCTGCTGTGCATCCCCTCATGCCAACGGTCATTAATATTGCAGCATCGGTGAACACGTATGATTTTTGTTGTGTCTAGTTCTTTTTTATCTCTTTGAATTGTTGGTGTCTTTTGCTAGTCCATCAATCTCCATTTTAAAAGAGGTCTTTTCCATTTCCGCGACTTCCTCACCCTCGAGTTGGTTTCAACGTTATGCTGTGAAGCAGCCTCGATTATGTTCTCAAGCGTTGCTAGAAAAGCCTCTTCCAAGTGCAAATCCGGGTGCTGCACGAAGGATGTTTCCTTGTAGTCCGGTCACTCCGTCAATATCAATCCTGGGGTATTTGGCACTGACTGTGTAGGTTTGACTGAGCTCACAATATCTGATAACAATGGTCAAGGATCACCCACTCTGAAGCCTACCCCCACTCGCGTCCCATCTACAACTTTGGAATCGTGTGTATGTTGTTCTCGTCAATCTCTAAATAATTTTGGGCTGATTTCACGCACAAATTAAATATAGGCGTGCCAAAGAAGTGCCCGAGAACTGGATGGGGTGGTCAAAACAGTGAGTCACCGACTATCGTGCACCCTGAGACGCTTCCAGTTCTTTTGTCTGTTGTTTTAGAGATCCGTATCATTTCTTTCGACAGCCATGGTCCCATTTCTAGTAATGTGGCAAGTGCGGTATGTATGTCTTGATGCAGTACTAGTTGACCGTACGAGAGTTTGTTGTTGAGGTTTACATCGTGCTAAGTAACCTACAGGTATTAGCACAGATATCGATATCTTTGACGAACACCTTTATCTCCTGGTTAGCACGGACTTCAAGCTTCGCTTTGCTAGTAGCCATCAATGTCGACGCTTCGCTAAATGGCTCGGTCGACGATAGTGAATGTCAGAAAAATCGTGAACTTTCTTTCATCATGTGAAAATTTGTTTCTGACATTACATGTGGGTCAAGGTCTTAGTGCTTAAATCTCCCTCTATCACTGGCAGCTCTGTTGTGACGAGCTGCGCGACGTACTGAGCTGCTTCATTATTGTATGTATTCTCAAAATGCTATTACGGTAAAAGAGGGCGAAAATTATGAAACGTCGCCAAGATCGGACGTATCGCAGTCCATCATTCAGCAGTTTATTCAAGGATAACTAAGGTTCGTTAACGTTCAGGAATCTGACCGTGGCACATCTTTCTGCACACGGAAGGCGGCTGATTGTATACAACAGTGAACTCAAACCGTGTAACCACATACTATTTTGTTGTTTCCATCAGACTGTTCCTGGTGTCTGGTCTGGACCTTTGCTTTCTGCTCGATAGATAATCGATAAGGAGGATTCATCGTGGTATGTGGCGTTTTCCATGAATATGCCGGCACCATGTCGGTTCGGAGCCTGCCGGAAGAACATGTCTAGATATTGTCACTCTTGTGGCGTTCCACAATTTTAGCCTTCGAGGTCCGAGTCGAACAAGCCTACAGCATCGATGGACTCGCACCTACACATGCAGACATTCTTCCATTTTTTTCTAATCCACTATCACATTTGATGCTACTGCATGACACCCGTTTAATCATTTTTGCATGGCATCACACCACATCACACCCACCCAACGGGCCGACGGCAAGCGTCAAGCTAATTGCGGCTCAACATTCTCTCCGTAGCAAGGCAACAGTCTGACTTCAAAGCTTATCCGGTAAGAACTCACATGTTTGTAAAGATAGCTATCAAAGTTTGAACAAACTCCTTGAAGAGAATGGTTTCCAAGGCGTACGTACCAGCACGGTAAAGACCGTTATCTGACCTTGGATTAAAACTTCTGTATGGTAGTCAGGGAGGACATGAAGTCTCATTGTCAAGGACGCCCTCAAAATTAAAAGCCGGAGCTATACGTTGTGGCGTGATGGCATGTGATACATGTGGTTTATAGTATGCTTCCGATTCCCTTGCTAAAAATAACGATTAAGATCCAGCCGTAAGAGCCACACTCCGTATGCGAACTCAAACTGAAGAAGAGGACTGACAGTCCAACGTTCATGGCTTTGAGGAAATAGAATCACCGTCACTAAGTTGCGGTTGTCAGGAGCCAAGTATGTGGCAGATCTTACGCCTTGAGACAGGTTGTACATTTTTTCCCCAGGCAGATGCCAGGGCACATAACATTGACAGCAACACGTAACACACTACTAGTATCTATCGTACAGACGCCACTTCAAAGCAAACAACACGCATAAATGAGACAGGGGATCGCATAGTACAAAACATCGGGATGAATGAAAGCATAACGATAGTAGTCAATACAAGGAGAAAATCATTTATGGAGGGGGTAAAACACATGCATAGGGTAAAATCATTCCAAGTCGAATCACTGGTACATTCCAGTTTCAGTTCCGCATTATCATCAAAAGTCTATGAAGGAGAAAGGTGGCGCACGAAGGGGTTATACATAAGTTTAGGGGAGGACTGGACTTCAGAATCTGAAATCGTTGTAGTTGCTTTCGAACGTGTTATGGAGCTGGGGTGCATGACCAGCACGTATGGTATCATCGAGAGGGGACCATTCGTATATTGCTGGTGCGCTGGCGTATTGATTGACAAAAACCTGCGGCACGAAACCTTCTGGAGAGGTATCGAAAGATGCGCATTGACCATCTGACCACCCCTTGAGCGCAGAGTAAGAGGAATAACACTGGGTATCATATGAGATGGGGTAGTCAAGACCAGCAGAGATATTCTCGGGCTTTGTCGCAGTGAGTGCCGCCAGCGTCGGTGAAGGGAACGTATAATTCCCAAAGCTCACGTCGACTGGAGACACGGAGGGACTGTGTCCGTATGACAGAGCAGGGCAGTCTGATAATGATCCAACGGGCGATTGAGCTCCGAGGAGATTGTATGACTGCCAAAGATATAAAATTAGCACAGACAATGGAGAAGAGAAGTGCGACAGGACTCACGTCATTCCAACGTGCAGGAGAATCATCGCCTAGTCCTGACGGCAGAACAAGAGGCGACAGGTGACCCATAGAATCACCGTACACGGCGACCGATGGGTCTTCATATTGCTCTGAGGGAAAGACAGAAGGGGTACAAACGCTGGGAGGAGAACTTGCAGTATCGGAAAAGACATCAGTCAGGGAGCTGTTGCCGCTGTGGCCTAGAACATCCGCGGGAGATGCGAAGCGCCTCGCAGGTGCGGACAGAGAACGCCTGAACATCGCAGTGAGAGGTACTTTGAATCGATCGTCATGTGGAGTCTTGCAACGAGGTTGACTCGTGGCGAGATGATCGTGACCATCGGTGTTTACCTGTGTAGCGAGACCGGGATCGTAGAGGTCTTGCAAGAATTGGACCGACTCCATCTGAAAGTGATTGGTGGTCGCGAAAGCTTCGCTCCAATTGCCTTGATCGCCTCCCTCATGATTGGGTTCACCTTGCAGGCCAACAGCACCTTTACCCACCTCAACTTCCTTACTAATTCCATTCTCCCAATTTCTAAGCGCACTTTCCAGTTCAGCGCCTGTCTTGCCTTCCACCAGAAGATCCGCAATCATCGAACACCTTTCATCTTTACTCTTATTTTTCTTCTTCGATTCGGCATTTCCGCGGCCTTTCTTGGTACTCTGGGTGCTTCGTTTTCTGTTGGCTATTCCGGGACCATCCTTGACCTTGAGCTTCGCAAGCGCGTTAGCCCCAGGTCTAAAACGCCAGTCTGGATAGCGCTTTCTATGTTCTGCCTGGGCAACGAGTGCCTTGGCCTCCCATACTTCTCTTTCCTCGCGAGGAAGAGTCTTCCAGTATTTGCCTATATGTAAACGCATTAGCAACGAGTAGATCCGTTGACTACGGACAGACCAATAATCTTCGATAGGGTGCTATGATTCCCCTCCACCTTCTCCGGAACTTGTTGGCTCCGAATAAAGGATGATCTGAACAGGATGAAAGCGTTGGGTGGGCGAGGGATGTACGAAGCGTCCCGTTTCTTGCCATGAGAGACACGATCAGTGGTTTGGGCTGCAGGACAGTCAGGCGAGTCTGTGAAGTCCACAAGAGATGTGGACGTTGAGTGGTCCCATGCATTCTCGCAGAGAGCAGTGGGATCAGCGCTGAAAGCAGTAATGGGTGTCATATCAGTGAAAAACGTATATGACATTGATGTGTTTGGATTGTCGACGAGTGGGGGCATCCCATCTGCATTCATTAACATGAGCATATGGACGGTTGAACATGACTGCAAAGGAAAACTCACCGTCATCTTCGACATCATTGGGGTAAATATCATGTGCACGAATTGCAGGCATATCGCTAGTAAAGCTAATGATGGTGCTGAAAAAGGACAAAGAGTAAAGCCTTCTGATGAATTGTTAGTGGGAACTAAGAGACGGACCTAGAGCGTCTAGCACTTGCTGACAAGCACGCTGTCAGTGTGCTTTATTCCGGGATTGGCAAGAGATGCGAAGATGGGTGTTTTAATTGATTCTTGTTCCCACCTATAATTGTGTGACCAGCGTCCTGATAAACCATTCGCTAACACAACGACTAACCGTGAACGCTCGACCTGCACACGCTGCCGACAACCTTCTTATGCAATAAACTCTGGACAGGGTACTGTTATCCACAAACCACGCAATTGAAGACATAAGCACTAACGTGAAGCCCTGATTTATTATCAAAAAATTCTAGGACGAAATACAAACGAAATTTATAAGACCAAGACGTTAATTGGGTTCGAACTTTCCGTGTCGAGGAAGAGAGAACTTTAGCCGCATCAATTGAGTGAGGACACCGATCAGACACATGGCTCATGGTTAGCTCCGGTATTCTGTCAGCTGGCTTCAGTTACAGCTCCCAAAACTGCCTCGTGGCCCCTGCGAAAACAGTGGAAAAATGCGGCTTGCCTCACTGCATGCACGCACTGCAAGAATATTCAACCTTCCCTGCAAGCTTATTGGCAGTACTACTCCAAAACCAGGCCGCCTGCTCTCCCAACCCGGTCATGGAACCTGCATAATTCTTGCAATCATACGTGTTGGTGGACTCCCTGAACTATCGCCTGGATGCTCCTCCCTTTGGGGTTCTTTCGACTAGTCTTCTTCCGCTTGGCACGTTGGCATGGGAAATCCATATGGAAAGTACGCCGACTTCATCTTCTCTAGTTCGGAGAATTATTGAAGCACAGAGAGCGCCCTTCATACCGCTAGCACTTAGCATCCCCGCGAAACGTCATTTCTCTTATTCTCATCATCACATACGGTCTGGTGACTGCATTATTTGACGTGTCGCTCACGAGAGTTTTGCTAACGCGCCTTCACTTGCCGTATCGAGTGCACCTTCGCGGACGTAAAACGTGTCATGAAGATCTAATTTAGTACTTTTTCCGGAAACTCAAGCCCTTCAACCAGAAACATATTTTGACGATCATTGTAGATCAAACGATGTTCGGGTTGCACCGACGCTCCATCCAAAATGGTTGTGGATTACACCTGTTCCGTGGCTTTTTGGTGGTTTCATCCTATACCATCATCTTGCGATCGGCCCGCCACCTAGCACTCCTGCATACACTCTCGCGCTCAAAAAGAGATTAATCACAGATGGCCTGATTGTTCGGTAATCTTGGTTCGTACGATTAATTAGCACCTACATGCCGTATGGGAGACAATCATATCAGGCGATTGATAAACATCTGTCGTGCCATCCGACGAATTGATTATCCTGTCTCGCGCATCTCTTATATGCAATATGCAGCCCTGAGGCAGGATCGGGTGAACTGTTGGCACAGGAATGCCTGATTCAGGTGGATATTTTAAAAAGGTCAGTTGGCTTATCACGGTAATGATTGTCAAGCCCTGACTCGGTGAACCTAGTGCTGGAGTCACCACGTCGGACCCACTCCCTCGAAGTCGATCGCGTTATCTCGAAATGGAAGTTTCTTTATGTTACAATTCCAAATTCCCATCTGCCAGCAGACATTTTCAAAGCGCTGAGCTTATGTTCGGTGGTATTGCGCCTCCGGGATGCTCGGAGATTACTTTGAGTTGATCTTCAAGTTTTCCTTATCTTCAATAGTCAGTGGCGAGTCAACGTTGCTGTTACTTACACACGATACGCGGTTGTGTCACTGATCGGCATTCCGTTTTGCAGAACCGAATACGGGTTCATAATTCAGGTCACATTCACATGTCGTATAAATCACTCGTAGCGTCAGAACGTCCCCATATACTCTTAGACCGAAATGTTATCTGCAGAGAATGCCTTACTTTACTTCAGCATTGAAACCCTGTATTCCGTACATGTGTTATAATAGCCTTTCACAGACTGCTTGCTCCATCCACTAGATCAGGATATCTCCATCCATAGTATCCGCCTTCTAGAACACAAGCTTTCGACTCCGTATTACCTTTGCCATTTAGATAATCTTGATACCTGGACTTGCTCTTAACAAGACAGACACCGCAAAGGTACTACTCACCAAGCAGCACATCGAGATCCACGTCCTTTGGAGCTCCCACAGTAAAAAATAACCTGTTTTGTCTTGCCGTACTCATCGTAAAACATGTCTAGTGAACCGACAAACGTGTCTGCTCGCCACTGAATGCTTCTCAGAATATGACCACCCTGTAGTCATTTAACATCAGTCAGCCTACCAATGCAGTGTCTTCGACTTACAACGCGGTCATTCTCTCGAACGTCAATAATAGCATAGTCTGAACGATCGGGGTCGCGAAGCAAACTTGCAACTTCACCGGAAGTTAAATGGTCTTTCGGATATGCATCCCACCAGCGAACAAGTGCTAGAGGAGATTTTTCCGCAGCTCCATTATCTGAGGAGACTTTTCTTGCGTATATCTGGTATGAAGCTTTTGTGGATTAGATCTTGATATTTTCGTTTTAGTATGATTAGTTTCCTACCAGCCAATTCGTTGAGGTTCCCGATGATAGTCTGAGGGAGAACACTAGTAGTGGCCGCACAACATCTAGGCGAGGGGCTAGATGAAGGTACGCCACCGCATGTGGGTCCAGCGGATTCATAGACCTTGAGATCTCCGCCGGTCTCAACAAACAACGTATCTATATGATATGCGATCGGCCACAGGCATTTACTACATGCACTAGAACTCACCTATGAACCCAGCAAGTTTCATAAGAGCTTTGTATTGCTCCAACTGAAGCGCCCCGGATATGCATCCAATGTAGGCCGAAAAGTCGGATCGGATGGCATTCGGAAGCTGCTTCTTCGCGATAATCTACACTCAAAATTCAGAATCACCGATCGTGCTGCGCAAGAGGCTTACATCGTCAACCACAAGACGTCCACCAGGTTTGAGGACCCTATAACACTCTTTCAAGAGGGCTGCCTTCCCCGCATCAGGAAGCAAATTAACAACACAGTTGGACAAGATGCAATCTACGGAGGCGGTTTCCAGAGGCAGGGGCTGTGTCAGCTTCGTCTGGGATGAAAACCACCTGAGGTGGCCTATACCCTTGCTTAGAAGCGTTCTTACGCGCTCGATCGATCATATCCTGCTCTGATTATCATTGTGTGAAGGCGCGACTCGAACAACACTCACTGTCGACATATCCATACCGATGGCTTGTCCCTTAGGACCGACTTTCTGGGCTGCAAGGAGGACATCGATGCCAGCACCAGAGCCCAAGTCAAGAACAGTTTCTCCCTATGATCACGATTACAACATAGTAAATGGACTTGCTCTCGAATGATGTACCTCTTTGATGGATGCTACTGCCACGGGATTTCCGCAGCTGAGTCCCATGTAGGATTCTGCTGGGACGGAGCTCAGCTGTTCAGCGGTGTATCCGAACGCCTCTGCAGCTGCTTCAGCGTCTAATTTCACGTTGAGACAATGCGTTTAGAGTCTTTAAACCACATGATGATGGAGCACTTAAGTACATGCTGTGTGCACGCTTTTCTTAGCGATGTCAGTGTAGGCATCGCATACTGCGCTGACAATCCCTTCGTCAGTGAGTGGTACTGTTCCAGCAGGCATAGTGCTCAGTGACTAGTCCGGGGTTCTGCCGGGCGACATTCCGAGTCCTTGATATAAGTATAGCATGCTTGACTAATCCAATTGAGTCAAAGTCAAAGTCAAAATCAAAATCAAAATCAAAATTCCCACACTTTTCAAGTCACAAGGAAATCAAAATTATCAAAAATTAGAAAGTAGTACTCTCACAAGAATTTCCACTGAACCATTAATATGGGCAGGAGGTGAGGCAGAAGACATCCCGACGTATCGACCAATTAGACTTGTGTAATTTGGCAGAAAGGCTGTCCTCGTGATTCTCAAAAGGAAAATTGAAGTCCGTCAGTAGAGCCGATATTCAAATGATATTCAAAATCGAAAACGCTCAAAAGTTGGTCAAGTCTCTCTCTCATCAACCCTTCTACCTGAACCAGCATGGAAAACGAGAAGAATTCCGTCAAGAAATTAAACGAGCAACCCTTGAGGCCAGTCGATTCTCTGACGGACCGCATGCCGTCGGAGAACAACAGCCATCATAATCTACCACTAGCAGCGGCACCCCAAGGTACAGTAACTTTACTGACACACCATCCTGCCCCTCTTTTGACAACAGTATAGCTCTATTTCAGAAGCTCAGTATACTAGACCGCTTGCTCACGCCGGCTATATTGGTATGCATGATCGTCGGGGTGGTCATAGGCGAGTTTGTACCTGGTGTGCAGCAAGCGTTCGACACCGTCAAATTCTACAGTGTCTCCGTCCGTAAGTACTTATATTCAGCACGTTATGGATCATGCTCACAGAATTAAAGCGATTGCAATAGGGCTCATTGTTATGATGTGGCCTATTCTTACCAAGGTCAAATATGAAGCCCTTTCGCGAATATTGTTGTCGAGACGTTTATGGATGCATATGGGAATTAGCATGATTCTGAACTGGATCATTGGCCCCCTTATTATGCTCGGTGTTGCATGGGCTACGCTCCCCGACCTCCCGACGTACAGGACAGGTGTGATCCTCGTCGGGCTCGCTCGTTGCATTGCCATGGTCATGGTGTGGAATCAGTTAGCCGGGGGGGATGGTGAATACTGCGCGATTCTCGTCGTCGTTAACTCGGTGCTCCAAATCATCCTCTACTCACCCTACGCAGTCTTGTTTGTGAACGTCGTTGGACACACCGAGCAGGGTGTCCATCTTGCATACGGTTCGGTGGCGATCTCAGTTCTCATCGTGAGTTTCCTGAGTATCAGAATGATTATTATGTTAACGATTCGACAGTACCTTGGAATTCCTCTCCTTGCTGGTGTCATCACACGCTTCACAGTCATTCGACTGACGTCGAAGGAATTCTTTGACACGACTTTTGCACCACGATTTTCCCCTCTCTCCTTCATCGGTCTCCTGTACACCATCATCGTTATGTTTGCATACCAAGGACATCACATCGTGCAGAATCTCGGTCCTGTTTTCCGGGTATTCGTACCAATGATCCTATATTTCGTGATCATGTGGACGTCAGCATTTGCGCTTGTGTTCTGGCTCGGTCGCCGAGAATTTCGCAAAGGGAACACGGATAGTGGTAATTTCTCGTATGAGCTGGCAGTGGTGCAGGCTTTTACTGCAGGAAGCAACAATTTCGTGCGTATCTCCAGGTCGCTTTATTGAATGATGTACTAAGCAAGTGGATTGCGTAGGAGCTTGCGATTGCAGTAGCAATCTCTGTGTATGGAGTGGGCTCAGATCAGGCATTAGCAGCGACCATTGGGCCGTTGGTGGAGGTTCCTGTCCTTCTTGCACTCACCTGGGTGGCCCAATATTTGCGTGTTAAACTACAGTGGGGGCCTCCAGCGCAGTGCAGGAATGTGAAAGTGTAGTGGCACTAGGTATACTTATGCGTCAAGATTTTAACCTATTCTTAGCCGAAGATTACACCTGACAAGCACAGGCGATGAATGATAATTTGGGTCGTCATTTTTTGGACTTTGAAAAATAGAATTATTCTCTTACCTACCACTTACCCACCTCTTCCGTGATGGCGTTGTACGACGACGTCAAATGAGCAGCTACACATTTTTCTTTACAAGCGTGGTTTTCTCAATCATCAAGACGAACTCAGTCGTCGTTATTTCTTACACAACAGCAGTGGGCTTGACAATGTTTAGATTCAAAAGGCGTGCTGCCAGATTTCCTTGCTTCTATTCATCCAATTCACCGTTATCGGGGTTGATATAGTAAACTTGATAACGTCGTCCTCATGCACCGAGTATTGAAAACCATGCTGATGGTGTAGAATGTGGATGCTGTCTATCATTCTCTCGAGGACACCTCTGAAATGGCCAGTTTGAGGCGAAGTCTAGGCCAAAGTCTGGGACGGTCCATCGGCACCTTCAAGTGGAGTATAAAAGTCGCCGTGTGCAGTGAAGCTCGTCATTGTTTCTCGCGCCTGCTCACTATATCTGGACCTACTTCCATGGATGTTGGAGGCCTTTTAAAAGCACTAACCTACTTATATAGTAGTTATATGTTTGATGCATCGATTTGTTATTAGAGACTGTTAATTTACAATCAATCAACCACACAGTGAGGACATACCCTTTCCATCGGCTTGTCCGAGTTTTTGTCCAGGTCGCTGGGAGCCTGTGGCAGATCGAAAGAGGAATGGCAGCGCCGCTGCTTCCACAACGCCCATTGCCGATGAACACTGAGAGAAGCTGGCAGCAAAGACAACATCTGCTTGTTGCAACGAATATATCACAGTTGTTATCACCAAGCAGGCAGTGGGCGAGGCCTTGATGGGCAAGAAAGGTCCTGTGCAGGCAAGGTGAATGGGTGGATAGAGCATGAACATGCAACATTCCAATCTAATGGTGGATGTTGGGCGGCGGCAGCGGGCGCGTTGGTGGCATGGCCGTTCGGAACACTGTGTGAGGTTCTAAACTCCGCTGAGGGTGCCGTTGTGTCGGCTCAGACCGGCCGAATCTCTTCTGATTCTCGCCTAAGCGCTAGCGTCGGAGTCTGATGGAAGGGCTTATATTAGTCAAATATTAGTTATATATTAGGTAATAATTATCCCACACATACGCAAACCCTTGACTTCCGAGTCAGCAATGGAAATGAACGCCGGCGACGAAGGTACCTGCGTCAGTGGGGTTACGAATACAGGCGCCAAAGCGCTAAGCTGTGTAAAAACACCTGTTTACAGCCTGCCGCACCAGCACGTGCCACTCCACCTCTCCATACTAGTACAAGGCTCCTGCGTTCGCGTCTTACAAACATACCTCTTACTTTCCGGATCCTAGATGAACATTCGAAGAGCAGAGGTGCGATTGATCATCTGCCTTGATTTCACGCAAACTGAACATCGTATTCAACACTATTCCCTCGGACGTGTGGCGCTTAGCCGAAGGATCTCACTAAAATACAGCAATGCAACTTGCACAATCTCCCTGAGAACTACCACATGAGATATTGTGGGTCTCCTTTGGTTCAGTGAAAATGCCATTCCAATCGCCAGATTTGTAGGGGCCTACTCCTTTATAACTTGGCCAGAAGTTTCGTATCTTGCAGAGGACAGCAGTGGTCGCGTAGTAGGCTATGTGCTCTCGTCGATGTGGGTGAAGGTTGCGCACATGTATTTACGACTGATTCAATCACCCCCTACAGAGAGCCAGATGAACAATTCCCTTGGTTGCAAGTCGGTCATGTCAACTCTTTATCCGTACTCCGAACATATCGTAGGCTAGGTCTTGCGAAGCGATTAATGATGCTTTCGCGTTGGTTCACTTGCACCATCTGAATTAGTGCAAATCATTAATCTAAACTACCTCCAGAAAAGGCCATGACCGATTCATACAACATAGAATACATCCAGCTTCACGTACGCAAGTCTAATCGAGCTGCCTTCACTCTGTACCGCGATAAACTTGGCTTCCAAATTCACAGGAAAGAAGTCGGATACTGTGAGTTGTCAACTTGGGTCTTCCAGCTGCCATCATTGACTATTCAATCAGATGGTGATGGTGAAGATGCATACTCAATGAGAATCACCCTGAAACCAACATCCTTGTGCGTGTCATATTTTTCCACCATAAACCTTACTAACACAACGCAGCTCTCATCGACTTGGTCTCAGATTCCAGGCATTTGTATACGCTCGACAGCGAGCAGTCGCGAACTGGACTTTGAAATGCGCAAAACGAGTGAGTCAGATCAAATGAAGATATCAAACTTTACTTGTCAGTTACCCCCGAAATTGTCTTGTACTTTATCTTGAGCTGCCCATCTGGAGGATACGATATCACGTCTGTATATCCACTTATAATTTTGATAAGTATGACATCGAATTTCTGGACGGTCATTCATAGTTTGTACCATGTATTTCTGGCGATCTACAATTTCCATCCTCCAGCAAGCCCCATCATGGTGTCTGGATCGGCAGCATCTTGATATCCCGTAGAGGCACAAGATTTTCTCCGTGAATATCCTCCAAGATGCATGGTTGGGAAACACGACCATATTTCCAACATTCTGCCCAGTTGCGATTGTTGCCGGTGACAAATATTTGGAACTGGCACTAGCGATCTCATATATGAGGTCGTCGTCGCCGGAATTCGCCCTTGCATAATTATAGTGAGTATCTTGCTCTACGTGAATCTGCATACGCAGATAGTGGCTTGGATAGGATCAAGATCAGGAGTCCAGGTAGCACGCACGCTGGTATTTGCCATGTTATCGCCCTAGAACTAGTCGCTCACGTCAGTAGACAATCCAAATAAAAACATTACAAGTGCTTATGAGGGTCTCATTGGGAGTACTGCTCTCTGTCAACTCCTTCATCACTATGGAATTGAACACAACACTGTTTCGCGGTGAGTATAAAAACAAAAAAAAATACCAATGACACGATGGACCAGATGGAAGCATTATCATTGAAGCGTGGAATTGCTCGAAGATACTGTCTTGACGAGTTGGCGCATCGTGGAACAATATATGCTCGAGAGAACAGGCCACCCAGCAGTTTGTTGGCCCCCGACATGGATTGCACGTTTGCAGATAAAATAGCGATGACAACGTTGACAGGGCTGAATTTATTTTGGCTGTATGAGACACGCCCATCCTATTTATAATTGTCACGATGCTGTATCATACACTGTGGTCCAATCGTCTCACCCAAACTTGGGATCGAGGACACGTTTTGAGTGACATGAGTAACAATTCCCCATGAAGGGGTAAGTTTAATATTACATGCAGTACTTCTCCAGGGAACCCCAGACAAAGTTATTAAAATATCCTTCACAGCCGCATGAGAATTCAGAACCTCGACAATATAAATGACAAAACTTACCTGCGAGCCGTAGAAAAAATCTGGGTCGCTGAAGTTGTTGACTGTGGTATTAAGCAAAACAAGTTCGTTAGATGCCAAAAACGTTAGATCAGCACGTTTGAAAAATCTGTCGACATTTATACCTCCACCAAGTATGATGTCGCCAACTCTGATGCCAGTGATTTTCGGTCCCATCGTATTCTTCCAGCATTGGATCGGACCAGTGCTAACTGTTGCTGTCTTGGCACGAATACATCGCGATTTGAATCATTGCCTTCGTTTGACAAGAAACCTGGGTTGGTTACGTGACCACCGCTTTCGATCTGGTTGATATTTACTATATAAGAACAAAGCACAAACTGAAAAAGTCATAGCTCACTCCAACCGACGTCCTGATGAGTCTACCGATATTTGGAGCTATAATACAAGGGGCATGTGGTCTTCATTTCGGTGACACAGACCGGTTTCCTGAGGTCCTCAGGGTGCCAAGTTCGAAGAAGCAAGCAGAGACTTGACTACTCGGGAAATTCGGAATGCCTGGTAATCATTAGTTCTTTGATAGTCCGATCCTACCGATGTTTAGCTTCATGGATACTTACTCATATGATTTGAGGTACCTACTACTGCAGATTTGAAAGAAACAGTGACCGCATCTGCCAAATTCCGAGGTATACCGTCTCTTTCACTGCACAGGCTGACGCCATTTTATCATGACAACATGATGATGCGCTGAACTGGTGACAAAGCTATCGAACTAGCATCCGAGGGCGTTTGCAAAGTTCAAACTAAATTATGTCCGGGGCAGTAATTTCTCACGAACCCGCATGCAGTGCGGGCGGGATTATGTCACAGTCGGAGCTTCAATTTTGCCCACTTCACATGGTGAGAGGCAGCTGACGCACTGGTTTTCGATCAGCCTATCAGGCACGGCCATGAATCCTGGACATGAGTGCCTACATAGCCAGAAATCCGACTGCGAGTGGAGCAGGTAGGGGCTGTCGGATCATGATTAGATGGTGCATTTTATGATCGATGATCCGCATCCGATTTAATTGATCACCGCAATCGAGCGCTGTCTGATGATGAGAATATTCCGTTCTTTTAGCGCGATCCTTAGCGGCTAGATTCTGATTGCCAAGTGCTGACAGGCTGACAAAAAAGACGCGCAGATGAGTAATTTTTACGGGTACGTTTCAAGTCCTATCTTGCCCAGAACGTTGACCATCCCACTAGCCGCCCAACCAGGACAGGAAGTCAGTGAGTGGATTTCCAAACTTCTGGTAATTGGTTACCGAGTTGTAATACAGCCTTTAAAAACACCACTGGGCCCCGGCCAGACAAAAGTCTCGCAACTCCTGCAGTCTTCTGGAAAGTGCTGTGTCATCCTTGCATAACCGTGACGCCCATAGCCTATCCTGAAGCAGTGGTCTGTCGCTTGTGTTTGAAAACAAGTCATACATAGAGTCATAACATAGGTATGCAGGCTGTGCTTATGGTACCGGGGGCAAGCTGACCATTGTCAATCGAATAAATAGCAGAGGTCTCCCCAACATCTTTTCCTCTCAATTTCACTACTGCAACAACTTGAATGTCTGGGCCATACGTCTACACACAACCGATCTACGAACCTCCTCCATATTATACCCACCCGCACACTCCCCAGCGATCACCTTTCATTCCTCCCACTAGTTTATTCCCACCTTCTCCCTCATCACCTTACGCCGAACTTCCTGGAACGCCTCGCGCTTCTTACTATCCTGATGGATACCGTCCCCGTCGTCCTCCATCTTGGCATGGAGGGATGGCAGCGCTCCCTCCCAGTCCCTCCTTTTTAGGGATTCAATTGCCAACCCATAACCGGCGACATTCATTCGGTAATGGCAATTACACTCCTTGGCAATACCAGACGTCGTCGCAGCAATTCCAGATTCATCCGCTTCTTAACGGAGAAGCTTATGTGTCGGAGTTCTACTTCGACATTGCTAATCCAGCTTTCGCGCCATTGCGCAGAGTTGGTCCAAACCACACGGCTATGGTGTCCGTTGAGGAACTAAGGGAACCTGCTACATTCCCAACCATTACCCGCATGCGTATCACGCATGATGCCATTCCTCAATGGCCTATCAACTTGGAGCTCGTTCATGGCGAGTACGATATCTCGGGCGCTCTGCCCATAACAGTTGGCGACGTTTTGTGGATGATCCATTCTTCTCTGCACCGCCAAATATCTCACTCTGACTGGGCCAGGCTCAGTCAGAGTCAAGAAACTGCAATCGCACGGGCCTACACGCGCAGATACAGAAGCATCCCTTCATCTGCGCAGCTCGAAGCAAGTCAAGGAGTCAAACGGATTGACTATTTGATGGAAAGACATGTCTTTAGGGGACTTGTCAGAGCTCACGACGAAGATGGTATGTTCCATTGGAAGTTGTTGACCTGAATGTTGCCGCCCCTTGTAACCCGCTCCCTTTGTACCAAATCTGTCATAAACATTCTTTGTTCTCTATTGCCTTGGTTCCCCATTGATTTATGTTGTACCGATCTCATATATATACCCAGCCTCAAGGGCTAACTTTTCCTAAAATCACCATTCATCTATGTTTGTCAGCTTGTGATCGAGACACGTATGTACTTATCGAGATTACAAATCGACTCAAGCTTTGTTTCATCATGCATTTGTAACGAAGAAGACAGAATGATCATTGTCATGAACCTTGCCTAGGTCTTGTGTCTGATATGCGGGGCGCCATAGGCCAATAACAAATTCAGCACGCATAGTAGGCACATCACATGGGCAATTTAATACAGGCTCATATCGTGGCCGCAGTCTCCCCCTTGTTCCTGTTTCCAATCCAAAATAACGCTGATAATGATCATGAAACGCAGGGAAGTTACCGCGAGAAGAATTAACGTTCAATGTCTTTTCGTTGATGTATATCATATCCCGTGCGGTGCGTTACTAGCAGGGAGACGACATGGGTTTCATATCGGAAGTATTCATCTGCGCACAGTGCTAGTGATATCAGGGTCATCACGCCACTATCGACCAATGATCGATATCCTTACCTGAGCAGCAACTGTCATCTCTACCACGAGTCTGCGGCCACGAGTCTCGCACAGGAACGCCATGCTTGTCAAAGCCACCGACGACATTAGATTTCCGTTGCAAGTAATCTCACTGCATTACTGTGTGGTGTCCTCCCGCCCCAATATTTAGAAAAAGTTAAATCGTGACTTATCAAAGTGAAGAAAAGATCTCCTCGGAGTTCACAGCGGTCATTTGCAAGTCATGTTGTAACGACAAATGGATTCAAACATATTATGACATTAAGGAGAAAAACTTCGGATTCTTGCGAGGACAGGAGCACTCACGGAAGCTTGTAATTACCGCGCTGGTCCTCATTGAAGGGTCATGATAGGCTAGATGCAGAACTGGAGGGGCAGAAAGAAGCTTAGAGCGTCTTCTAAGTTCTGCCAGCACTTTCCTTGACAGCTGCATCGCAAGTTAATAGAAAAGGGTAAGGAATAATCCAATAGCCTTGTCCACTTCAGAAAAGCTTTACGTCTGCGATGATTGACAGCAATCGAATATATCGACACTATCATACACGAGGACATGGGCATGCAGAGATATGGATTGTCTGTTCTGGAAGGAAATCGTTAAAAGCTAAAGTCCCTATTAGGCGGAGAGATATACCATGAAAATCTTACGCGTGACACGTGAAAATCAACAATACTGATGTTGAAAATCGTGCTTCGCAACATCTACCCCTTGGCTAAATCCATGCTCTGGAATATGTTAGAAATAGGGCCACCTAAATCTGCGATATCACAGATGAACTTATCGAGATAGCGGGTATGTCGTGCTGCCGGCCGAGAAGCGGCAACACCTAGAAAGGAAACCACCTTGAATAGTACACTCACCGAACTCCCAAATGTTGTTGCTGCGCCCGTATTCACGAATATGGTCTTGCGCCTTCCTCTTCGCAATGCAGCCCTTGAATCCCAGTTCTGAGACGGCGACCTGGCCCGCGCGATCGAACGCGAAGAAGTCGTAAGCCACGACCCAGCCCTGATCAAAGCCGGCTTCAAAACGCCAATGCTCGTAATAACTAGGAAAACGGGCCCAGTAGGATACATGTTGGCCTTGACAAAATTAGTGACGATGTGGTGGCTGGAGAGTGGCTGGACTCACCCAAGGCTAGATTTCTAGCGGTCACCTTTCTAGCGTTTATGTCGGCACTGAGTCCAACATGATCCTTTACTGGAATCATGCCCACGACTTCTGGGAAAGATGCCATTTTCGACTGCGTCTCGAAAAGACCATCCTTGGTCTCCAGGCCACTCTTTTTTGTACGTCCAAAAGAAAGATCCAGCGCAGTACAGCTCGAACAGGTCAAGCTGAGCTCGAATGTAAGATGCTCGTTCCTGATGTTCATCCGTTGTACCTCGCAAAGAGCCTGGATTCAAGGCTCCAGACCACTCGCCAACTATGAGTCCACTTCCTGATGCTGCGAGTTTCTCTGAGACGCGGGAGAACATTTGCGAAAAGGGAGCATTCCGATCAGCAAGGGACGCAGTATGCTGTGCTGCTGATGTTGAGATGTCGCTCGACGTAAAACACCGGTACAGATGATAGTCGATGCAAGTCAGCGCCAAGGAAGACGGTAAGTGTGCGACGAAATCGGCATATTGATCAGTCATCCAGCAGTCTGATATGTAGATTGGGAACCCAGAATCTATCTTTCTTATCTCTTGGATTGCTTCCCCGTACCAGTCATAGAGTGTTTGGTGTGAGGAGGGGTGAGGTTCGTTGAGAAGCTGTATTCCGACTATATTGTCGAATACGGGTCCATGTGCCCGCAGAGCGATAAGCTGCGTGACCAGTATCCGGAGAGTGCGAATGGCCAGCTGCATATTAAATCTGCTGTTGAAAAACGAAATTACCGGGGATGATGTTCCGGAGTGCGAATCTTTATTCTGTTTGCCAGGAGCTGCATGGAGGTCTGAAATTTGCAAGTGAGAAATAGGATATGTCCACTCAACGAACGACACACCAAACAGCACCCCAATTCCAAAGCTCTGGGCTGTGACCACCGCGGCAACGAGTCTACTCCATGCTCCTTCAAAAACATGTTGAAGACCATCGAAGTCGGTTCGAGTAAGGATAGATGGGTCCAGCGCACAGATATGATAGTATCCGATCTGTTTAAGGCGGCATGAGACGATGCTATTGTACTATTATAAGAAAACGCGCACTGGGATCCGCACAGTGTTGATTCCCCTTGCCGCGAGCCATTCGAAATCGCTGGAGGTGATCCAGGAATCCCAGTGATGTTCTAGAACCTGCTTCGCATGTAGGCCCTTGGCAACGTCGAGATCACTTTGCCCGCTGCCGGCGGCGCCTTGAAATGGTGATCCTGATACCCACCGCTCTAAAACGAACCACGATCCTGAGCACGCTTGCTTAGCTCGCTTTTGACTCGGGTAATTCATTTTAAGCTTACCAAGGTTAACTCCGCGCTGTTTGCGATATCGGTAGAGGCGTTGCTGAGGGCTTTCTTGTGGTGCTTCTTGAAGACCAAGCCCTGATTCGGTCTTGGTGCCACGTCTCAGCTTTGAGATAAAGGTCCTCATGCTAGTGTGTGTCTGCAGGGTCCGGATCGGTATTTTGAATATTCGGGCTGGTCACAACTCGCAGAATGACTAAATATTAAATATGCGTGTTTGGCAAAAGCTTCTGATCCAAACATTATTTGACGAGATCTTGATCGATATCCGAGTCATTCAATTCATTGTCACTAGTGCAACACCATATGGTACACCAACAATATTCGCAATATATCGCTGTGTCGCGCGTTTGTATGTTGTTGATGGCATATGTTTTCCACAGGTATCTCCGGGAACTGCTTTGCCAGAGGTATGCTTGATTGGCACGTTTGTTCTGTCGATTTCTGCTCATCAACCGCCAATCTTGGACCCTGTGGGATATTCCAAGAAAAACATCGGAACTCAACTTTAATCTTGTTTCAGTTTGCTCCTCCTGTCCTCCTGTCCACTGATGGTGGCGGCGTGGCGCATGCTTGTGCAGAAAAAGTATACTTTTCTGGCTCATACAACACGCAGAAGGTGCAGCTTTCACTCTCCAGTTTGAAGGGAACACTTTGAGGTGTAATCTATTCACTCGCCAGTTTGAAGAACGCTTTGTGGTGTAATGTAACTGGAAGTAATTCATCTCGCTAACACGGCGAGTTCATTTCCTTAGCGACTCGGATGAGACGGGTCTGTGCCTCTTTTCTTTCTCCTTACTCTTTTACTCAAAGCGCCACAAGCTTATTATCACGGTCTAGACCCCGATTCTCGGTTGAGATTCAACCGAACACTTCGTGCGCGTGCCCTCTGCATGTAGTTCATGGCGGGTTTGGTAAGACTTCTTGCGCGCCGCTTGGCTTTATTAGGTGACCATGCGCCATGAAGCGTGCAGCCTTTACTATCTTTCGGCGGAACGGGTAGTACCACATCGGACATGTCGAATTTTGGTGAGCATAGCTCTTGGGTTCATAATGTGCTCATATATCAATCAACCTATGAAAAACTTAACTTTTGTCAAAACTTTGCTATCTACGAGAAGCCACAGCGATAAAGGTGCACCGCCGCGCCTTTTCCATAAAAGGAAAACACGCGGTTTACATGCGTCTTGAATGTTGTGAACCGAAACCATCTAACCTCGTGGCTAATAATTACAATTTCCAATCAAGATAGTATAGCACATTCAACCGCGTCGCCACCGTTGTTCCTACTCGTTCCGAACTTTACTCAAACTTCTCACAAGAAGGCACTCTTTCCTCTACAGGACATGTTTCCCTCTAATGGTCGTGCTTCATTACTCACGGACTTTCCGGACAGCACCAAAGACGTGATCATTGATCCACCGCATTCACCAACAGTGCCCTTTTGGACAACAGATCTTTTATTGCAATCTCCCCTCTCGGCATTAACTTCCATGTTTGTCATCCAATAACATGTCCACGGCTTTTCTAGGGGTCCTCTTACTTCATGAAAGTATTTTCGCTAAAATATGTCTGGAACTCACAGGCGATCCGATCCAGGCATAACGGCTATCCTCTGCGCTTATAAGAACCCGGCTACACTCTTCTCTTACCGAGTTTATTCCACCACACCTCTTGGTTCAGTACCTCGAGCAACGACAGTTGACTATCCTTTGTCACTCCCTTCACGAACAAAAAGTCATAATGACCTCCTACTTCCGTTCCATCTTTGGTGGAAGCCCATCTCCCAGTCACGACCACTCTTCCAAGTTACGCTCACGTTCTAACCCTGCAAACTTCTTCTATGGCCCGCCAGCTGGTCCAAGTTCCTCTTCACGCCTAAAGACAAAACGAAGCAATAGCTTCAGTGCTGCAGGAGCTCCTTCTCCACTACGATATACCACGTTTGATGATCCCAGAGACATGAGATACGGTACTCCGTCGAACGTCGAGAAGGTGCCGCTCTACAGGCGTGCCAGCTACAAGTCATCCGAACATCGTACGTCTTCTGTGTTCCGCGGTCAATGAGCGCATTTGAAATTAACACCCATCTCAAGTCGGCCAGTATCCTTTGTATAATTATGCGCCACCCGTCTCGTATGGCGCATCTTCCCGTACCAGTTCGAGTTCTTCTTCGGGTTTTCCGGGCATGCATCCAGGCACCCCATCTCCCTACGACAGACGGCCTTCTTTGCAACAGCGTCATACTTGGCAGAGCAGTATCTCATCTGCGAATGGATCGGCTCCTTCATGTAAGTCTCTTAAAATAGCTGTGGGATTCGCTTTCTAACAGCGCAAAAAAGATATTGCAATGGATCCACATGGGAGACGCGCACCTGCACTGCATATGCATCCACTCTTTGCCTCTACTCGCCTTCACTCCGCGCCCATAAATTACGACGTCATCTGTGGCCCGTCGCCGCGAACCGTTCTAGACCGTACCACACATTCACCCGTTGACGCCCATACATTATCGCAACCAGCAACAGACCCACCCACTCCGGCATCATCTCGTATCCTACTTCGTTCAGATAAGTTCCCGTGGCCCGTGGTCGTCGGGTCTTGCAGAAATGGGCGCTCTCCAGATATCACCAATCTTGACCTTCTTCATGCACTACATGAGACGCTTCTTACGAGAGTCACGCCTCAAGAGTGGGAGGCGCTTGGTCATGGAAGCAGGGCTCAACGGAAAGTCACGCAGGCGTATGAACAGCGGTGTACCAGATTGGGAGGCGGATGGGAAGGCGGAGTCCGACGGGTGGATTGGCTGCATGGGAAAACTCGTTTGATCGGAATCGAAGTGGAGAAGCATGGACCCGGCGCCGGCTCCGGAAGACTCATTTTTGGCAAGGCTTGAAGCCGATGCTTTTCAACTTTTGAGATCGACAGCTACCGGGGCTAGTCCTCGTTACCTCATACCTGCGAGACCTTTCTGCGGCGTATCCACAGACGCCACTACATCCCTGCGGAATTTACGATTATATAGCATACTTAGGCATTAGGCATACGTATGAATTTATTACACGACTTTTTTATGATTTTGTATTCTGCTGTAACAGCTTGGGCATAGTGATACATTGGGAATGGCATTACAAAAGTGTCAGTCGGGCTACAAATGCGTGAATGAAAAGGTTGAAATAGAAAGTCGACGCTGCGGAGTTAGGAGCAGCTTACACCATCAAAGTCATATGTGCCAGGAACAGCAACAGGACAACCAGCTTTGTCGTTATGTGAATTGCAATTGACCTGGTCATTTGCGGATGCACAACAGCGAAGGCAGAAACGATTAGCAGAAGGCTCGACCCTAGCAAACAGCCGATGAGTTAATCAAGAACGATGAAAAAAAACGGGAACGGACTGCTCAATGAAGCTTGCGCCGTATCCGCCAAAAGTACACTTCGCGCCGTTGGGAAATCGGACATCCATCTGGCCTCCCGCGTCATCTTGTGCAAACTGGAACTTGCCGGGATCCAAGCAGCCGGTGATCTAGTGCCTGCATTAGTACCAAGGTCGCAGACAGCTAAATAAAAACTTTACTGACCTGTATATAGGACCCATCGCTTGCCTCCGAGATGGTAGCACCAGTCACGAAGCCTGCGGGAAATGTGTTCTGGCAGCCTGATCCGTTGGTACAATACGCTGTTGCGTCGCTCTCGGCGTCTGAGATATACTCTAAGGGAGAAAAAACAGAGTGGTCAAGTATGCGATGAAAATACTAGAGAGAGCCGCACCTCCATCTCTTGAGGGGAGTAAAAGTGCAAAATCTGTCACGCTGGTTATATGCACGGTAGTCGAGACAGACGAAGGACCTGTAGGCTGGGGCGTTGGCGCAGCGTTGACTCGAGGATGGCGGGTCGAGGTAGTATTATTAGATGCCATGCGCGATCGTCTTAGGAGGCGGGCGACCTGTTTCGTGCCTTTTTTGGGAGAGCGGTGAGGTTTCTTGCTCTGCAAGCTCGGTCGCGTGGCGAGAGTCTCGTTGTGCCGTTGATGTGGAGGTATCGTATCGACTGTGAGATCTTGGTATCTGTTCGTAGATCGCCCGGCGACTACCAGCATGGTGACGTGCGCGAGTACAATAAAAAGATTGAATGATAAAAACATGTTCTGGGTGTAGTATGCTTGTATGAGGTGTTGGTTGAAACGCCGAAATGGTGGCATAAACGCGCTTACACCCGTACGAATCACGTCACGTGAAATGATTTTTTTCATGAAATCCTCGCCAAGTCAATACTGTGTTCCATTCTTGATATCGGTGTCAAGACGGGTGTCCTGGGATCCAGAAGACAGGGGGCGGGATTTCATTAGAAATGAAGTTCTCGTTCGATCGAAACTTCGATGCAATGATCTAACCTTATCTTGAACACATGATACGATGCGGCAGTGCATAGCGTCCAATTAATTTGCTATTGGGCTGACGTCACATATATGGGTTAGCCTTGCAAAAAGTGCGCGGCTTCCACTCGTTCCATAAGACTCTTCAATTAATTCGAAGGTCAGTTCGCCTCCTTACTGTCCTGACAGGAGGGGAACGTGTCTTTTAAATGAACAGTTAAAGTTAAGTATTCATTTGCGAACGGCCCCCCTGGAACGAATGTTAATGAATGCGCTAGTACTCACTTGTCAATGGTAACGGACACCATTTCGAACTCTGATGTTTCCGTTCCACTCGAACCACCCCAGTAACAGATCAAAGGTCAAATGAGTATGAATACACTGGATTGCCGTGGAGATGGAGTACGTGGTAAATAAAACTACAAGTGATATGAGTGCAATTTATCCAAACTATTGCGGTGCAAGAATCAAACAAAAACAAAAGAAAGAAAAAAAACATTGCGGACAGAGATAGAGCAAAGATAGCGATAAAAACAAATTAGGGGCTGTCGAATATAGATGCAAAGAAGAGAGCGGTGACGGCAAATTGCCAAGTAAAGTTAGAGCGGGCAGTGCAAGTTGAGTAACGAGATCCGACCAAAATCCATTCGAACTGAACTGGATATACCCAGCTGCAATATGCCGAAAGATAAGGAATAGCCTATGCAACCCGCGCTCGGCGAGGATCAAACATTCTGGGCAAAGTGGATTTCCCAGCTGTCCGACCCATCTCGAGCTCTGGCGAGCCCTGCAAAGAAAACTTTGGGGCCTAAAAAGTCAACGCGTTTCACGCCCTGCGCATGTTCGCGCGGGTCAGCGCGGGACCTCGCCCTGAAAGAATCAATAGCAGCATTGACCGCCCGAGAAGATCTTTGCATCTCATGCGAAGCAACACTCCGGTTGAGCGTTTCACGTATCATCGCAAGGACGTTGTTCACAGTGATACCCCGAGGGTTCACAACCTCTATCGTCCAAGCGCAAAGCTCAGGAATGGTAATGATCATATGAGAGACTGGCGGTTGCACCGCAAGCTCCTGAAGCATGGTAGGTGAACAGCCCGGTCGCAGTTGCACATGTGCAAGGTCTTGTGTGATGTTAAATCTCAAATTCGGACCATAACTCAAGAGTGAGTGCAAGACTATGAATGAAGAGTGGGATGTAGAAGAATGTTGGTCTATCAACCATAGATATGAGATCTGCGTAAAGTGTGAACGAAAAGGAGAATTTCATACATGACATAGGGGATTGATGCGAGGCTGCATTGGGGTGTGGGAGTGAAACTGGATGGAGAAGTGGTGCGTTTGGGATCGCGGACGGAGATGTGGATGAACCCGGGAGCGCAGACCAGTGGCCTTGGAAGGCTTGGCCACTGGAGCCAGATTGTGCGCTGTGCACAGCCCACGACCTGTGATGGGATGAAGAGGCAGGAGTGCCGATCCGATAGTTCATCGTGTTAGATTAGAGTCAGAGAGATTGTGCGAGTCAGAAAATATATAGGCAGACGTTATTAGCCCTGGGGATGCGCAGTACGCTGGGTGACTCGACTGTCATGTCCTGCGGCTGCGTGTCTTTTATAGCCCGCCAGAGGACATCGGGAAGTTACTTGTTGACTTCTCGCGCCCACCGTGTGTCGCGAGTTGATTGGGCAGCGCTGTGCAAGAGTGACATGGGCGGGACAGCGAACATCGTTGAATATGGTGAAGTCGAACAAGAACTTCAGAACAGACGCCGAACTTTTGATGTGGCGCTGGGCGGGACTTCTTATTATGGATGGGGCGGGATTCTGGCGGGACCGCTCACCCATAAAAGGCAGACGTCGGGACATGCGCGCTGATGGGAGTCTCACGGAACACGTTGAGAAGGCACCTTGATGGGCGTTGTAAGGCGATAACTGTTAATCTATTCATCCACTGATGACCCTGGACTCACAGGTCTAAGTCTCTGCGCTGCAGATACTGTAAACAGTCGAACCGGATCTCGCAGTCCACGAAAAAGGCTACTCTAATATTATGCAAGGTCTAATTTAAAATATACAGCAATGATAAGATATCCGTGTGAGCATGATCCGTCGGTACGTCAGGTGCTAGACTTCAGCGTAGGTTCCCTGATTTCAACACTTCTTGCATCGCCTCCCAGTCACCCAGCTCCATGGAAGCATGTTTCACCGGACGCCCGCGCTTTTTTCCTTCATTACCATTCTGGGAACCGCTGATCCTGGTATCGGTCACCTGCCCTGATGTTTGCGCAAGATGCTTAATTTCAGGGAACTCGGAGGTAGCTTGGGCGCGTAGCCAAGCCGCGCTCTCAGCGCGATGGATAAGGCAGCTAGGAGGCTCGTAGCCATTGTCATGCTGGTAGGACGCTTTGGAAGTCAGAGAGTCCGCGATCATGGGGCGTCCATCTTTCCACAAGGAACCGCTGTTTGTCTTATCTAGAATGTCGGAAATACCTAAACTTTCTCCACAGGGAATAGGATCAGGATGAGAAGGCGTGACACATGGCATATCGACCTCCTTCCTGAGTACCTTGTCGATATCAACGGCTGAGAAGAACGCGACCCCCTGAGGCAGGTCATCCATTCCTAATTTAAAGGCAAAAAGGCTCCGCGTCCATAGGTTGGCGATCTGTAGCGCGAGTGCAGCTCGATAGCGATCTTCTTCGGCAACCAAGTAACGTAACTCGTCGTGCACCGAGATAAGATAACGCGCCTTGATACCATATTGTCTGACCAGATGGTCCATTGCGACAATGAGAAGATGCAAGTAGTCGACACCAGAGGACTGCACGACCCAGTTTATGCGTGATGTCATGTAATCTGAACCAAATTTTGCCGGAAGAAGCTCCTTTGACAGAGCATGCTGTGATTCCGCATCCGAGGGCTGGAGTTCGTGGTTGATCAGAAAGCGCGATCTCTTCCAGCTTGTTGAACACGAAACTCTCCGTCCCACCAAACCAGAATTTCCTTCCAAATAAATCCGTGCGATGTGTGTTCTTGCCTTTAGTTGATGCGTACAAATTTTCTGCGAGGCGTTGAGCTTGTTCGGGCAGCATACCGGCATTCGACTGTAGAAGGAGCAGGACTGCGTGTCGCATCCCAGCACCATAGATTCGGGAATAGTTGAACACTTTTGCTTGGTCACGAGAGATACCGAGGATGCTCGCTGTCTTTGAATGAAGATCTGTTCCCGCGGCTTTGGTGCCTTCGAGGGTCATCCATCCAAGAGCCGTAGCACCGTGTAATCCAAACTGTGCGTCGCCGATACAGCTCGAAATCCACAGCTCTTCCGAATCTACATCCGCGCCAACGATGGCATACCCCTTAGGTGCGCGCACCATGGCTTTGAGCTCTGAACCAACGCGGTTTTTCTTCGCGTTGCTCGCCGTGAGCCACGTCCTCTCGATAGCGCGGCGCGTCACAGTGCCCATTGTAATCACCTGGGGAAGGATGATACCCCATTTCTGGGGTTCGTCGGAAGATCCAGGTGGTTTGAACTGTAGATCTAACGCTCCCCGCTGCCAGACTACCATCTGATTTAAGATGCGATCGCGTGCGCTGATCCAATAGCTGCACTGCGCGTTCATGTCCAGCGCATCCTTCGCTTCGTCTCCGGGGCTTGTAAGCGTCCCATCCTGTGCATATTTCATGAACGTTTTCCCAAGCGGACTGCCTACGTTTGCCTTCTCCCCGTCTTTATGTGGTAACTTGTAGAAGACAAAACCTCCCTTCAGACGCATATCTTGTAGGGCGTCGTCCGCAGGATCATAGAAATCGAGCTGAGAAAAGCGGGTAGGAAAATCGGCGTCCCCAGAGACGCGGAAGGTCCAACCGTGTTCCCGGGAGTAGAAGAGCGGCCAGCCTTGCCAGGACAAACAAAGAAGAATGGGAGCAATGCGATTCCGTACTGTGATATCCAGCGTGCCGGGAGGCATGTCTTTCTTGGGTTTTGCGAGATCCCAGTACCACTTCGGCCAAAATACCTTTGGTTTGGGTTCCTTAGGAGGGGACTTCTTACGTCGGGAGGAAGAAGCGGGAACAGATGGGCACGCTGCTGTGGAGTCAAGCTGCAAAAGGAAGGAATCAACGAAAGTCCGGTACATCGACCTGGAGACGCACCTCTTCATCCGGCACGACACCCCTAGATTTCCCGGCTACTTTGGGTGACCAATCTAGTTGAGAGAGCCAAGGATCATCCTTCAAAGAGTCATCCCTCGCCCTATCCTTGGCTTGCTCCGCAAGCTCGACAAGGCGCCTTTTCACTTTCCCATCTAACTCCTTGTAGACTCTATCTGCATCCGCAAGATATGATTCCCAGGACTCGTTCACCGTCAAGAAACTGGAACCCATCGCGAGAACGCCGGCGAATGAAACGGGACTCGGGCAGCGGTCAAGGAAAGCGGGAAGGACCTTGGAAAAGACGGCATGAGTAACGAAAACATCTTGCGCGCAGTAGTTGAGATAGTCGTGAACATTGTCCTTTATTTCTTCTGGGGTCAACTTCATAAAGTCGTTCCTAATTTCTTTGTCCATATCGATATTGCAGTGCAGCTTGGCGACATCAGCCAGCGAATTGGCAGACGTCAGGTCTTCCCAGCGCTTACTTGAGAGATCAGCCTCTACGGCATCGGCATCGGCAGCTTCGAGCTGCGGAAGGCTCTCCTCGAGATCAGCACGGAGACGGCGGAGCTCTTCTCGTTTGGTTTCATCATCCTCCTGGTCGTATTTGAACTCCGTATTACGCATGAGATCCACGACGGCCTCGACCGCTTCGGCACGACGCACTTTCTGAGTCTCTTTGGACTTGCGGTGCTTCATCCAAGCAGGTCTTTGGTGCGAAGATATCCCCTTCACTGCAACATGCAGAGCCATCGTATCGAGGAAGCGCGACTGAGTTCCATGCAAGCTATACTCCTCTAAGATGCGCGCTCTGTCGTAGCAAACGTTATGACCAACGACTACGCGCGGGGAAAGCGTATCCCCCAGCGGGATGAGGTGTTGTTGCTCAATCGATTCTCCCAGCAACCAAGGCGATATCCAACTGTACCAGGCATTCTTTGAGGCAGCACATGCCATGATAGCATAAGGATGATACGTGGGCATGGTTTCTACGTCAAACGTGAGCACTTCTTCCGCATTGCCTTCGTTTTGCGGGAAGTCGACATGTTCGCTGTAGCTCGAACCATCAGCAAGGAAGTGATATTTCGTCCATCCCGATTGTATGTCCCAATGATCGGGTTTTGGAGGAAGTTCGTTGGATGCAAAATCTCTCGCGATGTTTAGCCATGGTTGAGCGGACTGACTGCCGATTCTGTGGAAATGCTCGTCGATATTTGAGCCTAAGAGGGGTGGGAGGGTGAAGCCGATATCAGGAAGAACAGAGCCTTGTTTAGGGTCTAGTCCATGCATTTCCAGATGCTCCTGTGCGATACGAACGAATGCTTTCGATGGTGCTGGAAAAGAGATGTCGCGAAATATTTGTGAATGCAGTTCCCGAGAAAGGAGCTGAACTCCAAGTTCATTGCGCTTGACTGTCCAATATGATTGGTTGCGAGATAATGGAATTCAGGCAATATAGCGCACCGTGCTTCACTGTTTTTCGGACTACGTCACGTTCTCTTTCTCTTCCTTGTTTCACCTCAGCTCCGCCGATGACAGGTCGCGGTTGTACATGGTTATGATGTGGCTTCTGCTTCTGAACGAGTGCAGCTGCTCGAGCAGAAGTCTGCAAGTGTCGAGCCGACCCACTGGGTTTTCGCACAAGATTGAGCATCCGTGGTTAGCATCAAGGTCAGACTTGCGCTACTAGATGATGGCGAAGTAAAAGTTCGTACTGCTGGCCCTGATGAGTGCTTATTTTTCTTCCTATATATGGAACTTCTCTAGTCAGCACCTGCACGGTCTTTGCACTTCTGGTCCTGGTGCTCGTGAACGTTTGAACGTTTGAACGATCACCGGCACCGGTAATAGATACTGCAAGAGTTCAATATTCGAGAATCGCCATCAGAAATGCACCAGAATCAGACAGGTAAGCAGCATCAAGGTCATCATCGTTGGCGAGTTCATTGAGGTCGTTGTCATTGTCGTCCAGCACTGCAACAGCCGCGAGCCCCATGAGGCCATGAGGTGTTGGGCTTGCCCTGCGAGATGTGCTTGAAGTTCAGCCTGTGTTGGTCGCACGATGCTTGCATTCACGGTCACAGGTCATAACTGCATCGGCATGTCCTCGGCAGTGTTGCGGATCTTTTAAAAATGTCATGATTGGGACGGAACGTTGAGCGCTGAGCCCAAGATGCGTTCAAATAGAGCGCGCACATTAAGTATTAAGCACCGATATCCGTTCACGTTCTCGATCTCATCACTTTCAACGGGAATGCGGTGAGAACGTCACTTTTTGACTACGTGACGAATGTACACGGATGAGGCACAGGTTGTTAGCCCATTTACCTGTCGATTTAAAAGGATGAATTTACACTTCTCCCCAGCCCTTCAGCCTTATTCTCATGACCGCTTCCGTCGTACCTCAGGATGATTTCCTTATGGCAGTATGGAGCATTCAGGTGCTGAATGTAAGTGTCTGTCCGAACCAAAGCAGCACTGATTCCAACTGAGAAACTACTCTTACTACTAGTATTCCGATGGTATGTCCCGTCGCACTATGAAACAGAAAATAGTCTGACCAAGGCATTGCAGTCGTGGTGGCTACTCTTTTGGTGAGTTTCCCCTTGGATTTTCAGCCCAACTTCTTTCACTTAACCAGGTGAAAGGTTTATGATTCATTGTTAAGATTACAACAAGATGTGATGCCACCGTTCTTGCTCGCAGTTATTGATCTCATCCCCCATTTTCACAGGCAACTTTTCTCGCCCAAGCCAACATGAATGTTCCAAAATTTCTGTATATTGGAGCTCGCTATATGCCATTGTTGATACCTATTCCTAATCTCATGTGTGAGCCTGCGGCGTATACTCATCCTCTATGATATTTTTGATCTCACTCGTGTCCCAGTTGACCAAGTCCCTCACATGAAGGATGTTGTGCGTAGGCGACCTTGACCATTATATACGTGTCTCTCACTGTTCTCATAGGACTGCCAGACTTTAGGTGATCTTGGAGCAGGTAGGGCTTCTCCATTTATAAGTGATCTAAACGTTGTGCTGACAACTATTATATCTAGCCTTCAGCATGATGGTAGCATTCTGCGCAGAATGTTTGTGACCTCCATCACCAGTCTCGCTGGAGCTTTCACTAATTTCTCACCGTTTGTTAGGCATCTTCGTACTCCGAACCTGCGCTATGTGGGAGGTGAAGCGCCCTCTACGTTGGATTATGTTCATGATCGTATCTGTATGCATCCTTTATCAAATTGCCTGCTAATTTTTACTCAGGGAACTCACAGGGTATGGCAGTTGCCGGGTTAATCATATTCAGCTTTGTCCCGAAGCAATACGTGGTTGTACCTGATATTTCGACATGCCAACCATTTCAAACTGCAAAAACACCAGGGTTAGTGGCGGCGTTCCTAACGCTCCTGATGTTAGAATTTGGTATGAAGAACTTCTGTCATAGTTCCCCTGGAGTTCTGACTTCCATCGTCAGTCCTTGTTATTTTTACCACTATAAGGGCTGCAAAGAATTACAGATCGACACCAATACCACTCCTTACACGTCTCCTCACGCACCATATATTTTACTATGGCTGCGGATTGCGTGCGTGCATTCTACATCTATGACAGCACAATGAACTCTTTTCTTCTAGTCTTCAGCACTATCAATGTCCTGTGTTTGGCATTGTTCGAAGTCAGTTTGATCCGTTTGCTTCCAAGCTTCACACGGACGAACTAACATTCCACTTATATGCATAGTATGAAAATGCCGCAGTTTTCTTCAGGTGTGTGACGTTCTCCGAGTGTTCATAGTAAATGCTGACTTCATTGCAATTAACAGCCCCCAAATAATAATGCATGCAATCTTGGCAACACGTATGCATTACCAGCTCTGGGAGTCCGAGAATGTTCAAAAGAATGATCAGTCAGAGCAGCACCCTATGTCGTCGCTACGTTGGCAACCCGCAGAAGAGATTGCGACAACTTAGTCAGGTTCATGCTAGAGGTGACTTTCGCGGGACAATGATTTACAAGTGCCTAGCACTAGTGTCGTGCGCATATACTACCTGGAGTATTATAGAGCTTCCTGCTGACCTCTCATTCGACCATCCGCGATTGATCGAAGATGTCATAAATTTCAGAATGACTGTTTTGGATTCGCTATCGGCTGCCAGGTCCGGAGCAGCGATGCCAATGTCCGTGTCCGAAATCGCCCCTCAATCAAACCGCTTGACCTATCTACAGTGCCTATCTCGTCGAAACTACATCTGGGACTGTCTTCTCATCGTCTGCCAACAAATCCCATTTACAATCAGCATCTGCTTGTGATCATACTCACCACCTTGTCACACTCATCGGGATTTCAGTTAATTTCGAGTACTGACAGTTGATGCCAATCGTCGATCGAATGTGGAAGGTGATAATACGGCACCACCACGTGCTGATGGGAAAGACACGCCATCACTTGTAAGATTCTTCTCTCACACTGCAATGTTGCTTCTCACCGAATCAACTTTGTTTTTCCTTAATCATACTTCCAGTATCAATGCGACCACTCATAAATTCGCATTAGGTAGCCAAGTGACCAACTGGGTTTCAGGAGTCAAGCCTGGAAAGTCGGAACCATTATCCCGTGCGTCCAGCATTTTGACTCAAGAGCATCTCTCGGCTACCTTTTCACACAACACTGCTTCCTCTGCAGCAACTTTGGCCCTAACTCCGATTCCTGCAGCTCAAACCAAACATGTGCCTGACGATTCCCTTACTGGTGCCTTTGGAGACGAAATTGGTGATTCATTAGAGTGTGAGGCTGCTTGTGCGGGGGAGAAGCAAGACAACGGAAGAATCAAGGCAGTAAGTGGCAGTGATTTATTGGTGCCAGTGTTTAATTCTTGCTTAGCAGGTCGTCTCAATATTTGATGACAACTCCAACTTTGACGAGCCTAGGGCTCCGTTCATGCAGGCACCGAGTCTGAAATCCTGCAAGCGCAAAGCTAACAAAATCTCAGATGAGATGTCAGAGGCTGAGTCTGTGGTGTCCGATTGGTCTATGGAAGTTGAAGGCATCAACGACTCGATCACGGGTGTTGACGAACCGTCTCAGCCTGAACCTATTGTGGCAAAAAAGAGGAAGGTTTCGCATACAACAACTTCAGTAAGGATCATGACTTTATCACTGCTCATTCTGACACTTGTACAGATGTCTGTCACCAGTGCTGTTGCCGGTGTAGAGACTCATGCCTCTCATTGTGCAATATGGCAGTTTTCACTGGGGAGTACATGGCACGAACTTGTAGCATCACTCTGTGTGCTACCTGCAGCTATCTCTATATGAGGCGCAGCTTTCCCGCGCAACGCGCGCCATGCGCGCGTACCTTCGTACCTTTCCCCGCTTCACGATGTATATGCGCGTGCGCTTTCCCGCGCTGTAGCGCCCTATAGCGCCAGCCATCCGGAAGCATCCATCCACTGTCCACCAAGTTCCCTAGTGCGTATATTTCCATTTCTCACATTTGCTGATCATTCCATCTTTATTTTTATCATGGACCCTTACTTACATATATCTTTACATACCTTACTCGGTAGCGCTTCGGCTCCGCATGACAGCGCTTAGGCGCCATACTTAAGCGCCAGCAGTACATACTTACTTACTCACTTACTCTCCCACCAGAACGACAGAGGACTTACTGGTTACTACCCACTATTTACCTAGCAGAACATAGTAGAAATCTATTTGTTTACACCTCGCATCTCCCTTCTCTTGTCTTACATCATATCATCACTTAAGCAAACTCACTCTTACTCTCTCTCGTATCTGTATACACGCGCATGCTTTCCCACGCTTCGCGCCATACACGCGCGCATTCCCGCGCCTTGCGTGCACCTGCGCTTTCTCGCGCTTCGCATTGGCCAACCAGTAGCGCTTTCAGCGCATACCTCTAGATCCTTGCTGCACTCGCTTCCCCTTTAGGGTCGAACGCACTTGTCGTCTCAAGTATAGCAGACTAGGCAACGCACGACCTTACAACAATTATAGATACAGTCAGGAGCACTGTTCGTGCCTCGCTGTATCGTTGAACCTTCACCGGTAGTCAGCCGCCTGCTCAAAAAATGGCCAAGATCGAGCCTTCTGCTACACCTGTTTGCAGCATATTTGCCAAGCTCAAACGCCGACAGAATGTGCCAGACACTATGCTGGAGCACATGAAAGCACGTGACGCCTATCGTACAGTTGACTTACCTGCAGCCGTGCGAGCAGACCAGTGCTGGACGAAGAAATATCTCCCTACCATATTGCTGTGGGCTGGAAGTTATAAAGACATCTGGGTTATCCCAGACGATGTTCTTCTCCATCATGCTCAGCTTATTTTCGACGCAGTATACAAAGATCTTAATTTTGTTCTCGTTCACAATGGTGTGGTACATTCGCTTGTAAGTCCCCTGTTATATCTAATTTTATTTATTAATACTATATCAATCATTAGACTGCACAGCGCATCTCAGAATGGCACAATAATTTTGGCTCAACAGCCATAGCCATTATTATGGACTTTATGACACGTAATTCTGACTGCGCTCCTAGCGATCTGGCAACGTCCCTTGTCCACGATTGGATCTTTGTATATGAGGACCCTGATAGTCCATCTCCTCTCACAGCTTACCGCTCTCCCTTCATCTCACAACTGCTTGGCAGGGCACACTTCAACGTCATCAAAGGGTATGTGAAGGTTCCTGCCTTCGACATGCATGAGCTTGTGACGAGCGGGATGCCACGGCTTCTTGCCCTCTCTACTGTAGTGGTGAGTTCAATTTAAAATGGCTTATTCACACTGATTTTTTTTTAAAGATCGAGCATGCCCTTGTGTTGTTCAAAAACAAACAACTCAAGGTTCAGGATGTTTTGTTGTCCGCATCACGCAGTAAAGTGGCCATCAAACTACCAAAGGTTCTCAACAAATTGACGGAGAAAGAGACCAATGATCCATTTTCATTTTCGGTGACTCTCTGGTCCAAACCAACCAAGGGGTTTATCAAGTTGATTTTGAATAAGCCTGCTGGGTATGTGGAGGCCACCATAGAAATGGCATGCAAAGTAAATGGTGCCACTGATACGCCGTCGAGTGACGATGAGGAGTGGTACAATGACGAGCGAGCTATGATTGGTGAGCATGGACTGAATCCTCTAGGCTTACTCTCACTGACAACCGGGCCCCTGCTGCAGGATATCATTATTGTGGCCATAGACATTCAATTTGCGGTAGTCTTCATGATGCAACTTGAACACATCCGCATCTGTAGTGCTGCTGCAGTCCGGTCCAGAACCATGGTTCGAACCGGACTTTTGGTCCGGTTCTCCGCGGTTCGGTCCATGGTTCTTGCGCCAGCTAGAACCGGACCGGAAAACGGTTCTCGGTTCTAGCTCTTCCCAAATGGTCCAGTTCTGGTTCGGCCTTCCTGAACCATTCCGAACCCTTATCGACTTTGACTTCGACAACATCTGCCTCGACATCAGACTGTCGTCTTCGGGATTCACGTTGTTGATTAATCAAGCTACATTTAGCCTTTTTGAAGGTAAGCACTAACTAATTAAACTCTCAAGTCTCTCACCAACTCATCTTTATAACAGGAGGTTCTGTTCATTGAGGACCAGCTACAACACTGCGCAAGACTACCTTTTACTGGAGGTGGATATATTAGGTGCGATCAAGGTGGATTTTGGAGGGATTGTGTCTTGCACTATGCTGCAGAGGTGCATATTATGATTTGTACTCTGAATGCTGATGGCTCCCTCGAGGGCCAGCACTCATCGCTACCAGCGCACAACCCATCACACACCACGCTACCTGCGCCTATGTTGATGCCTGCCACCTCACCGCATCCCCTCTCACTCGCTTGCTGTTCTTGCTGGCTGGCTTTTGCTGGCTGGCTCACCGTGTCTCACTCACCCACTGTCTCTCGCTCACTGTCTCACATGCCCACTGGCTGCTCTCGCCAACTGTCTCTCACCCTCTGTCTCTCGCCCGCTGTCTCTCACCCCGCTTTCAAACCAATATTCCGCGACGACTCGACAAGAGAACAGAGGGGATCCATAGGAACGGCAAAGACACGCACACTAATCTACTGCCCACCCCCCTTCTCCACCAGAAGACATGCCATCGAGCTGTGATACGCCTCGCCACTCTACCCCAACGCCACCCTCTCCACCCACATCTCAAACACGTCATCAAGCACCAAAACATATCCCGGCACCATTCATCACTCGACAGCCTTCCAAATATACCCCGACGATGTCGAAATGATAGATCCGCTGCAAAACTCGGTCAAAAAGCAACCAATAGTCTACAGATTGCTCAAGTCACGGTGGAGGGGTAGGAGCCGCAGCCGTACTAACCCGCAAAGGCGTACACTAAAATACCATCTAGGATCCGACCGCAAGCACACCGTATACAAAGCCGAGGTCGTACATTGGGACTTGAATGAGCTTTCGCTAATATGCTCGAGTAAAAGTCGTGTCATTCACACAGCAGGGAAACTAACATTTTACCACCTTTTTCCGCCAGTGAAATCACATCCTAATGGCGGTTAACCGGCAGCTTACTTCAAATTGCTTGTCTGGATCAGACGCCGCAGGTTCACATTCCCCACGGTAAGCATTGGTTGTTATTGTGTTTTATTTCATTCTCACCATTTGTATAGATCAAATCAGTTAGCTCTTGGATCAGTGGCTACAGAGGCAGAGAGGGGTGTGTAGCCATCTCATTGGAGTAGCTACTCAATGTGTAAACTAGTATTTCAATGTTTTTTTTCATGCTCGCTGCTGAAAATTTTCGGGTTCGGTTCAAGTTCGGACCAGAAAAAAACCGAACCGGACCACAGAGAACCGTTCTCTGTGGTCCGGTTCGGGGTTCGAAGATTTTGCAGAACCGGACCATGGACCGGTTCTTGGTTCTTGTCCAGGACCCTCTGAACCGGACCGAACCGGACCACGGCAGCACTACGCGTCTGTTCGAAATCGCTCATCGAGTCAAATTTTCGAATCGCTTGACCATCGGCAGTGCCTGTCTCGTTGAGTAAGACTCGTGCTACTCACAAGGTTACCAAGTGTATATTGATTTAGCATTAATGTATAATCGTGTCTTGTGTCTACAGTAGGACTGTGGAATGAATGATTAATTTTGGTTGAATCACATGCACAGGCAAAATACTAATCGGTGTCGCGTCCAAGACTCCAAGTTATACAATCACTACCGTATCAATGAAGATATCGCGGACAACGATAAGCTTTCTCACAATGACGGCGATCCTGGAACATACCCATTACTAACGGAAGAGAACCCGGCGTGTTTCGGCGAAGCTACGCAGGTTCAGCAAGCCAGACTGGTAGCAGAACGGAAGCAAAATGAGGCACAGAGAACTGAAGAACTCTAATGCGAGGGCCTCGGCCCATGCCAAGGCAAGTGAGCTATTCGAAGGTATTCGAGAGTTGCCATCATGAGCAATGCTTCAGAATCAGACAGGTAATCATCATCAAGATCATCATTGTTGGCGAGCTCATCGAGATCATCGTCATTTTCGTACAGCACAGCCGCAACTCTGAGCGGAGTTGGACTTGCCCTGCAAGATGTACTTGAAGTTCAGCCTGTGTCGGTGGCACCATGGCGGCGGCGGCGGCGGTGAACAGAGAACCTGTGAGAAGAAGATATCGTCATATATCGTTATATGTAGGAAAGGTTTTCGTCACATTGGAATATAAAGTGATATATGACTATGTAAAAGCATCATAATCAGCATAATCCCCAGCAAGAACTCACCGGTTTACTGATTCCTTGCATCCACGCACTGACAGGTCGTGGGCTGCGTGGCGGATCTTTTAAAAATGTCAAATGAGGTGAGCCGTAAACTGAGCAGGCCTATTCATGTCGAGCTCAAGTTCTTTATGATGCTACTTCAAAGAATGGTGCCGTGGCGAAGAGGAACAATTGCCTTTCTTCTTTTGAAAAATCCGGATAGGAGACAGTACACTCAAACAGTCACCGCGTCAAACACCTGAAGCACCTCCAAGGGACCGAGTCCTATCGCTCACGTTCTCGATGCCATCACTTTCAACGGAAATGTGGTGAGAACATATAGTATCACCTACACGGATGAAGTACAGGTTGTTAGCTCATTTGCCTATCAATTTAAAAGGAAGAATGTACACTTCTTTCGGCCCTTCAGCCTTACACTCATGACCACTTCCGTCGTACCTCAGGATGATTTCCTGCTGGCAGTACGGAGCATTCAGGTGATGACTGTAAGTGTCTATCTGAACCAGGGCAGCACTGATTCCAACTGAGAGACTACTCTTAGTATACTGATGGTATGTCCTCTCGCACTATGAAACAGGGAGTCGTTAAGGAAGGCATCGCAGTCGCGGTCACTGCTCTTTTGGCGAGTTTCCCCTTGAATGTTCGGCCCAACTTCTTTTACTTATCCAGGTGAAAGGCTTATGATTTATTGTCAAGATTCCAACAGGAGGTGATGACACCATTTATACTCGCAGTTATTGATCTTATCCCCCATTTTCACAGGCAACATTTCTCGCCCAGGCCGACACAAATGTTGCAAAATTTCTGTACATTGGAGCCCGATATATGCCATTGTTGTCTACTCTTAGTCTCGTCTGTGAGCCCACGGCGCATAGTCATCCTCTGATGTTTTTAATCTCACTCGTGCCCCAGTTAAACAAGTCTCCCACATGGAGAATGTTGTGCGTTGGCGACCTTGACAATCATATACGTGTCTCTCACTGTTTCTATAGGACTGCCAGGGTGTAGGTGACCTTGCAGCAGGCAAGGCTTCTTCAGTTATTACTGATCTTAATGTTGTGCTGACAACTATTATATCTAGCCCTCAGCATTATGGAAGCATTCTGTGCAGAATGTTTGTGACCTCCGTCACAAGTTTCACTTGAACTTTCATTAAGCTCACCGTTTCTTAGCCATCTTCATACTTCGAACCTGCGCTATGTGGGATGTGAAGTGCCCTCTACGTTGGGTTATGTTCACTATCATAGCTGTATGCATCCTTTATCAAATCACATACTAAGTTTTACTCAAGGAACTTGCGGCAACAGGGTATGACAGTTGCTGGGCTAATCATATTCTGCTTTGTCCTGAAGCAGTATGTGTTTGTACCTGATGTTTCAACATGCCGAGTATCTCAATTTGCAAAAATGCAACGGTTATTGGTGGTGTTCCTAGCACTCCTGATGTTAGAATTTGGTATGAAGAACTTCTGTCATAGTTTCCTTTGGAGTTCTGACTTTCATCATCAGTCCTTGTTATTTTTGCCACTATAAAGGCTGCCAAGATTTACAGATCGACGCCAAGACCACTCCTTACACTTCTCCTCACACACCATACATTCTACTATGGTTGCGGATTTCGTGTGTGTATTCTACATCTATGACAGTGCAATGAACTGTTTCCTTCTAGTCTTCAGCACTATCAATGTCATATGTATGGTGCTGTTCGAAGTCAGTTTGATCCGTTTGCTGCCATGCTTCACACGAACTAACATTCCGCTTATATGCATAGTATAGTGCTGCCGCGGTCCGGTTCAGAACCACGGTTCGAACCGGACTTTTGGTCCGGTTCTGGACGGTTCGGTCCACGGTTCTGGTGTCAGCCTGAACCGAACCGGAAATCGGTTCTCGGTTCTAGGTCCTGCCGAACCGTTCTATTTTGGTTCGGCCTTGCCGAACCATTCTGAACCCTTCTCAACTCTGACTTCGACGCCACTTACTTCGACGTCGACCGAACTTCGGGATTTGCACTCTACTCTTCTGCCTTTAGCCTTTTTGAAGGTACGTATTAACTAATCAAAATTTTGATTCTCTCACACACTGACATTTGTTCAAATATGTCACAGATATTGATCACCCACGCACTCAGATCCATCTCTCCTCGTGCACTTCCTTTCCCTTGCGCTACTTTCCCTGGATCCACGCCACGTGTTGACAACACCACCGGGGACCCTGTCGCTGTTGGCGACTATGTCCCCAACTACATTGCCAAATGGTAGCATCCTCATCCATATTTCCTTGCCTGTAACTCATTCCTTTCAACTAGCATTAATGACTTTATTCCCCCCTCCCAAGTCAATTTCATCAAGTTCAGCGCCCTCTCGCTACCTTCAGCATCCTCTCGCTACCTCTCTGACTCAGGGATTGGTGCTCAATCTCACGCTGCTGCTCACCGCCATCTCACTCTGCTGCTCGCTGCCATCTCCCGCTGCTGCTCGCCGCCATCCTCGTCAACTCTAATGGATCTCCTTGGATATCGTTGTCCATATTTTCCCTTGCATAGGCTCTTCATGAGCCTGACCTGCCCGTGACCCACATTCTGCTCACGAGTTGCTCGGAATCGCATATTTGTAAAGCCTTTCAGATCGAAGAGGCGCGCCCGCTGGTTGTGAGGCAACTCTCGTGCGCGACGGCCTTGCGTCGCGTGTGCTTTTCTGCGGCGGTAGGCCCTTGTCAGTTTGCATTGTTTGTCAGGTTGTAATCTTGCACTGACTCAGTGACTGTCGCTGTGCTTGCGGACCTTCTGCTGCTGTCACAAATCTTGGCCCTGGTCTGGGCAGGGATGTGCAGACAACGCTGACACAGCTACGGTCTGTCATGGATATCCCTACAAACAGCACTCTCCCTGTGAATATCTATCTCTCGTCCATTCGCGCAACTATGCTTCTGACCTCTCAAAATGCAGCTAGCACTAACTGAATTCCTCGACAACCTCCACACCTTCCAAACTCTCCATTCGCATCCAGCGCTCTTTAGGGCTCCCATTTCTGACAGCAGCAGTAGAAGCAGAGGAGCATGCAGTGCTATGTTAGACTAGTTACTCGATGTCAGTAGATCTACAATGTCAATTTTTGTTGCGCTTGAAAAAATTTCGGTTCGGTTCGCGTTCGGACCACAAAAAAACCGAACCGGACCGTTGAGAACGGTTCTTGATGATCCGGTTCTGGGTTCGACGATTTTGCAGAACCGGACCATGGTTCGGTTCTCGGTTCTCGTCCAGGACCCTCTGAACCGGACCGAACCGGACCACGGCAGCACTAGCATAGTACGAATACGCCGCAATTTTCTTCAGGTGCGTGACGTTTTCCAAGTGCTCGTCGGAAATGCTGACCAAATTGCAATCAACAGCCCCAAAATAGTGATGCATGCAATCTTGGCAACACGTATGCACTACCAGCTATGGGAGTTCAAGAACGTTCGAAAGAGTTGTCGGTCAGACCAGTACCCTATGTCGCCGCTATTCTGGCAATCCCCAGAAGAGATTGCGACGTCTTAGTCAGGCGGGTGACTTTTGCGGAACAGCGATCTACAAGTACTTAGCACTAGTGTCGTGCACATAATATACTACCGGGAGTCCATATGATTGAGCCTCCTGGTGGAACTGATTGGAATGACTGTTTTAGATTTGCCAAGTCCGGAGCAGAGATGTTAACATCCGCGTGCGTTCGAAATCGCTCATGAGTCAAATTTTCAAACCGCTTTACCATATCTGCATTGCCCGGATCTCGTTGAGTAAGACTCATGCTACTCACAAGGTTACCAGGTCTATATTGATGTAGCAAGAACGGATGAATGAATGAATGAATATTACATAAATTTTGGTCCTGGCATGATGAATCACGTGCACACGGCGTCCAATTCAAAATACTAATCGGTGTCGCGTCCAAGTTGATGTACAATCACCACCATATCATGGCACATATTAATATAAAAATATCGCGGACAGCGATACTAGGCTTTCTCACAATGACGACGATCCTGGAACATACCCATTCCCATGTGGACAATTTGCTGGTAAACGGCTCGACTCTGCCTCGAATAACTTGAGGCGGTGGGCCCAGGGCAACACGACCCCATCTTGCAAGAAACTCCTGTGTCAGGACTGCGCACAGCAATTACGGCCGACACTAAGAATTAATTCAGTATTTTGCCTACGCCAATCAACAATATGAAGAACTACTTCTATCTGAAACCAGAGCATGACAAATGTTTGTGTGAGTCGGAAGTTCCTCAGTTGCGCCTGACATTCGGTGTTTACTTTCCCCAGTATCACAGGTTCAAAGACCTAGTTGAGAGGTATTGGATATATTCCCAGACTCACCGATGGCCATACTACCCCAGAGCACCTGCACATGTGGAAAATCCCACAGGGCGGCCGCAACTTCTTAGAAAATGGGATGATGGCCGCGGCGCTGTGGAGCCGGATGGTGATTACGAGCGTGATGATTCTGTAGTTGATGATGACGATGACGATGACGACAACGATGATGATGACGATGACGACGAGAAGGAAATCTACCAAGAGGATGGTAGTGATTTTGAAACAGACAACACCACACACGATTTCGCAGTAGATGACGACAGTGACAGGCACGACGAAGAAGACCGTACTAACTTTGAGTCCACAGAGAGCAGTGATGCAGATGGATCTGTCGCACAGGCAGAAACGCTCTTGCCCTTTCACGGGAGTCCAAATATTTCTCAAACCTCGGGTTCAGATTCAGATGACGATATACCTCTAGATGAATTGTGCAGCAAGACTATAATAAAGCGCCGAAAGAATAAATGACACACGTCCTTAAACAACCGCCGAAGGACTTGCTTTTCGACCTCGGGCGAGGAAACTAACACTGCTGACTAGCCCCCGCCAAAGCGCCTCAGACGCAGGTCCGAACATGAAGGTGCTAATAATATTCGAGTTTCTGAGTGTTTTGAATACTGATGACAGGACTCCACGTAGTTGATCTGCTTGGGGTCAAGAAGACTCTCGTATACAAAGTCTTACAACTTTTTCCCTTAGTTTCACAGTACCGGTGTCAGCGTGTTCACGCCACCATTTCGGCGTTTCAACCAACACCTTGTACAAGCATACTACATCACTACTTTGCCCAAAAAATTGTAAACGTGTTTTTATCATTCAATCTTTTCATTGTACTCGTGCACGTCACCATGCTGGTAGTCGCCGGGCGATCTACGAACAGATACCAAGATCTCGCGGTCGATACGATACCTCCAAATCAACGGCACAACGAGACTCTCGCCACGCGAACGAGCCTACAGAGCAAGAAACCTCACCGCTCTCCCAAAAAAGGCACGAAACAGGTCGCCCGCCTTCAAAGACGATTTTACGTGGCATCTAATAGTATTGCCCCGACCCGCCATCCTCGAGTGAACGCTGCGCCAACGCCCCAGCCTCCAGGTCCTTCGTCTGTCTCGACTACCGTGCATATAACTAGCGCGAGTGATTTTACACTTTTACTCCCTTCAAGAGACGGAGGTGCGTCTCTCTCTAGTATTTTCATCGCATGCTTGACCACGCTGTTCTTTCTCCCTTAGAGTATATATCAGAGGCTAAGAGTGACGCGACGGCGTATTGTACCAATGGATCTGGTTGCCAAAACACATTTCCCGCAGGCTTCGTGACTGGTGCTACCATCTCGGAGGCAAGCGATGGGTCCTATATACAGGCCAGTAAAGTTTTTATTTAGCTGTCTGCAACCTCTTCATCGGTACTAATGAAGGCACTAGATCACCGGCTGCTTGGATCCCGGCAAGTTCCAGTTTGCACAAGATGACGCGGGAGGCCAAATGGATGTTCGATTTCCCAACGGCGCGAAGTGCACATTTGGCGGATACGGCGCAAGCTCCATTGAGCAGTCAGTTCCCGTTTTTTTTCATCATTCTTAATTAACTCATCGGCTGTTTACCAGGGTCGAGCCTTCTGCTAATCGTTTCTGCCTTCGCTGTTGTGCGTCCGCAAATGACCAGGTCAATTGCAATTCACATAACGACAAAGCTGGCTGCCCTGTTGCTGTTCCTGGCATATATGACTTTGATGGAGTGAGCTGCTTTTCAACCCTTTCATTCACGCATTTGTAGCCCGACTGACACTTTTGTAATGCCATTCCCAATGTATCACTATGCCCAAGCTGTTACAGCATAATACAAAATCATAAAAAAAGTCGTGTAATAAATTAGTACGTATGCCTAATGCCTAATAATCGTGAATTCCACAGAGATGTAGCGGCGTCTGTGGATACGCCGCGAAAAGGTTTCGCAGGTATGAAGTAACGAGGACTAGCCTCGGTAGCTGTCGATCTCAGAAGTTGGAAACGTCGGCTTCAAGCCTTACCAAAAACGAGTCTTCCGGAGCCGGCGCCGGGTCCATGCTTCTCCACTTCGATTCCGATCAAACGAGTTTTCCCATGCAGCCAATCCACCCGTCGGACTCCGCCTTGCCATCCGCCTCCCAATCTGGTACACCGCTGTTCATACGCCTGCGTAACTTTCCGTTGAACCTTGCTTCCATGACCAAGCGCCTCCCACTCTTGAGGCGTGACTCTCGTGAGAAGCATCTCATGTAGTGCACAAAGAAGGTCGAGATTGGTGATATCTGGAGAGCGCCTATTTCTGCAAGGCCCGACGACCGCGTGCCACGGGAACTTATCTGAACGAAGTAGAATAATGGATGATGCCGGAGTGGGTGGGTCTGTTGCTGGTTGAGATAATGTATGGGAGTCGACGGGAGAATGTGTGGTACGGTCTAGAACGGTTCGCGGCGAAGGGCCATAGTTGACGTCGTAATTTATGGGCGCGGAGCGAAACCGTGTAGAGGTAAAGAGTGGATGCATAATCCTATGCAGTGCAGGTGCGCGTCTCGTATGCGGATTCATTGCAATATCTCTGATGTTTTCAAGGACTTCTGTAGACTCTGGGCGATCCGTTGGTTCCCAAGACCAGCATTTTTGAATCAAGTTCCAGTGACGATTGTCGGAGATCTTCTCGGGGCGTGTGGGAGACTCTTTTTTCGACAGCGCGACGGAGATTTGAATTGAGTTTTTCTTCTCTTTCCATGGTTTATCCCCCGAGGTGATCTAAGTGGAGAAAATAAGGTCGGGACTACAGAAAGACAAAAGGGATCGCACAAAGAAAATTATGCTTCCGAGGGAATAGATATCACTCATGAAAGTTGGTCTGGTCATATCGCTCTCTATTCCAAGGACTTCAGGTGCACGCCATCGAGCATTGAGTTCACGTGCCGCAGTCGTCGAACCCCACTGCAACCCTGGGTCTCCTACAACTGTCGCGAGACCAAAATCTGCGAGACGTGGATTCCTTTCATGGTCAATCAGCACATTTCCCTGAGGCTTGCAAATGAGTGCGATCTCTACAGAAATATGATAATACATACGGGGTGAAGGTCTCCATGAACGACATTCTCCAAGCGAACTGGGCAAGCATATCAATAACTGAAACAACGCCCATATAGAAATTTACAGACGATAGTTGAGGCCGCCAGCGACGCCCCTGGTCTAGTAACATGCGAGTGAGTGAGCATCTGTTCAATGTGATCGATGTGAATGAAGGACTCACCAATTTAACTCTAGCGGAAACAGTGAGGGTCTCGGCGTACTTCTCGAGGTATTGATCTAATGTCCCGGAAGGCATCCATTCTGAAACAAGAACTGGCAGTGATTCGGGAGAGAAGAGTTTTACAGTGCCGAGTAGTGGCACGATATAAGCCGATTTACTAAGCTTAAGCCATACTGCAATTTCCCGATCCATTGCCTACAGTGATACGCCGTATAAAAAATGGTGAAGTGTTTGAGTCTGTACAAGACGACTTACGCTCTGTAGTTTCTTTCCAGATCTTTGACCATCGATTATGAATACTTTCACTGCAACCTAGTAGATATTCTATGCACGAACTTGAGGTGCTCGGATAGACTGTCACAGACCTTCGTTTTGCCTTCATTGATAGCACATAGATACACATCGCCAAACGAACCATTTGCAATTGGAGATCCGAGCTTGATTTGAGATGCAAGGTCGCTGATGGTGATATTGCTGGATGTGCCCATGCACTTAGTAAGAACAAAAGAAGACGTATATTATGGAGTCGTCGACTCACTTTGCAAGCACATTCTCCCCCATGATACGGACGTGGGTGCTGAGCGCTGTGCTACAACTTGAAGTGAGTATACCCAACGAGATCCGGGTGTGAGGTATGTATTGTTACTACGTTTTATTATGTGAAGGGCAGCGTGCCATATAGTATGTAAGAAAGCCACACGCACCTGTTCACATGGCTCCGAAGAAGCTCGGTTCACAAACATCACCGTACGGTCGAATTCAAGACCCCAGATTCATCAGGAAACCCACTGCCGAGCCAAGTGACTTGTAGCAGCCTACCAGCCTCCGCCAAAACGCCTCAGACGCAGGTCCGAACATGAAGGTGCTACATAATAATATGCGAGTTTCTGAGTATTTTGAATACTACTGATGACAGGACTCCACGTAGTTCGTTAATCTGCCGAGACCGATTCCCATGATGCAGAGTCTCGATGAACCTGAGACCTGCCATCGCCATCAACTCTCTCAATCTCTTAGTACTTTGTCGTTGTCTCAGGAATCCGCTGGAAGCCCAAACAATGACGGATGAACCCCCACACGCACCTCGCAAGTCTCTGCGACTTCAAAGGACGCCTGTGCGACGCAGGTCCGGAAACGACGACTCGGATATACAAGATTATGATACTCATATGAATACACCCTCGAACCTAGGAAGACGTTATCGTGCACTTATTCAGTCAGATGTTGAGGAGTGATGATTTCAGTGATGCTCGGTGCCTATGCAGTTAAACAGACTTCTGTGGTGAGCCTAAATGAATCTGGAAGCAATTTGAAAACCATGGACCATACCCTTTCATCCTGATCTAATCGGTGATCATCATCATGCAAATGCTCCTGATCGCTATCGGTTTCAAAATGCAGCTTCGATCAGACCGTCATCTAGATCTGAGCATCTAGATGTCGAGTATCTAGATATCGATGGCCTACCCGATTGTTTATCCCTAAAGCGAGTCTACCCGGAGACTGCCACGTCTTGTACATTCATTCCGACCGAATACGCATCATGGCGACATGTAAGCTGAGGGGAAAAAGTGAGCTGCGCTGTGATTATCGGATGGTGCAATCTCAATCTAACGACGTGGATGGCGTTCGGCATGAAGAAATGTCGAATTATGATGTACGCTTTGGAGAAGTGTGCAGCTTACTTAGACACGACCTGCATTGACATTTCAGGGACCCCCCGGTTCAAGACAATATCAACCAAAGACGCGCAATGCCAGGGTCACTTTGGTTGTCAACCCAGTTTGGATTACAAGGTCGGGAACATGATCAAAACAGAACAAAGGGTGTTCGGACCTAGCGATGGCTGAGCCGTAAGTGAAGATGAAAGGGGAATAAGTACATGTCAGTGGTAACCGTTGGCTGACCTACTTGTCATTAGGAATCGAGGGGCTGACTCGGGTCGCAGACACTGGTTTGTGAAAGAAAATCTTCACGAACTGACTCGAGATACGAAAAAAGGGAAATATGTGTCGAAGTCGCGGGTATCACAAGGAGGCGAACTGGGTGTTCACGCGTTCACGAGGTGCCTGACAAAGGAACAGAAGTAGTTTTCTCTCGCGCTAGGAGTATTAATGTATGATTTAATAATACCGAGGACAATCATGCGCGCGGGGAATATATATTTATATTATCGACCGGGGGATACGCATCTTACGTTATGGATGCGATGTGGTGTGCGGGCCCCGTCCGGCGGTCAGACTTTTGATGAAAAGAGGCCTACTGCAGTCCATGATGACTTTGGACATCACGAATGCTGCGGAAGGATGGACTTTTCGGCCGTCCTATTTACAATGCATTTCGTACATGTACTAGTCAGCTGTCCATGTCAACGACATAACAGAGATCTGAGTCGGAGGTCGTTGTCCAGACCTAACAACAAGTTCCGTAGAGAGGATGATAAATTGTATTCGAGCGATGTAGGTTTGATAAACGGCCTCGAGCTTGGCCCCGAATGGATTGATACCTGTCAAAAGTCACCAAACTGATGTTCACCAGCTATTAGCTAGAAATGTCAAGTGAACGATGGTGCTCATCTTAGACTAAGATACGCATCGTAGGTCCCACTGTCGCGGAGTGTCCAATCTTTTCATCCCCGGGATTGTCGCCGTTATGTGAGTCCAAGTCATCGCCAGCCAGTGATGGTAGGCCACTAATCACTCACTATACCATGTTCCGGGAGCAGATGCGATGTTCCGAGCCTTCTGATGATTCAAACTCCGTGCAGCTCGGGCAGTTGCGGCTATCAAATACCCCTGACTTGACTCGATACTACAAATTACGGGATCCCATGTACTACGCCACATTTTCCCTGTTAGCTGACTCAATTTGCTTGTGGGAAGCGCGTTTCTCCAGATATAAACTCGACACACACATCCATGCAATAAGGCCTCCCGATCTTTCGCCGCCAGCGTTTGCATTGCACTGGTTTCCAAGATTTCTCCCAAGTCTCTCGGGCGCGTAATACAAGGCAGTACAAGATTCTACAGCAGTTTCCGTTCACGTACATTGCAGTGCACACTGCTTCACCTTTATCAAGCCCGCAAGAGATCGATTCATCGATATCATTACCCTGTTCATATTGTCCTTGCATCCTCTAAACACCATCAACCAGCATGTACAATGACATGCCACCCCTGGTTGACGCAGACACCAATATGCGGCCGCAGGCAAATATACCCCCTCCAGCAGGTGCGACGACATTTACTATGGCAGGTCAGCCACCCCCACAATACGCATTCGCTGGCCAGGGGTGGAATGCGCCTATGCCTCAGGCACATTATCCTCCATTCCAAGCAGCAACCCAAGATGACTGGGCGAGGTGGGCTCAATACTGGCAAGCTCAGGGTGCGCCGCCAGCGTCACCTAATATGCCAAGTCCTTATGTACCACACCTGCCCATGAATCCTCAGACCGCTCAACATGACCACTTCCGCAGGCGAAGTAATAGCGCTCCCCCAGCTGGTTTTTCCAACATACAGCAACAAGCCGCGCCGTGGATGTGGAGTGCCAGACCTCCCATTCAAACATTCCCAAGCGCAAGTTCATACCCCCCCGCATCCGCAGTCTCCGAGACACAATCACTATCTACAGCATACTTGCCTCCATATTGGCCAGGAGAGCGTCCAAAAAGCTGGAGACATGGCTTCAAATTCAAGTCGGGTATTTCATCCCTGCTATTCCGAAGAAAGTCTGTATCAAGACCACCCGATCGTAAGTTATGCTTGAACCACTTTACGAGCGATGCTGATTAGCAGCAGCATCCACCGATAGCGCCCGGCTCAAAATTGATTCAATCCTGCGAGACGACAAAGACATAATCCTCGATCTCCGTCGCAGCCAACATTCCATTATAATTCGAGAGCTGAGGCGCCCAGTAGTCGCAAACGACTTGATGCGACCCTGCACAAACCCACCGACAGTGTTCATGCGTATCTATCACTCGCGCTTACCGTGGTACATCGACGTTGTGCCATCAGGTAATGGCTCCTACATCACGCTGGGAGATGTGTTCATGCATATATGCCAATCCCTCGCTCGACCAATACGCCACGAGGATTACTACAACGATGAGCTAGATGCCGACGACAGAGAGGAGCTTAAGCAGGTGTGGCTGGAGCGTTGTGGCAGCAAGAAAGAACGTATGGAAGGGGTGAAGCAGGTTGATTTTTTGCGAGAAAAGTACATGTTTCTGGGGTTGACTCGCGGAAAAAACGGCATGTGGCAGCTGAGTACAGGAAAAGAGTACTCATAGAGCATATGGAGTGAGGAGATCCCGTGGTTCTGGCGAACCGCAATTTCATCACTTCATCGTTGGCGACATTATGCTTCCTTGTATTCTTCTTGCATTGTACTGTTTTCACAGTCCGCCAAGCGGAGCCTAGAATACTTATACCCTACTCAACTGTTCGCGTACTGTGTGCGTGCCCCTTACCATACACATCGGAGACATAGTGTATCGAGTCAAAACATACGGATAAAAGCTTGAAGGCGACCGAGCAGTCACTGGCATGCCGAGTGGCAAAAGTTAATTGATCCTTTTGCCACCGGCATACCAGTGACTGTACCATCAAGTTCAGTCGCCTTCAAGCTTTGAGATAACTTGCATTGCAGCCACACTTCTCATCTTGTTACATCATGATAGTAGATCCTAAGCTCGTGAGTCGTAATAGCCTGGCTCTAAACGAGTATGTAGGTTCCCCATGCGTATCGGCGCGCCTTCGTTATTCATGCACATGATATTGATTGATTCTCCACTTGTACGCAGGCCCTTGGCACGTTGCATATATGGTGCAGTCATGTCGTCTTTTGGCTCGAAGTTCATTTGGAGCCCGAAGTACGCAATTATCTCCACTTGTGTTCGGTAGATTAAGTGCCGGATCTCATGTCATATAAATCGAGGAATTACCATCCATAGAGACTTCAGCTGGGTGCCCGTGGCTATCTCTTACTTCCCCTTCGCGATGTCGGTCGAGCAGGCTGAACTGTACAAAGACAAGAAAAGCGAGAGTGTCGGTGTACAGGCTGAGACTCGGGACATATTCGCCGATGATTCGTTGGACCCTGTGTATCAGGCCAAAGCCAGGATTCTCAACGATGCGTTGCAGGAAATTGGAATGGGAAAGTATCAGGTGAGTGACTCGTAGTCGACCCGTTCGTTTGTTGATATGGGAGAAGTGGTACTTGTTCGTGGTAGCTGGATTTGGCTGGTTGTCGTGAGTTAGCAAATGAAATTGAGCATGGCCGTTGATGCACCTGCTGAATTTCTTCGTATAGCGATAATCTTTGGCCGGTATGTGCGTTCTTTGTGTCTTGGGCACTCATTTATTTACTATCCTCATAGATTGTCACTGGTTTGATATTGACACCAGTAGTGAACGAGTTTAACGTACTAGGTCCATGGCTAAAACTCGCTCAAAATATCGGCTTGCTAGTGGGAGCTGCGTCTTGGAGCATTGCTTCAGATGTTTGGGGTCGGAGGTATGATCTACTTCCACAATCTTCTCATGCTGTCTTGACGGGTGACTCGTAGATGGGCCTTCAACATCACTCTCGGTATGACTGGTCTGTTCGCCATCGCGGCTGGGGGATCTATGAACTACGTCGCGCTCTGTTCCCTGACCGCGGTGTGGTCAGTAGGCGTGGGTGGCAATTTGCCTGTCGACTCTGCTGTCTTCTTAGGTAAAGAACAGGGTTTGCGTTCAGTCTTAATTATATTAATGCGTCTTATAGAATTTGTCCCCGCTTCTCACCAATATCTGTTGACGGTGCTCTCCGTTTGGTGGGCCTTTGGACAACTGTTGGGTAGTCTGGTCGGAAATTGACCTGCTTACTGCTTTCGGTGCATACTAACTTGCTCCAGGTTGCATGGCCCCTCATTTCCGACTACTCTTGTCCCACCACTGTCCCCCCTTCTCCTTGTCCGAGATCCTCGAACGAAGGGTGGCGGTATTTCTTGTTCGCTATGGGTGGGCTCATGATGTTCCTCTGGGTACTCCGCTTTTTCTTTTTCAACCTATACGAGAGTCCAAAATACCTCATGGGACGAGGTCGAGATGAACAAGCAGTCGAGGTCGTCCACAAAGTTGCAGCCTACAATGGAAAAACGAGCAACCTCACCCTCGAAGACCTCCAGAGGGCTGGAAAACTGGCTGATACTACGATCGACGATGGCGTTCGTATGGACACATCTGCTTTGGCTGCCGTGCAGAGGAAGATGGGAATGTTTAGCAATAACCATGTTAAATCGTTATTTGCCACTCGAAAGATGGCTTGGTCGACTACTATTTTGATCATTATTTGGGGCAAGTCCGCATCACGAGCCGATTGCTTGAGTATTCATTAACGTCTTCGTGTTCCTTCAGCTTTCATCGGTCTCGCGTTTCCGCTGTAGGTTTTGTTCAATGTTTTTGTGGCCTTCCTCACTCAGACTTGCTCAGGTATAACAGCTTCGTAACATACTTGTGAGTGGTCCAAAATATGACTTGTTCCCCGCCAACTCTTTACTAGCTTGGCCACCCGAGGGGCAAATTTCGGCGATGGTTCCACATATATCACATATCGCAACGTACGCTGGTTTACTGTCTGCCATTCACTGGACTCATATTCTACCTAGCAAGTTATACTCAGCGTGATAGGCGTTCCTGGAGCGCTGATGGCAGGTTACCTCGTCGAGCTTCCGTATCTCGGTAGGCGAGGCACCTTGGCGATATTCACCGGTAAGACTCCCTCAGCATAAGTTGTACGCTTCAGCTGATTCAATCCGTCATCAAGTATTGACGGGCGTATTCATACTGGCATCCACCACCGCACGCACATCCAATGCGCTTCTTGGCTGGAACTGTGGTTATAGCTACACGAGCAACGTCATGTATGGCGTCTTATATGCCCTTTCACCCGAATTGTTTCCTACTAAAGATCGTGGAACTGGTAACGCGATCGTAGCCACCGCAAATAGGATATTTGGCATCATGGTAGGTTCATTTGTCGTTCACGGTACCTTGTGTGCACCTTGCTAGTCTCTAACTTACCACACAGGCCCCGATCATTGCTCTGTACGCGAACCTCACGACATCTGTGCCAATCTGGATTTCGGGAGCTATCTTCATCGTTACTGGTTTTATTGCTCTCTTACTACCATTTGAACCCCGTGGTCACGCATCTTTGTAACTAGTCAGTCATACACGCCTGGGCGAATGGCTTCATGTCCAGCTTGGTATTGCACCCTCGTCATTAACCTTGTAAAAAAAACTATAAATGGAGCATGGAGTGCATAAGTGCGTCATATTGTTTATTATAGGTAGAACGGAATCCCATATACGACTGGTGCCGCCCCAGTGAGATACTTGAGTTTGCATACCTCTCGGGCTTGTGCAATTGCGGTAACTGCTGACATACCCTGCTCTCCTCCACGAGTCGGAGTCAATCTCAGGGAGTCAAAAACTGCTTGTGAGAACTTGTCGATGTCGCGGTCAGTTACATCCCAAAGGTTCGCCACCAGTAAAGGGCTGTGCACGATGGATGTTAAGCAGGGAGCGTAGCCAAAACGAACTTGCAACTTACCATCCAGCAAGCATATAATTAAACGGGGTGCCTACTCTGTCAAAATCACCCATCTCCTTCAGTAACCCACTGGAGCACCCCCACAACATCGTCGCTGCACAGCGCGGCAAATGACGGATTTTGTGTGATCGCACGTATTGTTCTCCTCCACCGTGCCCGAAATACCTGAAAATCGTCAAGATCCGATGCAGCAATTAGTCAAGAGTCACTCACACTACTAGATCTTTCCGCGCGAGGGCATCTAAGAACTGCTGTTCGCTTGGCGGTCGTCCAATGACTCCCTCCCAGCCTACACTCCGCATTTGCTCAAGCCATGGTTTGAATCGCCCCTCAGTTCCTTTCAAGTCTCCGCTAGGGTTAAGCACGAAAAACGTCTTGCGTGGATCCACGGACGTCCGATCAACAACACCTCCTGATCGGTTCTCAGCAGACGCAAGTCGAACCCGATCAAGCAAGAACGAAACGCTCGGGATGCGGCTCACGCTCTGGCCCCTCAAGACTGGAATCGATTCCCAAGGAACGCCCTGTACATTGTGGTCCAGGACGAGGAATATGTGGGGGTCGTCTACCGGAGTTGATTCCACCTTCCCTCGTTTGTTCTTGAAGGCGGCATGCTCCTCCAACGCACAGCGAAGATCCACTATCACCTGATCTACATCTATATCTGCGATAGCGACTGGGATGCCATGAAATGTGTACAGGTCAAGGATGAAGAATAGTAAGTCTTCAAGTTCTTCTTCACGACATTTCGGACTCAGGGATGAGAAGCAATCGAGGAGCACATCAGACAGGTGAGGATGTTGTTTCTGTTTCTTGTCTGGGGGAGGAAGAATGCGCTTGAACACCTTCTCGAAACGGACACGGAGGTCAGCGATGAGCTCGGCTGATATAGGTAGGACAGGACTGAGAATGGTCTACGAACATTGTTCAGTCGATGAGTATTTGACAAAAGAGAATACTTACTTTGAATGCACCCAACCAGCAAAATTCGATGTTCTCTAGCAACGCTTGCATCCTTTTATCCAGAACATTACGCTCCGCCCACCAAGCAGCTCTTGCTTGCGGATCATCATTTCGTACGTTGACTGCGTTGCGTGTCCCTTGGTTGCTTAAGCGAATTATCTCAGCGAGCTCCTTTACCGCATCGTCAAACGTGAGATGTTCGTCCACGTCCGATTCGCGTCGGCCTTTGAGAGGCACACAGAACATCAACGGCTCAGAAGAAATATTCTGCCGAGAGATAAAGAGGGTACTCTTGTCAGGTGTGAGGTTGACATGGACGACTGTCCAATGAGGCGGGAACTGTGACATGGCCGTATTCGATAGCAAGGAAGTGTCTAAAGATTGCTCTGCATACGTCTTGTGGATGGAATCCCAGTACGCCTTCATGCTTGCACTCGAGTCGTCGTCATCGTCAGATGCTTCCTCAGTGCTGGAGGTTCTCAACCGCCGAAGATTAGATGATCTCTTCCGAGGCAGTGGGGAACCGTTGGGCGTCATAAGGGGCCATTCAAGATCGTCGAATTGCACGCTGGGGAATTTATACTTGATAGCCTCCAGCATTTCACGGCGTAGAGTAATTGCAGATGACGCATCTAGTCTAGCGTCAAAATAGGCTCCATCAGGTAAATTGTAATCTTACCAAGAAGACGCGCAGCAACAATGGGTCCATCCTTTTCCCCCTTTCCAAGGGATGTCTGAAGTGCTTTGATGAGTGCAAGGTTTATAGTCGCTTCGCGGACGTGGGGGACGTTCCCCCGATCCGCAGTAAGTGCAAGGTCAGCCCAAAAGAGTTTCTCTGCTTGGTCCAGAGTACTCAAGATATCTTGAGTCGAAGGTGTAAGCGATACCGCTCGGTCGCTTGTCATGCCCA